CTGATCTTTGGGTCTTTTTTTTTTTTTCCAGTACCATGCTGGTTTTTGTTTATTTTTTATTAAAAAAATTTTTTTTGGTATCAGGGATTGAACTCACGACTACACAGATGTAAAGCAGGCGCTTATGCCACTGAGCTAAATGCCCGGCCCCCTATCATGCTGTTTTTAATCACAGTAGGTTTATAATATAATTTCAAGTTAGAAATTGTGATTTCCCCCAGTCTTTTTTTTTTTTTTTTTTTTTGCCAAGGATTGCTTTGTTATTCTAGGTCTCTTCTGGTTCCAGATGAATTTTCAGATTGTTTTTTCTAGTTCTGTGAGATATGCTATCAGAATTTTTTTTTTTGTCTTTTTTGAGACAGGGTCTCACTATGTAATTCAGGCTAGCTTTGGGCTCACTTTGTAGCCCAGGCTGGTCCAAAACTTGCCACAATCCTCCTGCCTCAGCCCCCTGACTACTGGGATTACAGGAGTGTGCCATCATGCTCAGCTTGCCATTGGAATTTTGATTAGGATTGCATTGAATCTGTGTAACAGTGTTGGAAGTATGGCCATTTTTTTTTAAATTGGTACCGGGGATCGAACTCACAACCGCCTGCTTGCAAGGCAGGTGCTTATGCCACTGAGCTAAATCCCCGGCCCCTAGTATGGCCATTTTCACTATATTGGTTCTTCCTACCCAAGAGCACAGAATATCTCTCCATTTTCTAATATCCTCTTCAGTCTCCTTCTTCAGAGTACTGTAGTTTTCAATGTAGACATCTTTTACATCCTTAGATTCATTTCTAGATATTTCATTTTTTTTTTATGTTATTGCAAAAGGTATTGTTTCCCTGATTTCTCTTTCAGTGAGCTTGTTTTTCATGTACAGGAAGGCTATTGATTTTTGAGTGTTGACTTTGTATTCAACTATGTTACTAAATTTGCTTATAAATCTAGGAGTCTTTTGGTGGAGTTTTTGGAATCTTCTATGCAGAGAATCATGTTACCTGCAAATGATGATAGTTTAACTTCTTCCTTTCCTATCTTTATTCCTTTTCTTTCTCTTGTCTTATTCAGAGCTGATTTCTTGCTCATATCTTCTGCCCAGTGTCTTCTTTAGTGCCACTCCCAGGCTGGAGGTGCTCTGCAAGTGCTTGGGCTGGGACTGACAGAGAGGAGGGTAGAACCACTCTCGGTTCCTAAGGGGCCTGCTCAGAATTCCCTGTTCGCCAGAATTGCAGAAAGCAGCTGTTCCATGGGGCTGGGATATGGGACCGACGCCCATGATGGGGTTGCGAAGATGAACAAGACCAGATGTGCAGGCCACTTAGTCATTTAACAAATATGAGCAACGTGCTGACATATTAGGCTCCAGTGAGGGCTGGTGGCTTGGAGGGACGAGGCCGACCTACTGGGAAAGACTGCACAAGACACATAGGAGCAACCGAGATGACTGCGGACCGCTACGCACACAGGTAAAGGGTCTGTGCTTCATTAACCAACTTTTATTTTATTTTATTTCATTATTTTATTAATTTATTTACCTTTTGGGTTAGGATTAGGGTTCTATTTTATTTCTCTTAGAGAAGCGATCTTGCTGTATTACTCAGGCTGGCCCAGAACGCCTAGGCTCAAATGACCCTCCTGCTTCAGTTTCCCGAGGAACTATGGCTGCAGGCGTCACTGTGCCTGGTTTAATAGACCCCCCGAATAATGGCAATCAAACCCAGGAGGTGGGCTCTGTCACTAAGTTCACCCCAGCCCTACTTATTTTTGAGACAAGTAGCTTTATAATTTTTTATATTATAAAAAATTCCCCCTGGGATTCCCCTTTTTATATTATAAAAAGTTCCCCTGGGATTGGAACCCAAGGTCTTATCTCCCGTATCTCATTAAATTGCCTAGGGGCAGCGGCATAAGCGCCTGCTTGGCAAGCGTGAGGTCATGAGTTCAATTCCCACTACAGGAAAAAAAGAAGAGCCCTGGTGTATCCGTTATGAAAGTGTTACATTTACTGTATGCAGGACCTGCCTTGTCCTAGTTCCAGAAATGAAGGCTGAGACCCTGATTGGCTTAGCCCACACCAATCAACCAGGCAGTTTTCCTTCCTGAGTCTCCTGGGCGCATCTCCTGAGCAGAGGGCTAGGACCGCGGGTGCCCCCTACCTTGCAGTACCGCGCTGTTGCTAAGATAGCTTTTCTCCTGTTTCCGCCTCGTTCCCCACACTTTAAATAAATTTCAGCGTCACACTGGTCCTGACTCTCCCGTATCTCGCTAAGACCCACCCCCCCCTTCGCCATTCTTCACGGGAGTTAAGGCAAGGACCCAAAGAGAAGTAAAAAGTCATTATTACAGGGGACTCCCAACCTCCCACCCCAATTCCCTCTCCCAGTGTAATACTATTTTTGTTTTGTTTCATTTTTCTTTTTTGAGACAGGATCTTACTTCAAGGATGACCTTGAACTCACAGAAATCTTCCTGCCTCAGTTTCTGTAGTGCTGGGATCACAGGTGTGCACCATGATCGTGCCTGGCTGGGCCATCTATTTTTTTTTTTTCTTGGCATCAGGAATTGAACTCAGGGCCTTGCGCTTGCCAGGCAGGCATTTATGCTGCTGAGCTATATCCCTGGTCCTGTGCCACATCTTTTTAAAAGAGCCTTCTAAACTAAGTCAGTGGCACATGCTGGTAATCCCAGTACTCAGGATGAAGAAGCAGGAGGATCATCATGAGTTCCAGGCCAGTCTGAACTACATAGAGACCCTATCTCAAGAAAAAGCTTTTCCTCTAGCTCTAGAGAGAGCCAATAGTATGAGGAAGCCAGCACTCCTAGGGGTCCCTTATGGTAGTCCTGACAGTGGATGTTGTCCTGGGTCAGGAAGGAAGAGGGGGGTATAGATTAGGGAGAATATTTTTGTCTTTTTTTTTTTTTTTTTTTTTTTTTTTTTGAGACAAGGTCTCCCTTTGCAGCTCAGGCTGGCCTTGAGCTTACTTTGTAGCCCAGGCTAGTCTCAAACACAATGATCCGCCTGCCTGAGCCTCCCAAATGCTGGGATTATAGGTGTGCACCATCATGCCTGGCTAGGGAGAATTTTTAAGGTCCAGGACTTCACTCATGCTAGCAGAGCACTGTAATACTGAGCTATATCCCTACCCCTTTCTTTTTTTGCACCCGGGGATCGAATTCATGACCTCGCGCTTGCCAGGCAGGGGCTTATGCCACTGAGCTAAATCCCCAGCCCCCCCATCCCATTTTATCTTGAGACAGGGTCTCACTCTGTTGCCCAGGTTGACCTTGAACTTCTAGTCCTTCTGTCTCAGCCTCCCAAGTAGCTGGTATTACAAGTATATGTAAGGATAGGGGCAAGATGTGAGTTGCCCTGGGCACTGTGTTTCTTACCCACACAGCAATAAACCGCTACGTTCACGGAGGAGGAGGGCGGTAGCTCAGGGCTGAAGCACTTGTCTAGCACCCACAAGGCCCCTAGTTTGTTTTTTGTTTTTTCTTTTAAGTGACTTTAAAAAGTGACTTTGGAGCTGGGGGTTTAGCTCAGCGGCACAAGCGCTGGCTTGGCAAGCACAAAGTCCTGAGTTCTATTCCTGGTACAAAACAACAACAACAGTGATTTCAAGTTTTTCACTGCCTTTTGCTTCCCCTGGGATTGGAACCCAAGGCCTTAAGCATGCTAGGCAAGTGCGCTGTACCTCTAGTGCAGTCCTTTCTTCTGTTTGTGTGTATTGCTAGTAATTTAACCCAAGGTCTTTACACTGAGCTACAGTCTTAGCCCTTTTTTTATTCTTAATTTGAGACTGAGCCTCACTAAATCATTAAATTGCCCAAATAAGGCTCAAATTTGTAATCCTCCAGCCTCAGTTTTTCCCAGAGTGCTGGGTTTACAGACATGCACCACGCAACACCTGACTTTTTTATTTATTCATTTATTTTTGTTTGTTTTGTTTTTCTGAGACAGGGCCTCACTATGGAGTTCAGGCTGACTTTGAACTTACTATGTAGTCCACCTAAGCTGGTCTTAAACTTGCAGTGAACTTCCTGCCTCAGCCTCCTGGGTGCTGGGACTATAGGCATGTGCAACCATGATCGGCCAAGCTTGCTTTTTAAAAATAACTATTGGTGGGCTAGGGATATAGCTCAGCGGTATAAGTGCCTGCCTGGCAAGTGCAGGGTCCTGAGTTCGATTCCTGGTACCAAAACCAAGCAAACAAAACTATTGGTAATCAGGGAAAACTGGGTAAGGAGCAGGTTCATGGGGGCAGACAATGAGTTGCAGTTGCCTGGAGAATCCAAGTGGAGATGTCAAAGAGGCAGCTGGGGGTGCTCACGAGAACCTGCGGGAGTCATCAGTGCTGGGAGGAGCATGGAGCCTCCATTGCTCTAGAACAGTGGAACAGACAGTTCCGACAGGAGCTCAGAACAGGCTTGGACTGTCGCATGTACTGCCCTGTACGCATGCGCACCCAGGACTCCACTCCGCCTCCTCTGCGTGCGTCCTCACCCCCTGGTCAGACACAAGGATCTTGGCCCGAGCCTCTGGGCCCTTCTACGCGGCCTGCCTGTCGCTGCCTGGCTTTCATGCGTTGTAAAGCCTTTTTACCTGGGAGACAAGATGCCTGCAGTGATAGGTCAATCCCTGCTTTTGAAACATTTCTGACAGTTATTTTTAAAAACTTTGATAAATTGTACACCATCCTGATTAAAAACTTGCTGTGAACCGGGCAAGGTGTCACCTGTAACCCTAGCACTCTGGGAAGCTGAAGCACGAGGATCTCGAATTTGAGCCAAGCCTGGCCAATTTAGAGACTTAGACCCTGACTCAAAATAAAAATAATTTTTAAAAAAGAGTTGGAAAAAAAATAAAAAGAGTTGGAGAAGGCAGAAGGCCCCAGCTTCAATCATAGTACTCCCCCCCACACACACACACGAAACTTGCTCTTTGAAAGAAAATGTTAAGAGACTGAAAGATTAGCCACAGTGTGGGAGAAATACTTGCAGATCATATATGCAACAAAGGACTTGTATTCAGCGTACAGAAAGAACTCAAACTAAACAGGAAGAAAAAAAGCCAATGAACAAAGAAGCTAAAGTCTGCGAGAGGCTTCACCCGGGCGGAGGAGAATGTGTCAGCGGCAGGTCCAGGGCAGCTGCCGCAGAGGATCCCAAAGTGGTAGCTTCAAAGAACCAAGCTCAAACAACCAATTTCTGGAGGCAAGAAGCCTGGAATCCAGCGGCAGGCAGGCATGAGTCGCGTACTTCCGGTTCCCGCCGTCTTGGTCACGTGGGCGCCGGCAGGTGGCAGTGCCTGCCCGGCCTCGCCTGTGTCTACTTCCGGGTGTCCGCACCTTGCGAAGGTCCCTGGTCAGCGTGAGTCAGCACCTGCCCTCATTAAGATGAACAAGATCTTGTCTTCGCTTGATTACATCTGCAAAGACTATTTCCAAATAATGTCACTGTCACCCACGGGGAACAGGCTAAGGGTCTCAGCGGGTTTCCTGGGGAACAGCTTAACCTCGGACAGAGCGGCGCCATTAGACAATGTTCGAGGATTCTATCACTGTGACAGTGACGGTTTATTTTTTGGTGGTGGTGGTGGTGGTCCTGCTGCTGCTGCTGCTGGGAGTTGATCCCTACATTCTCAACTCTTTCGGTTTTATTTTGAGACAAGAGTCTTGCTAAGTCTTAGCTAAATTGCCCAGGGTGGGTCCAAACTTGGAATCCCCCACCTCTGACCCTCCCCTGCCATGCTGGGATTGCAGGAGTGCCCCAACATGCTAGGCTAGGACAGATTTACTGATACATGTAAAAACTTACATGGCCTTTAAGGGTATTGTGTAGAATGAAAAAGCCAGTTTCAGAAGTCATATACTACAGTTTCGCTTCTTCTGTTTCTTCTTCTTCTTATTATTATTACTATTTCGGAGGCAGGCTATATAGTTCAGGTTGGCCTTGAACTCATTTGGTGACCCAGGTTAGCCTTGAACTCACAGTGATCCTTCTGCCTCAGCCTCTGAGTGCTGAGATTACAGGTGTGCACCACTACACCTGGCCAAGGCTTGCTTATTCTTCAGTCTTCAGGGCTAAGATCCAGAATTTGTTAGTAAATTTCTCCATAAATTTTTTTTTTTTTTTTGTAGCAGGATCAAACTGACCACCTTGCACTTGCCAGGCAAGCCCTTATGCCGCTGAGCTAAATCACCGGCCCTTGGATTGCTTATTCTTGAAATGACAAAATTACAGAGACAGAACAGATGAATGTCAGGACAGGGGCAGGGGCAGGACAGGGTACCCTGAAGGCAGAGCTTGGGCGTTTCTTTGATGAAATGTTCTGCATCCTATTGAGATGGTGGGAACACAATCTGTGCAATAATAAAGTTGTGGCTGGGGTTTAGTTCAGTGGCACAGCGCCTGCCTGGCAAGCACGAAGTCATGAGTTCAATTCCTAGTAAAAAGGTATAATAAAAATTGTGGAACTGGATGCCAAAAACCAGAGCAAAGCAAAAAGAGCATATGCAAAAACTGGCAAAATCCAAATAAGGTCTGTAATTTGGGTGTACCAACATCAACTTCCTGGTTGAAATGGTACTACAGTTGCGTAAGATGCTAACTTTAGAGGAAGCTAGTGTGCGTGGATATCAGTGGAGACTGAACCTAGGGCCTCAAGCATGCTAGGCAGTCTCTACAACTAAGCTGTACCCCAGCCCCAAAACTCTTCCCCAAACTGAAGCTTGAACCTATGGCCTTCACACTGAGCTACATCCTCAGCTTTTCCTTTTTAAAATTTTGAAACAGCTTCTTGTTAAGTTGTCCAGGCTGAGTTCAAACTTGCAATTCCTCTGCCTCAGCCTCCCACATTGTGGGGGGGATTATAGTCATGCGCCACCAGGCCTGGCTCCATGTTCTTTTTAGAGAGGGACAGATCTATGGGGCTGGCTCTGCGATTAGCCCACCCTCCCAGGGTGAAGGCAGCTCACCACAGCCAGGCCTCTGTGCTGTATTCTCGTCTCCAGCCGGGTACCAGGGGTCGAGGGGCTGAGCCAGCCAGTGCAGTAGCTCATACAGTGCGCTCAGCACCTTCTCCATGTCAAAGCTTCAGCCAGAAACAACCTTGGACCAGCCGGCTGGGCCCCAGACTCCCCTATCAGATGCTATCAGACCAGGCAGCCAGATGAAAACTTGGCTATTTACTGACTGTGTGGCTATCCACAGTTATTTAACCTTTCTGGGTTTTACTTTAGCATTGCCCTTTTTTTTCTTTCTTTTTTTTTTTTTTTTTTTTTGTCTTTTTCGTTTTTATCAGTACCAGGGATCGAACTCACAACTGCCTGCTTGCAAGGCAGGCGCTTATGCCGCTGAGCTAAATCCCCAGCCCCGAGCATTGCCTTTTTTTGTGTGTTTGATAGTACTGGAGATCGAACCCAAGAGCCTTATGCATGCCAGATAAGCCCTCTACCATTGGGCTACATGCCAGCCCTTTTCCTTTTATTTTCTTTTTACTTTTGTTTTCAATTTTTTGATACAGGTTTTTTGTTTTGTTTGTTTTGTACCAGGGATTGAACTCATGACCTTGTGCTTACCAGGCAGGCACTTATGCTGCTGAGCTAAACCCCTGGCCCAAGACAGGGTCTTGTTATGTAGTACAGGCTGGACTTCAACTCACCATGTGGCCCAAACTGGACTCAGACTTGCAGTGATCCTCCTTCCTCAACATCCCAAATACTAGGATTAAAGGTGTGTGACCACCACACTGGCTTTCTTACTTTTAAAAAATTTGTTTACATCCATCTATACATATGTATGTATGTATGTTTCAAGGGTCTCACTAAATTGCCAAAGTTGGCCTTGATCTTGATATCCTCCTGTCTCAGCCTCAAAAGTAGCTGAGATTAGAGGTGTGTGCCACCGTACCCAGCAAGTAAGTTTGTTTCTTCCTTTGTAAAATGAGGCTGCTAGCAACGCCCACCTCATGGGGTTGCCTCGGCTTCAGTGCTTTGGTGAGCACCGGGGTTTTAGGTGGGTTCCCCCACTTTCCTTGTTGGGCAGAGGAGGAAACCTGCGAAGGGAACCACAGGTATGCATGGACAGGAAGCAGGTGGCTGTCGAGATCCAGTGGAGGCTATAGAGATCCAGTGGAGAGGACCTTCCTGGGGATCTTAGGGAGATGGGAGGGGGCCAGAGGCACACCCTGAAACCCAGAGGTACTGGACAGGTCCAGGGGAGCCAAAACCCAAGGGCACTGAAGCTTCAAAGAACAGGAGCCGCGGTGACTGAGAGACTGGGAAATCCAGAGACTCAGAGATCAGGACCACCAAGAAGCTCTGAGATTCTGAAAGACAGAAAGATTTGGGGATCCAGAGATGCCCCAAGAGGCGAAGAAACTCAGAGATATTCATAGAGACCCAGAGCCTCCATTCTGGCCAGACACACTGTGAATTGAGGTTTACTTACCCAGGTTGGGTGTGGTGGCGCACACCTGTAACCCTAGCACGTGGGAGGCTGAGGCAGGAGGATTGCTGTAAGTTCCAGGCCAGCCTGGGCTACATAGCGAGACCCTCTCAGAAACAAAAAACAAACAACAACAACAACAAAAACCTGTGGCTATAGCTCAGTACCAAGGTCGTGGGTTCAATTCCCAGTTACAAAAAATAAATGAAATAAGTGCCATGGATTTAGCTCAGTGGCACAGCACTTGCCTGGCAAGTATGAGGTCCTGAGTTTGATTCCTGGTACCTAATAAATAAATAAATTAATTAATTAATAAAATAGAATTCATTCATAAACTGTGGAAGTCTAGACTTTATTTTGAGGAACTCCCTGCTGCTGCATTGGGCTCTTGCCTATCCTGCGGGGTTCCGGGCTCTGGGGTCCACAGCCTGCTCTTCCAGGAGCGGAAACTAGTAGAGACTTCACCCTGGGAGCCGAGGTTGCTGTGTGGGTGATGACGGGTTCGCTGATAGAAGCGCTAGACAAGGACTAAGTCCCACCCCTTTCAAGAGGACTCATTGGTGGAGGAGCTGGGTGTGGGGCCACCTGCAGGCTACATAAAGCGCTGGCCTGCACCTTTGGGGTTTGTAGTAGGTAACTCCTGAGCCAAGGTCAGATTTCTGGCGACAGGAGGCTGGGCTGCTTGTGGACATCGAGCTGGAGGTTTCCACATATACTGAGTCCCGAGTTGGCATCTCCAGGAGGAAGAGGGAGGTTTTAAGAAAGTAGTTTAAAAGCTGGGCATGATGGCACACGCCTATAATCCCAATACATGGGAGGCTGAGGCAAGAGGATCACTGTGAGTTCGAGGCCAGCCTAAACTACATAGTGAAAACTTGCCTCAGAAAAGCAAAACACAGGAGTATTTCGCTTTCGGATGCTCCCTACTGGTTGAGTAACTAGCTATTGTCTCCCTTTTCTGCACTTTCAAATAAACCAACTTAGTAAAAATGAGGCAAAGAAATAAAAATAATAATAAAAAAAGTACCTTGAAGTGTTTGAGTTCCCGTTTCATCTTGCTCTAAATCCAAGTTTTTTTGGATTTGATGTCATGTGTTTCTCTGGGCCTCATTTTCCCCTTTGTGGAGAGGTCAGTGGCCTTTCCAGATGTGTTTCGGTGCTGAGTGTTGAGGGCTGGAGGCAACAGGAGCAGTTAAGCCCTCTGCTGCTTTTCTTTCTTCTTTCTTTCTTTCTTTCTTTCTTTCTTTCTTTCTTTCTTTCTTTTTTTCTTGTCTTTTTTGAGACAGGGTCTTACTATGCAGTTCAGGCTGACCTTGAGCTCACTTTGTAGCCCAGGCTGGTCTCAAACTCACAAGGATCCTCCTACCTCAGCCTCCTGAGTGCTGGATTACAGGCGTGAGCCACTACGCCTGGGTTTTCTTTTGGTTGAGACAAGGTCTCACTGTCCAGGCTGAATTCAAGGCTGTGTCCACGGAGCGAAGAGCTCCAGGCCTGCTTGCCTGGTGCAAGGCTCTGCTGGGTGGGCTTCAAGCCCCTCTCAACCCGTGACATGTTCCCACTCTCATCAAGGCCCCCTAATAAATGTGCCTACAAGACACCCCCTGTCTAGGTCCTGGCTTGGCTTCCTGATCTAGGGTGGTGGGGTAAGGGGAGGGAGTTGTCAGGGTTGGACGCAAGCTCTGTACCAGCTCTGTCCATCACTTTCCATTAAGCCTGTTTCTCCACTGTAATGTCTCCTGTGGATGATGAGATCTCCAGCAGAGGGGTGGAATGAGCTGAGGGACACGCAGTTCTTGGAAGAGGCCTGGTACCTCTTGGAAAAAGCTCAGATGAAAGTTCAAAGGCAGTCTAGAAATGCCTTCAGGCTAAGCCTGTTTAATGGACTGCAATAAAAATAATATACTGATTTTTTTTCTTTTTTTTTTGCATCAGGGGTCACTCGGTAGATCACAATGACCTTGAACTCACTTTGTAGCCCAGGCTGGCCTAGAACTCTTAGTGATCCTTCTATTTCAGCCTCCCAAGTGCTGGGATAACAGGCATGTGCCATCATGCCTGGCTTGTACTGATTATTTTTTATTGTAATAGTATTTAATAATAACATTTGTAAACATAAACTTATCCAAAGACATACAAGCTCCTGTTGGTTGGGTTAATGAAAGACACTCAATATGCCATGCTGTCCTAGAAAAAATGGCCAGAGACCTCAGTTCTGTTGAAAAGAAAGGGCTCTGACACAGGAGGTAAGCAGCTTGTTTCTTCCTTACCAAACGTTCCAGTCATTTAGATTCTCAAACAGGACAATGACAGCTTTAGGTCCTTCACCTCCTCCTGGACAGCTCTACTGCCAGCTCTAAAACTGCGCTCCAGCACTGTTGCCAAAACCTGAGCCGGCCAATACTCCAGCACGCTTTGAGAGGAAGTTTGCCAGTGGAGCCTCTTGTACTGATTATTATAATACAGTTTTTCTCCCCAGAAAAACAGAACTCAAATAAGCAATGTGTGGTCTGTGGTGGTGCGTGGGCTTGGCACACGCAACGCCCTGCATGGGACTCCTGGAATTGCGCATGCGCACGCACGCACGCACGCACTTACATGTCTTGTTAGCAGAGTGGAGAAGGCTGCCCAACGAAGGTGGCCTGGGTATTGATGGAGTCAGCCTAGAGTAGTGATTAAGATTTTGTCTTTGGAGCCAAACAGTTTAAATTCGAATTCCACATGTCGGTTTGTTTAATCTCCCCATACCTCCGTATGGTTGCACCCATATTAACTACAATGGGAGCTGTGGGATTTACACGGGGAGGGGGGAGAGCTGAGATCATGGGCGTGTGTGACAGGTGAGGCCTGGGTGTGGTGACAGAGGAAACTGCACGGAGGGAACTGTGGCTTGGGGACAGGAAGGGCTGGGCCTGGGGAGGCACAAGGAGCACGGATGGCCCCACAGGCTCTTGGAGATGGCTCTAGGGGTCCGAGGTGAGAGCCCCTGGACTGAGGACTGTAGAGACCAAGCCAACAACTAAAAACTGTTTGGTTTTCAAACAGGTGACAGAGTCACACGCAGCTTCGGAGCCAAGAGTGGTCCTCCTGTCTCAGCTCTCAGCCACCTGCTTCCCTAACCTGGAAGCCGTGAAAGCTATGCCTTCCTGTGTCCTTCCAGAGAATCTAAACATACACGATCACATGTACATGTGTGTGTGTTTCCACATTTGATTGCTACTTGAAAAAATATCAAGTCATGAGGCTGCTGTCTCTGCAGCCCACCCTATGCCCCACTGGCTCACTCCCACCCTCAACTGCTGTTCAAGACTGCCACTGCTGTGCAGTCACCACCCAGTGCTATCTGGCCTTTGTCTCTGGTCCTTTGTGTGTGCGTGTGTGTTTGCGTGTGTGCATGTGTGTGTGTGTGTTATGGGACAGGGTCTCGATACTGGGGCTTAATATGTAGCCCAGGCTGGCCTCAAATTCATGGAGATCCTCCTGCCTCAGCCTCCTGAGTATTGGAATTGCAGGTGTGTGCACCAACACACCTGGCAGAAGTGTCTTTTGTCATGAAAGTCTCTGAGTTATCTGTAAGGAGAGTTTATGCCAATATAGTGACGAGTAGGGGCTGGTCATCAGAAAGACCTGTCTAGAGGGTGTGAAGTCAGGTGGGGAGGCCTGTGATAGACTGTAACCAGGAAGTGCTGGGAGGGAACCCAATCCTAGCTCTGCACATCTCCTGCATCTGGCTGTGCTGGCACTAAGTAAAAGCCTGGGTTCTATAAGCTTCCTGGCCCACTGTAAGAGAGGTGAGAGGTGGTGGGAGCCCTGATTGTGGTTGGAATTGAAGCGGGGCCAGCTCTATGGAATGGAGTTGCCATGTGGAGTCTGTACTAACTTGAAGAGTTCCTAGTGGAGCCAGGCATGGTACATGTCTATAATCCAAGCATTTGGAAGGCTGAGGCAGGAGGATCCCTGTGAGTTCAAGGCTGGCCTGAACTATATAGTGAGACCCTGTCTCAAAACAACAAAACAAAACATACTGGGTGTGGTGGCACATGCTTGTGATCCCAGCACTGGGGAAGATGAGGCAGGAAGATTGCCATGAGTTTGAGGCCAGCCATGAGTTTGGGCTATGTAGTGAGTTCAAGTTTAGCCTGAGCTGCATGCATAGTGAGAGACTCTGTTTCAAAAAACAAACAAAAAAGAAATGTAGTCTTTATTTCTTTTTCTTTTTGTGGAGCTGTGGAATGAACCAAGCCCTGTGCACACATTATGCAGAACTCTACCTCAGAGCCAGCACTGTGCTCATTTTGATTCATTTGTTGATATTGGAGAACTGGGATGGAAATCATATTGTGTGAAGTATCAGAAAATACCCTACACCAACTATGCATCATTTTTCATCCTTTTTTAAAACTCAAATGGTCAGAGTCCATGCATTCTGTTCTGTACAAATCAAAATATTTTGAAGATGATTTCTTACTCACACATCTCTTTTTACAGCTGTATTGTATTCCTCTGTATGGATGTACCATAACATGGTCCCTTACTGATTGACATTTAAGTTGCTTGGTGTAAAAACTGACTTCTGCTACTCCAAACAGGGAGTAGCTTTATACGGACAGTGTTAAAAAATAAGGAGTCAGGGGGCTGGGGATTTAGCTCAGCAGCATGAGCACCTGCCTTGCAAGCAGGCAGTCGTGAGCTCGATCCCTGGTACCGATAAAAACGAAAAAGACAAAAAAAAAATTTTAAAAAAATGAGTCACTTGTAGAATGGATTCTTAGAATTGCTTATCCAAGGGCCAAGCAAAATTATCCTCTTGATGATTTTGGGAGTCAAATGTCCCTCTGCCTACTCACCTCTCCACCCCTCCACCAGGGCCTAAGAAAGCCTGACTTCCAGAACACTCACCAACTAGGAAGGTGCTATGCTTTAAAAATTTTTGCCAAAGTGAAAAGTGGGAAACAGTCTCTTAGTGAAGGTTTTCTTTTTTTCTGTTTATGAAACTTTAATTTGTATTTTTTTCTCTGTGTGAACTCAAGCACTTTTTCATGGGTGAGAGTCATGTCTCTTCTCTGTGATTTGCCCCTTTCTCCACTGACTATGGCTTCTGATTGCAATGAAAGTCCTTTAAGATACACATTCCAGGGCGAGGATGTAGCTCAGGGGTAGAGCACTTCCCTGGCCTGCATGAAGCCCTGGGTTCAATCTCAGTACTGAAAAATAAAGACATAAACTGTAAATGTTTTCTTTAATTAATCATCTTGACCTTGCTATGATTCACAGTATCATGAAAATAAAATTTTATGGCTTCTGGGTTTTGTGTCATGGTTTAAAAAAATACTCTTTCCTCATTGAGGTGACTGTATCTTGTTGGTTAATTCATTAATTTTATGGCTTCTGAGTTTTGTGTCCTGTATGTGCGTGTGATGGTTTTAAAAAGGATCCTTTCTACACTGAGATGATTACGTCTTGTTCATTAATTTATTTTGGGGGCTTTTTTATTTTTATTTTTATTTTTATTCTTTTGGTGGTGCTAGGGAAGGGACCCAGGGCCTCACACACATGAGGCCAGTGCTCTACTATTGAGCACTTGTTTGTTTAGAATTTCTTCTAAGATACAAATTATGAATCCAATTTTATTTTTTGTAGATCATTTCCTTTTCTTGATGTCTGTTTTGATTTTTTAATTTCATTTTGAGAGAAAGCCTCACTATATAGTTCAGGCTGGGCTTGAACTTACTATGTAGCCCAGGCTGGTCTCAAACTCCTGGCAATCCTCCTGCCTCAGCCTCCTGAGTGCTGGGATTATAGGTGCACACCACCACACCTGTGGGCTTGGCTTTTTTGAAGCAAAGTCTCCCAGTGTAATCCAGGATGGCCTTGAATTCACCATGTGGCCCGATTTTAGTACATGTGCTGCCCACACAGGCACCACCATGTAGCCCAGCCTGATCTCAAATTTGTAGCAATCCTCTAGCCTCAGCCTCCCAAGTGCTGGGATTACAGGTCACCATGCCTCACTTGTTTGTTTTTGAGATTGCTTTTGAGATGAGGCTGGTTTTGAACACCTGGACTCAAGGGTAATCCTGCCTCAGTCTCCTGAGTATCTTGAGGACTGCAGTCCCAAGCCACTGTGCCAGGATTCAAGCTCTTTGATGGACTCATCTTTTCTCAATAAATTTGAAATTTTTTTATCATCTCCTACATTCTCATGGGCATTTGGATCTATTTCTGGATTTCTGTATCTCCCATTGATCTATGCTATGGAGTCTCAACCTCCCTTGAACATAGATCCTCCTGCCTCAGCCTGCCTTGTACCGGGATTACAGGCATGTGCCACCACTCCTGGCTTAGTTTTCTATGTGAACTTAAAATCAGCTCTTCTAGTGTTTCACTCCTCCTGCAAGGAAAAAAAAAAGTAATTGTAATAAATGTATGGATTGGGGCTGGGGATTTAGCTCAGCGGCATAAGCGCCTGCCTTGCAAGCAGGCAGTCGTGAGTGAGTTCAATCCCTGGTACCGATAAAAACGAAAACGAAAAAAAAAGTGTATGGATTAAGGGAGAACTGTCATCTTTAAATGCATCATTTTTGTTTGTGTGTTTTTATAACACTGGGGACTGAACCCAGGGCCTCACACGTGCTAGGCAAGCACTCTGCCACTTAGCTATACCCTCAGCCCTTTAAAATCTTTTTTTAAAATGTGAGACAGTCTTGGTAAACTACCAAGAAACAGCTGCAGTTCTGCCTCAGCCTCCTGAATGGCTGAGATTACAAACCTGTGTTTCACGCCTGACTACACAGCCTCTTTGTATCCAAAACAAGGTGTTTGCCCCCTGGCTGCTACTTCTTACCTGTAGCAGCCAGTGACCCATGTGTAGATTTGTTCTGGGCACCACGTCTGTTGTGCACCCCCAGGAATCTCTCAATGGATGGGGAAGCCCCAAAGATGCTGCTGCCAAAATCTGTTTTCTGTTGCTATAGCTGAGTACCACAGACTCAACAATCTTTAAAGAACAGAAGTTTATGTGGCTTCCAGTTTGGGAAGCTGAGCTATCAGAGCATGGTGCTGGCACTGGTGAGGGCCTCCTCACATCACAGAGCGGAGAAGAGCATGGCACAGGGCAACATGGCAGGCATGCTCATATTGCTTCCTGTCGCAAAGGCAATAATGCCATGGTGGGGGCCCCCACCCAAATTCCAACCATCTCCCCAAAGCCCCACTGCCAAATACCATTACCAAAGGAACTGGGTGATTACATTTCCAACATGTGAAATTTGGGGGACAAATTTAAACCATAGCATCTCCCTCCTAACCCCTGATCTACCCTCCTCATTAATCCCACGTGTGTGCACAAGATTAAGGGTTCAGAGTTGTCTCCATCCTGTCTCCCAAGAGTCCTATCTAATCAGCGTTGCTTTTATTGCTTTTAACCGCTTTATTGAGGTAGAAATGACACACAATAAACCATGCTCATTCACTTTTGATATACATATAGTCCTGTGATCATCAAGATATAATGAATATATATATCACCCCCCCCAAAGAAAATTTTCCTCAAACACCTTGGTAATCTCTCTCATCCTTTTCATCCTCCAGTCTCCACAGACAACTACTGATATGATTTCTGCTAGTAGATTAGTATGCATCTGTTACAATCATTATATAAAGAGTTAGAGTATGTAGTTTTCTCTGACTTGCACTCAGTAGTATTCTGGGATTCATCTGTTGCTCATGTTCATTGCTGAGTAGTATTCCATTGTATGCATATACCATAGATATTTGGTATGTTTCTCACCTATTGAGGATTTGTTCCTTCTAATTTTGGGCTATTGCAGTTAAAGTAAACTGCTATGTACAGGTCTTTGAATGCTTTCATTTCTCTTTGGAAAAGCTTATGGGCAAAATGTCTGGGTCATACCCTAATGTCTGTGGTATTGTTTCTGGTTTTTCTTTTTCTTTGTCTTTATGAGACAGGGTTTCACTACACAGTTCAGACTGATCTCAGGCTCACTTTGTAGCCCAGTCTGGTTATGAACTTGCAATGATCCTCCTGCCTCAGCCTCTCAAGTGCTAGGATTACAGGCCTGTGTCACCACACCCAGCTAGTTTTTGGTTTTTATCTGTGGTTCTGGCTCATAACTCTCTCGATAAGGCAGATCACAGAATCTAGAATTCCTCATCCTCAAAGTAGGTCCTACTGCCACAGCGAGCAGAAGCACCAAAATGACCCCAAATTTGGACACAGATGTATTTACATCTATGGGCACTGATTGGGATCATTCCCAGAATATCAGGCCCTGGTATCTGGTGGTCTAGGGTTTTTGTATGATGCACCAGCAAGAGGTACAAAAGGGAAACGAACAGCCTGGCTGTTCCTCTGATTAGCAAGGAGAGATCATCAGTTACAAGGATAGACTAATGATCATCAGTCTTGAAGCTTGGTACAATGGTACAATCAGGCACCCCACGTTTGGTTATGTTCTCATGGTTACAGGGTCAAGAAAGCAATTAGAGAGCGGTTACAGTTTCAAAAGAACCACATTTTATTTATTTACTTATTTATTTTTGGTACTGGGGATCCAATTCACGACCTCATGCTTGCCATACTTACACCGCTGAGCTAAATCCTCAGCCCAAGAATCAAGTTTTAAAAGGAACAATTTCTCTTGTACAGTTTTTCCTTTTCACTATACTCTAATCTTCCCTTGCCTTCCTGCCTGGGTGCTGGCCAGAAAGACATTTCCCGGCCTGCCTTGTTGCAGACCCTGACACCCCACTTCAGAAGGGCCCCGCCCCCTGCAAGAGGAGGAAGATGGCAGAGCCCAAGCCCCTGAGCACACAAGGGCTGGCTCTTCCCACAGCGATAGAGCAGCCTGAGGGGTTTTGTTTGTTTGTTTTACTAGGAATTGAACTCAGGACCTTGCACTTGCCAGGCAGGCACTTATGCCACCGAGCTGCATTCATGGCTCCAGACTGTTTTGTGCAGTCAGTTTTTTTTTTTTCTTTTAAAATCTTAGGCCCTGGTGTCAGTGCAGTCAGTTTATACATCTGTCTGTGCTTCAGGAGCACCGACATAGTGCCCATGAGCACTCAAAAAGATGGGTTTGGGAGCTTCCAGGCAGTGACTGCACGGCGGCTCCTGAAGAGGGGTGGGTGCAGAGGAGGCCCGCCTTCTGGGTGTCTTCGTCTGCACCTTCATAACTTCCTTTACAGTACACTGGTGAAGTGTTTCCCTGAGTTCTGAGAGCTTCTCAAAAATTTAACTCAGCTAGTGTCCTCTGCAGAGCTGGCATGTGGGGGACCTCACACATGTGAGTTCAGAAGCCATCTGGATTGTGAATGCTTAGGAGGGAAAGCAAATCTAAGTTTGTTTTTTCTCTCCTAAGTGTAAGTTTAAATGCTCTTGCCTTCTGTCTTTCTAAGACTGTAGCTTGGTGTGCTGGGAAACTAGAAGTAGGATCTTTTCAAGTTCAGCCTTAGATACACAGGAAGAACGTGCCCTCCCCCAACCAGTCAACAAAGTCTAGAACCATTTTGTTTTTTGAGATAGAGTTTAATTATGTAATTTATAATTTAGGCTAACCTTGAACTCACTAAGTAGCCTAGGCTGGCCTTGCATTTGTGGAATTCTCCTGCCTCAGCCTCCCAAGTGCTAGGATTATAGTCATGTGTCACCACACCTGGCTAGAACCATTTTAGTTTGCAGAAAAACTGCTGAGAAAGAACAGATTTGCTTTCTGTCTCTTCTCTCTGACAGTTTTTCCAGTGATGAACATTTTGCTTTAGTGTAGCATATTCATTACAACTGAAACAATTCCGATACAATATTAACTGAAGTCTATAATTAACATTAATTTTTTCTTTTTGAGACAGGGATTCATTATGCAGTTCAGGCTGTCCTTGAACTCATTTTGTAACCCAGGCTGTCCTCACCCTCTGCAATCCTCCTAACTCAGCCTCTTCCTGAGATTACGGGCGTGGAGCCACCACACCCAGCTATATTTTCATTCTTAGTGCTGTCCTGTCTTGGGGTTTGGAAAAGTGTAAGTCAGGCATCCCATTAGAATGTCACAGAGCAGTTTCACAGCCCTACAAAATGCTCTGTGTCCCATGCATTCATCTTTTTCTTTCCCTTTTGGTCCCAAGTCTTGCCTCTTCCAGAGTAGGATGTCCAAGAGTTAGGATCATTCAGTGTGCTGCTTTTGCAAAAGGCTTCTTTTAATTTTTATAATTTGGATCTCAAACGTTCCCCAAAGGCCAGCTGATGGGCTTTTGGGGAGTTATTAGATTGTGAGGTCTCTAACTTTATCTATAGAGACAATAATTTGATGGTACTATTGGGAGGTGAGGGAACAGGAAGTAGGCTTCGGTGAAGACAGCGGGTCACAGGGTATGCGCCACCTTGATCACTGTCTCTCGTCCCCAGCTGCTTCCTCTCTGGCTCTTTCCTCCTCTCTGTGCTTCCCAGCTGCTCTGCAGTGGGCAGCTCTCCTCCATCGTGGTCTTCCACAGTGAGGTTTCTGCCTTGGAGTTAGCTAACCATGGACTGAAGCCTCTGACACCATGAGCCAAACTAAACCTTTCCTTCTTTTAAGTGTTGTTCTCAGTTATTTGGTCACAGCAATGAAAAGCTGACCAGCACAATTCAGAAGATGCACATAAGGTTGTGGGGTTGCTCTGTCTTTCCATATTTGATAACTCATTTCTTTTCATCTTTGAACTTTAAAGAAATGATGCTGGGGCTCACTTCAGGGTGCCCAAGTTTGTGGGTAGCATGAGCTGTGAGAAATACAACTCCTCACACTAGCAGCAGCGCCTCCTGCACATCAGCTGCTTGCAAGGGGAATAAGATCATAGTCTACCAGGTCTGCCGCATGCCCCCCTCTCCCCAAAGAAACAAAAACCCAGTCACCTCCCTAGCTGGTGCCAACAGCTGTCCCTGGACATCTGCAGTGTTTTCTATTTGAATGTCCTCCCTCCCTTCTTGCCCCAACTCACTCCTATGCACTTCCTCCTTTCCTGGGACAAATCTGATCAAATAGAATGAAACCCAACCTGCCTCCCACTGGGCTCTGCCACTGTCCCCGCCAATTTCTGAGTCACTAGAGCCTGCTCAGTGTGTACACCCTGGGCGCAGCCCTCACTACTGCTAAATAAATAAATAAATAAGGCCAGGGGACGTGGCTCAGTGATTACAGTGCTTGCCTAGTATGCACAGGGCTCTGGCTTCCATCACCAGCAGAGAAAAAGCAGCAGCAGACAAACATGATCAGTCCCCCCAGGGTGCTGCGCCTCCTCGAAGGCGATTCCCCCGCCTGGCATCGCCCCACCCCTGCCACGACTCCCTGGCTCTGATGAATACTGACCCTGACACCTGGACCAGAGCCAGCGGGGCCTTTCCTTTACACCAACACCTCTTCCTCCCAGCAGATTTTCTGAGTAACACCTGGTTCAAGGTCTGCCCATCAGAGGGGGGCCAGGGCTGAGGTATTCACCATCCTATGCCCAGGTGAGGCCAATGCCCCGGACATGTAGAAGACAGGCAGTGCCCATGAGGGACAGTTAAATGTAGTCAGTAGGATGACAGGTTTGTGAAAGGCACTGTGGGGACTGTAAAGGCGCAGGCTGTGGGGAGGAGTGCTATCTGCCGTGTTTCTAGGACATCTTTCCTCTCTCAGACCTCTGCTCCCCGCAGTGCAGCCATGAGAAACTTGCAGGTGCATGTCCCCCAGTCTCTGCCAGTGACGGCAAACCTTTTAGAGCTTGCAGTGGGAAGACATAGCCTGCTGGGGCATGCGTGCCATAAGTTTGCCACCATTGTGTCTAGACCTTGACTTTGCTGTTCTTTCTCCTAGGAAAACCCTTCCCAGCACCTAATGATGTCTATGGAAATCAGGACTTCCTTGATTCCCAAACTGCCCAGGGAGAATCCCTTCTCCCAGCAAGGACTGATTTGCCTTAGCCCTGGGTCTCTGCCATGGAAAGAATTCCCTCAGAAAGGTTTAGTTAGGCTCTGACCCATAAAAGTGGGGCACATGCCTATACTCCCAGCACCCCAACACTAGGAGGCTGAGGCAGGAGGATTGCTGTGAGTTTCATGAAAGCCAGGAACATAGTAAACCTCTGTCTCAACAAACAAACAAAAAGATCTGACACATAAATGCTTACTGGTGGAGGTCAAAGAGCCCTGAAGCTGTTTCCAGCCCTGACTCACCAGGTGAGAGAGTTCAGCAAACACACTTTAGACGCCTCAGTTTGCCCTATCTGCAACCTTGGGGTGAGAGTGGGGTCCCATTACATCAGTGGTTGTTACCTTTTGGGGGATCACAGGTCCTGAATTGCAGGAAGACTATGCACAATTTCCGGAGCAGGCTGCTTGTCTATACACCACATAGGGGCTCCAAGCAGTTGCTAGGCTGGGACTCCAATACCAGTGAAGAACCCTAGGCTGGGGGGGGGGGGGTCACTCCAGGGCCTTCCCACATTTTGATCCTCCAACCTCTTGCGGTGTGCCAGGGCCAGGTGGAATCAAGAGTCCGAGGTGGGCCTGCAGCCCTGCTCAAAGCCCCTGTAGCCCTATCCCGGGGTCACTGTCCTGGGGTCACGCAGCACGAGGGAGTTTCCTGGTGCATGAAACCCCAGGACCCTGGAGAAAGAGAGGCTCTCGCCCTTGCCACTGTCCACCCCACGGAAAGCGAAACCGGAGAGAACGGGGCTGAGCAGGGCAGGGACTTACCTAAGGTCACACCGCGAGCTCCGGCCTGGAGGGCCGGCTTCCCGAACCCCGCCCGGACGCATCGAGCCACTGAGGCGGTGGCTGAGCTCCGGGCCTGCGCCCCGGGGCGCGGGGTGGGTGGGGGCGGGGAGCGGGCTAGGAGCCGGGGCGCTGCGGGGCCGGACCGGGGAGGGGCAGCCGGGAGAGAGTCCGGCCGGGGTCCGCCCACCGCCGAGCAGCTGCTGCAGCCCAAGGTAATCTCAGCCGGCCGGGCAGGGCCGGGCTGGGAGGGGCGAGGGCAGCTGCGGCCGCGCGGGCGAAGCAAGGGGCGCAGCGCGTGGGCGCGGGGCTGCGGCGCCGATCGCCCCGGAATGCCCGCGCGAGCGCAGCGTGGGGTGCGGCCGCCCGCCCTGCAACCCGAGCCGCTGCCCCTGGTTAAAAATACCCCCTGCCCTGCGCTGCCCTCCCCTCCCCCGCCTGCCCTTCAGTCCCGTCCCCCGCCCCACCCCGGCTGGCGCTGGCCCCTCCCCGGGGACAACCCTGCCCCGGGCGAATCTGTCCCGGCGAGCTGGCCCCGGGCCTGCCGCGGGAGGGGCGGGAGACACCACGAGTGCGAGATAGTCAGAGCCAGGGCCGGGGAGATAGGCGAGAGCGGGACGCGGGTCCGCAGCCGGAGGAGCAGGGGAGGAGGGACGAGGGCGGAGGGAGAGGCGGGGAGGCGGCTCTTCCTGGTTGGGCCCTGACCCGAGCTGCTACCCGGGAAGCCAGCCGCGGGGACCTCCGTGACGCCCCGGCCTCCCCCCAGGTAAGGGGCAGGGTGGGCGGGCCGCGCGCCTGGAGTCCCGGCCTCCGCTCCGGGCAGAGGGGCTGCCCCAGGTCGGCCCTGCTCCGGGCTCGCGCCGTGCCTAGGGCAGTGGCGGGCGCGGGCTCCAGCCTGGGCTCTGCAGTGTCCCCAGGGGCTGGGCCGGGGCCCGGCAGCTCCGATCTCCAAGTCTGTCGGGTGCTGGGGGGTGTCCTGAGGAGAGGGACCCTTTTTGCCTGGGGTTTTTAGTCACTAAGCCAAGGAAGGAACCAGTGAGCTAGGAAGGAGTTCGTCTCATCTGAGGAGGGCTTAACCCGAGGGCGCACAGAGTCAGAGACCTTCCCTCCCCTCCCCCTCCATCTTCCAGTTCTGAGTTAAGGGCTCCGCCCTATGCACCTGGCTGACCACAGAGCTGCCGGCCAGGACTCTGGGAGCCAAGGTGGTCAGAATACCTGGGGAAACTGGGGAGCCCTTTCCTGGATTCTGGGAGCCCAGAGCCCTTAGCTCTGTGAGGAGGGCAGAAATGGGGTTGGGGAGGAAGGGAGGGTAGAAGGAGCAGGAGAAGGTCCCCTGCAGACCCCTTGTCCCACAGGATGGCGGAGGAGCTCATCACCCCCGTGTACTGCACCGGGGTGTCAGCCCAAGTGCAGAAGCAACGGGCCAAGGACCTGGGCCTGGGGCGCCATGAGAATGCCATCAAGTACATGGGCCAGGATTTCGAGCAGCTCCGGCTGCGGTGCCTGCAGAGCGGGACCCTCTTCCGAGATGAGGCCTTTCCCCCAGTGCCCCAGAGCCTGGGCTACAAAGAGCTGGGTCCCAACTCCTCCAAAACCTATGGCATCAAGTGGAAGCGCCCCATGGTGAGAGGGGCTCCGATGACCCCCATCCTGGGGGGTCAGTGGGGGCTGGGTGGCTGGGAGCCATCTCTAGAGGGACTGGCATGGGGACAGGACTCTGGGTGTTGCAGGAGCTGGTGTCAAGCCCCCAGTTCATCGTGGACGGAGCCACACGCACAGACATCTGCCAGGGAGCACTAGGTAGGCCCCCAGGGGTGGGCTCTGGGTGTTTTTCCACCACAGTTCCCCATTCCCGCTCCTTTGGGCTCTGCCCCAGCCCTTCCTTCTTGCAAGCCCCGACAGGCTTTGGCTATCAGCACTGGGGCTGGTTTGCCCAGTTCCTGGATCTTGAATGTAAGTTGTGAGGCATTCAGGGCCACCCCACCCGGGGTACCACTATGGTACCCATGAGTGCACATGCACACACACACCCCACTAAAGCAGAGCCACGTAGCAGGCCTGACATGGGTCTTCTCCATGCCAGGGGACTGCTGGCTCCTGGCTGCCATCGCTTCCCTCACTCTGAACGACACTCTTCTGCACCGAGTGGTTCCCCATGGCCAGAGCTTCCAGAATGGTTACGCTGGCATCTTCCACTTCCAGGTAAAGGGCCTGGGCCCCCTGGGAGGAAGGGCAGCAGGCAGTGGAGGAGATGGGGAAGGAGGCCCTGGCACTCTGGGGTTAGGGTGACGGGACCACACCCTGCAGGGGGAGCCCTCCCTCTGGCAGGTATTTGCCCTGGCCGTGCCCCTCCAGTCATGTGTGAGATGGCTGGGCAGGTATTTCTGCTGGCAGTTCTCCTGGGTGGTTGTGCATATCAGGGAGAAAGTGGAGGCATAAAAAGACTTCTGTGTTGTATCCTGTGGCACAAATTTTCTTCCTCGCTGGGGCCTCAGTGTCTGCCCCTGAAAAAGGAGAGTCCTGCTGGGAAAAACGTGACTATTCCCCACTTGTCAGGCCTGCCATCTCCCAGCCTGTGACAGAGCCTGACAATAAAGACCCGGGAGTAAGTGTGTTCACACCAATTCCTCCTGATCCTGTGACAGGGCCTATTTTTAAGTCATACAAATGAATTCTCAATGAGCTGAGCTTGGGACTCACCTGCCCTGGTGGGCCTTGCCATCCAGGACTCTACCACAGGTGTCCCCTTCATTACCATGCTATTCTCCACCTTGCACGGGGACAGTGGTCTATTGCGGCCACTGCACTGAGCCACATTAGCAGAGGACCACACCTGCCCAGCTATGATCCGCAGGGGCGTGGTCTTCCCGCCCCTTTCCCCGCCTCCTCCTCCTAGGTGTCCAATCCGTTCCTCCCAGGCTTCTGATTAGCCGGTTCAATATCCTTCCCCCCTCCCCCACACCCTTTTCCCGGTCTCTTATTGTTCTTGGTGGGCTTGTATTCTCCTTGAGTCTTGGCGGTCTGGGCACAGGTCCTTACTCCAAGCGCCCTGAGCTTGATCCCCACCCCGACTGCTGCCCTGGGAAATCTCTAAGCAAATCCCAGGATTGCTGGGAACGGGCCCCAAGCATCTTGTGATAGAAGGATCTAGGTACCACATTTTCATTCCGCATCTGTTTATAGCCGTGAATGGTTACTTTTTAATTTCGGCAGCAGGAAAATAAACATTACCAGGAGCCCCCCCCCCCCTTGCTTCTAGCAAGGAAATCCCATCGCAGAAGACTTCTTTCAAGAGTGTCTTTAGTTGTGCTGTCCTAGCTGCCTCCATGTTCAGAATCCATTCCAACTGTCTGCCTTGCATGCTCGTTTTGACTTTGGGGAAGAGCCAGAGTTGCGCAGGGCCGATCCAGTGAATTAAGTAGATGAGGATACACCGCAGTGTTTTTAGGAGCCCGTCTTCCCTTTGGAGGACACAAGGCAGCGGCGCTCACTGCATCTCTGATCACACCCTGTAAAGACCCCAGGCAAGAGGACTCACAGAACTGCATATAAACAGTCACTGCCTATTTTGGTCACGGTGTGTGCAACGTGCTTGTGCGTGCTCATGCGCACATGCGTGTACCGCCATACCTAGCTCTAGAATGGAGCGGAAAGAGGAAGGCACAGGGCTCAGTGTGGGATTGGTTTGAGCAGAGCCAGGTCAAAGGGCTTTGCATCCTCTCTACCTTTGAGTTTGTACGTAGGTCTGTTTTAGGTCTGAGCTAACTTTACCTGAATGACATTGTTTCACTTTCCGGTGGAAAAGTTACTGTTGCCCACTTTAATGGGAAGGAACAGGGGTCCAGAGCAGATAACTTATCCAGGACCCAGTATCTATATAAACTTCCCTCTGTGTCTGCAAGGGTGTGTTTGCAGTCCTCATGGATGCTCAAGTCCTTTACATATAAACTTTTGAAATTTGCATATAACTTACACACACCCTCCACATCCTCCTGTGCTCGATATCTCTGAATGACTTATACCAAATACAATGCAGATGCTATTCGAATACTGTACCTGTTATACTGTATTGTTTTGGGAATAATAGCAAGAAAATATTGATGCTTTGGGGATGGGGTTGTATTGGGACTCCAACCCAGGGCCTGGCATTTAGCTAGCCAAGTGCTGTACCACTAAGCTGCACACACAGTCCCTCCCCCTTTTTAATTTTTAAGTCAGAGTCTTATTAAGTTGCCTAGGCAGGCTCGAAATTTCAGTCTTCCTACCTTAGTCATCTGAATAGCTGGGACTGCAGGTGCCACCGTGCCTAGCAGGGTCTGGGTTTTGTTTTGGTTGGTACTGAGGGTTGAATGCAGGACTCCTGAACTGAGATGTGTCCTTCCTGCCCTTCTTTGACACAGGATTCTGCTCAGTGGCTAAGCTATCCAATCTGGGCTTGAACTCACAGTCCTTCTGTCTCAGCCTTGCAGAATGCTGACATTACAGGTGTGTGTTTATACCTGGCTGTCAGCCCTTATTTTTTGAGCCAGGAACTCACTAAATTGCCCAGACAAGACTTGAGCTTGTGATTCTCCTGCCTCAGCCTCCCAATGTGTTTGGCTTATGAGATGTGTACTACTGAGCTTAGCTCAGTTGTATTTTTTTTTTTTTAAATACAGTAGTATTTTCTATCTGTAGAATGATTGATTCTGTAGTTAAATCAGGTGGTTGAATCTATGGATGTGGGACCTGTGAATGACTGATTATGTGGCCATGTAGATGTACCCAGTACACATCAAATACATACATAGTACATATGTGTTATATATGTCTCTAATATATGTGACCTTGAAGCACGCAGCTACTATGCTTCCCCAAAATAAGACCTAGCTGGATAATAACCAGCCTTGAAAACTGAGATAAAAAAATCCCAGCCCCAGTCAGCCTGTCTTGGCCTTACCTGCCTTTCCAGAGTAGCTGGTGAGCAAGACAGTAGTGATGGTAGGGAAGGGAAGGACAGGCTCTTTGGGGCTGGCATTTTTTTGTGTTGGTTTGGTTTAGTTTGGTTTTGAGACAGGGTCTTGCTATGCAGTTCAGGCTGGCCTCAAGCTCACTTTGTAGCCTAGATTGGTTTTAAACTTGCAACAATCCTCCTGCCTCAGCCTCCCAAGTGCTAGGATTATAGCTGTGCACCACCACCCCCAGCCAAATCTCTAGTTTTCAAGGCTGATTATGTTCCAGCCAGGACTTATTTTCAGGGGAAGAGGGTAGTAAGTGGCAGAGCTGAGGGAGGAACTCTGCTTGGGGAATCCCAAAGCAAGTGGTCACTGTGCCCTTCCCCCACAGCTGTGGCAGTTTGGGGAATGGGTGGACGTGATCGTGGACGACCTGCTGCCTACCAAGGACGGGAAGCTGGTGTTCGTGCACTCTGCCGAAGGCAGTGAGTTCTGGAGTGCCCTGCTGGAGAAGGCCTACGCCAAGTGAGTATAACCTAGGCAACAGCTTCCACCCCCACACCAGGGCCAGGCACACCGGACCGTCTTACCTGGTCTCACTTGATGCCACAGCTCTGACCTGGAACTGCCCACAGGGTAAACGGCAGCTACGAGGCCCTGTCAGGAGGCAGCACCTCAGAGGGCTTTGAGGACTTCACAGGCGGAGTCACCGAGTGGTACGAGCTGCGTAAGGCGCCCAGTGACCTCTACCAAATCATCCTCAAGGCTCTGGAGCGGGGCTCCCTGCTGGGCTGCTCCATCGACGTGAGTGTGCCCAGCATGTCACTCGTGCCCTGCCCTCGCACCTGGCCTGGGATGCAGCAGTTTCTTGTCCCAGCCTATGCTCTGCTCAGGTCCTGCCTTTCACTGCTGCCCGTCCCTGCCTAGTGTCATTCCTGCCCCTTCTCCGGCTCCATCCCCAGGCCTCAGGCTTAGACTCCTCCCCAGACTCGCTCCATGTCCTCCACAGTTCACTGGCCTCTGGTTCACCTCTTGCTTGGTCTCTTCCCCTGCCCACCACTGCCTGTCCCTGTCCTCCCTGTGTGTCACCCTCTTCGGCTTGGCCCTTTCCACCACCATCTCCAGACCTCGCCTTCCCGAGTCCTAGATCTCAGACCGTCACTACGCTCCTTGGCCCTAACTCCATTTCTCTCCTTCCTCACCTGTTGGCTCCTTTCTCCCCCACACTGCTGTCCCTCCGGGGAACCCCGTGCATGGCTGTCTATGTACACATGTGCATGTTCAGGCCTCTGCTAGTCAGTAACCCTCTGTGAGTTGCCTAGATGTTTCCAGTGGCCATGTTGATGGGTACCCGGGCTCCCCCAGGCTCCAAAACTGAGGGTCTGCATGAGGATAGAAAAGATGGGAACAGGGTCTCTGCCTGCCACCCCAACAACTGCTGTATGTGCAGGGGACACTGCCCCAGACCCACGAGGGCTTCATACATGTGCATGTGTCTTCCTGCAGATCTCCAGCGTCCTGGACATGGAGGCAGTCACCTTCAAGAAGTTGGTGAAAGGCCATGCATACTCCGTGACCGGGGCCAAGCAGGTAGTGACCTGGATAGGGCCTGCCCTGCAGGGCAGTCCTGCTTCCTGGCCCATACTGACCTCCCTGGAGCCTGTCGAGAGCTGTGGGAGGTGCCTGTTCCCCCTTTGACCTCCTGCAGCATCTGTTTCTCCCTGGGGACTCCCAACCCGAGATGCTCACCACAGCTCACCTGATTGCCTGTGAATCAGTGCACAGCCTCCTCCCTGGCTGTGAATTACTGGGGACAGGCTTTTTGGCTTTAAGGGTGTTGTGTGTGTGTCGGTGTGCACGCACACATGTGTGCCTGCAGCCTGAGCAAGCTGTTGAGGTTCATGCCGGTCAGAAACTGGGTGCTGACGGGCGCTTTGGGGAACAGGTGAACTACCAGGGCCAGATGGTGAACCTGATCCGGATGCGGAATCCCTGGGGCGAAGTGGAGTGGACTGGAGCCTGGAGTGACAAGTGAGGGGCAGGCGGGGCATGGCCTGGGGAGGACAGTGGAGGCTCCTGGGTGACCCTGACATTCGTGCCTGAGGCTCTGCCCCCAGGATAGACTGGGGATTGACCAGAGGGGCTTTACGAGCTGGGTCAGCCTGGGGTATGATCAGGGGTCCACCTTGGTCCTGCTGAGACGCTGCCCTGTGAGAAGCTGGGCTCGAGATCACAGGCCAGGGTGGACAGGGTCCCAGGACAGAGGCCAGACAGGTTGGTGCCTGCCAGCCTTGACTGTGCCCTGCTCTCCACAGCTCTTCCGAGTGGACTCAAGTCGACCCGCACACACGGGAGCAGCTGCGGGTGAAGATGGAAGATGGGGAGTTCTGGTGAGCAGCACTCTACCGACCCAGCCGCCTCTTATCCCCCACGGTGCGGGTGGCCCGGCCCTGCGGTTCACCTCTGCCCTGACCCTAGGATGTCCTTCCGGGACTTCATGCGCGAGTTCACCCGCCTGGAGATCTGCAACCTGACGCCCGACGCACTCAAGAGCCGGACCCTGCGCAACTGGAACACCGTGTTATACGAGGGCACCTGGAGGCGCGGGAGCACCGCTGGCGGCTGCCGCAACTACCCAGGTGACTATAGAGGGCAGACATGGTGCTGTTGGTGCCTCAGTTTCCCCACTGTAGCACACTGGTCGTTGTGCATGTTAGGCCCTGGAGTTCGCAGTGCATTTACACTGTCTTCACCTCCATCTTGCTTTTTCCCCTTACCCAGGTTAGGTTAGCGTCATATTTTTGGTGGTGGTGGTAGTAGTGGGGATTAAATCCAAGGCCTTTGTACCAAGTTGTATCCCAGCCCTTGTTTATTTTGAGACAGGATCTCACTAAGGCACTAAGTTGCCCCGGCTGGGTTTGAACTTGCAGTCCTCCTGCCTCAGCCTCCCTGAATGCTGGGGACCACTGCACCTAAGAGTTGTCATTTTGATTTTGTTCCCTGCAAGCATTCAGGTTCTTGCCCGCTTTTCCTCTGTTCCTGTTACCCGACATGAACACCATCCAGGCTGAGCCCAGTTCTTCCCTGGCTCCAAGTCCCTGACTGTGGTTGGAGAGAAATCTACACAGCACAACCAAGTTTCCCCTGTAAATTGGTAGCCACAAACCTCAAATGAGTACTTTGCAGCCAGTGTGGTGACACACAGTTGTAATCCCAGCAGTCTGGGAGGCTGAGGCAGGAGGATGACAAGTTTGAGTCTAGCCACGCAGCCTGGGAAATCTGGCAAGATCTGGTGTCAAAAAAAAAAAAAAAAAAAAAAACCAAAAAGCCAAAGCTCTGCAGATAGCAGGGACCTCTGAGCAGCTAAGTACAGTCCTCAGCCCTTCTGCTGGGAATTAGCGCCTACCCAGCGCTCAGCCTGTCTCTTTCCTTACCCTCAGCTGTGCACCCAGCCTTCTGCCTTGGTGCAGGAGACCTCTCCTGCAGGGCCCTGCTTTGTTGGGGTGCAGAAAGTGCTGGAGATTGGACCCACAGCCTTCTCTCGGAGCTCCATGCTCAGCTGCTTTTGTTTGGTGTTTTGAGGGTCTCCCTAAGCTGCCCAGGTGGTACAAGAGCTCTGTCCTCAGGCCACTGCAAGACACTTTGTAGTCCACACGCCAAGCCCATCTGCCTCTGATCTGCCTGTGTGCACCTTGCCCGTCCTTCCTGCCGCCTGCCTGGCAGTGCCACAGAACTGTCCCCGCTTTGGGGAACTCACTTTGCTCCGGAGCCCATCCTGCCTGCCCCCCAAAAGTGTTCTGCTCCTTTGTCCCTCACCTCTCACTCCTGTGTCGTTACGAAAAATCCCAGGTCTAAGAACACAGTGACCCGCTCCTGACTCAGCCTCCCCATCCTGGCTTCTGCTTCCCTTCCAAACAAAACTGCTTGCGAGTTGCCACCCAGCACTTTCCTTCCAGGCGGCTTTTATCCCCCCACATCAGTAAACACCGTTTCCTGTGACTGAGGAGTCCGCGCTTCTGCAGCGTCAGCGCCATAGTGCACTGGCCCTGCCACAGCTCATTGTTCTGCCCCTTGGTATTTCCTTCTGCGACAGTGCACTGAGCTGGGTGTAGTGGCACACACCTGTGATCCCAGCACTTGGGAGGCTGAGACAGGAGGATGGAGTTCCAGGCCAGCCTGGGCTACATAATGAGACCCTATTTAAAAAATAACTAAATAAATGCATACATGCAGGGTATAGTGTGTGCACTCCTGTAATCCCAGCACTCAGGAGGCTGAGGTAGGAGAATCATTCGCAAGTTCAAGACCAGCCTGGACTACAAAGTGAGTTCAGGGTCAGCCTGAACTGCACAGCGAGACCCACCTCAAAAAACAAATAAGTAAATACATAAGGAAATAAATACATAAGAAAAAAAGTACATTGATGTAATTTGCAGTATCCTTGGAAGAAGTACTGCTATTGAACAGGGCAAATTCCTTCTTGGAGAGCCGCTTAGCTATTCTTGTCTCTTGTTTTTTCATGTGACAGTAGACTGGCTTTATGGTGTCCTGTCTAGAGACCCTTAAAACACCAAACAAAAGCAGCTGAGCATGGAGCTCAGAGAGATGTATGGTGTACATTATTTGAGGGTCTGAGGTGCAATTCAGTGGCATGCATAGGGCCCCAAGTTTGATCCTCAGCACTGCAAAAACATACACATGAATGAAAACAAGTAAGTCATTTTGAGACCTTAATTTGTTCATTAAATTTATAGAGCAATTTGGAGAGAATTAACATTATTGCCATTTTGAGACTGCCTGTCTCAGACTGTGGCCTGTCTCTTAATTTATATGCTTTTTAATATCTCTCAATAGAGTGTTACAAGTTTCCTTACAAAGAGTTTGGGCTCATGTTGAGATTTATTCCTAGGTATGGTGTCATTTTGTCATTACTGTCATTACAGGTTCAGTAAACCTCTGAAATGCTTGTTACCAGAAACAGATGAATTTTGGGTATTTGGGGGTCTTGAATACTTATAATGAGATATCTTGGGGATGGAACCCAAGTCTAACCATGGAATTCATTTACGTGTCATGTCCCTCATCTGCACAATATTTTTAGCGTACCTGCTATTGTTTAGTACTGAGGATTGAGCCTAGGGCTTTCACATTAAGCTACATCCCCAGTCCTTCTTAATTTTAATTTCTGTTTTGAGACAGGGCCCCAGTAAATTCTCCAGGCTGGGCTTAAACCTGTGATCCTCCTGCCTCAGCCTCCCAGAATGAATATTACTCTTTTTCTTCTTCTTCTTCTTCTTTTTTTTTTTCAGGCATCCTCTCTGTTTTAAGGTAGGAATGATATGTGGCTTTAGAATTTAGTAGAACTCGTCTGTAAAGCTGTCAGGCTGGCTTTTTATTTTTATGTGAAGATAAAAGTTTAACAGTGAGTAATGGTTATCAGATTGTTCCCAGTTTCCTTCTTGAGACGTTCTAATTTTTTTTTTTTTTATCAGTACCGGGGATCGAACTCATGACTGCCTGCTTGCAAGGCAGGTGCTTATGCCACTGAGCTAAATCCCCAGCCCTGAGACTTTTTAATTTTCTGACTTTGCTTTATCTGAAACTGAACTAGGTATTGGTGAACCATTGTTTAGCCTATTTTGCATCTGTTTTCAGAGTTTCTAGCAGACTTACACCTTACATTTGCTTATGCCTCATTTTGTTTGTTTTTGGGCTTTTTGTGAAGGAAAGTTGAGACATGATCTCACTTATGAGGCCAGTTTCAGGCTGGCCTCAAACTCATAGGGAGAAACTTTAGTGGATTGTTTGTTTTGCTTTTTTTGAGTTGTCAAAAATTTAATTACATAGCTCAGGCTGGCCTTGAACTCACTGTGTACCCAAACTCCTCCTGCCTCAGCTTCCCAAGTGTCGGGTTGACAGGCGTGTACCGCCGCTCCTTACTTTATGCCTGATTTGTAATAATGTCCTGATTTGATATTGCATGTTTGTAAGTTTTCTGTATTTTATAAATCCTGTGGTTTGTCAATATTAATCTTTACAAAGCAATGATTTTTGACATTGTCAATTTTTGGGGCAGTATTTTTCCTATCATCAATCTTTGCTGTTTTGTTCATTATCTCGTTCCATCTACTTTCTTTAGGTTAATTGATTGATTGATTGATTTAGTTTTGTTTTGTGAGACAGGGTCTCAATATGCAGTTTAGGCTGGCCTTGAATTCACTGTGTAGCCCAAGCTACCCTCAACCTCAAAGTGATCATCCTGTCTCAGCCTCCCAAGAGCTGGGATGATGTGCCTGGCCGTGGGTTGCCTTTTGCCCACTGTGACTGCCAAGGCTCTGTCATCACACCTTGTCTTCTTGTGTGATTCTGTCTGTTGTGGTCTAGAGGTTGATGCATGAGAGTCCTCAACAAATTTAAATTCTTCCAGAATGTTTCTAGCAGTATTTGATGAATGGATGACTGGATGCATGAGATACAGGGTGAGGCTGGGGATAAGGCAACCCCTGCGCCTGCTGACTGGCCCTCTGACTGGCCCTCTGATCCTGGCTTCGTGTCCTCCTGCAGCCACCTTCTGGGTGAACCCCCAGTTCAAGATCCAGTTGGAGGAAGTGGACGACGAAGATGACTGTGGGAGCCGGGAGTCTGGCTGCAGCTTTGTGCTTGCTCTCATGCAGAAGCACCGCCGGCGGGAGCGCCGTTTCGGTCGGGACATGGAGACTATAGGCTTCGCGGTGTACGAGGTGAGCCCGGGGCGCCATCGCCCCTTCCGCGTGCTGCGGCGCGCTCCGCCAGGGGGCGCCGGAGGCATACCAAGGGTGCTCAGCGAACAGGCACCAGAATTCACTTTGTGAGGCTGGCGGAGGTGCGGAGGTGCGTGGCTGCGGGGGTCGGGGTTAGGGGTGGGGGAGGTGGGGATGGTTTTGGAATTCACCTTCACCTGTAGTGGGCGGGATGCTGCTCTCAGGATTCCAGAGAGAGCTGGCTTGGCTAACACCTGGCCTGTGACAGCTTCTACAGCCAGGCTTTGGCTCAGCAGCAGAGAAAGTGGGCACTCGGGCTGCCCTGGGGCGTCAGGGAGCTCCCTGCCTCAGCGGGGTGTGAGCCAAGGCTGGCCGAGGAGGGCAGCAACATGGATTGGCCCTCTGACGCCTGCCCTGCACTTGTCCGGCCTCCTGAGCTCTGCTGGGATCTCCCCAGCATCTGGAGTAAAAGTGGGCTACAGTCTCTGCCCATCCCAGACGGCTCCCTGGGCTCTGACTGCAGTTGCTTGGGCACCTGGCTGCTGTTCTAGAGGCCCAGGCAGTTCCAGAGGCAGACACTTTTCCTGCCGGTCCTCTCTGGCCCTAGGCATACCCTGTACCCCACTCTTGGCTCCTGGTCCCCAGTTGCAGACTGAGAACTCAGCTCTCTGCCCCTGACATATGTCTCCCTTCCTTTCTGTCTTGCAGCTCCCTCGGGAGGTAGGTGTGGCTTCAGCTCACTCGGATCTACCTGCTCGTAAACACACCTGGCCTCATGGCCCGAGGGGCAGCACAGTCACAAGCACATCCCTGTGTAAAGTGCTGAGACGTCACCATCACCTTGCATTACCACCTGGAAAGACCTTTTCCCAAGATTGTTGAGTGGGCAAAGCACTCACTGCTCTCCTAACCTTGAGCAGGTAGCAGGTGGGGCTGGCTTTGAAACCTGGTCCTCAATGCCCTTCCCAGACATGTGCATATAAAGGACTTTCCTTCCCTTGCTGTTTCCTCCCAGTAAGTTCAGCCCAGGGTCTGCCTGGGGCAGCTGCATTGGCCAGATTAATGGCCAACACCCTTGAATAAGTTGCTTAGGTGCTGAGCCTTGGTGTTTGTGTCTGTAAAATGGGTATAATAGCTTCTGGTCCTTGTGAGCATGTGGGCAGCTGTCACCTGTAAAGTGCCTTGTGGTATCTGACATGGGGAAGGTGCCAGTGTTGACAGAATGTCATTTACGTGGTGCTAAAGTGTTCCAAAGAGGATTACTCGTGCTTAGCTGCTCAGTGCCTCCTCCTGCCACGGTGAGGGAGGCAGATGAGGAAACTGAGGCAGATGACTCATCAGGGTCACATGGGCAGCCAGGGCTTGGAGGCTGGGGCTGAGGTGGGGCAGCACCCAAGGGTGGGTCAAGGGATGTCTGCAGCCCTGTCCCCTCCTCCTTCCCGCCAGTTGAGGGGCCAGCCAGCCGTGCACCTGAAGCGTGACTTCTTCCTGTCTAACGCATCCCGAGCTCGCTCGGAACAGTTCATCAACCTGCGGGAGGTCAGCACCCGCTTCCGCCTGCCACCCGGGGAGTACGTGGTGGTGCCATCCACCTTCGAGCCCAACAAGGAGGGCGACTTCGTGCTTCGATTCTTCTCGGAGAAGAGTGCTGGGACCCAGTGAGCCACAGACCACCCCTCTGTCCCTCCCTGAGGCCCGCTGCGGGCCTCTGTCCCCCTAACCAGCCCTTCTATTTGCTGACTCTGCAGGGAGCTGGATGACCAGATCCAGGCCAACCTCCCAGATGAGGTATGTGCTCCACTTCCCAGCTGCCATATCTTCCCTGTGTCCCACCCCTGGGTGTCCCAAAACCCTGTGTCCCTCGCCCCTGGGTATCCCCCCAACCCTGGGCTTCAGCTGGCAGGGCTGATCCCCTCCTGCTAGAAGCCATCGATGCCAAGAACCTGCAGTTTGCATGAGCCCTGTGATAATCAGGACGCGGTCCCTGATTGCTCATCTGTGCCTGCTCTGAGTATCTCATTTCCTGCCCATCACAACCCTTTGTGGCCCTGTCCTGTCACCCCCGAATAGGAAACTTAGGTTCAGAGAGGTTGGGGAACCTGCCCAAGGTATACAGCAGGTATCTGAGCTTTGACCTTTCACACCGAGCTACACTGCACCCCGGGGTCCTGAACAGTGGTTCCTGACAGGTCACCAGAGTGAGGCTTAGAGGGTAATTGACCTGTGGCCCAAGAGGGCCTCTCTTGGGGCACCCCTCACCTGTTCCCTCCTTTCTCCACCCAGAAAGTGCTTTCAGAAGAGGAGATTGATGAGAACTTCAAGGCCCTCTTCAGGCAGCTGGCTGGGGAGGTAGGCTGGGGCCTGGGAGCCGGTGGGGGTTGGGGGACGCTTTCCAGGGCCAGTGCCATCCTTGCTCTTTCCCTAGGACCTGGAGATCAGCGTCAGGGAGCTGCAGACCATCCTGAACAGAATCATCAGCAAACGTGAGGGTCCCCGAGCGGCTGCTCCACGTATTCTCGGAATCCAGGCTTCTGGAACCAGATCCTACTGCTCAGCCTGTGGGGCCGGGGCTGCCTACCACTGCCTTGCAGAGCCCAGCTCTGCACCGTTTCCATCCCAGATTCTTTCTGCTCCTGCCGTGCCTAGTTCCTGCCTGAGCTCTGGGTCCTCATGGGTGCAGGATGGTCTGCAGGCTCATGGACGCACCCGCGAGGCTGGGCCTGGCTTGAGAAGCAGAGCATGAGTGGAGTCGCTTCTCACCTCCCCTGGCTGCATGTGGGGACTGGCCCGCCCCAAGTTGAGTTTGCTTTGCTGCCGCCATCCTCTGTTCTGTCCACGCCTCCTGTCTGCGAATCTCTGCTCTCCCTTGGAGCCTGCAGCAAAGCCCTGCCGGTCCATCTTTCTGCCTGATTTCCCGTACTTTTGTTGGGCACTGGCTTCATTTTACTCCAGGCCAGGCATTGGGTGCCAGTGTGGCCACTGGGGCACCAGCTCTCCCACTAAGTTACTTCACACTCTTTTCTGCCTCATGAGTCTGCCTCCTTTGTGCTTCGAGACCCTGGACCCACGAGCAGAACCATGACCCACTGAGCAGTCTCCCAGCTTGAGGCAGGCATGAAGGCTCACTGGGTCAACCTACTGGCACTGGTGTTTTGTAGACAAAGACCTGCGGACCAAGGGCTTCAGTCGGGAGTCCTGCCGCAGCATGGTGAACCTCATGGATGTATCCTTCCACCTGCTTTGTCTCCTGATGCCGAGGGTCAGATCCGTGGGTCTGAAAGGCAGTACTACGTAAACAGTCCCCAGAGCAAAGCCAAGAAGGCACCAAGCTGGGGACAGGAAAATGCAGTGAGATTGGCTCCAGAAGCCTGAATTCCGAGAGTGCGTGTGCAGACTTCTTGGGCATCTTTCAGTTGATTGAGAGGGGGAAACTGAGGCACAGGCCTTGCAGCGAAACAGGGGTCCCCAACTGCCCCTGAGGCTTCCTGCTATTTCTGCACCCTCCCCGCCCTGCCCCACTGCACCAGTTCGGAGAGCAGCTAACCTGGTTGGGGCAGCCTCACATGGCACTGACTATTTCCTCACCCCTGGCAGCTGCCCTTTCCCTGTGGCTGTCCTTTCCCTGTGGCCGGTGTCCCTGTTCCCCAAATGTGCCCCGCACCGGCCTGGTCCAAATTGCCCAGTTTCCTTCTTAACGGCTGCTCAGCGTGACGGCAATGGGAAGCTGGGCCTGGTGGAGTTCAACATCCTGTGGAACCGCATCCGGAATTACCTGGTGAGCAGCCCTGGACAGGCCATGTGGCCTCGGTCACCGCCGGGCTGGGCCAGGTGTTTGCCTCACGCTGCCGCTGCCTGATTCACCCTCTGCGACTGTGCAGTAGGGGGTGGGGAAGGGGTGGGAGAGCTGCAGGACTCAGCCTCCCCCCTCCCCCAACACTCCAGACCATCTTCCGGAAGTTTGACCTGGACAAGTCAGGCAGCATGAGTGCCTACGAGATGCGGATGGCCATCGAATCTGCAGGTGAGACCCGAGAGCTGATAGTACCTGTGGGGTCCAGGGCAGGTGGCGCCAATGTTCCTGTCCCCAAGGCTGCCTCCTTTGGTGCTCCATGGCAGTGGCCACCCATGGCCCTTGTCCCTTGGGAGTGCTGATGTGAGGGCTCTTGCTCTCCTCTCCTGCTGTTCCTGAGCCAAGCGCCTCTCAGCATCTTCCCTTCCTTCCTCATGGTGACCCGATGAGGACAGTTCTCCATGGTCCCCCTGTGCACACAAGAACAGTGAGGCTGTGTGAGGGAGAGAACTCCCCCCAGGTCACACAGCCGGAAAGGGATAAGGCCAGGCATCTGGCTGCTAGAGAGAGGGGTGCTGGCCTCCACTGTGCTGCCCGTTTGAGCACAAGGCCAGGGTGTGGGGTACAGACCCTGCCAGGCCCGGGCCCTCGGCCTCAGCTCTTGGCCCCAGCTGGGCTGGGGCCAGTGCTTCCTCTGGGCCTGGCCATCACTTGCCCAGCCCCTCGCTGCTCCTGCCCTACCTGGGAGGCCTCCCTTTGGACCAGCCTGGCCTGGCCTCTCCTCTCCCCTCATCTGCCCTCCTGCCTAGGCTTCAAGCTCAATAAGAAGCTGTACGAGCTCATTATCACCCGGTACTCTGAGCCTGACCTGGCCGTGGACTTCGACAACTTCGTGTGCTGCCTGGTGCGGCTGGAAACCATGTTCCGTGAGTGACCTCCGTCCCAGTTGCCCTGGGAGCTGGTGGGAATAACAGAGGGGCAATGGCAGTGCAGGATAATGGGGCTCGGATGGGCTCTGTGCCTGGTCTCCTGAGGTGGAGGACATCTTCTCAGAGTCACCACCACCTCTCAACTTAAGAGGCGACAGCTTGGGGGGCAGTGGGAAGGTGAGGTAGCCCCAGTTTCCAGTCCCATGGCACTTTTTTTCTCTAATATGCAGGGTTTTTCAAAACTCTGGATACGGATCTGGATGGAGTGGTCACCTTCGACCTGTTTAAGGTGGGCCTTCGTGTGGGGTGGGGGGAGTGGGCGGCGGGGTTCTCTAGCCTGATCCCCGCTCTCCTGAGGGAAGCAGGATGGCTCTGCAGGAGCCACAGCAGCCCAGTCTCCTGGGAGTAAAGAAGGGAAGAGAGCAGCTGCCCCTGCAAGGGTCCCTCGAAGAGACCAAAGAGATGGTAGCTCCTAAGTCTGGGGTGGGCCTGGGCCCAGGGTCCAGGTGAAGAGGGAAATGGAGGCAGTTGAGTCTGCCGCCCCCAACCCACTGGCCTGTCTTCTCTGCAGTGGTTACAACTGACCATGTTCGCATGAGGTGGGGCCTCGGTGCCCACTGCTGCTCCCCTCCTTCCCTCGTCTTGCTGCCAGGCCACGCCAGGCCACGCCAGCTGCAAGTGCCTCTCTCGGAGCGGGAAGGCGCCTCGTCCTCCTGTCCCTTCCCCCAGCCACCACTGTTCACCACTCTGGGCCAAGCTGTGTGGCCCCTTCCTGTCTCCAGCTGTGGGCTCAGGATGGACTCCCTTGTCCCACCTCCCATCACCAAGCCAGAAAGGCAGCTTTGCCCTGACTCCTGCCTCAGGGTGGGGAGCAGCACCCCCATGCCAGCATCCTGATGTGCCCCTCCCCTCACTGCAGAGGTCGCACCCCCACTGGCCTCACCTGCAGACTTTATAACCACTAGCTGCACAACCTGCAATCGGGGTGCACAGTCTGCCATCCAGGCCTGTGAGCCCCCCACCCTACCCCGGAAGCCCCCGGGGCTGGGAACGCCTGTGCCTTCCTGGGCAGAAGCCAAATCCCCCTCCTTGCCCTGCAGCCCACCCCTCTGTAGCCCTGCTGGCCTGCCCGGAGCTGCCCTGGGGCTGGTTGGGCCTTCCTCGACCCTCTCCTTTTTTATATTGGTGTCTTTAAAGGGGACTCTTGTAGGACCCCACTAGTTGTGGGGTACTAGAGGCACAGGGCATGGGACGGGGAGATGCCATGTTTCCTTGCAGAGGAGCCCCAGATAATAAAGGAAAAGGCCCCCCATGTGTCTCTGGAGTGTGATTCTTCCAGACCTGCTGTTGTGCTTGGGCTAGGGTGCAGCTCGCAGCCTCAGACTCCCCTGCTGAAGCCCTGAGGACCTCCGCCTGGGAAGCTATGAGGACTGGGCACAGGGACAGGGCTGCACAGCTGAATGCCTTGCGGCCTGGCTGGTCTTATACATCCTGAGGCCTGGAGGCCTGACCTCTGCCTTGTTTCATGCATCTGCCAGGGGAAGGCTCAGGCTGAAACCCAAACCCCTACTTAGCATATACCTCATCCCCCAGAGGTCCCCAGAGCACAGAGCCTCCTTCAGGTCCCGCAGTGGGGGTGGGGGCTGTCCCTGTAACCTCCACACCTGCTGCTTACATAAGCTGCTCAGCCTCCGGGAACTCCTGCTCTTATTGGAGATAAGAGTGGGCTCAGGTCAAGGCAGAGGAGAAGGGCTGCCCATCAGGAAGGCCGGAGGGAGCGGGAGGCAGCGGGAGGGATGGAAGGAGAGGAACCTTCAGCTGAGCCACAGACCGAGCCACAGACCACCTGAATCCAGTCTCAGCCATCCTGAGCTTGCCGTGGGCGGTGTCACGTGCTCAGTGGGAGCCCCTGACCCGCCTGGTTTGCGAGGAGGGTGGGGGAAGCAGGCACCTGCTGTTTTCTGCAGCTTCTGTGCTCCCTCAGGCGTCACTTATGGCTGCACCATCAGAGACCCTAGTCTGAGTCTGTGGATATTGTTAAAGCATTTTTTTCCGGGTTGGGGATTTGACTTAGTGGTATAAGTGCCTCCTGCCTGGCAAGCACAAGGATGTGAGTTCGATCCCTAGTACAAAAAAAAAAAGTATTTTTTCCAAGTGCCCCCTGAGCAGCCCAGCTTAAGTCTCTTGCTACCACGACCACTGTGCCCCCTTAAGGCCAGAATGAGGATCCTAAGGCTCTAGGTGGCCTCCAGAGGAGAGGGAAGGTGGCGGTGACCACACTGCTAGGGTCCTGCAGTGAGGGCTTACACATCTGGCTGTGGGTCTTGGGGCTTTTCTAACTCAGGAGCAGAGAGGTGTCCAGATGGGGAGGAAGGGGCTGGGGGAGGGAGCCCTGCATTCAGGCTTCCTGTGATGTAACCCAACCCCTCTGAGCCAAGGACTCAGGGCATCTGTTGTCCCAACCCCCTGGCCTGATCCTCTACCTCCCAGGGCCATGCCGCACCCTTAAATAAGACCCAGCCAGCTGGGCCTCAGCTCGGGGCCGTGGCCATGGCCTTCACAGACTTGCTGGATGCCCTGGGTGGTGTGGGCCGTTTCCAGCTCGTCTACACCGCCCTGCTGCTGCTGCCCTGTGGCCTGCTGGCCTGCCACAACTTCCTGCAGAACTTCACGGCCGCCATACCCCACCACCACTGCCAGCACCCCGCCAACCACACTGCCACCAATGACTCAGGGGCCTGGCTGAGGGCTACTGTCCCCCTGGACCAGCATGGAGTCCCCGAGCCATGCCAGCGCTTCACAGAACCTCAGTGGGCTCTTCTGAGCCCCAACACTTCTGCCCAGGGGGCAGCCACGGAGCCCTGCAAGGACGGCTGGGTCTATGACAGGAGTGTTTTCCCCTCCACCATCGTGATGGAGGTCAGAGCGGGCTGGGAAGCATTGGGGAGCTGCAGCCTGAAGCCAGGCTGAGCGCCCTCTCTGCCTCTGCAGTGGGACCTGGTGTGTGAGGCCCGCACCCTCCGTGACCTGGCTCAGTCCATCTACATGGCCGGGGTGCTGCTGGGGGCCGCCGTGTTTGGCAGCCTGGCAGACAGGTGAGAGTGGGGTGGGGCGGAGGTCATCCAGTCCCCCCAGCAAGGCCCCAGAAACCCCAGGTCTCTGCATTCGTTTTCCTTTATAAAATGTATTGGTGTATTTTGTGATCCACCATAAACATGCCCATTGCAAAGTTCTGAAACGTACAAAGTGTTCAGGAACAAAACTTCCCTTTCCCACCTCAGTCCCTCGGTGCCAGTCAGAGGGATTTCCAGGGAGCACCCTGATTCTTGTCTCTACCCAGAGATGGGTTTTTTCTTTTCTCTTCTCTTCTCTCTCTTTCTCCCTTCCTCCCTTTCTTTCTTTTTCCAGTGCTAGAGACTGAATCCAGGGCCTTTGCACTAAGCTTCGTCTCTACCACCATCTCTATTTTTTTTCAACAGGCTCTCACTAAATCATTAAATTGCCTCAAATTCAACATTCTCCTGCTGCAGCTCCCAGAGTGCTGGGGTTACAGACATGTGCCAACGCACTCACTTTACTTTTAAAGTTTTATTTTAGTTTTGATTGATGCCTAATAAGTGTATATATTTATGGGGTTCAATGTATGTTTCACTATATAAATAGAGCCATCACCTTAAACATTTATCACTGGTGGTGAGAACATTAAAAACCTTCTCTCCTAGTAAGTCTCACCAAAAATATTTATTGTTCTATGCAGCATTGACCAAATGTGTGTATATGCTTGACCCCATTTCTTTTCTTTCTTTCTTTTTTTCTTTTTTTTTTTTTTTGTATTGGGAATCGAACTCACAACCTCACCCTTGCCAGACAGGTGCTGTGACACTGAGCTACATCCCCTGCCCTCCCATTTCTGTACAGTGCTGGCTCAGGGACAAGCCACCATGAACCGGCTTCATCCTCATTCTGGAGGCTTCTTTATATTCCTTTGGAAAGAGCTTTCCTGCCTTTCCCTAACTTCTGCACCGCAGCCAGTGTGTGACTGAGCCGTACCCTGCCGCACAGGTGACATCAAGGTGTAGTCCAGCAATATGGCCTCCTCTGTCCCTCTTTTCCCTGCCTTCTCTGCCCCCTTCTTCTCCCTTGCTTCTGCCCTCCTGTCCATTTAGGTTGGGGGGTCCTGCTGGACCCCAGGCCCACTCCCCAGAGTGTAGACAGGGCACGGGCACATCACACAGTGCCACAACCCTTCCCTAACTTCATGTGAGCTTGTGTCTCATCCAGAGTACAAGGCATGTCACCAGCCTTGGCTCAGCCCTGTCACTTCCAGGTGACTGATGAACACTTGTGTAATGATGACATATAAGTGCATGAAAGAAGGAAGAAAGAGTGTATGTGTGACTGCGCTATGGATATGTGAGGAAGGGTGCTGTGCGTCCCCTTCTCTGCCTGCTGCGCTTCTGGCTGAGCTGGCTGCTCTCAGTCCCTGGGCCCCATATTTGCAGTGGAGCAGAGTGACGGCCTCAGGTGATGACCACACCACCCTGGCCTGGCCTTCTTTGTTGCCAAAAGAGCTGACCCTGGTCTTCCCCCCGGAGCCTGGCCCTCCTATGGACTCACCACTATAATTCTGGCTTGAGGCCTCCTGGCCCAAACACCACATCCACCTCTGGATCCCTGCAGAATCTTTACCTTTCCCTGCGTGGAATAAGTGTTTCCCATTTTCTTCCAACCAGTGCCCCTCCTTCCCTAACCAAAGGCAGCCAGGAGTACCTGGGTCTTGCAATTGTCTTAAGTCAGGGCATTCACCCAGCATCCCAGATTCTCCTGATTGCCTTGATTCCCGCCCCTAGGGCAGATGGGTCAGGTGTAGGCTGTCATTTTGTTACTTTGAGGGCTGCAGCTCCCACCTGCCAGAATCCTAACACCTGTGTCCATTCCTGGGCTCAGGCTGGGCCGCAGGGCCCCCCTCGTCTGGTCATACTTGCAGCTGGCAGTTTCGGGGGCCGCCACGGCATATTTCAACTCCTTCAGCGCCTACTGTGTCTTCCGGTTCCTGATGGGCATGACCTTCTCCGGCATTATCCTCAACTCCCTCTCACTGGGTGAGTCCAGTTAAGAGGTGAAAAACTGTTGGGCAGGGGATTTAGCTCAGCGGCGTAAGCGCCTGCCTGGCAAGCGCAAGGTTGTGAGTTCAATCCCCGGTACCAAAAAAAAAAAAAAAAAAAAAAAAAAAAGAGGTGAAAAACTGGAACTGGAGAGGCGGGAACAGAGCCCTAGTCCAGAGCACCTTTCTTATTCAGTGGTGTTGGGATTCTTACCCAACGACTGACTCCAAGCCTCCCACCATGGGTCTGGATTTACGAGACCCAGGCTCCAGAATCATGGCCCTGCTGGCAGCAACGGTGAACCCTGCTGGCCAGTTCCCTAGCCTGGGTTTCTGTTTACCCAGGGGGAAACTGAGAGGGGTGTGTTTATTTCATTCATAAGTTATCCAGGAATAACCATGCCACTTTCTAAGCACGTGTGGTGTGGCGGCTTGGGAAGAAGTCACAGAGGTGACATAGAGGGCGGTGAGACAGGAGGGGTCCAGGGTTCTAAGAAGGGCAAGGTTCCCCTGAGTAACCTGGGTAACCCGGCCTCCTAGATACCACACAAGTGGCAGATGAAAGGATCAGTGCTCACTCTGGGCTGGCAGCTCCTGGGTGGTCCTGGCAGAGAGCAGTGGGGCAGTAGGATGGTCATACTGCACTCACTTAAACTACTTAGCCTGCTCCTAAGAACACTACTGGGTCAGAAACTGCCACTGCCTTCAGCAGTGCTGAGTTCTGCTGAGGAAAGAAGTCTTGGAGCTGGAGAGCCAGGCGTACCAGGCAGGTGCCTTGGGACAGCTTAGCCATAGGCCACTGATCCCAGGATTGAGCCACAAGAGTGTGGTGACACGCCCACGCGCATGTTTACTCTCTCTCCTCTTTCCTTATGATGCACTTTGTTCTCCATCTTTCCCGCACGCCCAGCATGGGATCTAGTACATGTTAACCAAGTGCTCTACCACCTGGTTACACTTCAGCCCCTGTTCCACATTTGGACCTTTCATTTAAAGATGCTGTCACAGGTTCATTTACTGGTCAAGGGCCTCCTGTGTTGCACAGTTCTAGGCACCAGAGATACAGCAGTAACCAAAAGCAGACTCTGCTCCCTGGAGTCCTTGTGCTTGCAAGGAGAGACAGACGACACCACCACAGACAAGCCTGAGCACAGCAGTACTTCAGAGTGGGGTTGGTGCCATAGGGGAAATGAGGCCCTCAAAGGGGATGGGAAGGTAAGGGCCAGTATGCAGCAAATGCAGGACCAGGGCAGGGTAACAGATCCCTGACCACTTTACGGGCTGCTGCCATGTGGCCCCCCAACAGAAGCAGGGAGGCCCAGTAAGAGCCACTGCCATCAGTCCAGAAGAGGCGGGACTGAGGTAAGCCATGTGTGACAGCAGGGCAGGTGACAACAGAGCAGATGGTGGCTAAATTGGGAAGGCAGAAACAATAGGACACAGGTGCTCTCTGCTCACTGAAAAGAAATATCCTCACTGATTTGCTCCTCTGCCTTGAAAGGGAAAATCTAAAAGCATTTAACTAGTGCCCCGGGGAAGCACAGGTAGGTTGTTTCAACTGTGCCACTTACAAAAGTCTGCACTTTGGTCTCTGCGTGAGGTTGAGCATCTTCTCCTGGGATTCCAAGCCTTTGTATTTCCTTTGTTACCCACCCTGCACACCTCTGCCCATTTTCCTTCTGGCCTGTTAATCGTTTTCCTGATCATTTGTCAGAACTCCTCCATAGCAGGGAACATTAACTCTTTACCTGTTACTTGAATTGCAAATATTTTTGCTTTTTTTTTTTTTTTTCCTGACAAGACCTTCTTGTGGCAATTTTTTCCTAACACAGAGATTTCTTATTTTTATGAATTCAGATTTGTTGAACTTTTGTTTTTCTGCTTCTGGACTTTGTAATGTTCTTGGAAAAGATTTTCTCTATTTTTGTTGTTGTTTTGTTGTTTTGAGGCTCTGTGTAGTCTAGACTGGTCTTGAACTCACTATGTAGCCCAGGCTGGGCTTTGAACTGGAGACAATACTCCTGTCTCAGCCTCCTGAGTGCTAGGATTACGGGTGTGTGCCACCATACCCGGTGGCTTTCTATACTCCTTAAAAAGCATGTAAGCATAAGTGCTACCATTCTTGTGGTTCATTGCTTGCATTCAATTCTTTTCCCTCTGGGCATGAAGAGTGAGGTAGGGGGGCCTCAGCCTCTGTCTCAGGGAATCGTGAAATGAGTTGAATTGCCATGGTCCTGACCAAGGGGTGGGTAAATTAAACCCCTGCATGGACGAGATCCTGGTGTGTGTTGCCATTTCCTCCGCAGTCGTGGAATGGATGCCCACCCAGGGCCGGACCGTTGCGGGCATCTTGCTGGGCTACTCCTTCACCATGGGACAGCTGGTCCTGGCTGGTATTGCCTACCTGATCCGCCCCTGGAGGTGGCTGCAGCTTGCTGTCTCTGCTCCTTTCCTGATATTTTTCCTCTATTCTTGGTATGTACAGCAGAGGCGGCAAGGAGAGTTCCCTGTGTGTGGCCCCCGGGAGAGGTCCAGTGTGCACTGCCAGGACTTACTGGACTTGGTGGGGACCAAAAGCTCCTGGGAACTGATGCATAGCTTTAGGGAAGCTCCAGCTAAGCCCCAGGAACAGGGGGCCCAGGCAGTCGGATGTTCTGCCTTCAACAGCTCCTTCGTGTTTTTCACAGCACTTTATAAGATGAAAATTAAGGTGCAGGCCCTGAGAGGGTCCACAGTTGATTCAGTGCCACACAGCTAAGTTCAGAACCAGATTCAGTTCGGGGTCATCACAGTCTCTCGATGATTCCTTGTACGATGTGCTGCAAAAAAAGAGGGGAAGGCGGCCTGTGCCCTCATCTTCCTGATTCCGAGACAGTTTCTGAAGGTGGGTGGAGGTCTGACTTGCTGTAGGGACCGGAAAGAGCTCTCCCAGCCCTGGTCCTGCCACCTTCTTTCTCTTTCAGGTGGCTGCCGGAGTCGGCCCGATGGCTCCTTCTGCACGGCAAATCCCAGCAAGCTGTGCAGAACCTGCGACTGGTGGCTATGATGAACGGAAGAAAGGAGGAAGGGGACAGGCTGACCATGGAGGTGAGGCAGGCTGGGGACGATCTCTGGTGTCCCTGGCAGCCTCCAGCTGTACAGCATTTGACAGCTTCACAGGACTGAGCTGCACCGGGTGCTGAGGCTGTGGTGGCCAGGGCGGACAGTGTTCTGCTGTGGCCATGCCACCTAGGCCAAGTGACTGAACTGCTGGGCTTGAGGGTCTGTCCATCTGCACAATGACAGAATAACTTCAGTCATTCAAAACTGTAATTTTTTTTTTGTAATTGTATTTTAATCGTATTTAAAATAGTGAGGCCAGGCATGATGGTGCATGCCTGTAATTCCATCATGCGGGAGGCTAAGACAGGAGATTGCTTGAGGTCAAGGCCAGACTGGATTGCATAGTTTAAGGCCAGCCTGAATTATATAGCTAGACCCTGCCTAAAAAAAAAAAAAATAATAAAAAAAAAGAAAGAAAGAAAAAGTTATCATAAAATGAAATTATTGCAGAATCAATAACAACAGTGTCATCCATTATAAATGCTACTTATTATAAGATAGTTAATACTTATTACCAACATACACTTTTTTTTGTGTGTCTTTTTCCTTTTTATCGGTACCAAATCGAACTCACAACTGCCTGCTTGCAAGGGAGGCGCTTTATGCCGCTGAGCTACCCCCAATACACTGTTTATTAAGCCCTATACAAGGCACTGTGCTAATAGCCTGACATACATAACTTCATTTAACATCTCATTTTTGCCAGTGAGGAACTGGACTCTGGATGGGTTGGATCATTTGCCTAAGAACCTGGGGAGAGTATGGCCCACTCAGAAGCCCTATTTTTAACCATTGTCTGGCACTATCTCAAAGCCTATTCAGGGAATGGGGTGAGGGTCCCTCAGAAACTATAGAGCCTCAGAAGTGTTGGGGTGCAGGTGGAACCCCAAGACATCACAAAGCCCTAGACCATCAGTCCTGGGAGGAAGGGAACCTGGGACTGGCCATGTTGGCAGGGAGCACAGCTTTAGCTCCCGGGCCCAGGAAGAGACTAATTTAGAAGGGACCGTGGGACTCAGCTCCTGCCCTGCCCCTGACCAGTGCTCCTCTCCAGGTGGTGCGCTCCTACGTCCAGAGCGAGTTCTCAAGTGTCCGCTCCTCCAGCTCCATCTTGGACCTCTTCCGAAGCCCGGCCATCCGAAAGGTCACCTGCTGTCTCATGTTGGTCTGGTAGGTGATGGGCTCAAGCCTGAGTCTGTGACTTCCACCCCCTGCTGTCCAACTCTGTCCTCCTGCAGCAAGCAGGGGAGACTTGTGAATCCCTCTTGGCATGAGCCCCGCCAAGATATGGTGACTGTGGTGCGTGGCGCTGACCTAGAGGGCCACGCCAGGGTCATAAATCTCAGCTGGGCAAGGTGGGACTGAAACACCCAGGACACGATCTCATCCAACTGGCCCATGAATGAAAACTACTTCCAGGTCCAAAAAGGAACAGACAGGGAAATGACAGTGTCCACGCACATGGCAAGTGTCCTATCAGTAGGTGATAGTTAGGGGACTTTTGAAATTGTCAGACAGAAACTCCCAGCAGGATCGAAGCATAAAAGTATGGAGTGGCTACAAATGCAAAAGCAGCCTCAGGGCCTTAGCACTGAGTGCAAGGAGACACCCAGGCAGGGCTGGTGTAAAACAACCAGCTGAGTTTCTCTCCACTGGACAGTGGCTCACTGAGTTGGTATTAGAAGCAGGGAATACAGGCTATTAATTCCCATCATTCTCTGGAGCAGACCCAGGCACTCTCTCCTAGTCGTTATCTGCTGAACTGTAGTCTCCAGCCAGCCAGTCAGCCTCATGGTGCCTCAGTTCCTTCGTTTATTGTTTTGTTTTGATACCAGGTCTCATTGTCCTTGATCTCACTTTGTAGCCCAGGCTAGCCTTGAACTAACTGTCCTCTTTCTGCCTCAGCCTCCCAAGTGCTGGGATCACAGGCTAATCCACCACGCCCAGCATGGTTTTTTCCTTCCGCGCTGGTCTGCAGGGTGCTGGTGGGAGTCAAAAGTTAAGTGAATGAGTGTGGTGACAGTACACACTTGTAATCTGGTACAGTCTGTGTTGTCTGGCTTTCGTTTGGGGCTGGGAAGAAGGGATGGCTGAGAGAGGTTCTAGCCCACAGTGTCACCTGCCAGGCAGTTCTGGCTCTGGACAGCAGGACAACACGCAGACCTCGAGTCCTGGGGAAGGGATAACTTACAGTGGCCCGTGCTGGCCTGGGCTTTTCCTCAGCACCTAGTTCATCCTTTACCTTTTTCTTTCCAGGGGGAGAAACAGGTCTTGAGTTGTAAACGCTATGATTGAAAATTTTTTTCTGGATCTGTCTGGAAAGAGTAAGATTCATTTGTGGTAACAAGCGACGAGGGAGCAATCAATGACCCTGCTGGCTGGCCAGTGGGACAACTGGCTTGTGGGAGCCGGTCCATGCAACCCCGCCCCACTCTGCTAGCAGCTGCCCCAGCCTAGCACGATTTGGTTCAGTTTGCACAAGGCAGAGTTAACCTTCCCCCTGAAATTGTGGCTGTTTCCAGGTATTTTTGTTGTTTGGTTGGTTTTGTTTTTTGTTTTTTATAGTTCATGCTGGCCTGAACTCACTATGTAACCCAGGCTGGCCTTGAAATCTCAGCGATCCTCCTGCCTCAGCCTCCCAAGTGCTGGGACTACAGGCACGTACCAGCATGCCCAGCTAATTTGTAGTAACCTGTTACAGCAAAAACAGGAAAGAAACCATTAGTAGAGATTCACCCTTTCTACTGTGGATACTATTGCTCTGGCCATCTCTTTTGGTGAAAATACACATGCATTTCTGTGGGCGATACCCCAAGGGTTGAGATCTCTGAATCCTGAGGAATGGTGCGCCTCTCTGTAACAGAGAGAAAACGCCACTTTCCAATTTACACTGCTGCTAGCAGTGAGTGTGCCAGCACAAGAGCTCCAGCTGTGCCACGCGGCTCAGAGATTCTGCAAGAGGTGCTTCCTCCTGGGTTGGTCCACCAGTGGTTTCACAATCAGCCTGTGGCCATGGATTTGGGGTAAAAGTCCCACAGAGGTACCTTTTATTTGTCATATCAGGACATTGAACATGTCTTGTTCCTGCTTATGTGGTTTTTTGTTTTTGGGGTTTTTTTTTTTTTTTGTATTTTTTACTGGTACCAGGGATCGAACTCACAACCACAGGCTTGCAAGACAGGTCCTTCTGCCGCTGAGCTAAATCCCCAGCTCTTTGCTTATGTTGTTGTTGCTGCTGTTGGTTTTTTGAGTCAGGGTCGCACTATGTAGATCAAGCTGGACCTCGAACTTACGGTGATCCTCCTGCCTCAGCCTCCTGAGTGCTGGGATTATAGGTGGACAGCACCATGCCCAGTTTGTTCCTGAATATACTAACTTAATCACTTGCTTAAGGTGATAGCTACCATGTTTCTTTCCTATAAAGTTAATAATGTCCTCTTTCCATTGAGAAATTAAGCTCCATCTCCTAAAGGATGGTGTCTCTGCATATATTGTTTGGAGCTCGTCTATGAGATAGATTTTTTTGTGTATGTAGTTCTGGGTACCAAACCCATGGTCTTATGCATGCTAGGCAAGTGCTCTACCATTAAGTAAACCCCATCAGATTCATTTATTAAGTCATTTGTTTAGACTCATATATGTGTTTGGGTTACAACTCAGTAAATTAGTTATGTTATTTAGTAAATGTTACATTATTCACTTTACTTCCCAAATTGGTCGTTTACTTTCCACTTTGGCCATCGGAAGTTTTCCTTCCTGGGCTCCTGTGTCCTTTAGCTCCCCCTCCCCCCCCCCCCCGCCATTCTTCTCCTCCTTTTTGGTACTCAGGGCCTCATACTTGCCATGCAAGCACTGTGCTTCTGAGCTACATTCCTGGTCCCATTTTGTTTGGTTTTCCTCCATCTTGTTCGACAGTGGTACCTCAATTCATGAACTTAATTCTCTCCACAATTCTGGTCACAAACCAAACTGGTCAGGAACCACATTAAATTTCCCCACACGGCCAACATTGAATCTAAGCACTGAATTTGATTCTGCTTACATCCATTTTGGTTTGCAGCCAGAATCGTGGAAAGAATTAAGTTCATGGACCGAAGTGCCATCGTGTTTTTACTTTTTTTTTTTCTGGTACTGGGGACCCCGACTGCATGCTTGCAAGACAGGTGCTTATGCCGTTGAGCTAAATCCCCAGCCCCTGTGTTTTTACTTTTTAGCGTCACTTTTATTTCAGCGCTAACGTGCCTTGTGCCTCGGACAGGGAAAAACCAACACATCGCGCAGCCCACAGCCTGGCCTCAGGGGAGCCAGTAGTTATAAAGAGCAGGGGACAGGGAAGGCGAGGGTCTGAGATCAGGCAGAGATTTAGGAGACCAGAACGGGGCGTTGTTGAAGGGCAGGGGATCTTAACCCCCAAGGTGGAGCCATGTGTGTCCTGCATCTTTCGTCCCCTACCCTAGGCCCAGGACGATGATCCTCGGGGTCACATATGACTGTCCTGCCGCCTTTCTCAGGTTCTCCACCTCCGTGGCCTACTATGGCCTGGCCATGGACCTACAGAAGTTCGGGCTCAGCATCTACTTGGTTCAGGCGCTGTTTGGGATCATTGACATCCCGGCCATGCTGGTGGCCACCACCACCATGATCTACGTGGGCCGCCGGGCCACAGTGGCCTCCTTCCTCATCCTGGCCGGGCTCATGGTCATTGCCAACATGTTTGTGCCTGAAAGTGAGTGCCCACCTCTGTCCTACTACTCAGCAGGGTGCCCAGACTGGGGCTCCAGAAGGACAGGGAGGCCCCAGTGCCGGATGGGCAGCAAACACCACAGGGGTGTTTTCTAGATCTACAGGGAAAGTAGCTGCCAATTAGTAGAAGTTTTTATGAAGCTTAGCGCCTCCATGTTGGTGTAGGAGGAGCTGCAAAGGAAACAGTTCTGTGTGAAGATCAAACAAAAGCACCTAGAGCCAATGGAGGGCCAGAGTACTGGCTCATGTGGCCACTAGGGCTAGCCATCGTGTGCAAGGCTTGGGAAGTCAGGGTTCTGACCTCAGCCAGGCTGGCCTTGGAACAGTGGCCTGCAAACCTGGCCGAAATTACCTTCATCTGGGGCCCTTTGCAAGCAGTCAGTGCACAAGGGCTCCTTGCCAGTGCAGTGGGGCAGCCCCAATCCTCAGTGCATCACAAGCTGTCAGGTGACTCCTCGAAGAAGGCAGCATTGAGGGACCTAGCGCATGTGTGTCTAACTTCCTGTGAAACAGATGTTATTACTGGTATTTGACCTTTTTTTTTTCTTTTTAAGATAAAGTCTTACTATGCAGTTCAGGCTGGCCTCGAACTCATAGTGATCCTCCTGCCTCAGCCTCCCGAGTGCTGGGATTACAAGCCTGTGCCATTAGGTCTGGCAATTTTTAAAAAAAATTTTTGGTGCTGAGGACATAACCCAGGGCCTTGTACTTGCTAGATGAACAATCCCCCCACTTCACTGTTTACAGTAAAGTTTTGCTTTGTAGTTCAGGCTGGCCTCAAACTCACAGCAACCTTCCTGCCTCAGCTTCTTGAGTGCTGGGATTACAGGTATGTGCCACCAAGTCTGGTTGGACATACTTTTTTCTAGTGCTTTTGTGTTTGTGGGTTTTTTTGTCGTTGTTGTTGTTTTTTGGAGACAGCATCTCACTATGCAGTTTAGGCTGACCTCCAACTCAGTGTAATACTCCTGCCTCAGTCTCCCAAATGCTGGGATTACATGCATCTAGTGCTTTTTCTATTTTATAGATTTTGTTTTTGACATAATTGAGATCATTTTATATGTGTGTATGCAAATGTACACATAATAATGTAAATGGAATTGCCTATATGTATTTATGTGCATGGGTACATGGGCACACACATATATATCCATTTTTATTACCACATATTGTAACATAAATGTACTTTTATTAACATAAACAAATATTTCATGTGCTTTATTTTATCACTATAATATTTTGTTGAGATTGGTGTTTTTTCAAACTCTGCCTGACTATCAGAACCTCCTGGGGACCTTAAAAAATTGCCAGGACTTGAAGGCAGGCATGGTAACACATCCTTGTGAATCTAGTTTATATCTGGGAAGCTGAGGCAGGAGGATTGTGAGTTCAAGGCCAGTTGGAGCTACATAGCAAAACCCTACCTCAAAAAATAAAATATTAAAAATATTCAGATTCTAATATGTAATGTGTTAACTATTATTATTCTCCTATTATTTTGTTAAATTTTTGAATCTCTTGTCCATGAAATAAAAAAAAATTCTCAAGCTCAAGTCTATTCCCAGGAGGCTGTGACAGGATGGAGACAGGGTGAGGCCCAATGTGGGTGTCTAATGATCTCCCCCATCCTGAGTCCAGTGCACAGCCAGGCTGCCACCAATCCCGGGGAGGAATCATAGTTCCTTCGACATTCATCCTAGCATGGGCCATTTGAATAGGGGTTTTCCAAACAACAGGGCACGAAAATGCATGACAAAGGTTACAGCAAACCCAGAGCATTAAGCACAGGGCCGCCCGATGGGTACCAGGTGACAACTGAAGTGGTAGAAATTGGGGTTCCTTCCTGGGGTGCAGGTGCTGCTGCCCTGGCCCCTTGGTTCTACCTCCTTCCTCCCCTGCGGCCCCTCATGATACCTTGTGCATCCTTCCCCCGGTCCCCCTAAGTCCCTTAACCCCAGCCAGCCCTGCTGGCTCACAGCTCGGCCTCCCTCCTCCCCCCTCCGTCTAGACCTGCAGGTCCTGCGCACGGCCCAGGCGGCACTGGGCAAGGGCTGCCTGGCCAGTTCCTTCATCTGCGTGTACCTGTTCACAGGAGAGCTGTACCCCACAGAGATCAGGTATGCACAGTTGGGAGCTGGGTGGGCACCAGCCCTGTCCTGTGTGCCCAGTCTGGGCTGCTAACCGCCTCCTCCCACAGGCAGATGGGCATGGGCTTCGCCTCTGTCCATGCCCGCCTCGGGGGCCTGGCAGCTCCTCTGGTCACCACACTCGGGGAGCTCAGCCCCATCCTGCCATCACTGGGCTTTGGCACCATCTCAGTCTTGGCCGGGCTGGCTGTCTTCTGCTTCCTGACAGAGACGCGCAACCTGCCCTTGGTAGAAACCATCGCTGCCATGGAGAGGAGGTGAGACCCAGAGGCGCTGGGGAGAGCTGAAAACAGCTGGGGTGGGCGTGGAAACCAGCAGGCTGCCTGCTTCCTGTGCAGGCTATAATCTCAACACTCTGGGAGGCTGAGGCAGGAGGATCCCAAGTGTGAGCTTGGGCAACCTAGTGATTTAGGGGAAACTTTTGTCTCAAAATAAGAAATGAAAAGGAGCTGGAGACACTGAATCTCCAGTTCAATCAAGCAATCGATCCATTCGTGCAAGCTGATTGTGGACGTAAAAGAGAAAGAATAGACTGTAGAATAGAAGGCATGGAATGTGTGTTAGAAGTGAAACATGGTGAGGAGAGAGAGGCTGGTGATATCTGAACCAAAAACAGTACCTAGGGGTTTTGTTTTGTATGTGTCTTTGGGTTTTTTTTTTTTAATAGTTTCACCCTGTAATTCAGGTTGGTCTTGAACACCCTGTGTAGTCCAGGCTGGCCTTGAACGCAACATGATCTTCCTGCCTCAGCCTCCCAAGTGCTGAGATTACAGGCTTATGCCACTGCACCACAGATCTGTAGGGCTTTTTAGTTTGGCTCTGAACAACAGAAGGGGAGATCCCATTAATGACTTCTTTGTTGTCCTCCTTGAGGTAAAAGAACACCATTATCCCAGGGAAACTAAAGGTTTCTTGGAAATGAGCCTAGAAGAAATTCTGTGGTTCTTCTTAGGTTTCCTAATAAGATGACAGCAGTAACTTAGACAACGTTTCTAAAATACATTTAAAAGGAGATGGGGGTCAGGTACATGCCTTTAACTCCAGCACCCTGGGAGGCTGAGACTGGAGGATAGCAAATCTGAGCCCAGCCCAGATATTTTACCAAGACTCTGAAAAAAAGAAAGAAAGGCTTTCTTAAGGGCTGGGGTTATAGCTCAGCAGCACAGTACCTGCCTGCCAAGTGTGAGGTCATGAGTTTGATCCCTTGTACCAAGAGAGAGAAAGAGGAGAGAGAGAGAGAGAGAGAGAGAGAGAGAAGCTTTCTTGCAGCATTTCTTTTTTTTTTTTTTTTTTTTTTTTTTTTGGTCCTTTTTCCTTTTTATCGGTACCGGGGATCAAACTCATGACTGCCTGCTTGCAAGGCAGGCACTTACGCCACTGAGCTAAACCCCCAGCCCCATCTTGCAGCATTTCTTAGGACAGTGAGCTTGGTAAAAATCCATCATCTGGGAAATAGGTCAGGGGAATGTTACTGCAAGGCAAAGCACTTTCTAGTCTGGACCATTTGAGAGAAAGCTGACCCCTTTTCTAGATGCTTTAATCCATATTTTCTTTACACAAGGGCATTCCCCATAACCACAATGTAACCATCAAAATCCAAGAGTGGCCTTTGATACATGACTACCATTCCATCCTCAGACTTCAAGTTTAATCAGTTTTCCCAACATCATCCTACAGAGTGAGAGGACGGGGATCTCAGGCATGGTGGGTTTAGTGGTCTCCTCCTTAGGCCCAGATGGTCCTTGCCTGGCATGGCACCCATGGTTCCACAGGCTTTTGTCACTGAAAGGAGCAAAAGTGCACCCTACAAATTCTTTACGAAATGTAGGGCGTGGTGTAGCCAGGGAAAGAAAGCACAGGTGGGGAGCTGGGTCACCGCCCAGCAGCCTCACTTAGCCTCTGTTGCTGATCAAAGCCATCAAGATGAATGGAGTTTCCATCAGGTGTCTTTTCTCTCATTACTTTTCTCTGAGGACTCTTCTTACTTTTCTCTCATTTCTGAGACAAAATACCCAACACCTATAAGTGAAAGGAGGAAAGGTTTATTTCAGCTCACAGTTTGTAGAGGTTTTCGTCCACAGTCGGCTGGCTCTGAGGCAGGGTGGCACATGGCAGGCATCGCAGAGGGAAAATGGTCCATGGTGGGCAGGCAGGTGGGAGGAAGCGAAGCAGCAGCCGGGAGCCTTCCTTTCCTTTCATCCCATCCTGGTTCCAAGCCTTTTAGGTGGTGCCACCCACACCCAGGGTGGACTTCTGCTTTGTAAATCCATTGAGCCACACTCAGAACGATGTTAATTCCAATCAGTGGACTAATGTAGTATCACACAGCCTTAGTCCCAGAATCATGTGCCCTAATCCAGGCAGCTCTGAAAAGCCCCACTTATGAGCATGAGGTTTGAGGGGACATCTAGACACAAGCTGTAAGTGTGGTGAGGCGTGGTGTGCGTGGTAGCCAGGCATGTGGTACAACCCAAAGACTCTCAGGGCCGAGGTGGAGGATCCAAATTCAAGCCCAACCTAGGTAATTTAGTTACTTAGGGAGATCCTGGTTCAGAATTAAAAAGGGACTGGGGAATTGGTTTATTGTGAAGGCTCGGGTTCAGTCACCAGTACCCCACCCACCCACACATACACAAAGATGTCGCACCCCAGTACGGGCACCACTGCTCTGTGGAGGGGAGCAGCTAACTGGGATCATAAGCTCAGTACCAGTGACAAACTAAAGGAACAGAGTTTAAAAAGGAAGGAGATTTATTTGTAAGGGTGAGGAGGAGAAAAAATAGAAAGCTGCCCTGAAGGGCAGGGCAGGGGTTTTCGAAAAATAGAGGAGCCACGGGCCTTTGGCTCTGGCATCTCTGAAGGACTCTTCCTTCTGTCCAGTCCAGGTGGCTTTCTTGGTTTATTCTTGAATTAAACCGGGCACCCTTGCCTCATCATTTCTTTTGGTGGGCTTTGTCCACTGGGCCTTATCTCTTACCAACAGATGTTAGATAGATCGATAGATAGATGGAGATATAGAGATAAATCTCAGCTTTTTCCTGTATATACTTGGCTCTCTTCATATTCTGCCTCTTAGCTCCATCTCTCTGATAAGCCCCTAATATCACATGTGCTGTTTGGTGCCTTTTTAACCTGCCCCCCTATCCTTGAAACTGTTCCTAAGGGAATCTCCCTAGTAGAATTTTAACTCCATCTCATTAGGATTTGCCGAAAAACCTAACTCGGCCCTTATTCTATTCTTTCCCTGCCTAAGGCCCAAGGCCCCTGCAGAGGTCCTTCTGTCTCAAGAGAAGCAGGTGTTGGTGTTTGCCTAGGGTCCTCTGTACCTCTGGGGCAGGCTCTCTAACCGGGAAAGCCCTACAAAGACCACGGCCGTCCTAATGAACGCTGCTGACAAGCTAGAGAGAAGCAGACTCCAAGATTTGGCATCTGCTGCCAGCCATGTCTGTTTCAGCCTTGTTGTACCCAGTGGTCTGTGTCATGGCCCCAGGCACCGTGAAAAAGGAGCACAAGGGATGGAATACCCACAGTGACCTTGGTGGCTTTGAGGACTGCAGCCCAGTCTCACAGACCGCCCCACACATTTGCTGACCTCACTGGTGTCACCTAAAGGCCACACTGTGTGCCTCCCATCCCTCCTGTCTCATCCTAGTGGACGAGTGGGATTCGGGTTTGTTTCATCATGGGGGACCTCACCTGTGAGCCCCTGGTTCGTGGGTAGCATCTGCCGGTTTGTCAATCGGAAAACTACTTTTTCTCCTTTGTGGTTCATTTTGTGGAGAGGTGCTTAGAAACTGTAAATAACCCGTCCCCCTCAAGCTTTAATTTATAATTTCTTCGTATCATGGATTTATAAAAAGTTATAATTATAAAAAATTCATTCAATGGATTATACTGGGGCTTAAACCCAGGGCCTCATGCAACTATGTTCCCAGTTTTTGGTTTTGTTTTGTTTTTAATTTCAACACCGGGTCTTGCTAAGTTGCCCAGGTAGCCTCAGACCTTTGATCCTGCAGCCTCGCCTGCCCTGGCCTCCTGAACACCCAGGTAACAGGCGTGTGCCACCACACCAGCTGTACTGCATTTATTTCAGTGCTCAACTTGGCTAAGATTTGACCAGTGGGAAACTTTTATTCTTTTCACATTTTTTTACACACATTATTATTTTTGGATACCACAGATATTCTAGGCTTGCCCTGGTTTCCCTGCCATAGTCCTGGGAATACACCAGGCTTTGAGTGACCTCATTCATTTTAGTACTCGGGAGCATGGCCACACCCCGTGCCTGGAGGCTCCCTCATGTGTGCTCAGTCTGACTCTGCAGTTCCACACCTGGGCTCCCACGTCCCCCAGGAGGCCTCCCCTGCATGTGATCACTACCTTGCTGTGCCCCATGGATGACTCTGGGATTGTTCAGGAAGAAAAGGGAAGAAGGAACACGTTGACTAGCTGAGGATGACACACACGGTCATTCTTATAAAAAGATAAAAGCATTACTTGGCCTCCCGGTGTCCCCACTGTACACCCTGCTGGATCCCCCTGGGGACTAGAGTAGAAGTCACAATGACCCCAGGGAAACAAGCCACACCCTTACTCTGTTCATATTTTATGTGTTAGTTACTTTTCTTTCCTTGCTGAAACAAAATACCCAACACCCAAAGTTAAAGAAGGAAAAGTTTATTTAGCTGCAATCTGTGGAGGTTCAGTGTGTATTGGGTGGGCTCCAAGGCAGGGTGGCATTCGGAGGAGAGCAGTTTACAGCAGCAGAAGACAGCAAAATCAAGCAGGGAGGGAGAGACAAGTGTCTTTCTGTCCCTTAAATTATATTCAGTCTACTGGGGGTTAGGATGGTGCCAAACCTATCAGTGGATGGATCCAACAATCTCCCATCTTAATCCCAGCACTGCACCACCAATCAATCACACTCTAGATTCAGCCACCTCGGACACAAACCCCTATGACTGCATGAGGCCTTGGGGGGACATCCAGACCTAAACCACAATAGTAAATTTCTGCAGAAGAAACTTAAAGAAACCAGACCTGTGCTCATTAAGTAAACAGACCATACCCATTGGCTGAAGAGGTCAAGCCCAGCTCAGGGCAAATGCAGGCAGGAGCAGGTCCAGGTGGAGCTAAACAAGACAGCGGTGCCCCCATGATCCAACTGCCTTCCAAAAATGCCCACCTCTGAACACATGAGATTTTGGGAAGACATTTTAGATTTAACCCAGAATACCTAACATGTGCAAGGCTTCAGTCCTCAGTACTGCAAAACAAAACAAACTGCAGGCAAATGCAAAGAAAAATTTGTTATTTATTTTTTGTTTTCTTGAGACAGGGTCTCGTTATGCCCTTCAGGCTGGCTTTGGGCTCACTTTGTAGCCTAGGCTGGTCTCAGACTTGCAAGGATCCTCCTGCCTCAGCCTTCTGAGTACTAGAAACATCAAATTTAAAAGGGAGCCTGGTGTGTAAGTGCCTGCCTGGCAAGCTTGAGGTTGGGAGTTCGATCCCCAGTACCAATAAATAAATAAATAAATAAATAAATAAATAAATAAGAGCCAGGTGCTGGGTATGTAGGGGCACACCTATAATCCCAGTACTCTGAAAGCTGAGGCAGGAAAGTTGCTGTGAGTTTAAAGCCAGCATGGTCTACATAGTGAGTTCAAGGCCAGCCTGGAGCACATAGCAAGACTATGTCTAAACAGAACAAAATAATAAATAAATAAATAAATAAATAAAAAGGAGCTAGTTTTTGAGGCTGGAAGTGTAGCTCTGCGTAGCTCATTTGACTAACATAAGTGAAACCCTGAGTCCCTTCCCTAGCACACCCATAATCCCAGCACTCGGGCAGGCTGAGGCAGGACGATTGCTGTGAGTTCAAGACCAGCCTGAACTACACAATGAAACCCTGTTTCAAAAAGCCCAAAAATAAATAAATAAATATTCATCACCAGGGTTAGCATACCAGAAAAAAATAACTCTCCAAGCACCCAACAATTTAAATAAATTCTGGTACATCATACAAATAGTTAAAAGTATGAAGAGTTTTATTTTGATTTTTGGTTCTGAGTATTTTTTGTTTTTGCTGTTTTTAAGGCAGGGTCTCACTATGTAGTTCAGGCTGGCCTTGAGCTCACTATGTTGTCTATGCTGGCCTCAAACTCATAGGAGTTCTCCTGTATCAGCCTCCTGAGTGCTGGAATTACAAATGTATGCTACTACACCTGGCTTGATACTTTCTTAATTATTTCATGAAATAAGGACTTAAAAGTATGAGTGATTTTTAAAATTTTTTCCTGGCTGCTTTACATTTTAAATATTATCTCTAATTTTCTATATTGAACAGGTTTTCTTTGGTAATCAGAGGAGACAGGCACATGATTTATCATGATATATTGCTTGTTTTGTTTGGAGTGTTGGGAATTGAAACAAGAGCTTCTCACATGCTAAGCAAACACTCTGCTAAGGCAGGACATGGACAGGGCAGGAGACACCTTGGTGGGATGCCTTGGAGACCAAAACATGGTTGAAGGCCCTTAACATCCTGACTTGAGACTTAAAAAGATGCTCCTGAGCCAGGCATGGTGGCTCATGCCTGTAATCTCAGCACTTGGGAGGCTGAGGCAAGAGGATTGTTGCAAGTTCAAGACCAGCCTAGGCTACAAAGGGAGCTCAAGGCCAGCCTGAACTGCACAGTGAGACCCTGTCTCAAAAAGAAAAGAAATTACCAAGGAAAAATTGGAGGAAAAAAAAAAAAAGACACTCCTGGCCTTATCACACTTCCATGACTTCTGGCATGGGCCCAAGGAGCACGCTCAGGAGGGTGAATCCCTGCTCGTGACAATATCGTCAGCATTGTGGTTTTGCCACTCCCCGGGGCTCTGGCAGCCAGGCTGTTCCATCTTCTCTCCTATAAAGTCAAAAACACCCCAAGCGCCTGCCTGGCTAGTATGAGGTTGTGAGTTCAATCAGAACCACCCTCCTCCATTGTGAGGGTGGGGACTTTCCATTATTTGGACACAGTCCTTTTGAGTGCCCCATGAAACCAAAGATCCAAGAAAGGTCCCAGTAAATATCTCAAAACCTTAAGAAGATGAGGCCCCTCTGAGATCAACTCTGTCTCGAGTTTTCTGGCCAGCTCACTCCCACCCTGTGGAGTATACTGGCTTTCCATCAATCTCCCTCTCTCTTACTGCATCTGTGTGTCCTGATCAATTCTTTGTTTGGGATTCAAAAAGCCTGGACATCAATGAGACTCATCAACTCTATGGTGACACCTACCCCTAGGCTACAGCTCTAGCCCATAATTTTTAGTTTTGTTTCTTTTTTTTTAAGTAGGATGCTACTACGTAGTGCAGCTAGCCTTGAAGTTGTTTATGTAGCCCAGGCTGGCCTTTTCTTTTTTTTTTTTTTCATACCGGGAATAGAACTTTTATGATTGTCAGGCAGGCACTTATACCACTGAGCTCTGTCCCCAGCTCCTGCCCAGGCTGGTCTTGAACTCAGAGCCATCCTCCTGCTCCAGCCTCCTGTGTGCCAGGATTACAGACGTATACTACCATGCCTGGTTCCACCTCATAATTTCTTTCTACTCCATCATTTTTAAAAATGTTAAGAATTTTAGAGGGCAGTGTCCAGCCTCTCTTCAAGTCTAGAGCTAGGGAGATGGCAGTGCTCCCCAAGGCCTGACAGATGATGAAAGACCAAAAAGAAGAAGGCAGCCTGGCTCAGAGAACTTTCTAGAGCTCCACCAGTTTACCTTTTCTCCAAGTTTTTCCCACTGGCACATAGCTGGCAAAACCAAAGAGCCAAGATCAGGTATGGTGGTGCACACCTGTAATTCCAACACTTGGGAGGCTGAGGCAGGAGGACTGCCATGAGCTTGAGGCCAGCCTGGGCTACTACATAGTGAAACTCTGTCTCAAAAGACAAAACATAAATAAATAAATAAAATAACGATAAAAACTTGAATAAAATTGTTGGAATATTGAAAAAATTCTAAAAATGGAAACTGCTAAATGGAGACAGGAAAAATGAACATGATAGGCAGGTGATTAAAACGAGAGAGGCAGGTGTGGTGGTGCACACCTGTTATCTCAGCACTCAGGGAGGCTGAGCCAGGAGGATCACAGTTGAGCCCAGCTCAGGCAATTTAGTAACTTAATGAGAGCCTGTCTCCAAGAAAGAAAGAAAAAGGTCTGAGATGTACCTTGATATGAAGGTCCTGGGTTCAATCCTCAATACTGAAGAAAGGAAAAAAATAATAAACTTTCCATTTGCCTTAAACAGAGTCAAAGAAGACCTTTCCAAGAAGGACATGAGGGAGAAGAGTGAAGAAATTTCTCTTCAGCAGCTGGGAGCTTCTCCCCTCAAAGAAACCATCTAAGCTGCCCACAGCCTCGTACCAGCTGGGTCCGCTGTGGTCCAGTGTCACGGGGGTCTGGAGTGAGGTGGAGGGACATCAGGGACACTGTGTGGGCAGGAGGGCCACCCCCGCCAGGCCTGGGCCTCAGGAAGAAGCCCTGCTGTCTGCATTCACAAAGAGCAGGCTCCCAGGGGCCAAAGCAGCAAAAGCCTGCTTTCCTGTCCTCCAGATCTACCCTGAGACCCCCATTTCCTCTGCTTCCACCTGAGAACCCTGTTTTTTTGGGGGCAGGGTGACATCTCTACCGCAGGCTGTCCTTGGAACAGTCCCGCTTGGCTTGAGGAACTTCTGTAACTCATTTGAGTTGATCCCTGGTACCAAAAAATAAATAAATAAAATAAATAAACATCACTTTATTTCTGAGGAAATTTAGAAGAGTAATTCTCAATCCTGGAATCACCTATGAGCATTTTTAACAAAGTGCTAGCGCTGGAGGCCATTCCTTAGAATTCTGATGTCCTTAGTTGGGGCTGAGACCCAGGATATGAATCCCTGGTCTAGACATCATTTTCCTAACCAGCAAAAGGAGGTATACCATTTAACCAGTAGGTAGGGTTAATAATTATAACAAGATTATGAAACTCCTAGCTAGTGAGATTATCATGAAGTTAGTAAGCAAATCTTTCCCAGGACAAAGGTAATCTGCACCTTTAACTGAACAAGCACGCTCTCTTATGACATATACTCTGTCCATGAAGTTTCCTGTTGCGGCTTGGCATAACTGACGCCATCTTGAGCCTTGTATTTAACTAGTGCCCTGTATTTGACTCAGAAAAATGGAAAATTACCCAGGGTACAAGTCCCAGGAGAAAAGCAGGATGAGCTGTACCTACAAGAGAAAAATTAACCTGCTCAAGAGAAGCAGCAGGATACAGGTGTCAACCTAAAATTAATGTAAGATTCTAGCTAAATCGTTTCCAACAGTATGTCTTTTTTTTTTTTTTTTTTTTTTTTTGTCTTTTTCCTTTTTATCGGTACTGGGGATCAAACTCACGACTGCCTGCTTGCAAGGCAGGCGCTTATGCTGCTGAGCTAAATCCCCAGCCCCAACAGTATGTCTTTTGTGATGTTCTGTAACTCTGTAACTTTCCAGTTTGGGGCCACTTGTTTGGATCCTGACCCAGGGGGTCTATATACAAGTGGCCCTGAGCTCAGTTAATTAAATTCCAAATTTATCGATTTGGATTCCTGTATCCTTGTTCATGAACCCCTCTCATTTCTCACAAAAAAATGTCATCTCAAAGTCATATCGGTGGACCATAGGATAAATACATAAAGCCTCTGACTGTTCTCATCCTTCTTGGCAAAATACACTGGCCAGAAACTCTCAATGAAGACCAGTCACCATAAGAATGTCTCCATACAGCTGTTTGAACAGGACACCTGGCTGGTGGCCCCTGTGGTCTTTCTGGCGATTGATAAATAGATCTCCGACTCTGCCCCTTTTATACCTGAAGGTGCTGACTAGCTAGGGTGTCTGACTTTCAAGAGACCCTGTGGTGAGAGTCTGTAGACATCTCCAGGTTTCTAAGCAGTACTGGCCAGGCAGCATAGGTGTTGGTTCATAGGATGCCCAGATGCTGTGGTTTACTGGTGATGGCTTAGGCATTATCCCAGGAGCAGAGCAGCTAAATGAAAAGCTGACAGTGTCCTCACCCACTGCTTCAGGCTCCAAAAAAGTTGCTGACAATTGTGCATGGAAAAGGGACCTCTGTGTAATGTGGGTTGTGGTGTTTGCCCAGGAAAACAACTCCAAATGTACTTGGTAATAAGTTCACAACTTGTCACCACACTGGTCAGACCTGTGCTGCCAGGCATCAGGTGCCATCGAGAAATGGACTTTGGCCAGGCGTGGTGGCACAAGCCAGTAATCCCAGCACTCAGGAGGCTGAGGCAGGAGGATCACTGCAAGTTCAAGATCAACTTGGGCTATGAAGTGAGCTCAAGGCCAGCCTGAACAGCACAGCAAGGCCTGGTCTCAAAATGACAAAAAAAGAAAAGAAGAATAGACTTTAAAGAAACTGACAAAGACACCTGGATGCTGATGTATGCACAGTGTGGCCCTTGATTACAGCAGGCTGATCCACTTCCATGGATGAGGCCAGGGAGAAGTGAGCAGGTGTAGAATGGCTATCGGCGCCCAAGCCACAGGTGCATCTTGAACTCTCAATGTAGCCCAGGCAGGTTTCAAACTCATGGCTGTAAAAAGAGGGCTAGGAATGTAGCTCAGTGGTAGAGCACCTCTGGGTTCAAACCTCAGTAAACCCCCCACACACACACACACACTAAGTAACTATACATGACTCTTTATTTGAATCTATTTGAGGGGCTGAGGATTTAGCTCAGTGGCATAAGCACCTGCCTTGCAAGCAGGCAGTCATGAGTTTGATCCCCGGTACTGATAGAAAAAAAAGAGAGGAGTTTGAATCTATTTGAATCATTATCGTTTTTAGAAATAAAAATTTCTCCTCAAAACAAATAGTAATTGTGTATATATATATATATATATATATGTATTTTGGTACCTGAAATCAAACTCACAATCTCACACTTGCCAAGCATGCTCTGTGCCCCTGAATTACAATCCTAGCCCTAACTGAATATAATTTAATGAAAATAATACACTAAAGTGCCTGGATTATTTTAGGAAATCTAATATAAAAATAAGTTGATTATATATACAAGCTATGATAGTGTTCAAATTTTTCAGTTTTAATTATTGAGTTAATTTCAGTATTTATTTTGCCTATGGAATCCTTATTGTGAGGCTTGCTTTAAATCTTTTTTTTTTTTTTTTTTTTTTTGTCTTTTTCATTTTTATCGGTACCAGGGATTGAACTCACGACTGCCTGCTTGAAGGCAGGCGCTTATGCCGCTGAGCTAAATCCCCAGCCCCCTTTAAATCTTAATGTAGATTTGTTTGTAGGCTTTTGAAATTATGCTTTTTGCTATTATAAGTTTTTGTTTGTTTGAGACAGGGTCTCAACTATGTAGTCCAGGCTAGCCTTGAAGTCACTATATAGCCCAGACTGGCCTTGAACTCATGGCAATCTGCCTGCCTCAGCCTCCCAAGTGCTGAGATTACAGGTGTGGTTACTAATATATGTGATTTTTATTTTAATTGTAATATTGATGTCATCAAGGTACGTGTTATTTCCTATGTGATGGTTTTTAATTTTTTAGATTTATTTATTCATTTATCTACTTTTTAATTTTTAGGATGATGTCCCTCTAGACGGCCTAGACTTAGGCCTCCAACTCTGGCATTAAACAATCCCCCAGCCTCAGCCTCCTGACTGCTGGGACTGAAATAGGATCACAGAAATAAAGATAGTAAAATGACAGGGTAAAGCTGAGGCTTCAAGAGAGCATCAAAGTGCCTTTTAGTCCCTCGCCCTGTTTCTTCCAGTTCCCTCATTCATAGATCCCAAGAGTCGTAAAGACACTGAAGTCCACAAATTTCAAAAGTTGCATCAAAGAATTTCATTCCGAATAAACAGGATACTATTAATGGGCAACGTATCTCTAAAAGCAGTTTGTATTTTAACCTAACCTATAGGGTCAGTTTTTGCGCGGTAACCCACTAATGGGCTACCTGAAATTCAGAGAACTTCCAACTTTTTCAACATCATGCATGAGGCTACAATGAACGTCTCTACAAAGAATTTAATCTGCATTTTAAGATGCTTCTTTGGGACAGGAAATGCTTTCAAAAACGAGGGACATTTTTAAGGCTCCTGATAAAACCAAATCATTACTCCCCTTTCCATCCCACAGCCACAAAAACGTCCCGGACCCGCGGTAACAGGCCTGACAACCAGATTCCGGACCGAAGCCGCCTTTCAGCACAAATCGAGGACACTACGGGAGGAAAGCCTAGGCGGACACAGAAATAGGAACCACACGTCCTTTCGGTCTCGTGTCTGGGCACAGTACGTTCCGGACATTCCAAGGCGAGTATGCGACAGCGCCTCCGCACCCAGGCACAGGGCGAAACAGACACAAACAAGCAGCAAGGACTCCACCGAGCAGCTGACACAGGCACGTAGCGCGCCAAAGCTAACGTGAAACCCACAGAGACGAAACGCGCGTCCCGAGTGAGCTGCGCAGCCGCAAAAGGAGTGGGCGGGGCCGAGCTCGGGGGCGGGGCTGACCCGGGTCTCGCGCCTGCGCACGGCGCTCAAATGCTTTGGCGGGTTTTTTCCCCGAACTGCTGGGTTCTGCTTCCCTCGCTGGGAAACCTGGCAGTGGCTTTCTGAAAACAAAAGACCCCCACCCCTTTCAGAGAGACCCGATTCCTACGTCTCCCTTCGGGAACGTGGGGACCACCCCCACTTTCTTTTTTTAAGTAGGCATTTCCTGGTAGCTGAAAGCAGGACCTTCTGACAGCCTGAGGCCATTTGGTCGCCTCCAGTTTCGGCTCCCGGAGGGAGAAGGGGAACCGGAGCCGGGCGGGCCAGGTCCCGGCCCCACCTGAGTCACCATGTCCGAGTCCACCGAGCAGCTGGCGGAGGAGCTGCAGATCTTCGGCCTGGACTGCGAGGACGTTCTGCTTGAGAAACGTGAGTCCGACGTCCACGCCGCCCTACCTGAGCCCCGAGGGGTCGCTTAGCGGTGTCCCGGGCCTCCGCCAGCGGCCAGGGTGGCCGGGAGAGTTGAGGGCTGGGATAAGCGAATTCGCAAAGCTGGTGTGGGTGCTTAGTCGGGCCTATGAACGTAGCCCGGCTTGGTGACGCACGCCTATAATCCCAGCATTGAGAGGCTGAGGCAGGAGGATCACAGCGGCTTCCAGGCCAGTCTGAGCTTCGAAAGAAAAAATATAAACGTGAGGCTTTTTGCAAGACTGAATTGGAGCATGCTGAGTCCCCGGGGGCGTCTCCAAACGTGGAAATTGTTGAAAGCCTGATAACAAAGCGAGAGACTTGGGGTTTTTTGAAACGTAGTTTTTATTCTTGACTCCTCCATTCTTGACTTCCATTTCCTAAACTCTGCTGACCCTTCGCTTCCCTCAGCAGAGCTGTTGGTACTCTGCCCAAGTATGGATCCCTTGAGGTGGAGCCCTAAAATGGACTGTTAGCTTGGGAAGGAAGTGGAGGCAGCTGGTAGGCACCCTTTGTTGCTAGATGGAGGAGCAGAGATGCGGAGCACTAACTGCCTGGGTTGTGAATGAGCCCAGATCTGCCTGGGAGTCTATGTGCCAACGTGCTGGGCCACGAGATCCAATGGTGAGGAGATCCTGGAAGCATAAACTTGGGAGGTGCTGAAGGTCTCAGTTTCGGAACTGGAATGAAATGCACCTGCCTTACCACTCATTTATTTATTTATCTATTTATGCACGGTGCTGGGGATCAAACTCAGCCAGCCCCTCGTGCATGCTGCGTAAGTACTCCATTCCCAAACTACATTCTCAGCCCAGAATGTATTTTCAGTATCAAACCAGAGTGCAAACATGTTAATTCATGACGAAAAACTCCTCTCAGAAGCCAGAACACTTGAAGTCCTTCTGGAGACTTCAGGGAAAGAGATTCTCTTTTTAAAAAAGACTTAGGTGAGAAACCTGGTCATAGTCACAAACGTATTTGGTGAGCATGAAATCAAAGCATGAGAAATCATTTACAGGAACGAGGTCTGGAGAGGCTTCCCACCATGATGCCTGCTGCACCTCCCACAAGATTTACCTTAGCTTCGGATTCCTGGTCATGAACCTCCGTGCATCTCACTGTGCCTCACACTCGCTGTATTTTCCTGGTCTATTCACTCTGCCTCTGCTAGGTGGCTGTTTTTTTTTTCTTTTCCTCCTAAGTCCTATCATTCCTTTCCACCTACCTCAGTTCATCACTCCAGTAAGTCTCTTACAAATTTCTACTTCTCTTCAAGATTGCTTTTCCCATTTATTTGTTATTTATTCATTTATTTATTTTATTTTTTATTTTTTTATTTTTTGAGATAAGGTCTTGCTGTATAGTCCACATTTACAGTGACCCTTCCCGCCTCAGGCCTACCCTTGAGTTAGCAGCAGCACCTGACACTGGCCATCATTCCCTCTACTTTAACGCATGGTCTTCCATTAGCTCCTCTGCCACTGATCCTAGTTACTTGTCAGCCCTGTTTTATTGCCACTTCTTGAGCTTTGCAGATTATTCCTCATCCTAATGTTTGAGTGCCCCAACGCTCAAGTCTGGGATCGTGTCTTGCTAGATTGGTCAGCTCCCCTGGTCTCAAGGCTTTGTATCCTATGTGTCTGCTTATGGCCCCTAAATTTCTTTTTCTTTTTTTTGATACCAGGAATTGAACTCATGACCTCACGCTTACCAGGCAGGTGCTGTGCTGCTGAGCTGTATCCCTATCCCTGGCCCAGTCCCACAATTTCTTTCTTTTTTTTTTTTTTTTGTCTTTTTGAGACAAGGTCTTGCCATGCAGTTCAGGCTGGTCTTGGGCTCACTTTGTAGCCCAGGCTAGTCTCGATCTTGCAAACAATTCTCCTGCCTCAACCTCCAGAGTGCTGGGATTACAGGAGTGCACCCTGTAATTACCACGCGTAAACCTCTTGCCTGACTGTGGGCTGGTTTGTCCAGCTGTCTACTTGATATCTCCAGTTGAGTGTTTAGTTGGCATCTCTAAGTGCATCTAAAACCAAGTTCCTCTAACTCCTCCAGTGCTTTTCCTCATCTTAGTAGAAGCCCAGCCTTCTGGTTGTGCAGGCTAAAACCATCAGCATCAGCCTCGACTCCTGTTTTTCTCATACATCACTTCCAGTCAGCAAATCCTGCTGGCTTCACCTTTAGGATGTGACCTACTTGGGGGCCTTTCTTTCACCACTTCTACTGCCACCACCTGGACCTGTCATCTCTCACCTGATCTTGCTGTGGTTTTTCTTACTGCTCCCACGTGTCCTGCCCTGGCTCCTTCCTCCTGTGCCTACCCCAGCAGCCAGAGTGAGCCTGTTGATGTAAATTAGATCATACCAATCATTCCATCCAAACCATCAGAGCTCCCCTGTGTTGCTTAGAGCACTGACTGAGTTGAGGACAATGGCCGGCAGCCTGCACCCCGGCACTATCAGCCCCTCTGCTGCCTTCTCACTCACTGCATCACAGCCTCACTAACCCTGTGTTGGCTGGCCTTGAACTCGCAGTGATCTTCCTGCCTCAGCCTCATGAGTGCTAGGATCACAGGATGCACCACCATGCCCAGCATGCAGCTTTGTTTTGCTGCACATCACATTTCATCACTTAACACATCACATTACCCACTTCCTAACAAGGGCTCTTCTCTGTCCACTATGGTCTTCCCAGTGTCTACAAGAGTGCCAACACTAGTAGATGCTGAATAAATATTGACTGGATAAATAGAGGATTGTTTTTCCTTTTCAAGATGAAAGCTGAAGAAACCAGCAAGTCCTTTCTTGTCTAATTTCCCTTCCTGCAGTGGCAGAGCTTTGTATCCTGTATGGACCGAACAAGGAGGGAGTGGTAAGCGAGCTCATAGCCTTCTGCACCAGCACAGGCAAAGTCTGCCTCACCTCAGAGATCCTGAAAACGTTTGAGCACGAGGTAGGAACAGAGTGGAGCAGACTAATCTGCTGCTGGGGTAGATGTGCGGTGTATGGGGGAGGCTGTGGGCCTTGGAATCAGACCTGGATTCCAGGCTCGATGTCGGCTAGACAGACTACTTACTGCCTCCAAGCCTCAGTTTCTGGTCTGCCAGATGTTCTAATAATACATATTTTTATGATTGTTCTCAAAATGGGAATAAACGTAAAGCACCAAAAACTGTGACCAACAGGTGGTGGCTCTTGACCACATGATTGGTGTCATTTGAGTTTGTTATTTTTGGTTATACTTTGAGTGCCTATTGTCTCAATACAGTAGAAAGTGCCTCCCTGTGACCAGACTATGGAACAATATATTCACTCTCTTTTTGTTCTCAGATTTTGAGCAAGAAAGTTTCCAAAACGTGGTCTAGCGCCACCAAGGACAGTGGACATGCGGGAGCTAGAGACATTATGTCTATCCAAGAGCTGTATCCTTTTCTGCTGAAGTGTTGTCATTTTTTTTTCTACAGTTGCTTGTGTAATTTTTTTTTTTCTTGTCTTTTTCCTTTTTTATCGGTACTGGGGATCGAACTCACGACTGCTTGCTTGCAAGGTAGGCGCTTATGCCGCTGAGCTAAATCCTCAGCCCCTGCTTATGTAATTTTAAAACAAATAATAAAGATTACTTCGTATGCATATTTCTTATTTAATCATCTCTTGCTTTAGGTTCGTTACTGTTTTCCTTAACTAATATCTTTAGAATTGAAGTGGAGGAAGAAGAGGAAACCCTTTTGAACTCTTATGCCACACCCTCTAAGGTGAATATATAATGTTTGAAAATAGCATTTAAGGGGCTGGGGATTTAGCTCAGCGGCATAAGCGCCTGCCTTACAAGCAGGCAGTCGTGAGTTTGATCCCTGGTACCAATAAAAACGAAAAAGACAAAAAAAAAAAATAGCATTTAAGGGCCAGGGATTTAGCCCAATGGCATAAGCACCTGCCTAGCAAGCGTGAAGTCATGAGTTCCATCCCTGGTACCACCAAAAAAGAAAAAAGAAAATACGTTGCTGGGGGGGCTGGGGGTTTAGCTCAGCGGCATAAGCACCTGCCTTGTAAGCAGGCAGTTGTGAGCTCGATCCCCGGTACCGATAAAAAGAAAAAAAAGACAAAAAGAAAAAAAACATTGCTGGGTCTGGTGACACATTCCTACAATCCCAGCACCTAGGAGGCTGAAGCAGGAGGATCACTGCCAATATGATACTACCCCAGGCTACATAGTGAGTTCAAAGCCAGCCTGAATTACAGAGCGAGACCCTGTCTCAACCCCCTCCCAAAAAACCCCACAAAACAAAAAAATACTGTCATACCTAGGCATGGTGGCATACTCCTATAACCCCAGCACTCAGAGAGCTGAGACAGAAGAATCACTGTAAGTTTGAGGCCAGAGTGGACTGTATAGTGAAACCCTGTCTCAAACAAAATAAAATTTTAAAAGGGTTGGGGATGTAAGCTCGGTGCAGAGACTCTGTATTCAGGCACTAGTAATGAAGACACATACACACAAGTTATAAAGATCTGAGGCAGAAAATCAATCATGCTTGTACTATTGTTCTACTTAAGATCTTTCTTTCCAGTCAGATTCATAAATATTTTTTATAAAATAGCAGTTCTTAGTCAGGCATGGTGCCCCACACCTGTAATCCCAGCACTTGGGAGGCTGAAACGGGAGGATCACTGTGGGTCCAAGCCAGGTTGAACTAAGTAGTGAGTTCAAAGCTAGCCTCAACTACATAGCAAGACTTTCTTGAAAAAAAAAACCCTAGTCCTTATGAACATTTTGCTTTTTTCAGTCAGTGTGTCAAAAATGTCTACTAAATTGCCTTTATTTTTGAGACAGGGTCTCAGTGTGTAGTCCAGGCTAATCTTGAACTCAATACATAGCCCAGGCTGGTCTCAAATCTCCATTACTCCTCCTACTTCAGCCTCCCAGGTGCTGGGATTACAGGTCTGGGTCATTGTGCCTGGCATTAGTTATTTGCTTGTGTGTGTGTATGCGCATCTGTATTTTTGAGACAGGGTCTCACTTTGCAGTTCAGGCTGGCTTTAAGCTCACTCTGTAACCCAGACTGGTTTTAAACTCACAATGATCCTCCTGCCACAGCCTCCTGAGCACTGGCATTGCAGGTATACACCACCATGCCCAGCATCTTTATAGTAAATTTCCAAAAATCGATGAATATGGAACAAATAGTGTTTCAAAGGAAACAGCACACTGAGAAATATGGTTAAGGCTGACATGGTAACATATGCTTGTAGCCCCAGCAACTTGGGAGGCCAAGGCAGTAGGATCATAAGTTCAAGGCCAGCCTGGGTCTGGGCAACTTAAGAGACCCTATCTGAAAATTTTTAAGAGGAGGTTGAGGATATAGCTCATTGGTACAGCACCTGCCTAGGATGCATAAGGCCAGGGTTCAATCCCTAGTACCACATAGAAAGAAAGTGAGAGCCTGGTGCAGGTCTGTAATCCCAGCATTGGGGAGGCTGAGGCAGGAGGATTGCTGCAAATTTGAGGTCAGCCTGGGTTACGTAGCAAGACCTCTCTAAAAACAAAAACTATGCCCTACAAAGTTATTAATACAACTGGCTACAGCAAATGACGGCATTTTCCTTAGAGCTTGTTGAGATTGGAGAGACTAACTCAGCTCTTGCTGTCCCCTTAAAGGTCGTCTTTCCAGAGTCCACATCCCAGTGCAGGACCTTCCATGCTGCCATTTGCTCGGCCATGAGCTTGGGAGATCGCCTTAAATCTTTTTCTTCCATTCAAAATCTAACAGTGCCGTCCCACCACCTTCCAAGGTCGGCTACCTCTCACCTCCTCCAGGGCCACCTCAGCCCCTGGTCTCCTGAGTGACTGGCACCTCCCAGTCGGTCCCCTGGCTTTTTCCTGCCTTGCTTGCCTCTGACCAGTTTTCCCCCAGCAGCCAGACCATCTGAGTCCCCAGAGAGTTGGGCTGGGTGCTCTTCACTTGGCCCCCATCTTCCCCTTCATCCCCTCCTTTGTCACACTGGTCCCCTGCTGTCTTTAGACAAACCAGACCTGCAGTCCCCTTTTGAGGAGAAGGAGGCTTGGTTCTTCCTTTCCTTGCTTTCCCTTAGTTTGTTTTGTTGTCCAGCTACAGTGGGTCCTGCAGTTGCTTCCCTGTTGGGCTCTCTCCGTGACAGTGGAGGCCCCTGGGTGGCGGTGCTTCTGTTTGGTGCTGTCCTCCTGCCGCCTGAGCCTAGGTACTTGTTGAGCTACCACCGTGTGTTAGAAGGGTCTTTTGGAGCAATATTTGGTGAAAATGTATCAAAGCCATGAGATTCAAAGTTGTGCCTAATTAATTTGTAATCTGGCAGCAGAGATGTAATTATATAAATTCTTCTGCAGCAGTTAAATAACTACTAAAAAGCATAAGGGTTGTAAACCTGGCATGGTGATGGATGCCTGTAATCCCAACACTTGGGAGGCTGAGGCAGGAGGATCACTGTGAGTTTAAGGCCAGTCTGAAGTACATAGACCTATGTCTCAAAAAACCCCAATCTGCAAAGATGGGAACATGCTCACAATTAATAGAGCAAAAAATAATGTAAAATGCAGTGGTACCTTGGTTCTCAGACTTAATTCTTTTTTCGGGGGGAGTACTAGGGATTGAGCTCATGCATGACCTCGCACTTGCCAGGCAGGCACTTATGCCGATGAGCTAAATCCCTGGCCCCCACAGACTTAATTCTTACCATAATTCTGGTCGCAAACTGAATTGGAGAAGAACCGAATCAGATTCAATGATTGGGTTCATTGTTTACCTAATGGTGAAATTTGATTCGGTTTGCAACCAGAGTTAGGAAAGAATTAATTTTGTGAACCAAGGTACCAGTGTACTTCGGTTTATATGTAAGCTAGATTATAGCTACTAAGATTTGTGTCTTTTTTAAAACTGCAAAAATTACTGAAATAATGTGAAAGAATATTAAAAAGTAGTTACTGTGTGAGGGGAATGGCATAAGAATGGTTTTTAAAATTAGCTGCTAAAAAAATAACAAATAAAAAAATAAAATTAGTTGCTCTTGCTGCTCCTCGGGGATTTTGAATTTGTCCCCCAGGGTCCACCGATCCATACATGGTGGCATAGCTTAAACATGCCGCCAGGGGGAGTCCTTGGGTAGAAAAAGTCTGCAAACCAGGGAGGCCTCCGGGTTGTGTAAGGGGCTAGGGTTTTTATGTTTCTTGTGTTACACTCAATTATCCTAGACTTGAGGGAGGCCGGAGTCTCTGGGTTCCAGCTCCGTGCTGGGCTTATCTTGGGATTCTTGTTGCTGAGCCAAAAACCCCAGAAGTGACCAGCAGTGAGGTGTTCGCTAACTATTCTCCAAGTATGAGCTCAACTGTGTTATCTGCCTGGAGTGGTTCCCGTCTTTAATTTGGAAAATGTGTGGTAGACTTGGCCAAAAGCAGTTACATGGTCCCATCTCTTCTTGGGGAAAATGTGTGCAGAGGTCAGAGCCATAAACTTTGTGAAACCCAGAGCTGCTCTAAAGTGGAGAGGCCACCGTGAGAGCACCTGGCGACCTGTCAGGACCCTGCCCACCTGGACAATCCTTTTCGGAAAATGATTGTTTTTTTTCATAATTGCCCTCAAGTCAGGGCAGTAAGCTGATGAATACTGAGTTGTAGGTGTTGCAGATTTCTTTCCAGGGTTATGCTTGGAAGATGGGGCCTTAGGAGAACCCACCCAGGGCCTTCCGTGCCCTTCATTTAGGCCCCACTTGACCTTTTCGTCCTAAGGAGCTGCACACTTCCTTAGCGGCTTGGGTCCAAAGCGACTGGGATATTCTCTTCCGTTGTGTTCCTAGGGTCCTCAGAAGCGAGCTATCTCTACCCTGGAGACTCCCATCATGAAAAGAAATGTGTCTGTTCGCAGCCCACATCAACTCCTCTCGCCCTCGAGTTTCTCTCCAAGGTAGGGATGTCGTGGACTCTGGGGCCAGAACATGCTGTCCTGCTGCGGGCTGACAGGGCCCACTGCAGAGTCACTCATTAACCAGGAGGAGGCAGATTCCGCCCTGAGCTGGCTGGAAAGCCTGTTACCTTCTGGCTTCTCAGCTTTCTCTTCCTTTGTGGAAAATTACTGTTTCTTACAGTAATTAAGGAAACTCACTTTCTACCCACTTTTTCTAGGCTCAGTTTCCTATATCAGGAACTGATATCTTTTATTCAAAACAAACTGCCTATTCAGAAGCCTGGGAAGCGTGTGAGTCTTGCCAGGAAAGGCAAATAGGCTTTCACTTGCCTCTGTTCATGTTTTGTTAGGTTTCTTTCTCCATTTTAAAATCTGAAGTTATTTGTTTTTTTAAAAAGAAACACACATCTTTGTTCATAATGTTGTGTAACCTGTTTCTTGTGCCTCACTCCGGTTACAACTGGTTTCTGGTAGTTTTCTTGTCACCGAATCTACCCTGGCTTAGTTGATACTTTATTCCTTGCTCATTATTGATCACAAAGATCATATGTGATTTTTTTAAACCTGTGAATGATATGTCTTAGGTTAGAGAATCCCATATTGGTGTTTCCCCAAGTAGAAGTGTTTACAGGTCCTGTTGTGTCTGTACCAACGATGTTAACCATTTAACAAACCAGTTGCCAGGAGTCCTTTCTAGACTAACTTAACTGAAGTTACACTTTTTCAGCTCTGTCACCTTAGAAAGGCAGTGACAGAAGCTGTACACTCATTCAAGATGAGCGGTCAGTGGATTTTGTTTGTTTTGTTTTTGTTTTTTGAGGCAAAATCTAGCTGTGTGGCCCAGGCTGGCCCTGATCAAACTCAGCAATCCTCCTACCTCAGCATCCCGAGTGCCCACCTGGCAGATGCTGCTGGTGCAAGCCATGGGTCTCAGAGGTGCACCAGCATCTCTACAGGGGTGCCGCCCTCTGAACACAAGATCCTATGATCCTGTGCCACCTGCAGATCTGTTTACAGCTGGCCCCTGAGCATCCGATTGCATTAAAGGGCTGGGCGTCCCCTGGAGCCGTACCGGCAGAAGCTCCCAGAAGTCGGTACTTTGCCGTCTCATCATCTTTTAATATATGCTAATAAAGCTGACCTCAGAAACTGGTTTTGTAATTTATGAAAGTAACTGATAAATTATTCAGTAGAGGTCGAGCTTACTTTCTGGAGCCTCTGTGTGGAAAGGGTGGTGTCAGCCGCAGTGGTGCCTTGCACAGAACTGGTTCTGCAGAGTTTCGCACGTTAAAGGAAGCCTGTTGTCAGCGGGCTTCTCTGTATGTGATGTTCGCAGCCAAGGAGATCAGCGGCATGCGTGTGCTCTTGGAGGTGTTTAGCTTGAGAGCAAGGGGCTGGAAATCCAAGGCCTTGCCAGCTGAGTCCCGGAGCTCGGGAATGTTCGATCACTGGCTGGCTCTGAATCCATTCCGTCCCCACCTCCGCAGGCTCTGGGGAGAGATGAATGACTTCAACTTCATTTTCTTGCTGTTTCCAGCTTGAACTATTTCGTGAATTTCATAACCCGCTCAGACTTGTTTGATTTATCCACAGCTGTAGGCTCAGCTGCTGCCCTAATGTTGAGAATTCATAAGAAGGAAGGAAAAGGACACTTGCAGCTTGCAGCAGCAGAGTTTAGGTTTTGTGTGGCTTTGTTTAGGTGTAATGCCGGGAGAATGACAGCCTTTTTAAACATGTTTCTGTCTTTGCACTCTAAGCACATTCGGTATTCCTGCGTGGCCTGCTATTCCTCAGCCCCTCATTCCTGAAATTCCTGCAAAGTCCCAGTCTGTCCAGCCCCATTCGGCTGATGGGATTTATAAACCATATTGCTTCTTCTCTGCTCCTTCCTTCCAAAGGCTAACTTTATTTTGCTCCTCTTTCCCTCTTCAGCTACAAACACAGTCATATTAATCTGTTTTGCTTCTAACTAGCGCTACTCCCTCCCAGAAATACAACTCAAGAAATAACCGCGGAGAGGTGGTCACCACCTTCGGCTCAGCACAGGGGGTGACTTGGTCTGGGAAAGGAGGAGCTGGACACATCAGCCTGAAGGTGGTGGGGTATCCAGAGCCCCTGACTGGCAGCTACAAGTCCATGTTTCAGAAGCTCACAGATGTCCGAGAAGGTGAAATGCCCTTTGAAATTCTATCAGCTGTAAAACCTCCTGGAAGGGTCAGAGAAAGCAGCTGGTTCCAAGGCCGCCTTGGACTGTGTGGGTCGTGGGTGGTTCAGTGCCTGGTGCAGTCCCTATTAGTGAGGGCCGGTGGGTGGTGCAGTCAGTAATTCTGCAAGTTCCATCACTTCGCTGAGAAAGAAGCACGTGGTGATTCCCATTAATGAAAACTTGAAGGAATTTGACCTAACATTAAGGACATTTTATAGCTTCTTCCTTAAGCCCTCTCCAGTTTGGCTTTGACTTCTCCAAAACATCCATGGTGACCTGAGTAAAGGGAAGGCACAGGGTAGGGACAGGGACTAGGCTGAGTCTCTAGGGTTGCCTGGCACCAGCTCTCCTGTAACCTGACTGATACTCTACCGCATGCTGTGTTTTCTCTTCTTGCAAGTGAAATGCCTTAAACACAACCCATTTTCATCTCTGGGATTGCAGTTCTGACCTGTAAGATAGAAGAGCTTGGCAGCAAACTCAAGGAACATTACCAGATTGAGGCTTTTACTCCTCTTCTGGTCCCAGCACAAGTAAGAGTTGTTCTAAGAACTTTCATTGATATTAATTAATGAAAATTAATTAATTAACTTTTAAATCAGTGGCAAAGGGACACCCTTTTCCATTTCACCTCTGTTTCGTAGTTAGAGCATCCAGCCCAGCTGAACTTGGTAAAATGGGTCCTTCTGAGGACAGACGAAGAAACGCTCCCTGTTGTTTTTGTTTCTTTCTTTTCTTTTGAAGACAGGGTCTCACTACATAGTTCAGGCTGGCCTTGAACTCACTCTGTAGCCTAGGCTGACCTCAAACTTGCAGTGATTTTCCTGCCTCAGCCTCTTGAATGCTGGGATCTCAGCCACTGCGCCCAGGGTTCCCTGGTTTTGTGAGCAGAGAGTTATTCTCTTCCCACTTGGATTGGCATCTTATATGCAAGCAAATGCTGAAGGTCTCACTGTCCTTGGTGGTGGGGTCAGAAGCCCCAGAGTGTCCCTTCAGATCGAACACATCCAGGACAAGAGCAGCAGCAGGCACAGGTTTCCAGGGTCTTGTGACCTTTTGGTCTGTGTCACTGTAGACCCATGACGACCAGTAGCATCTTTCCATCATGCGTGTGGGCCAGCTACTCTAGTATCTTTCCTTTAATTGGAGGAGAGATGTTCCTTAGTCATATGTTTGCATCCAAGGAAGAACGACCACTTGGGGAGGATGACCACATGATCTCCCATCTCTGCTACTCAGTCTCCCATCTGTAAAGTGGGTTCAACAGTACTCACCCCTTGGGTATGGAGGCTGAGTGAATAAGTGCATTACATGTATTTAATGGCTAAATGTGAGTTGTCCACAGCTTTGCAGGTCAGGGTCCCTGTACCCTTGGGGACTGTGTGGTGTGGTGAGGTGCACGGGTGCCCTGCAGCATTCTTCTGGCATCAGCATCAGTGCTGTGGTCACTTCAGGGCCAAAATGATGTCCTGCTAAGAGCACTCGTGCTGGAGTGAGGGTGTTTGCTGCACCCCCTGTTGATTTCAGATGTTGTACTCCTGTCCCAAGACTGCCATTCTCATATGGCACCCTCCCTTTGGTAGGAGCCTATCACCGTGTTGGGCCAGATTGGCTGTGACAGCAACGGGAAGCTCAACAGCAAGTCGGTGATCCTCGAGGGAGACCGGGAACATTCCTCCGGGGCTCAGGTTCCAGTGGACCTGTCGGAGCTTAAAGAGTACTCTCTGTTTCCCGGGCAGGTGAGGTCAGAAGAGGCCACCCTAGGGAGCAGGTATACTCTTGGGGGGTGCTGTGGGCAGCCAAGTCTCGGTTCCCTTCTGTGACTCTGTGAGGTGCAGACCCCGTCCCCGATTCTGCCCTGGGTGTGCTGAGGCAGCTAGGGGATCTCACTCGCTAGGTTCCGCCCCAGCTCCACCCCACAGTGTGCGGAGCTGTGCGCTTCACCTAGAGTGAGACAGACTGAGACGGTACGCCGTGAGGATGAGATCATCTGTGGACAGCGTAATTAGCAATGCTAACGCAGCCTCCTTAATTTGTTTTCCACAAAGATGCCATAAGTCTAAAGTTACAGAATCCTTAATCAAAATAATTTCTAGGCATTCAGCTCCCCCACTTAACCATCCTGTTCTGTGTCTTTGTCTTTCAGGTTGTGATTATGGAAGGAATCAACACCACTGGGAGAAAACTTGTTGCCACCAAACTCTATGAGGTACAGAGAGGCTAAACTACCTTGTAGCCTAGTTTGACCAGTGTGAGTTCAAGGCCAGCATGAACTACGGAGTGAGATCCGGTCTCAGAAAACAAAGCACACATCATTTTTCTTTTTTTTTCTTTTCTTTTTTTTCTTGAGACAGGGTTTCACTATGTGATTCAGGCTGGCCTTGAGCTCACTTTGTAACCCAGATTGGCCAAGAACTCCCATCGATCCTCCTGCCTCAGCCTCTCAAGTGCTGGGGTTATGGGTGTGCGCCACCACACCTGGCTAAACTGGTCCTTTTTAAGGGCCTGTATTTTAGGGTGTTTTGTTTTGGTCTTGGCTTTGGGTTTTTTGTTTGTTTTGTTCTGTGTTTTGTTTCTGTCTTGTTTGGTGTTTTGTTGTTGTTTTATAGGGGTTGGGTTTGTATTTTGGTTGTTTTGTTTTGTTTGTACTTCTGGAAATTCAGGGCCTTGCATATACTAGGCAAGCACTGTACCACTGAGCTATATCTGCAGTCCTTTTTATTTTTGGTCAAAGTCTCACCACATTGCCCAGGCCGACCTTGAATTTGCAATCCTCCTGCATCAGCCTCCAAAATAACTGGGATTATAGAAGTGCACCACCACAGGCAGCTAAAGGCCTGTTTTTCAGTATCTGTAGAGTTAGAACCAACCTCCAGGCTGTAGGTTAACTATTTTTCTAAAGGGCCAGTTAATATTTTAGGCTTTGCAGTCCTGTGTCGGTGATGAAATTGTTACTCTAGTACAAAAGCAGCCACAGACAATTTGTAAACAAGTCCAGTGAATTCCAATAAAAGTCTCCATGTATAACAGGCTACAGGCAGACTTTGCCCTCGGGCAAGGTCAACCTGTCTCAGCTTTGGGCAACAGACCTCTGGGGACTAAAAGCAGCAGGACACACTTCTCTCATGGTTGCCTGGAAGCATCTGACGTTTCAAACACTTGCTCTGTGCTCTATGCTCTGTTGTTCCTGGGTGTTTGGAGAGAATTCATCAGTGAGCTCCAACAGCACCCTGGGCACTTGGCAGTTCCCCCACACAGAGTGAGGCAGAGCCCCATCCTCCCCTGCCTCACCCTCCAGTCCTCCCACAGCCACCCCCCCTTTATGTAGTACACAGCGATGGTTGGCGCATGGACTTAGCTGAGCTTTTCTTCTGTTTTAAGGGTGTGCCGCTTCCTTTTTATGAGCCCACTGAAGAGGATGGAGGTAAGGTTTTCATTCAAAAATTGTTTTGCCAAAAGATTGGTAGACAGGGTTCTAGGAATGTGGATCCATAGGCCCAAGAAAGCTGCAAAGCTGTTGAGACCGGATCTCACTCTGTAGTTCATACTGGCCTTGAACTCACTATATAGTCCAGGCTGACCTCAAACTCAAGGCAGTCCTCCTCCCTCAGCCTCCTCAGTGCTAGGATTACAGGCATGTGCCACCACACCCAACTTATGTGTGCTACTAAAAAGAGTTTATTGTCATTCTAGATTGGATCCTAGAAAAGAGCACAGGTAAAAAAAAAAAATCATGATGTCTGAATAAACCAGGAGTTTATTAACAGTTACATACCAGTGTTAATTTCAACAAACTACCGTAGTTACATAATGATGTTAACGTTAGGGGTACTGGGTGAAAGATATATAGGAATTCTGTGCTATCTTTGCAACTTTTTAAATTCTAAAGTTATTCCAAACTTTTTAAAAAAAAAGCTCGTCTAAAAAGAACATCAAAGCAGGAAAGCCTGGTGCTACTTGGAGTTAATGTAGATAGGCAAAGGAAATCTTGACAAAGCTTGCTTCCAGATACCTTCAGGTCCTTGTGAGCACAGTGGAATACCTAATGCTGAAGATTAGCTCCAGGCGCCAGCGTTGGTGTGTCTGCACCCTGGACACATTCAGTGTGCGAGGTCATTCACAGAGCTGACCTGGAATCAGGATGAAATTCAGGAGTTCGTGATATTGCACCAGATATCAGAAAATAGTTGTAAGGGGGCAAAGGTGGCAGGGTGACACTAGGTCAATTTCAAGGAATGGTATAACATGGCTTACGTGCCAGGTGCCTGAGCTGTGTGCCAGGAAAACTTTTAGAAGGTGTGGAGATACAGAATACAAGAGGAGGACCTCACCCTGCTGGCATGCATGCACACTCTGGGACTTACATCTCCTGTTAGAACCAAACACAGCTTTGTCCCCCTTCCCCTTGAGCCCTCTGCCCTGGCCCATGGTGTCACCGCATAGTGCGCCCCCACCGCCCAGAACCGTGCATTTGTTACTTTCTATGGTGAAGGGAACTTGGTTTGTACGAGTAAGTCAGAGGCCTTGAGTTGGGGATTAGCCTGGATTACCCAGGTGGAATGGATGGCATCACATGGCTGCTTATAAAGACGGTGGCAGGGAGGTAGATGGAGCCTGAGAGCAGCTTTGAAGACTAGGACATGGGTCCGGGCAGCATAGGTGGCCTCTGGGAGCTGGGAAGGATGAAGACACCAGTTCTCCCCTAGACCCTTCAGAAAGGACGCAGCCCTGCTGAGACCTCAGTTTGAGGACTCCTGTCCCCAGGACTGTAAGATAAGAAATTTTTGTTGAGCCACTAAATTTCAGCGATTTTTGTTTTTTGGTACCAGGGATCAAACTACCCGACCTTGTGCTTACCAAGCAAGTGCTTTAGAGATCTGCTGAGCTAAATCCCCAGCCCAATTTGAGATAATTCGTTAAAGCAAGGACAGGGAGCTAGAACAACTGCATGTTAAGAAGTCAGAGATCCTTGGATTTTGTTCATATAATCTACATGGAAATTGACTCCAACTAATTTTATTTTATTTTATTTTTGTTTTTAATTTTTTTTTTTTTTGTCTTTTTCTTTTTTATCGGTACCGGGGATCGAACTCACGACTGCCTGCTTGCAAGGCAGGCGCTTATGCCACTGAGCTAAATCCCCAGCCCAACTCCAACTAATTTTAAAAAGTAAGAATTTGTCCAATATTCAGACTGGACAGGGACTAGAAACTGAGGGACCAGGACCTGGGCCTGGCAGCTCTGTGTCCAAGCTGTGTCCTCTGGGCATCTAAGCTGGACAAGGCCAGCTCTGCCTTGTCTCTTTGGATGGTTTACCTGGAGACTCAGATCCCAGGATGGGTGTGAGAGCCCTGAGCGGCGCCTGTGCCCCCTTTAGCTAGGGAAGGCCTGGACACTGGGTTCCAGCCCCACAGAGACTTGCAGCAGGGGAGAGACAGGATAGCACTTGCTCAGCAGCTGGAGTCTCCCTCCCTGGCCTTTCAGCCCAGCCTGCCTTCTGGACTTTTCAGTGCCCATGGTCCCCTGCCACCTGGAGGGTTACATGGTCCCTAATGCTGATTGCTCTTGAAGTGTGGTGCTGTCCTGTACTCTGCCTTGCCCTTGCTCCCAGGAGAGCACATCTAGTGGCTGCCTCCTGGCTGCCACTGCCTCACACGGGCCACCACACTCTTGGGTGGTGCCAGTGCACTGGTCTGTGTCCAACCCGCAGCGTGTTTAAGGAGGGCCGGGGTGAATACTTCCTCCCCTTGGATTCCGAGTCGCCAGAGGAGTCTCTCCAGACGGTGGATTCCATAGCCCTTTCCTCCAGTGGCCTCTCCCACCATCCTGCTGTCAGTCTTCTAATCAAGACCTGGCGATCTTTTCTTAGGTTTTGAGCAAACCATGGTCCTCGTCGCCTGTGGGCCATATACCACGTCTGACAGCATCACTTACGACCCCCTGCTTGACCTGATCTCCATCATCAACCACGACCGGCCGGATGTCTGCATCCTGGTAGGGCCCCAGGGACGCTGTGTGCTGGGAGGCAGCAGCGGGAAAGCTGGGGAGTCAGCCTTAGATAAGGATCTCAGTGCTGTTCTAAATCTTAAACACGTCAGGCTTTTTTTTTTTTTTTTTTCTTTTTTTGACTCATGTAGTTCAAGCTGGCCTGGAACTCACTATCGCCCAGGCTCCATGCTGGCCTCAACTCCATGGCAATCCTCTTGCCTCAGCTTCCCCCAAGTGCTGGGATTTTACAGATATGCACCACTTTCCTTTAGTTCTTAAGCTACATCTTGTAGAGCTGTATACGATCAAAAGCTTTGCTAAATCTGAAAGTCCATTTGTTTTCATGGCCTTCCACTGATTTCACAGAGTTCTTACCTGTCTCTAAACCAGCCTCTAAATCAGTCTCTGCACGTGTCCCATAGTTAGCATGGTGCTCACTTGCCCTTCGAAGTCCCAAGAAGCACCGGGAGCCCCTCCATGCAGGGCTCAGTGCTTCTGCCCATGCTGTTGGCCTGATTCCCCCTACCCCATCTGCTGCCTGTCCCCCAGCTCTCTGGATGCCTTGGAGGGACGGGTGGCCCCTGGGCAGAGAACAGCTGGGAGAGGTTATCTGGAGGTGCAGATGGGTGCCATCCTGACTTGTTCTTCTGCTGCCTTGTTCTCCTCCCGGCCCCCTGCAGTTTGGACCTTTCCTGGATGCTAAGCACGAGCAGGTGGAGGTGAGTATCTGGGCCGGCAGAGGAGGAGACTGAGCAGTCTTGTTTGGTGCGGCCCTCCCTTCTCTCCCTCTCGGAGTTCATCTGTAAGGAGCCCAAACAACCTGGGCTAACGAGAAGAACATCGGCTCCAGCTCCAGGGGTTCTCATGCCAGGTCACCTGGAAACTGGGGAGGGCACTGGAAGCGCCTTGGTCCCTTGGGGCGCAGGCTCAGTAGCACAAACCCAGGAACCCTGGTCACAGAGCTGTTAAAGGGTCTGGCTGTAGCTGGCTGCTGTCCCAAGCTGGTAATTCACATCGGGTGCATAAAACACACAAATATCCCCTCCCGGGTCATCTTCGTGATAGAGGGTCAGGGGCTTCTACCCCGTCAGGAGTTTCACCTTCCCTGGAAGTGCTCTGCCTTTTAGTCTCTTAGTTTGTGTCCGAGAGGATGAATTCTTACTCCAGCCCTAGATCAGCCCCTATCTGCCCCAAGCCCAGCAGCTGGCGTGGGAGAGTTCCCACCAGAGGATGGGCGCCGGCCGCTGCCCTCTGAACCCACGTCCTTCCTCTCTTGCAGAACTGTCTGGTGACCAGTGCGTTTGAAGATGTTTTCAAGCAGTGTCTGCGAACCCTTATTGAAGGGACAAGAAGGTCAGAATTGCAAATGCTAGATGGACTCTGAGGCTGGCTAGGTTCTTCCAGCACTTCCCTTCCCCATAAGAGGCAGAAGCTAGGGGGCTGGGGATTTAGCTCAGCGGCATAAGCGCCTGCCTTGCAAGTAGGCAGTTGTGAGTTCGATCCCTGGTACCAATAAAAACGAAAAAGACAAAAAAAGAGGCAGAAGCTGTCGGAAAGGAATGCAAGTTCCTGTCCTTCCATCCTTCTGAACTTTGAGATCAGATAGAACCCTTGAACTCCAAGAGCACAGATGCAAAGTGGAGAAGCATCTGTGTAAAACAGATAAACAGACTAAAAAGAAAAGACTCCAGGGACTCTCCCTCTCCCTTTGCTCTTTCTTCCTCTTGTTTACTTGCTTCCTCTTCTCACTCTTCTATATAAACCAGCATCAGAGGGGAATCTTCCCAGGATCTAGAAGTGTTTGATGATTGACACAACAAAATCCTTTGAGGCTCCAAACCTCTCCATATGTGAGTGTTTTGGGGTGAGCCCAAGTTCCTTCCCTGAGTCAGTGCTTCCTTGTGAGGTGAGACTCACCGAGGGTAAGGACAATGGGTGGTCAGAGCTCTTTGTGAGGGTGGGGATCTTAGGTCCTCCCCAGATGGAAGGGACCACAGAGGTCACAGCAGTGATGAGCAGAGCCGAGCAGCTCTAACTGGAAAGGAAAATCAGTTCCAGGAAGCGCTGAATGCTAGAAGCAGAAAGTCATCCCGGAAGCTAAAACCTCAGTTCCTGTGAGTCGCGCTGGGTTCTTCGTGGGATTTGCCTGTCTGTAGCTGAGCTCACAAAAAGCAAACATTCCTGAGGTCCCACCTTTTAAAAACAAGTCTGCAACAAAGGTGGTTTCTAAAACAGAATGTATAACCTTCCACCTTCTGGCTGAAGACCATGGGGACACATCCCAGGGCAGATTAGTCAGGGAACTGAACCAGGGCAGCAGGCAGGGGACCCGGGTAGAGCACCCCAGCTCACCCAACTTGAGAGCCAGGCCGGGCAGCAGCAGCCTCAGCTGGTCCTGTATTCCCTCCTGCCCTGCCTGGCATGAAGGGGGCACAGATGCCTGCCCCACTTTCCCAGGCTTGTAGCCCTTATAGAGTTCCTCAACCCTGAGCACTTGGAGCCCACAGGTCACCCCCAAATGCAAGAGCTGGGCCGCACCCCACTTTGGTCAGTCTGGGAGCAGGCGGGTACTCTCACATCGGGTGAGGATGAGGTCCTTCGGTCTTGTATTGATGGCTTGTATTGATAGCAGTGATACAAACAGAGAACAGACAGGCTTTGTTCCTCAAGGGCTGGTGCCCAGCACCACCAGGCACTTTGATCTTCGGGCTGTGCTGGCCAGGGTGAGAGGTGCTGCCCCACCCTCCCCAAACAGTATCCAAAAAAAAAAAAAAAATTCCCAACAGTATCCAAGCTCTGTCCAGTCCCCATGGGGAGAGGCAGAGTCTTCGGGTGCCACATGGGGTAGGGGCCTCAGCTCACTGGTAGCCACTGAGCACAGCCAGAGCTGCCTTTGGAAGGAGCGCAGCGAGATCCTCCCACCGTGACGCCTGAAGTTGTGCAATGCTGAGCATAGCTGGAATTTTCTTCCCCCTCCCCCATCGGTGGTTCACCCCGAGCGGGGTGGGGGCCACCCCCTCCTTAACCCCGGCCCTCCCAGCGCTCACTCTGAAGCTGCAGTTTCGTCCCTTGCACCTTAGACCTTTGTGTCCACCTCCAGCTCAGAGTGTTTGAGATCCTTTGGCCTTAGGCTGTGGCAGGCACATGCAGAGCATGAGGACAGGAGGACAAGGACAGGAGGATGGTCACCCCCGCCTCTGTCACAGCCAGCAGGTGTTGCATGTGCTCAGGGTGATGCTTCACATCAGCCCAGTGGGTCCGCCTGGCCAGGACAGTCAGAGCACCAAGGGGCGGGGGTTCCCCCTCCCCTTTGTGAGGCCCGAGAGAATAAACACTTGGCCCAAGAGTCAAGGCTTTCCTCTCCACTTGCCTGAGATTCTCCTCCTGCTGTCAGCCCTGCCCTGCTGCTAAGGGTTTATTTCACTTTCTCATCCCAGCAGCGCCGAAAGGAGAAACTCAGGTCTTGGGCTGAATGCAGTGCGGGTGGGCAGACGCCACTGCTGGCGGTTCCTGACCTGTGCTCCTGTCTCCCCGAAGGGCTCGGTGCTCACACTGCTGGCCTCAGCTGGCCTAGGGTGTCTGTCTGACCTTGGAAACATCTAGACAGTCCCGGCATCTAACTCAGGTGCCTGGTGTTCCCCTTGGAAGAGTCCCAGCCTCACATCACCCAGCCATGTGGCAGCGAGACTGTCATTCTTGGTCAGCTCCTTGGTGGTCAAGGTTTTCTAGCTCTCAGTTTCTTCTTCCCTTTTTCTACCAAATATAGGTTCCCCATCACCCGCAGTGGGGTACTGCTCGGCGAGGGCTGGTGTGCCCTGGACATTCCGCACTGGGAGCAGATGGATGTGTAGGGGAGAGCAAAGGACCAGTGTCCTGGTGACCAGGACAGCATCTACAGGTCCAGCTCAGCTGTGCTCATTTCCTCCCCTGTGCTTGTGTCTCGTCAAAGTAGCTCCGGCTCCCACCTTGTCTTTGTCCCATCCCTGAGAGACGTGCACCACGAGCCTGTGTACCCGCAGCCGCCATTCAGCTACCCCGATCTGCCTCGAGAGGACAGAAAGGTACCATGCTCCCTGCACCCGGCTGCAGCCCTGAACGGGAGGGTGGAAAGGGCTCCTCTGGGTACACACATAACTCACTCTTGAACTCCTTTTCGTGACGGCAAAGGTGGGTGTTGTTTCGCTGCACATGGGTTTGTCTTTTTCCATGGTCACCTGCCATCTCGGGGAAGGAGTTTCTGGCTGTTCTATAAATGTGTGCATCGCCCCTTCTCGTTCTAGCGGGTACAGCTGGTGTCTGAGCCCTGCAGCCTCGCCATAAATGGGGTGATCTTCGGCTTGACATCCACGGACCTGCTGTTCCACATGGGGGCCGAAGAGATCTGCAGGTGAGATGTGAGCGGGAGGGCGGAGCGCGGGTTACTGTAGGACACAGTGTGGCCTCACAGAAAGTCCGAGGCACCTGGGGTTGAAGGGCGGGTTCTTCTCCTTCATTAAGGGGACAGAGAATGAGCGGGTCTGGGCAGTGAGCTGGGTGTGTTTGCTGGGCTGAGGGCTAAGGCCTGAGGCACAGAGTCACTTGTCGCCCTGTGACGGTACAGGCACGTGTCCTCTTGATGGTGGTGCTGGCCCTGGCCATCCTTGATCTTGATGACCAGCCCCCCTGCCATCTCCCTCTCAACCTGGGGTGTCCATTTCCCCTTGATTCCGGGCAAGCAGCTGCCTGTGAGTTGGTCTCCAAGCCCCCTCAGAGGTGCTCTCTGTTGGCATGGTCCTTGCCACTTAGCTCGTCTTGAGATCACTGACTTCTCAGGCCTGATCCAAAGAGCCACAGGCCTAAGAATTCGGGGTCCAGCTTACACTGTCCCTTCTTTCCCAGTTCCTCCGGGACTTCAGACAGATTCAGCCGAATCCTGAAGCACATCCTGACGCAGAGGAGGTGAGCTCTTCCCTGGGCCGCCAGCCAAGAAGATGGTGTGTGAGGGTCGTGGAGTGGTAACAAGCCTGTGTCCAGTCCCCCCAGCACAGAACGGCAAAGGCTGGTCTGGAAGGAAGGGTGGGGAACCTGCCTAGGAGTCCGCGGCTGCTGACTGCTTCTCTCGTCTCCGCAGCTACTACCCACTCTACCCTCCCCAGGAGGACATGGCCATTGACTACGAGAACTTCTATGCCTACGCGCAGCTGCCAGTCACCCCGGATGTCTTCATAGTGCCATCGGAGCTGAAGTACTTTGTGAAGGTAGGGTTCAGCTGGCTTTCTCCAGGACACACAGCACCAATCTGATTTTCCCCTCCAGAACTGTGGGTAAAGTCCAGCCTGAGTGAGCACAGGCCGCCCCAGCACCAGCCCGAGTGCAAGGTGGAGACCTTGGTTCTTTCCCGTGGCAGAGAACCCTCTCGGCCAGCCCTCCTCTTCCAGCCAGCCTCCAGAGCTGCAAAGAGGAAAAAAGCCGCTGGGTCGGGTCTGACTGTGAGTTGTGACAGTGCTGTCACGCTGCCGGTCCTTAAGTGTCTCAGAGACTGTCCGAACTCAGGGTCTACTGGGCGTGTTCGTTCCCTTTGCTCCCCTTCCTCTCGGGGTCCTCAGTGTTGTCAAATCAGCCCCCACGAAGCAGCCCATCCTCTCCCTTTCCCAGGACATCCTCGGCTGTGTCTGTGTGAACCCCGGGCGCCTCACCAAAGGACAGGTGGGCGGCACCTTCGGCCGCCTCTACCTCAGGAGGCCAGCAGGGGACGGTGAGGAGCGGCAGAGTCCCTGTGTTGCTGCCCAGGTGGTCAGGATCTGAGTCTTCTGCCTGTTTTGTCGCCTGCTGTGCAGCCACACAGGTTCAGGAGCCCAACTGTGGGGCCCCAGCAGGAGCCGTCCTGAGGACAGGGCTGGAGGGACACTCTCACCTCAGTGTGGGGCAGGGCCCAGAGGGAGACGTGGCTGGAGCCTGCACGTTCACAAGGGCAGGATGGTGCTGTGATTTCCTCCGCACTTCACACACAGGAGGAGTTTTGGGGACACAAAAATTTGAATACTGAGAGTAACTACTGAGTTGCATCTTTCCCGTACTTTCTTTTTCCCAGTTGTGGCCAAAGAGTGTCGCCTACTTGACCCTCATCCGTCCATGGCAGAGCGCTGGTCATTGGGGTTCTGTCCAGCCTGCCTTCCCCCAGACCCTGAGGTCCCTTAGGCCCCTCACCCTGGTCACAGTGCAGAGCAAGCTGCTGGCCTCACACAGGTGCCTGGGCCTAGGCCCACTTCACGTCTCCGTGGGAGAGGCGACCTTCTTGAGTGTCCCAAAGCCAGAAGCCCTGGTGGCAGCCACTCTGCTGTAGCCCAGAGCATTGAGAGGAAGGTGAGGTCTCCAGGGTCCCAGCACCTCCTCGCCTGTGTTCCTGTGGTGACGGGGCTGGTTTCTGTCCTAAACTCTAGGCTGCCCCACCCCAAATGCTAGAGCTGGGCCCAAAGCCTCCCCGCTGGCGCCAGGGAAGTGCACAAGGGCACAGGGTGCTGGGACGCTCAGGCCTTGACCTAGCAGTACTGGCTCTGCCTCCTCTGGCCAGCCAGAGCCACAGGGCTGTCTGCAGACACGGAGCTGCTGCGGTTCTGTCTCCTTAGTTTTGCAGGAGCCTCCTTGGAGGGCAGGGGTGGGACAAGCCCAGCTGCGAAACAGAAAGAAGGTGAAGGCCAGCCCGAAACCCGCCCTCCTCGCCCTGGGAAAGCTGGCTGGGGAGATTAGGCTCCAGGCCTCCGGCCACGATAAACGTGGCCTTTATCGGGGAAGGTCACTCGCTTTTCTGGGGAGCCCCTTGGCAGTGCTTGGGCACCTCTGCAGAAGCCCTGCTGGGAATGGTAACACCCTTGAGGAAGCCGCTACCTCTGGCACCCTCAGGAGGACCCAGGGCCCTGTGTGGGCTCAGACATGGGCAGTGGGAGGGGGGATGGAGAGAGCGCTGCACTCCCTGGCACCAGGCATGAATGGGAGCAGAGAGGAGGGCCGTTGCCTGGATACAGTCACATGACCACTGGAAATGATCCGGGAGGCCCGAGCAGGCGTCTCAGATTCAAACAGAGCAGGACACGCACCCTGAGAGCAGAGTAGACAGGTCTGCTGGACACGCCTATGCCACCAGATGGTTCCTTTTTGTTCCTGTCAGGAAGTCAGTGCCAACCAACTGCCAGCTGACTGTCCCTAGACCCCATTCAGCTGTGTCACCAGTTTCCTGCAGTGCCTGTCATCCTGGGGCCCTAGAAGGGAAGATGTGTGGGTGGGTGGGGACTGACTAGGCCCCTTCTGCCCCAAACCCCCTTGGGGTGGCATCACCCTTAAGACCCCAGACCCTGACAAGCCCACTTCTGCTCCAGCTGCCTGGTGCCCTGGGGAGGCCATGCTGCCCTCTCCCAGCCCTTGGGTGGCTGCCCTATGGGAGTTCAGCCCCTCGAAGCCCTGTGTCTTCAAACCAAGTGGACACCAGGAATGAATGCAGCTGGGGATCAGAGACCGAGCGGCACCCGGGGTCAGGGCCAGTGGGTGCAGCTCTCCCTGAACCCCTCTGTCCTGCCTCGCCTTCTGTAGCCTCCTGAGCTTAGTGTTTTCTTTCCCTTGACCTAGGGTCGCTCTGCCCTGCCACTTCCTTTCCCTAGCCTGGGAGCAGCCATTTGCTGATTTCTTTCAGTTTGGCCTGCATTTCCTCTTGGCTGACCCTGGGCCCAGCCCAAGGCTGAGCCACCTGAGGCCTGTCCAGCCTGTGCCTTGAGAGGCCTCCAGCCTGCGACCCTCTGACTCCCTGTGAAAGGCTTGGACTGGCAAGTGGGGTGGGGCAGAGTGTTAACATTTAAAAATAGTTGAAATCCAGTGTAAACTTCACCTTTGAAATTTTTTGTCCCCACTACTGGGACTCGAACCCAAGGCATTTGACTGAGCTACATCCCCAGTCTGTTTTTTTATCTTTTGATTTAGAGAGAGTCTCATAATATCATTAAATTGCTCAGGATGAGCTTGATCCTCCTGTCTCAGCTTCCCAGAGTGCTGGGATTTCAGGTGTGTACCACCATGCTGTTTCAACTCTGCGGATTTAAACTGTTCACTTTTTTGGTTTTTTTGAATGTCCACAATGTTATACAAATAACTCCTAATTCTAGAGTACTTTCACACACATACACCCGCACCCGCACCCCGTTCCTGGTAACTACTTTCTTCTCTGTTGAATTGTCTGTGCAGGGCATTTCATGTTAGCTGAGCTGTCCCCGTCCTGTCAGACTGTCACCCAGCATCACGTTTCCAGGGCAGATCTGAGGGCTGCCTGTTCACTCTCACAGCCAAGGGGCAGCCCCCGGCCCAGGAACACTGCTGGCCGTTCGACAGATACGCACGGTGTTCTGGGAACGTGTGTCTTCCCTTCTCTCAAGTATATTCTAGGAGAGTCTGATTCACAGGAAGGAAACAAGGAGAGAGGAGGAAGAGCAGAAAGGAGGAGAGGAGGGCAGGGCAGGGGAGGGGGAAGCCAGGTGGCTGGCTAGAGTGTGGCCTGGATTCCAAAGGCCTTGGAGTGTAGGGAAGGAGACTGTCCAGCCTGCCAGGAAGTGGGGAGTGTGAGATCCTTTACACATTATCAGAGATCTGAGCCACCCAGCATCTCCTCTTACGGAAACAGCACCCCAGTTTTCCTGTCGGAGTACCACCTTTTCTCCACACTATTTCACCTGAACCAGGCAATATATTGCATCTCCTGGTTTTGGGTCAGGAATGGGCATAACCTAAGCCATTCCAAACACAGTGACTCGGATTCTTTAATGGTTCACAGAAATGACAGTTGTGAAGATGGAGCTACTGCAGCCATTTTATTGCCACAAGGGGAAGCCCACTGAGTGTAGATGACACCACAGCATACGGAGCCAGGAGATGGGGAGGTGGTCAGCAGCAAGATTGGTGTCTAAACTTCACTGAAAGCCAGGCATGGTAGTGCACATCTGTAATTGCAGCACTTAGAGGCTGAGGCAGGGGGATCACCATGAGTTCAAGGCCAGCCTGAATCTACATAGCAAGGCCCTGTCTCAAAAGACCAAAACAAAACAAAATCTCCACTGAAGCTAGCTCCCTCCACTCCCAAATATAGACCACAAGTATCTCCTTCCTTTTTTTTTATCCTTAATTTGAATTAAATGTTATCTCTGGCAATTAGAACAAACCCTGAAGAAGCAGGATTCGGACCGGTACCGGCAGGAGGGGAAGAAATGAACACCTCCGAGATCATGTGCTCTTGTCTCACCCCTCAGCAGGCTCTGAGGCTCAAGGTTGCCCCTCCAAAAGGCCCTTCTACAGAGGACGGATAACCCCATGTGAAGCAGAGGGGCCCTACACGGTGCCCAGGTGTTGGCTGGCCAGGCAGAGGGGCTGGCAAGACAGCACAGAAGGGACTTTGGCCAACACTGGATCAATAGGGCAGAGGGTGAGACAGGCTCAGGGGAGGGGTGGGAAGGATGGCAGTGGAAGGGGCCGCGGGTACCCCTGGCCTCCACACTGTACTGTATTGGGATATTTGAGGCCCTCTGCCACCCTCCCCCGTCACCCTGAGTCCTGTGTCCCAGGGCAGCCAGGCCCTGGCGCTCCCTTCCCTCCTGGATGTGCCCTGCCCCTGGCTGCTGCAGATTCCCCAGCCCCAGTGCACTCAGCCCAGAGCACAGCTGACAGCTGGGGCCCTTGCAGGTTTCAGGGACAGCTGCTGCCCACGACCTTGTGACCCCACACACTGCTGTCCGCACAATGCCGCCTGACGCCAACCCTGACTCCTGCTCACCCAGATGGCCCCTGGGTCAGAAGCATTTCACCTCTGGGGCAAGGCAGCAGCCCGCTGGCAGGCATGGGGTTACCCCAAAGCCCCACCCAATGCCCCCAAGAAGCTCCCACACCCAGCAATTGCAGGGGACTCTGGGCAACGGTCTCTACTGGCAACCATTCACTCGGTCTGCCACATGAAGCAGGGCTCCAGAGTGACGCTTCCCAGGGAGAGGTGCCCGGTCATTCCTGGCTCCCATCAAGCTTTGGGGTTCTTGCCGACTGCTGTCACCAAGGATGGGGTATAGGGTTTGGGGGCAGGAGAGGAAGGTGTCACAGGATTTATCAGGTCTGCCCTCTTTTCTCTTTGAAACTGGCTCCATGCATAGGTGCAACAGCATCATCGCTGCTGGTCATGAGGCTGGGACACCCTCAATGGCAGGCAGAGGCTTCCTCTCTTGGCCCAAGGCTGCTCTCATGCTAGAATACTATGCAGCTAGAAAAATGGCAAGTGAGCATGGCCTGTCACGCTAGTGTAAGGCAGCGCCAGCTCCTTTTCTTCTGCTCATGCAGTACTACAGGCTGGCAGATTATAAAGATAAAAGGCTTAAGTCTGGTGGTTTAAATGGGAGTTTATGCTTATAACACTGGTCTTTGGGAGGCTGAAATAAGTTTGAGCCCAACCTGGGCAATTTAGGGATACCCATCTTCAATTTTTTTAAAGGACCAGAGATGTATGCACAAGAGATTTGATGCCTAGTACCACAAGAAGGAAAAAGAAAGGGGTTTGTTTTGACTCGTGTCAGCCATTCAAGCCCTGCCCTCCCCTGACTCGCCCTGGCCTCCAGGACTTTGAAGCTCTGCTTGTCAATGTAATTGTCATTTGTGTAAAAAAGGTGGCATAGACTTTCTTGTCTGTGCAAGAAACACCTCTGGCGTGGTACAAAAACTCAGAATACTAGTTGTCTCTGGAAGAAGTGGGTGTGCAGGGGTCAGGGGTGGTAACATTTTTTGGTCTCTTACATTATAAGAGAATTTTCTTTTTCTTTCTTTTTTTTTGAGACACTCTCACTTTCCAGCTCAGTTCAGGCTGACCATGAACTCATAGCAATCCTGCCTCAGCCTCCTGAGTGCTGGGATTATAGCATACACCACCACTCCTGGTATAAGGTCTGAATTTTGAACGATACAAAAACATTATCTCGTCCCCCCCAAAAAAAAAATTTAAATGACCCATCACAATGGAGGATGAGGCAGGAGTTTTTCTGCAACTTCCAAACCAGCCTGGCCTATAAGGCAGACCCTATCTCAAAGAAAACCCTGCTTCAGGCACGGCTATGGATCCAAGAGGACAAGCACAATGTTCGAGACTCATCTTTTGACTCAGCTTTTCTCTATGTGGGCTTCATTCTGTTCCCTCAGGTGGCAGAGGTGACCCCCAGGACTGGCTGGCATCTTGGTGTTTGTAGTCCTAACAGTCCCATCAAGCCCGCAGGCTCACTGTGTCACACACCCATCCCTGAGTCATCTCTTTTCACAGCTTGGCAAAGCACAGACCTCAAATGCACTTTTAGGCTTTGAGGACAGGGTTGGTCATACTGGAGACTGGAAAACTGAGAGGTGGACACCAGGGTAAGAGCTAGATGGTGGTGAACAGCTCTCTTCTCTCCAGCCTTGAGCAGCTTTCCAGTCAGTGGGACAAAATCCCCAGCACCCACAATGAAAGGAGGAAAGCTGTATTTTGCCTCATGTTTTCAGAGGGACCAGTCCATGTCCAAGCCTCCACGGCAGGACTATCATGGCACAAGGGCCTGGTGAGCAAAGTTGCCCAGGACATATCTCTGAAGCAGAGTATAGGGAAGATGGCAAGTGAAAGGTCCACCTGTCAGCAGTGCCCAATGACCTCCTCTAGCTGGGCCCCAGCTCCTGCCCCATAATCAGCGGTGAACATCACTGGATTAACCCCACCCCCCCACCCCCAGTGCTTGCAGCACCTCCATGATCCAAGCACCTCTGCAAGGGTCTCTCCATCTGGTCCAACTGACAAGGTGAACTGGCTAATGCATGGTGAATTTCTTTGAAGTCCTTCTAGTCTTGGCCTTTGCCAGGCCTCTGCCTGGGACGCCTGGAATTTCCTTCCCTTTCTTGATCCAGCAAATTCTTACTCATAGCTCATATCCTGCTCACCTGTGGCCCTCTGCTGCAGCCCTTCTGAATCCCGCACTGGCCTCCCCAAGGCAGAGGAGGCTCTTCTCAGGCCTTTTTCTCTTGGTTCCTCACTCAGTCCCCAGTTACTGACTGAGCCTCCTCTGATGTCCGCTGTCCTGGCGAACTTGTCGACTGCGAGGTGGCATACTTGTGCTGATTTAGAACTGGCTGTTCCCCAAGGGCTTGTCTGGGTCTAGCATGACCACCTGTGTCATCTCTGGTCCTTCCTGGCTCTGGGCAGGCACAGGGTGCATGGGTTTTTGGAACAATGATAAGATGCCATGAAGGCATGGGAAGTGTCACAGATTCCACAATTTTTTCCTTAGGCCAAGTAACAGCCATTCTCAGGGCCCCGTGGGAGGAAGTGCCTCAGTCGGCCTCTGCTATGACAGGGCTGTCACCATTCTGGAAACCCCCACGTCACCGGGCCAGAGGCCAAGATCGAGACCTAAAGGAAAGTCCCCCCCAGCAAGGAACTGCTGCACAGCTCCCACAGAGGGGCGAGGCGGGTGGCGGCCTGGCTCACCAGAGGGGAGCCGCCCATCTCCAGTCCCGGCCTAGGCCTCACACAGCACCTTCTCTGACACCGCAGAGAGCAGGGAGGGCAGGACTGCAGTTGGTGGAGCCCGGAGGCCAGAGGAAACAAGAAACAATCAAGGCCTCGGGTGGCGTCAGGTCATGGGCCCCGCAGGCCTCGAGGCTCGGTCTCTGTCTCACTGCTCCTACTCAGGGCTTCCTTGGACTCCTTGATGGGGGCGTGGGGACTGGGGCTACCCTCAGAGAACCCCATCTTCTGTCAGTGCCTCCCTTAGAAGATCACCATGCTTCCTTGTGACTTCCTGAGTCCCCATCATCCCAGCTACTACTCAGGCTCCAAGTCCCCAGGTAGTGGACAGAGGAGAGGGGCTGCAGCCTCTAGGGAGGAGGAGAGGCCTGCCCTGCCTGTCTCTCCCTCTGGTCAGCCTTCGGGTTGGGGGGGCTTCTGTCCCAGCTCCCAGGGCCCTTGGCAGCTCTCATCGCTGACAAGGGCGATTTCCAGGAAGAAGGGGCCAGAGGGAAGGAAGGGCTGAGTCAGAGCCCATGTGGTAAGCGGAGTGGAGGAGGGAGTCTGGGGCCATCCCAGGGCCAGGAGGCTCCAGGCTGAGCACCCAATCTGTTGTCTCTGTAGCTTGGTGTTCCCTGCCTCTCCCAAATGCCCTGAGGGTCTGGTCTCTCAGGTGCCAGGGCACCCAGGAGCCATTCCGGGGGGTACCGTGCAGGTACCAGATGAGACATCAGACCCTGGCCTGGGGAGGGGGGCACTTACCTGGGCATCTCTTGGTTCAGAAATGCAGGCCACTCAGCCTCACTCCAGGTGTAAGCCAGGCGTGGTGACACATTCCTTCGATATCTGTGCTCTTGGCAGTGGAGGCAGTAAGATCACAAGCTGCCCCAGCCTGGCAGTTTAGCGACTCAGGAAGACCCTGTCTCAGGACAGAGGAAATGAAAAAGGGCTGGTGTATAGCTCAGAATGAAGACCTTGGGTTCAATTCAGTTTAAAGAAAAAAAAGCCAGTTGTAGTAACCGAACCCCATTTTATAAATGCTTCTCTGCAGGGCTCCATGCTGGTTGTGTGTACTAAGCTCCCGGACATTCAGCAGAGCCTCCCCAGGGACCTGGTGGCCCTGCCAAGTGACAGCTTGACAAGTTGTGTGGGAATGGCGAGAAGGAAGTGAGCATTTGCTAAGGGCAGAGCTGGGGCCAGGCCCACACCACTCCACGTATGGGCTCTATCAGTGCCAGTGGCAGGCGACGATGTGTGATGCCAGGCGCAGTCCCTGCAGCAGGCAGAGCTGGCACTGGGCAGAACCTTATCACAGCCAGGGACTCTGAAAGCAGTGTCCAGAGCACAGATGGCAGTTCCAGTCCTCGTGTGCAGCCCTGGCCACACAGTCAGGCCATGGGAGAGGGCAGGAGCTTTGCCAGGTTCAGGAGCTCTATGCTACCCAACAGGGGCCCCTGTTACTCACCCACCCAGAACATCTGCAAAGAGCTCTGGGTGGTTCCCAGCTGTGTGGCCTTGGCCAGGAGCCTGTGCCTCTCCGGTCTTCTATCCCTGTGAGTTCTGTGTTGTCACTGGCTCTGAATGGAGTTCCTGACACCGCCCCCCCCCCAGTATCTCTGTGGTGCCTAAGGATGGGGTGGGGCTTCATCAACCTCACTTCTGCAGGCTCAGGTGACTCCATCAGAGTCATTCCAGGTCAGGTAGCAAGGCCAGGCCTCTGTCCCCTGGGCTCCTGTTGCAATGTTTCATGAACCATGCTGCCCGCGAGACCTTGTGTTCCCATTAAGGACGTGCCTGGAAGATCCTTGTCTTGGTCAGGACTCAGGTGACCGGGTGCTGTTCCTGCTTTGGCACACAAAGTGGCTCTGAAAAGAAAAGGCCTTTGCCTGTGACCACACAGCGGGCCATCAGGAGAACCAGCTCAGGACATACATGTGCACGGCCCAGGACACTGTGGGGTCCCTCCTTTCCCAGGGCCTGTGACTGGGGAGGGCGGCAGAGATGGCAGCCATCACTAAGTGAGGAGGACCTAGGAGGTGTGCACATCCCTGTCAGTGCCCAGAGCCTCAGTTTCCATCTCTGTAAAATGAAGATAATGATTTAGGCTCTGGCCACCTGACCCAATCCTCAGGAGGGCCTATGAGGTTCAGGGACAGGAGGAGGTACACCCATTACCATGGGCTTTGTTGTCTTCTGCTTCTATGACACAGCACCATAGACCAGGTACTTGGAGATGCACAGAAACTTATTTAGGTCATGGTTTTGGAGTCTGGGATGTCTGAGGGCATAGCACCAGCAAGATAGACAGGGAGAGGGACAGAGAGACAAATGGTGGCCTCAAGGGCCTTTCATGATCCACATTAATGAGTTGAAGAGGAGGAGCCCTCATCATCCAAATGTATCCACTGAGCCCCAACCCCAGCCCTACTGCACTGCAGGTGATTTCCATCGGGCTGTGGGGGAGAAACAGTCAAATCAGAGCACCTCCCTCGGAGCTGGGGATTTAGCTCAGTGGCATAAGCACCTGCCTTGTAAGCAGGCAGTCATGAGTTCGATCCCCGGTACCGATAAAAAGGAAAAAGACAACAAAAACAAAAAAAACAGAGCACCTCCCTCACTCCCAAATCCCCTCTTTCTGGACTGTCCAGGCCTCAGTTTCCCCAGAAGCCACCAAACAAGGGAAGGCAGAATCCACCTGACCTGTCCTCCCTAGGGAGCTGTGGGGAGTAATGGGGTAGGCTCAAGATCAAAATCTAAAATGACTTCCTTGAATTCATTTTCCATTGCTGCTGGAACAAATTAACATGAACTCAGTGGTTTAAAACAACACAAATTCGTTAGCAGGAGGCCAAGGGAGGTCACAAGGTAAAAATCAAGGTGTCAGCAGGGCTCTGTTCCTTCTGGAAGCTTAGGGGAGAATCTGCTTCCTGGTTTGATCCAACTTCAAGAGGGTACACAGATTCTTTGATCTGTGATCCTTTCCTTTGTCTCTGAAGGCAAGAGCACAGCATCTCTAGAGTTCTTTCAAAACTATCTCTTTCTCTCACTTCCCTTTGATCTCTCTCACACTCTTTTCTGTACTGAGAATTAAACCCAGGGCCTCTGCACTGAAGTACATCCTCAGTCCTCTATTTATTTTTTACTTTGAGACAGGGTCTAGCTAAATCACTAAATTGCTGGACTCCAGTTTGTAAACCTGCTGATTCAGCCTCCTAGGTAGCTGGGAGTATAGACATGCGCCACTGTGCTTGGCTCTTCTACTTTTATGGCCCTCAATATCACATAGGACCCACCTGGATGCTTCTGGGTAAGGTATATTTTAAAGTCAACTGACTAGGCTGTAATTTCAAAAGCAATCAATCCTAAATCCCTCTTTCCATGTAACAAAACATTCACAGGTCTGGAGATTACAGCATGGACAACTTTGGGAAGGCATCATTTGACCTACCATGAACTTTTCCCCCATCCTCACTCCCCCTGGTTTGGTTGATGTCTTCCCTACATCAGCATCTTTCCCTCTGTAGGATCTCTTCTAAGCCCTGTCTCCCTATGGACCTTATCATATGGAACCAAGCATCCTGGTCACACTGTACACTCATTCTTTTGGGAGAAGTTACTGGGGATCCAGTCCAGGGCTACCACCGCACCCTGCAAGCTGAACCATCACACTCTAGAAGACGAGGCCCCTTCACCCCATTTCTATCCACAGCTTCCTCTGCTCACTCTTCTTAGCACTCAGCCACCTTCGAAGGTGTCACAGTGCTTTTGGGACCCTGGGTCTCTAGCGTTCCCTTCCACTGGGCTGCAGGTCCCAATCCAGAGGGGGCGTAATCCCCAAAGCAAGAATAGTGCCTGGCTCTTAGTAGATGTTTGACAATTATCTGTTGCCTAGCTGAACGACACCAAGGGGAAATTTCCCTCACTATAACTCCAGCAGCCTGTGTAGGTCTTGCCCTTCAGCATTTCCGGTACTGTGTGACTGCAGGCATGAATGTGTCTGGGCAGGAGCCCCACCTCTGATCTGGAAGGCCCCCACCTAGCTCGAAAGCATACTTGCGTGCCAGACCCCCCATCCTACCTGGAGGAAGAGTGTGAGCTCTCCAAAGAGCTCCTAAATTTTTAAGATTTTAATGTGGGCTCCTCCACGGCCCCATTCATTCCCGTAATACTCTTGTGTGGGCGCCTCCTCCGAGCCAGCCCTTAAGGGCGGAATCTAGTCCAATGGACGCTCAGTGAATTCTGAAGAATTCGGTCTTCCAGCTGCCGCTCCCTGGCTGCTCTAGAACTGAGGGTTCTGGTTCCAACTCCCGCGGCCGGATTCCGTGGAGCCTTTCATGGGCCCCGATAACGCTAACCTGCAGCCACGGGAGCTGGGACCCGATCTCTAGGCGCGCAGAGCCGCTGCAAAGAGAACCCTGGGCGGTGCCCGTGTGGGGGGGCGGTGCCCGGTTGAGGCGGCTCCTCCATTGGCTCTGAGGGGCGGGGCGGGGCTTCAGGACTTGGGTCCTTTCTGTAAGTTCACAGCCCGGGCTGAGTCCCACTGCAGCGCTGTCCTGCTCGCGAGCTTCTGCGTCCGCGAGTCGATCGTCTGCTCGTTTTAAGGTGAGTTCGCGCCGGGATTCTGCAGCTCGTTTGTGGCTCCACGGGGTCCCCAGAGAAGCCCATCTTAGGAGAGACTAGTTCCAGCTCGCGCCCCGGTCTCACGTTGGCGCAGATCCATCCCTTGGAGGGTGCCTCGGGCTCCGTGGAGGTCCCGCTGTGCCTTGGTCCACGCGGTCTCGCTCGTGACCCCGCAGCAACGCCGCGCTTCTGGATCCCATGCTCGCGAATCGGCTCGCCATTCCACGTCCCTGCCCCATGCCCAGGTGCCAGGAATGTGGGCCCACCTCGCAGTGTGCCCGCCTGGGTGGAGGGTCGTATTTTTAGCCGGTGGTGAGGTGTCCTCCTATCTTTAGCGGTGGCTGCAGTGTCCTGAAAAGGATCCGGTCTGGGCTGCGCCAGGACAGAGGACGGGGAGGGGTGGGCGCCGGAACCCGAGCAGGGCTGAGGAACCAGGGTGGGGGGAATGCAGCACCCCCGAGCTCTGGCCCTGCGCCGAGCGGACACTCGGACATCGCCCAGCCCGGGAAGCGCGCGGAGGCTCCTCCCAGAGCGTGGAGACTGGGCAGAGTGCCCCATCGCCCGCTTTCTCCCAATTGTCTGGTTGTGCCACCAATAATTCTCAAGAGAAAAGATCCCGCGGACAGTCTTCATCTGGTACAGGGACGCGACGCTCCGGGAGAGGCGCCCGCCTAGGGAGCCGGAGGCGCGTGGGAGCTGCGGGTGCGCTCTGAGTCTCCTGGCCGCGGAGCGATAGCGGGAGAGTGCGCGCCACCTAGCGGCTGCGGGGGCGTGAGCCCTCCGCGTCCGGACCCTGTGAGACCCGATGGCGGGGGAGCTACCCCAACAGGTAGCTCAAGGACCAGCAGGACAAAGTGGTCAGAGCCAGGGGGAGGCTTGTTTTTTGTTCTGTTGGGCACGCTCCCCCAGAGAAGCAATGTTTGATGCAGGACGAGGTGTCTGTTGAATGTCCATTTGACAGGAATGCCTGGGACCGCTGCCTCGGGGGGGGGGGGGTCAAGCTGCCAGAGCATTCCCTGGAGGAAAAGCGGTTGGAATCTCCAGCAGTCCTCTGAGCTCGGCTTTATAGAGTTGGAGAAGACCCTGAGAAGTGTCTTGGCCAAAGTCACAGAGTCCCAAGTGGGGCTCCAGTCAAAGCCCTTCTCCTGATGGCACCTCCCAGGTGGGGAGTGGCCTGGCGCTCCTGGGAGCAGAAGCAGCTCGGCCTCCAGGAAGTCCCTCCTCGAGGAAGGCCTAGGGCTTCTTTCCAGGGCAAGCTCAGAGAGCTGGGATGGCTCCCATCTGCTCCTCTCTCTGTTGCTGGGAGCCACTCCTCCTGCCCCTCACAGCTGTGTCCCAAGAGAGCTCACGCTCTTGTCTTGACACTAGCAAGTTTCACTGGGGGGGGGGGGGTTATTTCCGGCTTCTCAGCCAGATTACTGGTTGGTGAGGCCTACTGTCTTGGACCCGCGCGGACCAGACTGGGTCCCAGTGCCCACTCTTACTCCTTGGATGATCTATGTAAAGTTCCCTAGCATTTCTAATGTTCAGCTCCAGGCGCTGTATAGAGTGGTAATGACACTCACGGCGATGTGGCTGGCCGCACTGACATGGGAAATTGCATGGCAGGCCGGAGTTGGGGTCTGTGGTTGCCAAATGTGAATATTTGGGGCTTGCTGGCTGTAATTCCCAACTCCCCGGGGCCTTGGATGCTGGCTCCACCCTTCCCCTTAGCCTTGGTTCTCCCCACATCTGGAATTGGGCGGGTACATCTGGCTCTGAGCAGGACAGCTGTCAGGGAGTCCAGTTTGCTGTGGAAACACACAAGCTGTCCTGGGGCTCCAGCAGATCGGGATGGGAGGTGGGCCTGTCCGGGTTTGGGGCAAACACCAGCCACACTGTCCCTAAGTGAAAAGGTTAAAAAGCCATCCCAGGACATCTCACTGGGTAAGGGGGCAGACTGGATATTTGTTAGCACCCTCCTGACCCTGGCACGGGGACACAGGGTAAATGAGTAATGGGATTCTAAGAGCTCAAGAGGCCCATGGCATCCTTTCCTTGCAGCTCTTTCTAAATTTCGTGGAATCCACAACTGGAGAGTTCCTTTGTGTCCTGTCAAGCTGCAGGTGTTCTAGGAGGAGCAAGATGTCTGCCCTCAGAGAGACCTGGGTGTCCGGTCCGGGGTGGGGTTTCCTGAGTGGGAGCCTTTTCCAGGAGCTGAGGGTGGGGCTGGTCCTCTCCAGCATTTTCCTTCCTCCTTCCTGCCCCTCCTGCTCACCCTTCCCCCACCCAGGATGGGGAATGAGGGAGAGGAACTGGCAGACATCTCCTTTGCTTGGCTCCTGGCCGGCCTTTGGGGCGGGGGCAGTGGGAAAGGGTGGGCTCATCTGGCTTGAATGCTGGCCCTGCCTTCATCTGCTGGGTGACCTTGGACAAGTTTCTTTTTTTTTTTTTGGCCTTTTACGCTGCTGATTATGCGTCTCAGCTTCCATGTATCCGTATCAGGCCAGTCAGCCCTCCTACTTGCTTCATTTCCTTTTGGTTAGCATAGTGTATTTATTTGTATGCGTTAAAAATATCCTTATTTCTCCTGACTACATAAATAGTTGTGTGTATGTACAACTAATGCACACTTACTACAAAATTGAGCCAGGTGGGGTACATCTATAATTCCAGACTCTCAGTGACTAAGGCAGAAGGATCTGAACATTTGAACCCAGCTTGGTCAATTTAGTGAAACTTTCTCTCAAAATAAAAAATAAAGGAGAGGTGTGGTGGCATATGCCTGTAATCCCAGCACTCAGGAGGCTGAGGCAGGAGGTTTGCCATGAGTTGGAGGCCAGCCTGGGCTCCACAGTGAATTGAAGGCCAGGCTGAACTACATAGAGAGAACTTGTCCCTAAATAAATAAATAAATAAATAAAAAGAGCTGGGTGGATACATAGCTCAGTGTGAAAGCTCTAGGTTCAATCCCAATAAAACACACAAGCATGCACGCATGCAAAATTCCGTTTACACAAGGTCTGAACAAAAGAGGAAAAGCCAGTCTGAATTTGTACCACCTTGATAAGCCAGGTATGGTGGCACATGCCTTTAATCCCAGTACTCGGGTGGCTGAGTTAGGAGGATTACTGAGAGTTTGAGGCCAGCATGGGCTACATAGCAAGATCCTGTCTCAAAAAAAAAGGATCTGCAAAAAAAAAAAAAAAAAAAAAAAAAAAAGGTGGGGGGTCTGGCCTATACCTTGAGATAACCACTGCCAGCTTTGGACAAACACCGCTTCGTGTTTCCATACACCAGAAACACAAGCCATGTTATAGTGGTGGAACCAAGCATTACGGATCACTTTAATTGAGAACACATTTCCTTCCACATCAGTGACCCCCATACTTCTTTCCTGCCCCCCACCTCAGCCAAAGTAGTCCATGTGCATCCTGGGACTGGCTCCTGATTCTCCCGTGTTCTCACAGAGGACAGAATCCTATACAGAGCTGCGTGTGTAAGCCTGCATACCTACACACGCAGACTCAGGAGATGGGAAAGGGATGGCAGCCAATGGTGTCAACAAACGACATCACCTATGCCATATTTGTGCTTTTGCTTCTCTCAGCAATGCCTCATGGGAGTCCTCCACTATGTGTCCGATACCTCTGGGAGAGGGATAATGGAGCCCAAGGACCCGCCTGTGCTGGCCAGGGTCTCTTCCACTGAGCTACACCCAGCCGTGATGTCTTTAATTTTTTAAATGAGGATGATAGTGAGGTGATGGTGATGACTAATTGAGATGTGTTTGCAAAGAGCTCAGAAGAATTCTAGGTACAGAGGCCACCCTAAAAATATTTGTCCTTTTCTCATTTTCTTTTTACTTTTCCCTTCTTTCCTTTCCCTTTTTTTCTTCCCCTTTTGAACATTTACCATTTCATGAAGATAAAACTTTTATAAATGGGGAGGAGAGGAATTGAAGGGAGGTAGGAGAATAGGGGAAAAAGCCCCAAGTTATATCATGTTTGGGTACAAATTCTCCGTGATGAATGCAATCATAATGTGCATCCAAAATGTATCAATAAAATCTGATTTTAAGAGGCAAAAGAAAATGACCCACCAATAAATAAATAAATTTTTATTTTATTCATTTAATTTTTGATACCAGAGATTAAACTCACAACCTTTTGTTTTGTTTTGTTTGTACTGGGGATTGAACTCATGACCTCACCTTTGCCAGGCAGATGAGGCTTATGCCGCTGAGCTAAATCCCCAGCTGAACTCACAAACCTTGCACTTACCAGGGAGGCACTGAGCCAATCCCCATCTATTAAATAAATTTTTTAAAAAATAAAAATATTGGGGCTGGAGGTTTAGCTCAGCGGCATAAGCACCTGCCTTGGAAGCAGGCAGTCGTGAGTTCGATCCCTGGTACCGATAAAAACGAAAAAAAGCCAAAAAAAAAAAAAAAAAATATTTATACTAAAGCAGGTGTGATGACACGAACATACTGGGTGACTGAAGAAGATTACAAGTGCCAGCTCAGACTGGGGAAGTTAGCAACTTAATAATACTCTGTCTCAAAATAAAAAATAATAAACAGCTCAAGGATGGGGTTCAGGGCATAGGCTCCGGATTAAATCCCCAGTACCACAAAAAAAAAAAAGAAGTGTTTTATATCCCTCATCCCACCATCTCTTTAGATGCTGGGGCAGAGAAGAGGGCCAGAAACCATGTGAGACTCAGCAATTTCCCACAAGGAACTTCTAACCCACGGAAAGAGAAAAGGGAAATTCCCTGGTGACCTCACCTGCAGGTGAGAGGAGACTGGTGGTGACAGTGGTGATGGGCATTCCTCATTTGCTGGCAGGACACCTGCTATTTGCCCAACCTTGTGTCAGGCCTGGGTGGGATGCTAAGACACTCTGGGAGTCCCCTGCCCTGTGGCATGTCATGAGCACAATGGCTGTGCAGTGGACAGAGTGCAGGTGCCCAGAGCTCCCAGGTCCTTTGCTTACCCCTCCCCAGGTGACTGAATGGGCGGTGCTCTACTCTGTGATGCAGTGGGTCCCTGAGGGCGAACCTCTTCTGGGAGCCTCCCCCAAAGACAGTGGCTAAGTTGGGCTCCCTGGATGGATGCAGGGGACCAGAAACATGACAGTCACTTCTGACTTTTGTTCTCCTGTCCCTGATTTATGTCTCCTTTGCATTTCAGCTCCACAGCCCTGGACCAGGTCGCAAATCCCAGGGATAAGACAAAGCTCATAGCTGCCAACAAGATCTCTACTTTTCTGCCTTCAATTTGTAGAAGAGAATTTTCAACTCTAGAGAGAAAGCACCTTTGTTATCTCAACTCCCTGACTGTACTGACCTCTGATGTTCCTTTTCCTAATTCCTTGGGCCAACTTCGGTCACATCTTTAGGACTCTGGCAAGTGTTTGAAAGTGTTTGAAAACCACCAGCTGAAGCCAGGGTTTCAGGTTGAGGGTGTTAAGCGGAGGCAGTGTGAACAGAGGGTGGGCGGCTAGGCCTGGGTGGAGAGGTCACCATGTCCACCAAAGTCCCCATCTATCTGAAGCGCAGCAGCCGCAAGGGCAAGAAGGAGAAGCTGCGGGACTTGCTGTCCTCCGACATGATCAGCCCACCACTCGGGGACTTCCGCCACACCATTCACATTGGCAGCGGCGGTGGCAGTGACATGTTCGGGGACATCTCTTTCCTACAGGGCAAGTTTCATCTCTTACCAGGAACAACCATAGAAGAACCAGAGGAGGATGGCAGCTTCGACCTCCCCTTCCAGTTCACCCGGACTGCCACCATATGTAGACGGGAGCTCCCTGATGGGCCATCACCTCTGCTAAAGAATGCCATCTCCCTTCCGGTCATCGGCGGACCACAGGCCCTCACCCTGCCTACAGCCCAAGCTCCCCCCAAGCCACCTCGCCTGCACCTAGAGACACCCCAGCCTTCCCCACAGGAGGCAGGAAGTGTGGACATCTGGAGGATTCCAGAAGCCAGCTCGCCCCACAATGGGCTGACCCCAGAGTCGGAAGCCGAGGAGCCTTTCATGTCCCATGCCAGCTCGTTGTTGTCCCTGCATGTGGACCTAGGGCCCTCCATTCTGGATGACGTCCTCCAGATCATGGATCAGGACATGGGCCACATGCAGATCCCCACATAGGATCCTCAGCTGACCATGCAGGGCGCCCAGGCTGGGGTGACACTGGGAGGCAGGGTGCGGCCGTGGTCCACCTGTGGCCACTGTCCAGTGATTCTTAGTTTGAACCTTTGTTTCCCTCCCTCCTGCTCTCTCCCCTCGGGAACAATGTACCTCATGGATTTCCCCTAATGACCTACTGAGGACGTGTGCAGAGGCCTACTCCACAGCATGCCTGCTTATGCCCTCCCCTGCCCTTCACAACAGGGGATTCTGGTTGCAATAAAACATGCTGCTGCCAGAGGTTCCCCTGCCCCAGGTTCCTCCTGAAGGTGGCCCAGTTTCGGAGAGCTGTGGGCTCAGCAGGGTAAGACACCCCAAAGGGCTTGGTGAGGACAGGCCCGCCCTTCAGCAGGGTTCCACCTTGCTTCTGAGCCCATGAAGAAGATGCAGCAGGAACAAATCGAGTGTCTGTTATGGATTTGAGGCACTGACTCAGGTGTCTGGCAAGAGGAGGCTGCTTGAGTGACCAGGGTCTGCCAGAGAGACCAATAATGTGTCCGGCTCCTAGGGGCTGAGCACACATGGAAGGAAGGACAGGCTCAGCCTGGGAGGAATCTGACAGTGCTGATCAGTGGACTTGCCCATCAGCACCTACTGTCTACTTGGCACGGCCTGGGTACTGGGAATGCAAGGCAATTCGTTCCCTTCTGTCTTGGAGTTCACATTCTGGTGGGGAGAAGGATATTAAATGTAAATATAAGAGACAATTCCCAGCCTGGTGAATGCTGGAAAGAAAACAGTGCAATCAGAAGGCCTGGGGTAAGGGATCCCCCAGCTGAGGCAGTAGTGTCAGGACACACTAGGGTGACGGATGTGATTTTGAGCCAATAGGGTGGCATAAGTAAAGGTAGTGAGGCCCCAAAGTGAATGCCAGAACAGCCACTGTGGAAGAAAGCGTGGAGTGTGGGCCTCCGGGTCGCATCTAGGCTGTGTGAGACTCTGCTGCTCTGCCTCTCCGTGGAAGCTGTGATACCCACCTCACAGGGTCGCTGGGAAACTTAGGGATAGCTTTCATTTCCACATGAAAGATACTAAACAGAAACAGTGGCTGTGACCTGTGATGCAAGAAGTTGGGATGGGGAAGGCAGGACTGATGCTGGGAAACAGGTTGGTGTCAGCAGGAAAGCGTTTTTGCTTGCGAGGCTGAGGCTGGGGGATTTGAAACCAGGAGATGAAATCTGTTTAGAATGTCATCATCTGGCCAAATGGAGGTGGGGACAGAGGAGAACGGGATATGGCAGGATGGGTGGAGCCCTGGTGCAGACCACAAGATCAGGCTGCAGTGGCCCCGTTTTCCCCTTCTCAGCCCTTATCTATTTTCGAGACTTGAGTTCCAGACTCCTCTGCTCCGTTTCTTTTCTTTTTCTTATTTGGTACTGGGAATGGAACTGAGGATCTTAGCTTGCCAGGCAGGTGCTTATGCTCCTGAGCTATATCCCAGACCCATGAATGAATTTCTATTATCTGTGTGTGTGTGTGTGTGAGTGCTGGGGATCAAACCCAGGGCCTTGTGCATGCAAGGCAAGAGCCCTACCACTGAACTACAGCCCTGGCTCCCCTGAGCCCATTTCTTGCCTCCAGCAAGGGTTTTCATATGGAGCCAGAATCTGAGAAGGTAATGCATTTTTTAAAAATTGTGGTAAAATGTATAGAACATAAAATCTGCTAAGTTTTTGTTTTGTGGTATGGGGAATTGAACCCAGGGCCTTGTGTATGCTGGACACAGGCTCCACCATGCAGCTGTCTCCAGCCCCTCAGATCTACCATTTTAAGAGTATTTCCATACTTTTCAGGTATACATCGCTATTCTGCAGCCATCACCACCATCTATTTCCAGAATGTTCCCGAACAGACTGCTCCCAGTAGACACTAACTCCTCATTTTGCTCCCCATCTCCTGGCAACCCCCATTCCACTCTGTCTCTGTGGATCTGACTACTCCACTTCCTGTGAGGGGGGTTATGCATCATGTGGGACTGCCTTGCTCCAATCAGCATAAGTCCTTTATGGCTCCTCTGTGCGGCAGCATGTGGCAGAATTCTCTCTTTTTTTTTTTTTTTTTTTTTTTTTTTGTCTTTTTCCTTTTTATTGGTACCGGTACCGGGGATTGAACTCACGACTGCCTGCTTACAAGGCAGGCGCTTATGCCGCTGAGCTAACTCCCCAGCCCCCAAAATTCCCTCCTTTTAAGGCTGCTTAATGTTCTGCTGTGTGATTAGGTCAGATTTTGTTTATCTGTCCTCTGATGGACACCTGGGTTGCTTCTAACCTTTTCAGGTGTTGTGAATGACACTGCCATGAACATAGGCAATTGCAAATCTGTTCAAGATTCTGTTTTTAGTTCGTCGGGGACATATCCAGGAGTAAAAATGCTAAAGCACATCCTAGTTCTTTTTTTTTTTTTTTTTTTTTTTTTTTTTTTGTCTTTTTGAGTCAGGGTCTCACTGTGCAGTTCAGGCTGGCCTTGAGCTCATTTTTGTAGCCCAGGCTGGTCTCGAACTTGCAATGATCCTCCTGCCTCAGCTTCCCGAGTGTTGGAATGACAGGCGTGCACCACCACACCCAGCTCGTATTTCATTTTTAACTTGTGAGGAATTGACCAGGCGTTTCTCATAGTGCCTGCACCATTTTATATTCCCACCACATGTTTTGGCATGTCAGCTTTCAGCTGAATGTTTTAATTTAAAGCCTGGGAATCACACTGTCTGGAGTGGGGTCTAACCCCAGCGGGACCCCGGAGCCTGTATGTGACCTAAACCTCTGCTCCTCTGGTTGCTAGCTGCAGGGCCCGGTGAAGTCTGAGAAGGCCAGGGTGGGGAAGGCAAAGGACAGCATCTCCACTCCTGCAGACCCTGGCACCCAGTGGCTTGGGCCCTGTTCCCTGAGAGGGGAAGATAGCAGAAGAGCCTGCTTCTGAGCCTCACCCAGCCAGGGAGCAGCGCCTCGCCCTGGACCCAAGCCGAGCCTGGCTATTCCAAGATTTCAGGTTGGGCGTCACAGAGTTTCCTTTAATTCAAGTGTTCACTGAAGGCTTCTGAGACAGGAGAACCAACAAAAATGAGGACAGTTCAGAATGATGGTCCAATCAGAAGGGACAAAAAATTGCAAGCACCAAAACCAGGAAATGTTTCTTTATTTGACCTGAGTGCATTAAGCACGTCCGTTATAATGCACGACGTACTGATTTGTAAAGATTCATATTAGATATGACCAGGCCCACTTGTCATTGGGCACACTGTGTCTGTGTTCTGGTCACCTGGCAGTCTGTGCTCTGGTCACCTGGCAGTAAGTCTCCATTTCATCTGTTTAAGGTGCCTGCTTGGGTATTTATAAATACCTAATTATAACCAATATTATTTATTTAAGTATTAATGTGAGGGGGCTGGGGATTTAGCTCAGCAGCATAAGCGCCTGCCTTGCAAGTAGGCAGTCGTGAGTTCGGTCCCCAGTACCCATAAAAAGGAAAAAAGACAAAAAAAAAAAAAAAGTATTAATGTGAATACTATTATTTCATTATATATTACTATTTTATAATTCAATACGTCTGCCATGTGTTACGATGGACATACTAAATGTGTTTATAAGGCTGATCTCAACTGGGACCTATTTTTAGGGTACAGCTTATCTTTCCAGTCTCCTAAAAAATCATCCTAAGGCTTATTTTCCAGTTAAGTTCTCTTTTCACAAAAATTTAGTATATAGTGAGACCCTGTCTCCAAACAACAACAACAAAATCAAACAAGTTTTAGGCCATCCTGAGAAATCAGCAGGACCTCATTTTAAAGTAAAATAAATAGGAGCCCTCTGCCCAGGCTGGGAGGAGAAGCCACGCCCCAAGGCCCTGCTGCCATTGAGGGAGCACTGTGAGCCGCTGCCCTCCGCAGTGGGCTGATTTGGAGGAGCACAGGAAAATGGGAAGACAAAAGAACAAGGTACAATCTCAGTCCTCCAGCCTGAGGAGGTCCAGGAGACACAGACACGAAAGGAATTAGAAGCCACACACCTGAAATTTCGGAAATGATAGCAACTGAAGGAAAGAGACAACTTAGTCCTTATATTGTTCAAATCTGCCTGCCTTCATCCTACCTAGAACAAGTCCAGGAGACACAGACAGCGAATAAATTAGAAGACCCCTGAAATTTCTGAAATGATAGTGAATAAAGTAAAGAAGCAAAGTAAAGTTAGGGGTGATACTGTTTAACTAACTGCATGCCTATATCTAGTAGTCTGAGCAACTATTACAAGGATAATGATGTGCAATATAGTAACTATTGTTAGTTTAAAATTAAATAAATAAATAAAAAGGACTCAGTGGTAAGCAGGGGGAAAGATTCAGCTTTTCCAAAGTGAGACAACTAAAAATATCATTAATTAGCAATTCACTCCCAAGCCCAGCAGTTTAAATGATGCTCATCCCTCTTGGCACTCCCTTCCCAGCCCATGTCAATATTTTGGAAACTATAAACTTTGGTTTCAAACTAATAACCACAAGCCAGGTGTAGTGATTCATTCCTATAATCCCAATACCTAGGAGGCTGAGGCAGGAGGATTGTCTCAGCCTGGGCTACAGAGCAAGACCAACTTGGGTTACACAGTAAAACCTTATCTTACAAAACTAAAACAAAAACCAACTGAGTAGTCACAAATACCCATACATACAAAGTGGAGAGAAAGAATGAAAAGTTAAAATGTATTTTTTTTGGCACCAGGGATCGAACTCATGACTGCATGCTTGCCAGACGGATGTTTATGCCACTGAGCTAAGTTCCTGGCCCTAAAATGTATTTTTAAAAAACCACTTGGGGCAGGGATATAACTCAGCAGCATAGTGCCAACCTGGCACATTTGAGGCTGTTTGATTTCTGACATAAAAAAAAAAACAGAAACAAAAACAAACCCCCTCAAAAAACACTTGACATGACAAAAGCCATTTATGTGGAAGCAATAACTTTCTACCACAAAGTGTCAGTATAACTTCCTTCCCTCACTGCCCACTTCACGTTCTCTTGCCTTCAGCCTGCATCTTGGCAAGAGTCTGGTTTTTTGTTTTTGTTTTTTCTTTGAGACAGGGTCTGGCTATGTAATCCAGGCTGGCCTAGAACTCATAACCCTCTTGCCTCACCCTACTGACTACTGGGAGCATAAGCTTGTGGCATTACCCTTGGCTTGTACAGTTTTCTTTAGACCTGGTAAGGGTCTTTACACATGTACCAGACCTTTGTTTCTTTTTTTTTTTTTTTTCCTTTGGTACTGGGGATCGAACTCACAACCACACACTGCACAACTGAGTCCAGGAATGCAACAACACCCAAGCAAGTCTGGACAGTGAACAACTTCGTTTTGCACTGCTGGCCTGGCTGGGATCTTTCTCAGTCAACTAAGCCAGGCCCAAGCACTTTCATATGATGTACAAGCGGGAGTTACAAAGGCAAGACAGATCAGCCCAGCAGTTCTCTAATTAGCTAGCAGGGTAAGATCATCAGATACAAGGTGACTAGATTAATGATCGTGGAGCTCCTCACAGTCAGACATTCTGTGTGTTTCATTACACTGTTGTGGTTACAGGAGTCCAGAAAGTCCTTGCAGAGCCAAGGAGCAGTTACAGTCAAGCGTTTTCTTTCTTTTTTTTTTTTTTTTTTTTTCTTTTTTTCAGTTAAGCATTTTCAAAACAAATCGTTTACAGGGAACAATTTTTTCATAGTTTTTCCATTTCTATAACTATTCATGTACACTCATTTGATTTGTCAATTCTTACCATTTTGCCTCTTTGCATATAACATTTTCCCAGGCCTTTTTTTAAAATTTTTTTTTATTTTTTATTTTTTGTCTTTTTTGGTACCAGGGATCGAACTCACGACCACACACTTGCAAGGCAGGTGCTTATGCCACTGAGCTAAATCCTCAGCCCTTTTTCCCAGGCCTTTTAAGAGTAAATTCCAAAAGAGTTCAGTTCACATCAAATGCTTTAACATTATTTTATTAAATTTTATTTTTTAACTGACAAAAGTTGTATGTATTTATGCAGTACCAGGTAATGCTTCAATGCATGTGTTTGTTGTGTAAGGGTCAAATCAAGGCACGGGTTTCCATCTTCTCACACAGTTGTCATTCTCTGAGGTACAAAAATTAAAAATCTTTTCTTTTCTTTATTTGTACTGGGAATTGGACCCAGGACTTTGCATATGGTAGGCAAGTGCTCTATCACTGAAGTACATCCCCCAGCTTCTTTTTTTTTTTTTTTTTTTGTCTTTTTCCTTTTTATCGGTACCAGGGATCGAACTCATGACTGCCTGCTTGCAAGGCAGGTGCTCATGCCACTGAGCTAAATCCCCAGGCCCCCCCCCTTGCCTCTTTTTAAATAAAAAAAAATTTTTTTTAATCGGACCACATGCTTGCAAGGCAGGCACTTATGCTGCTGAGCTAAATCCCCAGCCCCAAATAAATTTTTTTTTATCACTATGTAGTTCAGGCTGGCCTCAAACTCGCTATATAACCTAGGCTGGCCTCTACTTAGTGATCTTCTTGCCTCAGCTTCTTGACTGTGCGCATTACAGGCATGTATCACATGCCCAGCTAAATTTTTAAAATTTTGAGTCACAAGAAAAGAAATAAATTTTGAGCCAGGGCCTTCATAGGTTGTTGAAGCTAGGCTTGAAGTTGCACTCCTCCTGACTCAGCCTCTCAATAGCCAGTATCACAGGCTTACACTACGCTACCTGGCATCATAGTCTATAAATTTGTGGGTTTTTTTTGGTCTTTTTGAGACAGGGTCTCACTATGCAGTTCAGGCTGGACTTGAGCTCACTTTGTAGCCTGGGCTGGTCTCGAACTCGCAAGGATCCTCTTGCCTCAGCCTGCTGAGTGCTGGGATTACAGGCGTGAGCTACCACGCCCAACTGTTTTTTCTTTCCATACTATATTGAAGGCAATTTCTTCCTATCTTCTAGTATACTTGTCCATTTTCAGCTGTGTCTAATCTGTTTTTAACCCCTTCATTCATGGTTTTCATTTTGTCAACAACTTTTTTTTTTTTTCTCACGGTACTGGGGATTGAACTCAGGATCTTGCGCTTGCTAGCTAAGCGCTTATGCCACTGAGCTAAATCCCCAGCCCTTGGTGTTCATTTTGGATACTGTATTTTTCAGTTCTAAAAGTTATATCAAAATTTTCTGTGGCACTTTTAATAGTTATGTATTCTCTACAGATTGTTTTACCTTTGCCTTTAAATTATAGAAAATTAATGCCAGGATTATTTTAGGGTTGGATTTTTTCTTTTTTTTTTTTTGTCTTTTTCAGTGATACCAGGGATCGAACTCACGACTGCCTGCTTGCAAGGCAGGCACTTAAGCCGCTGAGCTAAATCCCCAGCCCATTTTAGGGTTGGTACCAGACAATTTTAATATCTTGTCTTTGGGGCTTCATTTGTGTTTTCTAGTGATTGTACTGACCCTTTGCAGTTTGCATTTCCCTTTTTTCTTTTCTTTTTTTTTTTTTTAAGGCAAGATTTCATAATGCAGTTCAGCAGTTCAGTCTAGGCTTGAACTCACTTTGTAGCTGGCCTCAAACTTGAGGAAATCTTCCTGCCTCAGCCTTCTGGGTGCCGGGACTTTAGGCATGTGCCATGCCTGGCTGTGTATGTCTGTTTACCTGATTACTGCTGATCATGGGCTGGACATTGTATGTGACAAAAGTTTTAGAAATATTTGAGGCCCAGGATGATAATACATTCCTGCAGAAAGCATACTACCTTGAACCAAATTATGCCTGCCTTTGCCAGATGATCGAGGCACTGTAAGAATGGGCCCATGTTAATCCATGTTCAAGGGCCGACCTTTCCTGGACCACTCAGATAATAAATGAAATGGGTCCTCTCAAAGTACGTGTCAAGGTATGTGTCAGGTATCTGACTTTCTACCTTGGCTAAGTACTGGATTTCAATTTTTGTGCCTCTCCTAAAGACTGCCCAGTAACAGTTTGATTTCACAGTTATAACTCTCAGGTTAGCAAATGTCTCTAGGACAAAAACCACTTTAAATCCTGGGTTTATTCTCGAGGTTTTACCTTCCTAAATGTTGGCCTAGTGCTTCTTTATTTTTTGAGATGAGGTCTCCTTATGTAGTTCAGGCTGGCCTTGAACTCACTATGTAGCCCAGACTGGCCGTGAAGTTGAAGCGATCCTCCTGCCTCAGCCTCCCAAGTGCTGGGATTACAGGTGTGCACCACCATACCCAGCAGGCCCAGTGATTCTTCACTGTATCATTAGCTTTCCAATGCTTTAAACTTCTTCACTTTCTCCATGTTTTAATTTCTCTTCAATTGGAGGACTAGAATCAAATACCAACCCAGGTGCCTGGCTCCCCTTAACTACCTGAAGATGACATTAAGAAGAAACAACTCTGGGGACTTTCTGGGTTTCTTTTGTATTTCTCCCTGCCCTGACAGAGGACAGCAAACTTATTTTCCCTTGACAGCTGGAAGCATGTCCAGCCAGCAGCAGGATCTTCTTTTGCTCGCTCTCTCTCTCTCTCTCTCTCTCTCTCTCTCTTCCTTTCCTTCCCTCCCTCCCTCCCACTCTCTTTTTTAACTTGCTTGCCCCGCAGTACTAGGAGCAGAAAATAGCCCTCAGCTCATGATTTAGAAATTGTTCTTAGAGTCCTCTGGTGGAAGCTTTTTTTCCTTGGGTCTGAAGGCTCCAAATCAGCTGGAATCCAGAACTGTAGGAACAGGAAACATTTTTCAACAGTCATTACAAGAGGCAGCCCTCCCACATGCACTGCTTGGTCCCTGTCTGTTAGGAAACCCTATAGATATTGTTTAGCAGTATGTGTTTCTTGAAAGAGTCCTAAAATAACTGACTGTTGGGCTCATAAGCTGTCTTTCCAATTATATAGAATTAGCCTACTTATTATTATTATTATTTTTTGTCTTTTTCCTTTTTATTGGTACCGGGGATCAAACTCATGACCGCCTGCTTGCAAGGCAGGTGCTTATGCTGCTGAGCTAAATCCCAGGACCCACCCCCCTTCCCACACGCTTTTTTTTTTTTTTTGGTCTTTTTCCTTTTTATCAGTACCAGGGATCGAACTCATGACTGCCTGCTTGCAAGGCAGGTGCTTATGTCGCTGAGCTAAATCCCCAGCCCCTTATTATTATTTTAAATGGAAACATTTTCGTAAACACACAGGGACGTGCACACATATTGTATAGCTAAGTTTTTTTGGTATCAGGGATCAAACTCACAACCTTGTGCTTGCCAGGTGGGTGTTTGTGTCACTAAGCTAAATCCCCAGCCCTGTATAGCTTAGTTTTAAAAAGGGAATAAACCCACATAACCTCAAGCAGATGAAGAAAAAGAACCTTACTGAAACTCAGGGGCTACTGCCCCTGCCCTCTGCACTAGTGGCAAACCTATGGCACGCAGTTTATTTTTCTTCTAAGACAAAAGATGCTAATGCACGAGTTGGGTTTTTTTTTTTTTTTTTTTTTAACTAAAACCACAGCACTCAGGTTTAATTGCAGAGTTGGCATTTTGCGATAAATAAGTAGGTTCTGGGTTGCAATTTGAACACGACTATAAAAGGTTCACTGTCACAGTGCTAGTGTGGCTATGTAGAGACATAAAGGAACCATACAACATGTCTGCTTTGGGATTTTGCCTCTTTTGTTCAATATGGAGTTTCCAAGATTCTCTCGAATTGTACAGTAATAGTTTGTTCTCACCCGGATGTTTTTGCTGGGGACTGAACTCAGGACCTTATGCATACACTAAGCCCAGGACCTTGTGCATACTGTGCTCTACCACTGAGCTACACCCCCAGCCCTCACCTTGCTGTCTCCTCCATTCTACTGCTGATGGACCAAAGGCCTATTTCCAGCTTGTACTTATTACAAATAACATTGCTGTGAACCTTCTTGCACATGTTTTTTTTTGTTTTTTTTTTTTTTTTTTTTAATCCATATAGGCTTGGTGAGACACTGGGTATCTTGTGCAGCTTTAGAACAAGTGTATCCCCTCTCCTTCAGTACTGGGGTTTGAATCTAGGTTCTTTTGTATGCCAGGCAAGCTCTTTACCACTGAACTAAATCTCCAGCCCTCTAAAATTTTTATTTGGAAGATAATAAAACAAAGTAAAAAATTTATTTTGAGACAGGGTCATGCTAAATTGCCCAGGTTTGCCTTGGACTTACGATCTTTCTGCCTCAGCCTCCTGAGTAGCTGGGATTACACCAGGCCCAACAACTCAAATACTTTTTACTCCTGGATTAGAGTCACCACTGATACCCTTGTCCTCACAATCTTTTGGTTTCCAGGGGTAAAGAATAACGCACCAGTGCTGTCTCGGTTTCTTCTTTTAAGCTGTCGACCCTTAACTCTGCACATTCTGGTGCTGGTGCAGGGTCATCAATGACAAGTACCTCGTAGCTCTCATTTGCCAAAGATGATTTTTTTTTTTTCTTTTTCGTTTTTATCGGTACCAGGGATCGAACTCACGACTGCCTGCTTGCAAGGCAGGCACTTATGCCGCTGAGCTAAATCCCCAGCCCCGCCAAAGATGATTTTAAGGCACAGTGATGATATGATGGGTCCCAATTTTGAAATATTAACCTTGGAGTTGTGAAATAAGGTATACTGGAGAAAAACCAAGGACTGAGCCCTGGGAACTTTAACAGAGGACAACTGGGGAGAAAGACTGAAGGAAGTGCCAGTGTAATAGGCAAGAGGGAAGGGTCAGTGGTGTCACAGGAGTTGACAGACCAGGTGAATGGTGAACAGATCTCTAAATCTGCTGAAATGGAGGCTACGGTGAATTCAGTAACAGCTGTCTCGAATGGAATAGCAGGAACATAAGCCTCATTAGCTTGGAAGAGATTTGAAAACAAGGCAACAGAAAAGGAATGTAAACAAAATCTGCTTTGAAAGGGTGAAAATGGGGTGACAATCAAAGGCAGACTCTGACTTAAGAAAGTTACTAATTTTTAAAAAGGAAATATTATGCTAAGTTTGCATACGAATTTGCATCATGACTCAATGGTGATCATGGGGAAGTGAATGGTATAGAAGAGAATGGGATAACTGCATCAGGGAAATTCTTGGGGACTTGAGTGGAGGAAATAAATTTAGATGGAGCAGAAAGGGGAGAAGAGGCAGCTACTAGTGAAGTTCAGGAACTGGGTTTAGTGGCAGGAAACAAAGATAACTTTTGTCAGATCGTAATTGTCAGACCAAAGAAGTGCCCTCTTCTGGGCATTAACCTTCCTTTAACGCTAGCGCGTCAACTGGGCGTTGGAGTGCATGCCCGTAACCCCAGCCTTCTGGGAAGTCAGGGCAGGAGGATGGCGAATTTGAACCTAGCCTGGACAACCTAGCCACTTAGCGTCCCTTGATGAAAATAAAAAAATAAAGGGAGGACTGAGGATGAAGCTTAGTGAGAAGGTCCCAGGTTCAATCCCCAGTATTGCAAAACAAAATAGCTACAAATTTGAGAGCACCAGTGGACGAGTTACCACTCTTACCTGGAGCTACACCCCTGCCGCTGACCTGCGAGTGAGGCAAAGGACTAGCCACGTAACTAAAGGTCAGCTCGGCAGAAAATGTCCCCTCCACCCAGCCCATCTCCGGGACTCCCAGCTGTCACCAACCTTCTGCCACTGTTTTACAGGGGCAGACCCCTGTGGCTTCCCTCTCCTCTACATGTAAGAAGCGTGGCTGGAACTGCAGGAGCTGAGAGCACACCGGGATTCCCTCGGTCCCCTCCCTTCCCTTTCCCCACCTGGACTGACAGGACGAGGTCCATTCTCCGGTGCTCGCGCTCGTACGCCGTACGCGCGCACTCCAGAATGCGCCTGCGCAGAGTGACAAGGAACCCGGCGCCCCCGTGTGGTTCCGGCGCCTGCGCTCTGCGGGTTTCAGGGCCCCCCAGCCTGAGGGAGAGGAGCCGGGAAGATGGCGGCTGTGGTGGAGAATGTAGTGAAGCTGTGAGTGGTCGTTTCTTTCTCTCGTAGGCCAGAGGGTCTTGTAAAGGACCCGGGAGTAGGCTGCGGTGCAGAAAAGAGACAAGGCAGAGAGAGGGGCATGCCGGGAAGGCCGTGTAGCGACTCCTAGCTAGGAGGGCAGCAGGAGGCTCTGGAGACGTTGCGCTTCTTTGGAAACTTGTGGAGGCCCTGAGGGGGGCACACGGGAGCCCCTGACTGGCAGCCTCCCTGCGGGGCCGAGCGGCAGTGTGTTTGGGTTTTCCGGGTCCCGAGCATGGTTTCTGGCTGCGTGCGACAGACTCAAGCCGGGCGGAGGCCCCGGAAGGTCCCCTCGCCACCCACCGCCGGCCGCTGAGCCGGCGTGCAGGACTGCGAGGCTATTTTGTGCTCAATTCCCCGTGACATTTAATGGGTAGTCTGGTAGCAGGTACCCAAGAACAGAAATATTCTTGGGGAAGAATTGGTCGAGCAGCACAAACAGAAAGGAAAGAACTTCCGGGCAGTTAGTCTTTGGGTTATCAAAGCGCAGGAACCGGACCGAAGTCGTACGGGACGACTTAATAGCCTAGAGCAACCTCTGGGTGGGCGTTATGTGTGCTGTAGATGCAATTGTGCTCGTCAGATTCAGAGCAAAGTTCTTGGGTTTTGGGAAGATGGAGACTGGCCTGTTAGCAGTTTCCTGTAAGTTAAAGATGTTCAGGGACTTTGATGTATTCCAGGCACCTTCCTCCCCGAAAAATGCGAATGAATTTTGAAATGGGTTGGCTAATGCCTCGATGATCAAATTAAGTGAGCTCCTTTCCGTGCTCCTCTTGGATTCGGTGCGAGGGTAGGAAAATTTGAGAGGTGTCAAGAGGTGTCTAGCTTTTCAGTCGGGGCTTTTGAATTTTGATTGGATGACAGTGTAAAGGTTTGGGAGTTGCTTTAAGGGACGTATAGTTTCTCTTTGTCAGAAGTGGGCTGAACCCCACTCTTTCCAAAGAGCCCCCCCCCCCTTTTTTTAAGGGTTAGCCCTCCTCTCCCCTTCCCTGGAGCTGTTTTCCTCTAGACTGCTTTCCCACTTCCATTAAGCTAAGTGCCTTCTCTTGTGGCTTTTTTTTTTTAAACTTGCTTTTTGCTCTAATCTGCTCTTTCAGCTACCCCTCCTCCCAACACTATTATCTTTCTGATTTGCCCACTGTAGTTTCCCCAGCTCGCTTTCTTCAGACTGACATTTTCCTCAATTTAAAGTGATGCTGTTGATCTACTGTTTTTATAGTTATCCTCCTTCCGGAGTCAGATGTTCTTTCTTTGTTTCCTTGCCTTTCTCTTTGTTGACTTCTCCCATCCCATTGTAAGGGGAGACTTTACATAGGTTTCATGTTGGCCGAAAGAGAATCAAAGCTTCTACCCTGGAAATGTTACTATACTAAGGTAATATTAGACTTGCTTAGATTTTAAAAGTTATATGTAATAAGGGTCTAAGCATTGAAAGATTTTGTTCAGGAAAATGGGTTGCTAACCCTTTCGTGTAGCGTTATAAATGACAGGTTATACATTTCAGTAGAACATGACTTGTCATTTCTCTTAAAACAAAAAACTATAGAGATTGTGACGGTCACCAGCCACTGTTTCCTGAGTACTACTAGTGAGAAATCAGCTTTATTCTCAGTTCTAACTGCAAAGGGCTGTGAGCCTCAATTAATACATCTCTCCACAAAACTTTCTTTTATGAAGAGCCTTGTATTCTACCTGTACCATTCTCACCCTGGAAAGAGATGCATTTTTGGTCATTCTCTCGATTAGAATGTGACCTAGTCTTTTGACAGCTGAGATTATGCATCAGGGTCAGGACTACAAGCTCATCGTTTTTGACTGTCATCTGGTGCAGGGAAAACAATTTTCCTCTTTGTAAATTCTCAGTTCTTTCCAAGTGTGATGTCAGAATTGAAAGTCTTTGAGGGGTCTTACTAGGTGGGGTAAGATACTAGTATAAAACAGCTGGGTGCTGATGAGTTTAGAAACTTTCTGAATGAGTAGTGATATAGCTCAGCGGCACAGTGCCTGCCTGGCAAGTGGAAGGTCCTGAGTTCGATCATGTACCAAAAAGGAAAAGAAAAAGAAACTTTCTGAGTTAGGTAATGAGATCTAGAGAACAATGTTAACTTAAAATTTCTTGCCATAGCAGCGTAAATTCCTAAGAGCTCTCTTCATTTCTCTTGCCATTGCTTCAGATCCTGCCCCCAGCAGTTTAAATGTTTCGTTCCCAGTACTTCACCCCACAAGGCTGCCCCACCTTCTGAAATCCCACCTAAGTTACAAGAGGTGAGACAAAACAGCTCTCACCCATTCCTCCAAATAGTTTCCAGCCTCCTTGCTCTGACTTTACAGCTTTCAGCCTGTCTGGCCCTTCCTTCCATTTGACTTCCAGTGTCAGGATCAATTCCCATCAGCAGAAACAAAGGAGCTGCTGCACTCAGCCTTGTTTATCCAATTTTCCTTTGCGTGCTGAGGATGTGGCTCCCTCCTGAAGGCTAGCACATGTGAGCCTGCTCCCTTCTCACTTTGCTTTCCAAAGTAAGATTCGTGCCTGCATCAAATTACTTACCTCTCGTTGATTTCTAACCAGGCTGCACTTGTGGTGTTGCTGTGTGTGGTGTGTGTCTTTTTTGTCTGCCTGGAGCGTGCTCAGCTGTGCAGTTGTTCTATTGTGGCTGCTCAGTAACAGCCCCCTCGGATTGGAGAGCAGTTTGTTGGCGTAAGTCAAACCATGGTCATGAGCCACAGAAATTCAACTCTGACCAGCTGTCTTGCCAGGCTTTTTCTCTCAGAATCCCAATACAGTACAGTTTACTTAGTCCAACTTGTCCAGTCTGTAGAAAAGAAATTGAGGTCCACACAGGTCAACTGAATGTGCATGTTGCTGTGGTGACTTGCAGCCAGTCTGATGGGTCCCAAACAGCTTCCTGGGTAATGAGGATACTGTGTGTGGGGATACTGCTTTCAAGTTGAGTTTCTGAGTTCAAGAAGATTCTTTTCTATGTCCATTGGATGTGTAAGAATAGGGAAGATTGTTAAGGAGGGCTTAGAGCATATAGGTTTTCTGTCAGTAGTGGTGCTCACTTAGAGCTTTCCCTGGAGGCCTGCAGGGTTTTTTGTTTTTTGGTGTTTTTGAGACAGGATTTTGCTATGAAATTCAAGCTGTCCTTGAAATCATTACGCTATGGCCCCAACCTGTAGCCTCCTGAGTGTTGGAATTATAGATGTACACTACTACCCCGAGTTGCCTGCAGGTTCTTAATCTCTTGTTTATACCACTGTTACCATCCTGTGACACTTCCGAGTAGTGCTTCTCTGTTTTCTCCAAGTTGTCTTTGTTTTTTGTTTTTTGTCTTTTTCATTTTTATCGGTACTGGGGTTTGAATCCAAGTTGTCTTTGAAATTGTTGATCTCAGTACATGAGTAGGTTTTTTTTTTTTTTTTTTTTAGTGGCTAACTAGCAGTTTTATTGAATGGATCTAATGTGATTTGCTGAGACATTGTGTGTGTGTGTGTGTGTGTATGGGATCTTAAGTGTACTTGGAGGTTTTTTTTGGGGGGGGGTCTTTTTCATTTTTATCGATACCAGGGATCGAATTCACGACTGCCTGCTTGCAAGGCAGGCACTTATGCCGCTGAGCTAAATCCCCAGTCCCTTTGCTGAGACATTTTGATAAGTTCCCTAGACCTTGGGGAATTCTTCCCTATTTGTCAGAAAGGGCTAATTGCTGCTCAGAGTAGTGAGCACTAACATCTTTAGTAGCATGGGGTCGGGTATATGAGAAGAATGGAATGAACATTTGTTTCTTCTCTTCTATTTTTTTATAGTGATAGCACTCAGATGTAGGGCCTTGTGCATACTAGGCAAGAATTGTACCACTGGGGCTGGGGATTTAGCTCCACGGCATAAGCACCTGCCTTGCAAGCAGGCGGTCGTGAATTCGATCCCCGGTACCAGAAAAAAGAAAAAAAAAAAAAAAAGAATTCTACCACCGAGTTATATCCGTCAGCCTCTCTTCCACTTTTTGTAGGTTAAAACATAAGCCTGATTAGACATATGATGATATCATGTGTTTCTGTTGGTGATTTATTAGTGAAAAAAAATTTTGTTGTGCTGTGGATTAAACCTGGGACCTTCACACAGAGCTCTATGCCTAGACTTATGTTTGTTTGTTTGTTTTAATTTTGAGATAAGCTCTTGCTAAGTTTCCCTGTTGTGTCAGTGATTCCTTTGTGAAATTCCTTTCCTAGTGACAACTTAGTGAAGGGATTCTGTGTCACATGAGGCAGCAGTGGAGGCAAATAGAGCTGGAAGAGACAGATTCCCAGTCCCCTGAGAGCTCTTGAGCACAGTGGGCTGGGGAGGGGCTGGCTTAGCACCTGGCACCGCTGCCTCTCATCTTCCTCACAGCCTCGGAGAGCAGTACTACAAAGATGCCATGGAGCAGTGCCACAATTACAACGCCCGCCTCTGTGCTGAGCGCAGTGTGCGCCTGCCTTTCTTGGACTCCCAGACTGGAGTGGCCCAGAGCAACTGTTACATCTGGATGGAAAAGCGACACCGGGGTCCAGGTGAGAGTGCAGACCTGGGAAGGAGACTCAGGAGCACAAGGGGGAGGAGGTGCCAGAGAGCGTTTCTCCGCACCCCACCTGTGGATGAACTGGCCTTCCCATGATTAGAAAGCGGGGAGGGTGAAGTAGGCAAGTTGACCTCAGCACCTTTGTTTTCTGCATTGCTGAGGCCATTATTAGGCTTCTGAAGAACTGTGTGTTAGTCAGGACTTCTCTGCGTGTGTCTGTTTTTCTGTCCATGAACTGTCCTGCCTGGTACCGAGACAGTCACTGTTAGCATCTCTCTCTCTCTTGCTGTAGAGCTCAAAAGAGTACAGACCAGTCGGAAAGTGGCAGTATTTTCTAGGGCTGGACTAAGACTTGACATCTTCTCTTTTTTTCCTTAGGATTGGCCTCTGGCCAGCTATACTCCTACCCTGCCCGCCGCTGGCGGAAAAAGCGGCGTGCCCACCCACCTGAGGATCCCCGGCTTTCCTTCCCATCTATTAAACCAGGTAAGGAACCCCTCTTCCTACCACCTGCTAATTGCCTATTAGTACCAGACCTGAGCCAGGTCCTGCAGGCACTAAAAGAGTTAGGTGTGATTCCTTCCTTCCAGGAGCTCAGTCTGTAGGAGAGACAGGTAAACAGCTAAGTTGTGGTGCCAACTGAACCAGTGTGTCTCAGTGCCGGGGCAGCCAGAGAATGGAAGACAGTGGCTGACCGTACTGGAGCTTCAGCCTTTCTCAGCCTTGCTTCATCTTGACCATGTTGCAGACACAGACCAGACCCTGAAGAAGGAGGGACTTATCTCTCAGGATGGCAGCAGTTTAGAGGCTCTGCTGCGCACTGACCCCTTGGAGAAGCGAGGCGCCCCGGATCCCAGGGTTGATGATGACAGCCTGGGCGAGTTCCCTGTAACCAACAGTCGAGCACGGAAGGTACCAGAGTATCCCTGTGGCTAGGGGAGCTGTGACAGAGACCAGCCTCCTCCTCATGGGAGGCCTCCAGTTAGTGGAACTGAAGCAGATCAGTGGTAGGGTGCTTGTGGAGCACGCATGAGGCCCAGGATTCAGTCCCCAGCACTGCCAGGAATAATCATGATGACAACAACAGAAGGAGAAGCTGAGGCAGCACTGCGGCTTTGAGTTTGTTCCTATGCTGACCAGTTTCTCTACTGCTGCCCAGTCTTTTCCTTTTTACTGTATCCTCTTACTCATCATCTTTGTACAGCAGTTTTTGTCATGAAAGATTTTTATGCCTGGGTAGCATAGATAAAACAGACCTGGTCCCCAGCAACAGCAAGCTAACACCAAATTTAAAATAAGAGCAAAAGGGACAAGGGACATAGATAAGCGGTACAGCGCCTGCTTGGCAAGCATAAGGTCATGAGTTCATTTCCCAGTACCAAAAAAAGAAGAAAAGCAAAAGATACAGCGAGTATTTTCATGTGCTTCCTCCTTCAAACTGAACAATCATAGGAGGCAGGTCCTTTAGTCCCCAGTTCCTGGACAGAGAAACTGAAGCACAAGAAGCTGGGCTTGGTAGCAGTAGCACACACTTCAGTGCTCAGGGAGGCTGCAGCAGGAGGGTTACAAATTTGAGCCCAGGCTGGGCAACTTAGCCACTTAAAGAGACCCAACCTCAAAATAAAAAGGAAAAGCCTAGGGCTATAGCTTAGTGCAGGGGCCTTCTGTTCAATCCTTAGGACTCCAAAAAAAAAAAACTTCACACAGTAAGCAACAAGCTGTCATTTAACCTAGGTCCTGAGTGTTAGAAAGGAGCCCCTGACACTGTTCTGTCAGGATGGAACTTGGAGGTTTAGCTGCTTGGGCTGTCGGGGAAGCTTTACGGAAGCATGGCACTTGGCTTGACCACGCAGTGGTACTGTGAGTGGCATTCTAGTCTAAGGGAACAACGTGTTGGGACACAGGAAGGAAAGTGCTGAAAGCAGTTGCAGGGAAGCTGTAGGATAAGGAATGAGGCTTGCGTGGGGGAGATCAGGTCACAGCAGGATCTGGGCAGCCTTGGCCAATGCCATTCTGAAGGAACTTTCAGGTGCATGCAGCCTGTGTTCATTCTGACCCCTGTCTCCTCAGCGGATCTTAGAACCAGATGACTTTCTGGATGACCTCGATGATGAGGACTATGAAGAAGATACTCCCAAGCGCCGAGGCAAGGGGAAATCCAAGGTGAGCAGCTAGCATGCTGCCTGCAGTGGGGGCAGGGTAATAGGGAGGCCTGCGTTTTATTTTATGTCTGTGATTGCCTGTCTTCCTCTCATATGAGATCAGCTGCCAATCCCAAGAGAGTTTAATCTCTCCAGCCCAGACACCTAGGGTACTAAGGGCATCTTTGTGCTCTTGTCGGCAGGGTAAGGGTGTGGGCAGTGCCCGGAAGAAGCTGGATGCTTCCATCCTGGAGGACCGAGACAAGCCCTATGCCTGTGACAGTGAGTTCCTCACAAGTGGGTGGGTAGTCCTTGCCTTGGACCAGCTCCTGTTCCAGATTGGGGGCGGGGGGGGGGAGGGTCCTCACCCGGAGCGGGAAAGCCAGCCTGTGCTCTCTTCCTGCCTTTGGACTGTTTCCCCCCAAGACCTGTGGGAGGCCCAGGCCTCACCTCCATGGCGGCGGGTGGGACTTGCATGCTCTGGGAGAGATGTCTGCTGTGCCCTGGCGGGGGAGTGGGCGGGCTCCCAGCAGGCAGGCTTGGCCACTCCAGAGGCAGAGGCCACATCTGCTGGCCACCACGCTGGGGCACAGGGGGCTGACCCTGAGGTTTTCATTGTCTGCTCTCTTTCCCTCTGCTTTGGCTCGCCTCACTTGTGTGCTTCCGTCCTGGAGCGCCAGCGCTGCTGGGGTTCTCTCTTGCTTGTTTCGTTCTGCTGCTGCTGCTGCTGCCCCTGTCTCAAGTGTATCAAGGCTTTCTTCTCATGACTTTTCTTTCTGTCTTTCAGATAGTTTCAAACAAAAGCATACCTCGAAAGCGCCCCAGAGAGGTAGCTCTCTCAACTTTTCAGACTTTTGGTTTTCCTGTCCCTGTTTCCCTCCCTTGTTGTTCCTGCCTTTCAGTTCTCCTGTGATGCTAAGTTTGAATCTGTGAAATGGCATGTGGTTAGAGCCATGGAACTGTGGGGTGCTCCACTGCTTACTGCTGCTCATCTCCCACACACCCATGGCCTTACTCCTAGGGCCGCCAGGCTAGCACATGGGTAGCTCCTGAAACATTATAAGGAACTCACTAGCAACAACTCCATCTGCTCCCCCTCCCCCAAACAGGCCCTTGGTGGTCAGCTAATGTGCCCACCATCCTGTCACCTCCTCTTCCTCCTCCCTTTATTCCTTCCTGCTGACCCCCTTGCCTTTCTTGGTGTCACTGTTGGAGATGACAAGATGCTTGTGGGGCTCTGCTTTCTTACTGATTGGACTGGGAAGAGTGTTGATGGGTTAGTGTGTTTGATTTCTTGGGGGGTAAGCTTCCCCATCTGACTCAGTTGGTAGTTGTGCCTAGGAAACAGCCCTAGTCTTTTGTCCGTTCTGAACAGATGAGCTGCATGGTACATGGTGGGTAGCATGAGCCTCCCACCTTTACTTGAAGTCTCTTTCGTCCCCTTCCCCTCCTGTCATAATGCAAAGCCATAGAGTTTTCTTTTCCTTTTGGACCCGGAGTTCTGCAGATTGTAATTGTCCCCAGGGCAAGTGCTGTTGCAGTGAGGGCCCCCCAAAAGCCAACATGGAAAGAATAGTGATGGCCATGGGTAGAGGAGAGCTCCACAGAGGCCCAGGGCCTAATGCTCCCGGCTACGGGGAGGGATCATCACTGAGGCTTGTCCCAGAACAGAGCTGCTGGGGGCCGAGTGAGTGCCCTTGCCTCAGGAGGTGCCCCCTAGCTTTCAGGGATGGGGTGGGCCATCCTCACATCCTAACACCTTGCTCTGCAATCTTCTGCTCACTCAGTTTGTGGGAAACGTTACAAGAACCGACCCGGCCTCAGCTACCATTATGCCCACTCCCATCTGGCCGAGGAGGAAGGCGAGGACAAGGAAGACTCCCAGCCACCCACCCCTGTTTCCCAGAGGTCGGAGGAGCAGAAATGTAAGCAAGGTGTTGTGGTGGGTGGTGGTAGAGGAGGCAGCCTGGGTATGAAAGCCTGAGCCAGGGACCCCTCAGCATCAGCAAAACTCTTCTAGGGCTGGGGTTTAGCTCAGTGATACAAGTACCTGCCTGACGAGTGCAAGGTTGGTAGTCCCGGTACCAAAAATACTTGTCTTCTCACCTTGTAGCCAAGAAAGGTCCTGATGGATTGGCTCTGCCCAACAATTATTGTGACTTCTGCCTGGGGGACTCAAAGATAAACAAGAAGACAGGACAACCTGAGGAGCTAGTGTCCTGTTCTGACTGTGGCCGCTCAGGTACCTCCACCCTTGGGAGGGCTGCCATCCCTGGCTTGGGCCTGTTGTCTCCAGCTGTCAGGCAGGCAGCTCTCTGCCCTCTGCTCCTACTTGGAGCCGTCAATTTCTCCCCTCTCTTCCCCCCACAGGGCACCCGTCCTGCCTCCAGTTCACCCCTGTGATGATGGCAGCCGTGAAGACCTACCGCTGGCAGTGCATCGAGTGCAAATGCTGCAACCTCTGCGGTACCTCCGAGAATGATGTGCGTGGCCTGCTGTGCCTCCCCAGGGCTGCTGCTGCTGCTCTCCCCACATCCCTTGCCAAAGGGTGCTTTCTCCTAAGAGAGAAAGATCCCACTTGCCCCTTTCCTGCATTCCGTCAGAACTAGGATTTGTCAAATTTATTGGCAAATCCATGTGTCTCAGCCACTTACCTTAGGTCAGAACTATTGTAGGACTAAGGATGCTGAAAACAGGGGAGCCTGGTTCTCACGGAATAGCAAGGATGAAAGCTTCTTATGATATCCTTGAAGAAAAGAGACTGTGGGGGTGGCCACTGATATGATGGAGTAACTGGTTATTGATTGGGGTTACGGTCAGAGGTGGCTTTCTGAGGGGGCAAGGTTGTCTTGAAAGTTTGGATGATACCAAGGAGCCAGCGCCAGTGGGTTTGGAGGTGGAGCATTCACGAGAAAGGAGTAGCTGAGGCGGAATCGCCTGGTGGAAGCCAGATGTACTGAGAAGGCCACTGTGGTTGGCTGGAGCCTTCCTGTGTGCAGAAGAGCATGGGAGGGGATGAATCAGAGAGGCGGACGCACCCAGACCTGTGAAGGGGCTCTTTGGGCTCTTTCAGGAAGTGGGAGGGCCTGGAAATTGAATCTGGGACCTGTTACATGCCAAGCAGCTGCTCTGCCTCTGAGCTACACCAAGTCTTGGGTTCTTCTATTGGAGGCTTGTGATCAAACGGATGGTGTGTTGTGTTTTACGTTGCATTTATTTACTTCCACTTTTTATTATGTTATGTTGTTATGCTATTTTGTAATGCTGGCAGGGCTCGGGTGAGAGAATGACTATGTCTTGTTCTAGGTTGGAGGTAGACAACAGTGTTTCCTACCCGAAGACTGTGGAGTCTAGTCCCACTTACCACCTCTCAGTAGCAGCAGTTCCCAGAAGCCCTCTTCCTGTCCTCCCAACTCGGGGCGGGGGTGGGGGGGAGCTTCACTGTGGCACATAAAACTTTGAACTCCTTTCCCCTTGCTTACCTTCTCTAGGACCAGCTGCTCTTCTGTGATGACTGTGACCGTGGCTACCACATGTACTGTCTCACCCCATCCATGTCTGAGCCCCCTGAAGGTATGTGCACAAGACTTTTTTTTTTTTTTTTTTTGAGATGAGGTCTGATTATGCAGGTCAGGTTGGCCTTGAATTTACTTTGTAGTGGAGGCTGGCCTCAAACTCTTGGCAATCCTCCTGCCTCAGCCTCTGGAGTGCTGGAATTATAGATATGCACCACCACCCCAGCCAAGTGGGCAAGATCTTTTACTCAGAACCATTGATTGATTGATTGGTTGGTTGGTTGATTTGCTTTTTGAGACAGGTTATGGGCTAGCCTTGAACTCACTGTATAACCTCAGCAGGCCTCAAACTCACAGTGATCCTCTTGCCTCAGCCTCTCAAGTGCTGGGATTATAGGCGTTTGCCACCACATGTGACTATCAGAACAATTATTTTATTAGTAATCTAAAAAACCACCTGCACAGTGGATACTGAGTTTTGAATTCGCTATATTATCAGCTGTTCATTCTTCCAAATGAAGGAGTAAGGCACTTGGCCCTGAGTCAGTTCAGGATGCTTTCCTAGCATTTCAGCCTAAGAGGCTTAACATTTTGCGCATTATCATCAGTTACATTTACAAACACTGAAAATCAGTGGCCCATGAAAAAACACATTGAGCAGAGAACAGTCACCCTGAAAGAGAGATTTGTCTTCCTTGTTCCAGTCTCTGATGTGACACTTCTGTGACTTGAGAGATTTGAGTGTTCATTGATTGCCAGAGGCTGAGTGCATTGGTCTGCCTGGCCAGTAGTTGAATAATGCTCCAGAATCACTGTGATACCAGGAAGTGGCTGTTTCTCCATCAGTCCTCCTTTAGCTGCATTTCTGTGTCTGCGCCTTTCCTGTGTAGAATCTGCGACCAGCAGCCAGGTTTGGCGATACACACCAGTAATCCTAGCACTCCTGAGGCTGGGGCTGGACCATGGCTGTGAGTTTTGAGGCCAGACTGGGCTAAATTGAGAAACTTTGTTTCAAAAAAAAAAAAAAAGAAAGAAAAATTGCTGAAAAAGATAAAAATGTACCATAGCTATTCTAGAGGATATGGGCCAGCATTGCAGGAGAGAACGTGGTTTGCTATATGCTGGAAACTGGCTTGTAATACAGGTCACAGTCCTGTCACTCTCTAAAGAATGAGGACTAATAAAATCTGAAAGTCCTTCAGTCGCTACTGGGGAACACTCAGCTATTGCCATGCCTAGTTAATGAACTGGCTTCAGGAAGAAGTTGGATAATCATCAGATAATCAGCTTACCTGAAATCTAGACTAACTGCAGAAGGTCCTTCAGTTCTGCTGGAAATCAGAGTGGAGAACTGCAGGCCCAGGGGCCACACCAGAGAGTCTGAGGCTCTGTGTCACGTTGTGCAAATCTACTGCAGCCAGTCTGCATAGCTTGTGAGCCATGAATGTATTTCATGGTTTTTTTGTTGTTGGTGGTAGCGTTTGTGTTTTGTTTTGTTTTTTTGGTACCAGGGATCGAACTCACGACCTAGCACTTGCCAGACAGGCGCTCATGCCACTGAGCTAAATCCCTGGTGGTGATGGTGTTTTGAGATAGGGTCTCACTGTGTAGTTCAGACTGGCCTTGAAGTCACTGGTTAGCCCAGGCTGGCCTTAAACTCCTGCTTCAGCCTCCTGAGTGCTGGGATTGCAGGTGTGTGCCACCACACCCAGTTTGGGTTTTACATTTTTAAAGAGTGGTTTTTAAAAGAAAAGCTAAGTTTAATGGCACATACCTGTTATCCCAGCATTCTGGGAGATTGAGGTAATAAGAGGTGTGCAAGTTCAGGTCTAGCCTGGGTGATAACGTGTTTGTTTGTTTGTTTTTGGTCTTTTTTGAGACAGGGTCTTGCTATGCAGTTCAGGCTGGCCTTGAGCTCACTTTGACCAGGCTGGTCTCGAACTCTCAACGATCCTCCTGTCTCAGCCTCCCAAGTGCTGGGATTACAGGCATGAGCCGGCAAGCCTGGGTGATTTAGAAGGACCTTATTTCAAAATAAAGGCTGGAGGTGTTATTCAGTAACCGCCCCCCCCCCAAAAAAAAAAACGATGTGAGTGAAACTGTACCTTACAAAGCTTAAAAGAATTTAACACTTTGTCTGACTGTTGGAAACTTTTCCACCGCTGCTCATTGACCTTGGGGCTAGAAAGGATCTTCCTCTTTGTTTCTCTTTTTTTGGGGGGAGTAGGATAGGGGGAATTGAACCCAGGACTCTGAACTTGCTAGACCAGTGCTCCCCGCTGAGCTGCATCCCTTTTTTTTTTTTTTTTTTTTTGGTCTTTTTAGACAGGGTCTCACTGTGCAGTTCAGGCTGGCCTCGAGCTTGCTTGTAACCCAGGCTGGTCCTGAACTCGTGATGATTCTCCTGCCTCAGCCTCCCAAGTGCTGGAATTAGAAGTGTGAGCCACCATGCCTGGCTTGCATCCCCATTCTTTCTCTTACATTGTATTGGTACCAGGGATTGAACTCATGATCTTGTGCTTGCCAGGCAGATGCTGATACCGTTGCACTAAATTCCTGGCCTCTCTTACATTTTAAAGTCACATATCCTGAAGAGCTGATAAATACGGTTATTTGTTCAGAAAGAGAAAATTATTTCCTGTTTTTCTTTTGAAATTAAACAGAGGAAATAATGGTTGTCTCAGCAGAGTCCCCACTTTTCCTCTCACCGTGTCCTGGGCCTCACTTAGGCACGGAGTGACACAGAGCTCGGTTCCCTTGCCATCTGCCACAGCACCAACTATGTCAAATTGACTTCCCTGGGACTTCCAGTCTCCCTTTGGGGCCCTGCGGACCAAGTGTGATTTTTCTGTAATCACAAATCCAAAGCTGCAGCACCTCAGTAGTCTGCCCAATCTCCCCCCACCAAGCCCAGAGATTCTGATTGAACAGGGTTGAGCCGGTCCACCAAGGCTTTCTTCTTCCGGGAGAGCGACCATTCAGCGTGGGTAGGGGAGAGGGCCCTCCCTGCTCAAGACAGCCTTGAGGCTGCTGCAGGAGCTTCTGTCTTATCTGCTGGAGGCAGGGCGTCAGAGTGGATGGCCCCAGGTGGGATGGCATCCACCCTGACCTCGTATGCTTCTCTGCAGGAAGCTGGAGCTGCCACCTGTGTCTGGACCTGTTGAAGGAGAAAGCGTCCATCTACCAGAACCAGAACTCCTCCTGATGCGCGGTCCCTCGCTCCCCACACACCTGAGGCTGTCTCTCTCCTTCACCTTGTTTTTTCATACCCACCCTTTCCTCTTCCTTTCTTTCACAAGTCCAGAACTTCGGGGTGGTTGTGCCAATCTGCCTTTGGCAACAGCAAGCAGAGGTGGCAGCTCTGACAGCCTCTGGCCCCGGCCCTCAGGGAGAAAGGAGCGGCTCCCTGCCCAAGATGTAGCTGTGGGCCCAACTTCTCTGCTCTCCGTGAAGTGCATTCACTCTGCTTGCCTTGGGCCCAGGCCCTGGTGCCCACAGGGTTCAACTGCGTCCTCTGAGAAAGAGTGGGGGAGCAGCTCACTTCTCTCAGCCTGGCCTCCGCTCTGGCCTTCAGGGTTCTCCTCCCAGAGCTGAGCCAGGCTGGGCCTCTACCAGGAGCCACTAGAAGTGAGCAGGGTGAGGCCGTGCTCGCCAGGAGCTTTCCGTGTTTCTCCTTGCCGCTTCCCTCAGGGCCCCTCTGTGCCCTCCGTCCTGCTACATTGAGTCCTGTGAGCTAGGACCCTCTCCTCTGCCCTGCCCCCCCCCCCAGGGGAGTAGCACCTTCAACTGTCTTGTGCTTGCCCTGGGCGATCTCTAGCACCCCAAGTACTCCTTCCCCTCAGAACCTCCTGTCTCCTGTCTGCCTCCTGTTCCCTTTGTTTTGTGAGGAGAAGGGATGCTTCAGGGGCCAGGCCAGCAGCTTGGGGGCCACGGGAAGCCGTTGGATAATGTGCCTGTTTTTTAACTCGACAAAAAAGCCTACCTCCAAAATCCCCTTTTTGTTCTTCCTGGACCTTGACATTCAGCCTCCTGCCCTTAACTGAATTGGGAACGTCTGCCTCCTGCTTGTGTCTCCTGGCTCCCGTGTCATGGGAAGGCCAAATAAATGTCTGCTTCTCTCACACACTTTAGCAGTTAGTAAGGTCTTCACACCCTGATTCTTTGGTTTTCTGCTTAGCGCCACCAACATTAAATAGGAAGGGGACAGTCTGTGCCAGGACACCATGGAGTGGCCTTCCTCCTTGGCTGTAGGCAAGCTCTAACTCACTGTCACTTTGGAGTTGAGATCCCCCCCCCCCTTTTAGTTCCTGTACTGTATAAACATTAGTAAAAAAAAAAAAATAAACATTTTTACGGAGCCCTCTGCTGAGTGGTTTGTCTCCTAACTCACCTGGTTAAGAACTTTGTTGCTTACTTAGGCAGTAACTTTGGGGTGGGGAGTTGTTTGGGTTTTTTTGGAGAATGTCTCACTGTGTAGTTCAGGATGGTCTCAAACTTGAAGTGATCCTCCTGTCTCAGCCTCCTGAGTGCTGGGATTACAGTGACGGGCCCCCACGCCCAATTTTTTTTTTTAAACATTTTAAAATCTAGCCTTTCTCCTTTCAAAGACAGACTTTAACTCCAAGAAATAAAGCAAATATAAAGTTTATTGTTTTAATTTGTTAAATTCCAAGTTTATAACAGTTTGTTATAAAGAACAATTGTCTTGAGCAATACAGAATTTGGGTTAAAATCAACTTTAGCATCCATGTTATTTCTTGTGCTTTTGGACGGGAAAATTTTGCTAGACCTGGATAGAGCAGTTGACCTTGTAAATCTCATTCTTCAAGTGGGTCCACAAGATTAATATTTTTAAAAAGCCAGCAAAGACGGCAGGGGACACGGGAACGTGAAGCCTTTTCGCGGGCGGCGGCCTCCCAGTCGTTCATAGCACGGAAGGACTCGGCCAAGGCGAACATCTGATACTCTACCGTGGTCCTTCGAAGTCTTATTTAAGAGACTGGAGATAAACATGCGTGGGTCCTCTGGAGCGCCCTCGCTTTTTCCGGGATACTCCGACGTCCTTGTCGGGAGGGGCAGCGCGGTCTGGCTGGCGGCGGCGGAGGCCCGGGCGGAAAGGGGCGAGGGCGGGTGGGGGGCGGGGAGCGCTGGACAAGCGCTGCAGGCCGCGGCCGCTCTCCAGTCCCGCCCTCGGGTTAGCAGGGCGGGAATCTTGGCTTCTGGAGTAGAGGTCTGAATCTTGTCAAAGAGGTAACGAACTAAGAAAAATTAGTCTCTCTTGGCCCGGAGTCAGCACTGGCCCAGGCAGATGGCTACAGGAAGCCGGGAGGGTAGGGGCGAGGCCAGCGCTGTCCATGGTGACTCGCTTTTGTGTATCGCACGTCCATTTTCTCCCTCCATCATTTTCCCAACTCTGTGAGGACCATTAGCTCTGTGTGATAGATGAAGGAGCCGTATCTTCCTAGGGTTACAGCCAGGAAGGTCTTAGGTCGCCTCCCCGGCCCGCACGTCGTCCCGGGCACTGGTCACGCTCCGAGGCCGGGCCGAGCAGCTGGCCGCTCCGGAGCCTTCTGCCCGCTCGGGTCTCGGGCTCTGGTCCCGCCCCTCCGTGCTGCAATCCCCGCCCTCAGAGGGCCCGACGAACCGCCACTTCTGCGACACCCAATGAGATCAGGGGCGGGACGAGGCGCCGCTGAGGACCAATCCAATTGGGCAGGGCGGGGCTGCAGTGGGTAGGCGCTGAGGGGGCCTCACGGTGCCCTTCCCAGCCCGAAAGAGCCCGGCGCGGGTGGCGCGCGGGTCTGTGCTGTGCGCGCTCCCGCCGCCGGCCACCCGCGCAGGCCCTCGGCTCGCTCCGCCCTCGGGGTCTAGGCCCTCGGCACCCCTGTTCTGCGTTCGCCGCCCGCAGTAGGGCTCGGGAGCTGGACTGGGGACGGGGGCGGGAGCCGTGGGACTGGCGCCTGAGGTGGGTGCGGAGCGGGAAGGCCGGGCGGCCGGAGCGGGCGGGCGCCTGGGTCCTCTCCGCCGACGGACACCGGGTCGAGGTGGGAAAGGCCGGCCCGTGCGTAGAGCCCGGCTCCCGGCCGGCCTGGGTCCCGGGCGCGCGCCCGCAAGCCCTGCTGCACCTCCCAAGGCTACCACCCTCACCGCGGGGGACACCCCGCCCCTCTCGCTGTCCCCAGCCGCCTCGCGCCTCTCTCCCTTTGTCGCCTGTGCACCTGCGCTCTTGCCCTGCCCTCCCGTGGCCCCAGTCCTGGTCCCGCATCCCCTGGCCCCCCACGGAGACTTGCTGCTTCAGACCCCGTCCTTCCCCCTTTGTCGTGTGTGCACCTGTTCACCTCAACTCTGCACTCACTGTGTACACCTGCACTCCAGCGTCTTCCTGCAGGCCAGCCGGGCCGCCAGCCCATCTCCCTCCCAGGGCTCACCCAGCCCGAAGCACTGCTTATGCCCCACACCTGGCCCTGGTCCAGCCCTGGACCTTCTCCTATCCATCCTCCTTTGTTGTCTCTGCGGCTGTCCTCCAGTCTGCTTTCTCCCCCAACCATGCCAATCCCAGCCCACGCTCCCCTTCCCTGTGGCCAGAAGACCGCCCAGCTCAGTGCCCCTCCACTTCTTCAGGGTGGCCCTCCACAGCCTGGCCACATCCCTTCTTCCCCAAGGATCCAGTGCCTCCGTCCACCTGCGCTCCACATTGCCCTGTCCTCAGGAGCCCTCTCCTCTCTGGTCCTCCTGTAGCCCTCCATTCCCTTTGCTTCTCTCCTCCCTCACAGGTGGTCCAGAACTATGGAGCTGAGCAGCAAGAAGAAACTTCACGCCCTGTCCTTGGCAGAGAAGATCCAGGTGCTGGAACTCCTGGATGAGTCCAAGATGTCCCAGTCAGAGGTGGCCCGGCGCTTCCAGGTCTCACAGCCACAGATCTCACGCATCTGCAAGAATAAGGAGAAGCTGCTGGCAGACTGGTGCAGTGGCACAGCCAACGGGGAGCGCAAGCGCAAGCGGGAGTCCAAGTACAGCGGGATCGATGAGGCTCTGCTCTGCTGGTACCACATCGCCCGGGCCAAGGCCTGGGACATCACGGGACCCATGCTGCTCCACAAAGCCAAGGAGCTGGCTGATATCATGGGCCAGGACTTCGTGCCCAGCATAGGCTGGCTGGTCCGCTGGAAACGCCGCAACAATGTAGGCTTTGGGGCTCGCCAGGTCCTCGGCCCTCCCTTTCCTTTAGAGTCACCCAACCCAGTGCTCATGGGCCAGGCCCCACCACCTCTCTCCCTTAAAGACTTCACCCCAGAAGATGTGTTTGGCTGTGCGGAAGTGCCCTTGCTATATCGGGCGGTGCCTGGCAAGAGAGTGCCATGCGACCAGGTACAGGTGCTGCTGTGCGCCAATAGCAGGGGCACAGAGAAGCGGCGGATATTGGTGGGTGGGCTCCAGGCTGCACCAAGATGCTTCTTCGGCATCAGCAGTGAAGCACTGCCTGCCACCTACCACCCTGACCCAGGCCTCCCTTGGTCAGAGTGGCTGGCACAGTTTGACCAAGACATGGGGCAGCAGGGCCGAAAGGTAGCTTTGCTGCTGGCTGCCCGAGTGGTGGAGGAGTTGGTTGGGCCACCTGGACTCCACCATGTGAGGCTCTTGCCTCTGGCCACCTCCAGCACCACAGCCTCCCTGCCCAGCTCTGTGGTCTGGGCCTTTAAGGCCCACTACCGGCACCGGCTGCTGGGCAAGCTGGCTGCAGTCCAGACCAAGAGGGCCAGTGCCTCGCTGGTCGAGGCTGGGACGGGGATCACAGTACTGGACGCACTGCACATGGCTGCGGCTGCCTGGGCCAAGGTGCCCCCTCAGCTTATTCTGAGCAGCTTCATTCAGGAAGGGCTAGCTCCTGGAAAAACACCTCTGTCCCCAGATGCAGCCTGTGAGATACCACCAGTCCCCAGGGGGCTGAGCCAGGAAGAGTTCTCCCAATTCGTGGACCTGGAGGGTGAGGAGATGGGATCTGGAGTGTGCAAAGAGGAGAAAGGCACTGAAGATCAAGAGGGGGCCAGGGAGGACAGCTTCGAGCCCCTACCCACCAAAGCTGAAGCCCTCCAGGCCCTGGGCACCTTGCGGAGGTGGTTTGAGTGCAATGGCTCCTCCCCGGAGCTCTTTGAAAAATTCTATGACTGTGAGGCAGAGGTGGAACGACTCTGCTCCCTGTAGGGCCCTGGGCCCCTCTGCTGTGTTTCCTATGGAAACGCCTCTCCAAACTGCTGCCGAGCTTTTTCCTGTGGAAATATAGCACGCAAAAGGTGTGGAAGGGAGAGAAGTTGAGACACCAAGTCCAAGCTCAGAGCAGGTCACCCAGACCCGAGAAGAAGCTGGGGGTCTGGGCTGTGTAGTTCCCAGACATTTGCGAAGGTCTAGAGCCTTGGAAGGCTGGGACTTGGGCTTTACAGATGGTAATTCTGTCCCTTCAGCTCTGTGTTAAGAACATTTCTGCTTCTGGAAATAAAGTTTTTAACTACAAAGGAGTCCAGGATGTGACTTTCATAAGACAAGGATGAAACCTTTCCATTCATGATGGGTTTTTGTTTGTTTGTTTGAGACAGCGTCTCACTGTGTATTCAGGCTGCCCTCAACTCACAATATAGTCCAGGCTGGCCTTGAGTTCACAGCAAACCTCTTGCCTCAGCTTCCTAAGTGCTAGAATTACAGGCCAGCACCACCACGCTGGGTACATTCTTTTCTTTTCTTCATTTGTTCATTTCATGTCTTCTCTTCAGCCAGAGTCGTCTCTGCCAGGCAGACCTGGAAGACTAGAGTCTTATTAAACATGGTAACAGGGCTGGGGATACATCTCAGTGGCACAGCGCCTGCCAGGCAAGCACAAGATCGTGAATTCAATCCCCAATACCCCCCCAAAAAAAGAGTGACAAAGGTTTGTGAGACATGCTGTGGCCTCACAGTCAAAGAGCCTGCAAGAGTGGCAGAGGGTGCTGCATGCCAAGTGGCAGGAAGCACAAGGCACATTAGAGCACAGGTACATGGGGAAGTGGGGTGTCGTGAGGGCCCCCAGGGAAATGGGGTTCCATGCCAGGGCGACAGTAGCCCGCCCTAATGGGAAATGGAAGGCCGAGTGTGGTGCACACCTCTCCTGGAACACCTTACCTAGCCAACTGTCCTGTGCCCAGCTGTCAGACCCAGGACCAGGGCCTCCCTGATTCCGACACTGTTTACACTGGCAAACGACTTGTGATCAGCTTTCTGGGGAAACCTAGCCAGGGGAGGCTCAAGTTTAATAGCCTGCAATGAATAGAAACAGTTTCAAAGATCGATCATTTACAGATCTTAGACTACCATGGCCTAGTGAGTGGGTGGACAGTCCTCTGTCCTAGGTCACTTGAGTGCAAAATAAAGAGTTAGGGGGCCAACTAGCATTGTATATGGAGGGTTAGGGTGTGGGTCTATTTATTTTATTTTTCAGTGCTGAGACTGAACCCAGGGTTCATTTATGCCATGGAAACAGTCTAACACTGAACCACACCTCCAGCTCCACCCGCCCTCCTTTCTAAGAGACATTGATTGCCTGGACTGACCTCAAATTTCTGGGCTAATATGGTCTTCCTGCCTTGGACTCCTCAGTAGAAAAGACTATAGGTGCACACACCATGCTTGGCTCTGGTATGGGTCACTTAAGTTTCAAGGACAATGCCTGAGTGGCACATTTAAAGAAAACACGAGGCTGGGTATGGTGGTGCACACCTGTAATTCCAGTGCTCTGGAAGTAAGGTAGGAAGAACACAAGTTCCAGCCCAGCCTGAGCAGTTTAGCAGTGGGTATTTTTTTTTTTTTTCTGAGACAGGCTACCCAGGCTGGTCTCAAACTTAAGTGGTCTCCCTGCCTCAGCTTCACAAGTGTTGGAATCATGGGATTTACAGGAGTGCGCGCACAGGCCTAGCCTAATTTAGGGATTTCACAAAATTTTTAAAAGGGTCAGGGCATAGGGGCTGGGGATTTAGCTCAGTCAGCAGCATAAGCACCTGCCTTGCAAGCAGGTGGTCGTGAGTTCAATCCCCGGTACCAATTTAAAAAAAAAAAAAAAGGACAGGGCGTGAAGCTCAGTGAGAAGCTCTTGGGTTCAATCTCCTGTACCATCAAAAAATAAATAAATAAAGGAAGAAAGCAGGCGGCCCAGTTTGCTTGGATGGAGATGTCTCTAAATTGCTGTCTGGAGTTGAAAGTGTTGGTACAAACCTGGAATTCCAGCACTCCTGCTGAGGCAGGAGGTTCCTCGAGTTCATGGCTATCCTGGGCTACATAGTGAGCTTACGGCCTGCATGAAATCCATAGCGAGGCCCTGTTTCAAAAAACGAAACAAAACAAAACAAAAATGCATGTGAGACCCTGTCTCAAAAACGCATTGTAAACAAATTCCTGTCCGCGGTCCCTGCTTGGGCATGTGAGCACGCTGTTCCTCTGAGAACGCCAGGCAGAAACTCGCTGCGTGGGGCTGGAGATTTAGCTCAGCGGCATAAGAACCTGCCTTGCAAGCAGGCAGTCCTGAGTTCGATCCCCGGTACCGATAAAAATGAAAAAAAAAAAAAAAAAAAAAAAGAAAAGAAAAAAAGAAACTCGCTGCGTGATCCCGTGACACAGGCAGTATTGTAGGAGTCACCCCTCTCAGTATGTGGCGGCCTCCAGGGGCTGGGTCAGCAGCGCAAACGTGGTGGGGGTGACCACGCAGTGGAGCAGAGTCCGAGGTGTGAGTCCTACAGGTGGAGGCACCTGAGCGGCCAGCACGGAAGCGTGACCGGCAGGGGGCGCTCCGTCCCAGCCCCGTGACAGACAGCTGGGTGGTGCGGTTCTGCTCCAGCCCAGGCCTCCACCTCCTCCCGGGATCCTTCTGGGCTCAACCTTAGGCTTTGCCTGCCAGGCCGGGGAGGGGGGTGGGGGATAGCGCTCTTCCCACAGTGGGGCCCTTTATGGAAGGGTGACAGTCATGGGGACGCTGAGCATCGAACCCAGGAACCCTCCCCTCGTATGCTGGGTGTGGACTCTGTCCTTGGGCCAGGCCCCAGCCCTGGACTCACTATGAAGTGGTTATGAAGCATCTTGCAGGCCTTCTGTTTTTATCCTAAGATCCCAAATGGTACATCTTGTCCTACAAATTCTGTTTTTCCTGCCCTGTGTTCATTTAAACTATTCCTTTCTGACCCAGCATGATGACACATGCTTAGGATCCCAGAAGTCAGGAGGCTGAGGCAGGAGGATCACTGCAAGTTTGAGATGAGCCTGGGTTACTGCTAGTGAGTTCAAAGCCAGCCTGAGCTACACAGTGAGACTGTCTCCAAAAATCTAAATAAACTTCCTTTCGAAAAGCATCCCAGTTGTAAAACAGCTCTTTTAAAGAGTTGAAGCCAAAATTATACAATCTCTGAGTCCAAAGCAACAGAGAGGAGACAAATTAACTCTCTGTCCTCAGGTGTCATATTCTTGTTTTATTGCTGACTTCTTCCAAGAGCTTTTAATTTTAACCATTTTATTTATTTATTTATTTATTTATTTAGGTACCAGGAGTCAAACTCAGGACCTTGCACTTGCCAGGTAGGCGCTGAACCACTGAGCTATATTCCCAACCCTAATTTTTATTCTTAACTCTTCTTCTTCTTCTTCTTCTTCTTCTTCTTCTTCTTCTTCTTCTTCTTCTTCTTCTGTGCTATAGATTGAAATCAGGACCTCATACATGCTACAAGGGTACTCTATCTTAAACTATCTTCCTAGTCTTTTTAAAAGATGGTCCCACTATATAGTTCTGGCTGGCCTTGAGCTCACCATGTAGCCCAGGCTGGCCTCAAACTCCCATTGATCTTTCTGCCTCTGCCTCTCAAACTCTGGGATTATAGGTGTGTGTCACTAGGCCCAGTGGGCTTCCCCTCTTTTTATGGTAGCATAACACCGCACTCTCTGTATATACCACAGTTTCCTTACCCCTTTACTCACTGACAGACACTTAGGGTGTTTCTGCATCTCAACAACTGTGATTAATGCAGCAATAAAGACCAGGTGTGGTTACATAGTGAGACTCTGTCTCAGCCATGAACAGGACTAGAAAGCACATATGTCTTCAAGATACTGCTCTCCTGTGCCATGAATAGTTATACCCAAGATTGGGGTTCCTGGGTTGCATAGTAGTCCCATAAGTTTTTGGAAGAATGTTTATACTACGTATTTCCTATAAAGGCTGAACCCAAACATTTGCACCAACAGCATTCGATCTGTCCCTTTCCCCCAGTGTCTTCTCCAATACTTGCTATGGTATGCCTTTCTGACCACATCCCTTCCAACAGGGTTGAGGTGATACCTCATTGCAGTTTTGATCTGCATTTCTCTCATCATTGATGACGTCAAAGGCCAATTTGTACACCTGCTAGCCATTCACATATCTTTTTTTAAAAAAATGTTTATTCAGAGTCTGTGCCCTTTCTAAACTAATTAATAAGTTAATGTGTTTTTTGAGGCTGGGTGCCTTTATGTAGCCCAGGATGGCCTCAAACAGAGTTAATACTTCTTACTCTCCCGAGTGCTGCGATTTTGTTGTCACCATCGTCAAGTTGTGTGAGGGACTGTCACATGGTTATGGGTTATACCGCGCTATCCTGGTTTAAATCGCTCGTCTTTAGCAAAGTTTGTAGTTACTCCTTTCAGACACGAGGGGGCGCGATGAGCGTGAGAAATTCAGTTCTCCCAGGCGACTGCCGGCGGGAAGGGTCCGGGCGCAGGAACTACAGTTGTCGCCGTTCTCGGAGCCGGAACCTCCTCCGAAAAGTGTACCACCGCCGGGGGAAAGCTGTGTCCTTTCCGGCCCCCTTCGCTGGCTAGTGGAGGTTTCCCGTCTTCCCTTCCCTGCTAGCGTGGCCCCTTCTTGGCTTCATTTAGGAGTCTTGAGGTCAATGGAGGCCGCGCGGGACCCACATCCCGGTTCTCAGCCGCCAGACCCTGTTTTGAAAGGATTCAGGGCAATCTTCTTGCTAAGTGAGCAAGAGTCGTTTTGTTTGTTTATTAACTAGGCTTATGGAGGCTGGGGATTCAGCTCAGCGGCACAAGCGCTTTCCTGGCAGGCAGTCGTGAGTTCGATCCCTGGTACCGATTTAAAAAAAAAACTAGGTTTATGGGTACATTTTAGGGACGCGTGATGACCACAGGGAGTTTTTCCCTTGGTTCTTCCATTTCTCCCACCCCCTCACCGTCCTTCGGCCTTGTTTCCCCTCCTTGTGCACAAAAGCTTTGTTTCCATTTTCCTTCTCTTCTCATTTCCCCCTTCTTTCCCACCTCCTCCTTCCCTATCTCCCCTCCCTTTTGAACAATTTCTTACTATTTCACCATATCTAGAATACATTTTGGTCCCTATTACACTTTCAGTTTCTCACACCAGAGAAACAATGCGGTATTTACACGTGTGCCCCATTTATTTCACTTAAGCACGAAGTCTCAACGTGCATTCATTTAGCTAGACATGCCTCAGGTTTATCCCTCTTTATGGCAGAGTAGTAGTTCTTCATGTAAAAAGCCCACGTCTTCTTTATCCATTCCTCAGTTGATTGGCATTGGTCTGTTTCCAAGATTTGACTATTACAAACTGTGCTGCTGTAAACATAGGTGTGCATATATCGCTGTGGGGTGGTGCTTTTACTGCCTTTGGGAATTTACCAAGAAGGGGAATAGCGGGACTGAAGGGAACCTGGTCCTAGTTTTTTGAGGAATCGCCATCTCGATTGCCGCAATGATCACCCCAGTCTACCCTCCCACCAACACTGGCTAAGAGTTCCTTCCTTCCCTCCCCTCGCATTTGTTATTGTTTGGTTTCTTGATAGTAGCCATTCTTTCTGGAGTGAGAGGGAATCTCAGCATTGTTTTAATTTGCATCTCTTGAATTACTAGGGATGTAGAAAAATTTTTTTCATGTATTTATTTGCCATTTCTACTTCTTCTAAGAAGTATGTATTCATTTTCCAGATGCCCATTTTTGGATGGGGTTTTTAAATTTGGGAGGATCTGAATTTTTTGTTCTTGTTTAGTTCTTTGTTATGTTTTTGTTTTTGAGGCAGGGTCTCACTGTGCAGTTCAGGCTGGCCTTGAGCTCACTTTTTACCCCAGGCTCGTCTTGAATTTGCAATGATCCTTTTGCCTCAGCCTCCCAAGTGCTGAGATTAGTCCTCAAGACAGGCAGGGCTGGGGATTTAGCTCAGCGGCATAAGCACCAGCCTTGCAAGCAGGCAATCATGAGTTCGATCGCTGGTACCGATAAAAACAAAAAAGGCAAAAAAAAAAAAAAAAAAAAAAGAAGAGGAATATCTTTGCTGTCTCTAGAGCTGTACACTAAAGTTGCAAGCTGTCAAGGCCTCTTGGCTAGGTCTAACAAGAGACTCTTTATACTGAGAGAAAGATGTCCTTCTGTTTTAACTTTGGGAGAATGGTGAGGCATTAGCTTACTGGGAGGAAAGAATAGTTTTTGTATTCACTTTTATCTTGTGCTATTTCTTTTCTTTCTTTCATTTTTTGTCTTTTTCAAAATAGTCTCACTATGTAGTTCAGGCTGGCCCCAAACTCATGGTGACCCACCTACCTCAGCCTACCAAGTACTAGATTACAAGAATGTAGAACACCTGGCTCACCTACTCCTGGGTCCTCAAACATAGTGTCACCACAGGACATTTGCACACACTCTTCCTCCTGCTTATGTGACCTCCACTCATCTTTCCACTCTCAGTTCCATATTGCCTTAACAGGGAGCCCTTACTCAGTACCTCTGGTGTGTCAGTTCCTTTGGCACATGACAATGGTCCCAAATCATCTAGAGGGTTTGTCAAAACAGATTGTAATGCTCACCTGAATTTCTGACTCAGCGCCTGAGATCTTGTATTTTACTGTGTTTCAGACACTGCTGATGCTGTGGCTGGAAGTCACACTTTGAGAACCACCAGCCTGTGCTCTCACTTTATTCCTCTTCCTGTTTGCAATTCCACTCTCCTCTCTGTGGCCCTTTGATTATATCTACTTCTCCTTTAAACTATGAGCTCTCCTTTAAACTATGTGCAGTAGAGATCTTGCTGGAGTTTGCTCACTGCCAAAGCTGCGGCTGGTAAAATGTTAGAAACATTTTCTATGTCAGTTGACTGATGAACAAATAAAGGAAATGCACCTGATTGAGTATTTTGGGCACTCAATCTGAAGCAGTGCAGAGAAAATGAGAGGTAAGAAGGAGACAGAGGAGGAGGCCTTTACTGCGGGCAAGGGAGAGCTTCATGGGGCAGGGCGTACAGAGGCTCTCAAACAAGAACACAGAAGTGGGGCTACTTTTATCAGTTCTGACGGGGGGAGGAGTTTGAGGGGTGGCAAAGTGACATATTAACCACTGATTTGAAGGAGCTTCTGCCTGTGTTAAATAGGAGGCAGACTTACTGAGGGCTGGAGGTGGAGACTTGGGTGGTTGTGGAGTCTTAAGATTGGAAAGGGGTCAGTACACTCATAAAAAGGGAGCAGGGGAAGTTTATCTCTGGAATGAGGAGAACGCAGAAGTCACTCCTGGACGAGAAGCTGTCTCTGTGGGTCTGGAACCACTTTGGGAGGATGGAGCTAAACCCCAGGCCAGCAGAACCTTCAGTACCTACTCACCATGGAGTACTACTCAGCCATAAAGAAGGATAAGTTTCAGTCATTTCTAGGAAAATGGATATACCTTGAGACCATTGGGCTAGGTGAAATAAATCAGACACAAAAGGTTAAATATTGCATGGTTTGTCTATCAGAGACTCAAAGTATAAATAAAGAACAAAATAAAAGACCTTCTGAAGATGGGAAAGGAAGATGGAATAAAAAGCACCAAGATGTGGTACATAGGGCCAGGAATTTAGCTCAGTGGCGTAAGTGCCTGTTTGGCAAGCATGCAGTCATGAGTTCAATCCCAGGTATCAAAAAAAAAAAAAAAAATGTGAGATGGAGATGTACCCGTGTCCCACAGTGAATCATGTATCACAGACCAGTACTAAAAAGAACTCTGGCTGGTATACTGTGGCACACAATAAATGCCTTTTGAACAAATTACTGAATGAATGAATGTGGGAATGAATGAAAGAAAACAAGGCTTCTAGTTCATTCACATGGAAGTGCAGGGCACTGGGTTTTATGCAGAACCCTCCTACTGCAATGGCAAAGAGAAACACTGAAACAAGGCCCAGGATTTAGAGGCATATTTACATAATATTGGGAGGCACTGACTAGAAATCAATTGTTCCTCAAAATGTCAGGCCCCAGAGGCCCAGGGAGGCAGGTTTTTACCGGGATGGGGGAGAAAGGAGTAGTGACCGTCCTCGATTGGTTCTTACACTTAAGCATGGCAGTGACCCAGCTGTAATCAGCCAGCAGCCCAAACTGAAGCAGGAACTGTTTTACCAGGCAACCAAAATGCTGGCAGGAGCATTTTCTGCTACACCACTATAAAGCAGTTTGATTCCATGGTTTGTCTATCAGAAACTCGAAGTATAAATAAAGAACAAACTAAAAGATAGACCTTCAATTATAACACAACCTGATGGACTGATTGATAAGGGATTAAACACAGGGCCTTGGACTGAGCTCCATCTCCAGCCCTCTTATTAAATTTTGAGACAGGGTCCCGCTAAATTGCCCAGGCTATCCTTAAATTCCTGCCTCAGCCTCCAGAGTAGCTAGGATGATAGACATTAACCACTAGCTGGGCTTGTTGGTGCATGTCTGTAATCCCTGCACTCAGGAAGCTGAGGCAAGAGGATCGCTATGTGTGGAAGGCCAACTTGGGCTATGTAGTGAGATCCTGTCTCAAAAAAAAGCAGGAGGCTGGGGATTTAGCTCAGCGGCATAAGCGCCTGCCTTGCAAGCAGGCAGTCATGAGTTCGATCCCTGGTACCGATAAAAACGAAAAAAGACAAAAAAAAAAGCAACCCCACAGAAAACCAAAACACTCATCACTATGCTATGTTCAGGCTTATTATTGTTATTATGGTTTTTTTTATCGGTACCAGGGATCGAACTCACGACCACCTGATTGCAAAGCAAGTACTTAGGCCGCTGAGCTAAATCCCCAGCCCTTATTATTGTTAATATTATTTTGGTTTGTTGTGACAGTCTCACTAGGTAGTTCAGGCCAGCCTGAAACTTACTATGCAGCCCAGGCTGGCCTCAAATTTGCAGTGATTCTCCTGCCTCAGCCTCCCATGTGCTGGGACTACAGGGGTGAGCCACCATGCCCAGCTCAAAAGGATTCCTCTAAAAAAAAATGGGAACAAATGTTTGTAAATGGATGGGGGAGAAGGAGTTAAAGGGAGGGGAGGAGAATAGAGAAAAAGAAAAAAGAATCAAGGCATATCATGTACAGGTACAAATTCCCTATGATGAGTGAGCTAAAATGTACCAATAAACTTACTTTTATAAAAAAGGGTTCCTTTCATTGATAATACAGGGGTGTGGCACCATGCCCAGCTGTTCAGCCTTATTGAGCAAAGGAACCCTCTCCAGTGGGGCCCGGCACTCCAGAGGCCAAAGCAGAGAGATTACAAATTGGAATCCAGCCCAGGCAATTTGGCCACTTAATGAGGCCTTGGTTCAAAATTTTAAACAATAAAAAGGACTGAGAATGTAGGTCCATGCAAAGGCCCTGGTTTCAACCAGCAGTCCACCTGCCAACCCCACCCGCACTCCCACTGAGCTATGGGCAGCTGGGCCAAGGGCAGGTGGGCCGTGGGCAGCAGGAAGGCCCCCAGGAGACGGTGCTGGCCTGGGCCCCTGGAGGCCTGGTCACCTGGGTAGGTACAGGCACCTGCTGAGCTCTGGCCCTGCTGTCCAGGAGGCAGAAGCCTCCCAGGCCTGGGTTGTGAGTGATTCCCGGTGTGTTTAGGTCCACAGAGTGACCAAGGAAGCTGGAAGCCTCGTGGGGAGGGCCAGCCAGGGCCGAGACAGCCACTGCCCCCCCCCCCCAATATCCCGCGCAGGGAAAACACAGGGCCGTGCAAGGCGAGGAGAGGCTGAAAAGGGGGCGCTGCAGGAGTTAGGCGTGATGTTTGCGGCGCTGGGTAGTGGCTTGAAAAGGGAAAGCCAAGGGGTTGCGGGACAGGGCTTGGTGGTGGCCCGCTCCACCGGCCAGTTCAGTCTGTGCCCGCGCTCATTGCTTCCGGAGCAAAGGAGCTGGGGTGCGCCGTGCGAGGTGGGCGGCGCTGCGGGTCCCAGGCCTGGCCTGCCCATGCCATCGCGCCCATCGCGCCCTCCGCCCGGCCTCCGGGCTCCCGGGGCCTCACCCCCACATGCGCAGCAGGCTTTCGTAGCTGAGGAAGGTGACTGCGTTGACGGGGAAGGCGCGGGCGCTGTTGATGGTGAAGCCCCGGAAGAAGACGGCCAGGCCCTCTCGCCGGAAGCTGGTCACGATGCAGTCGCGCATGCCCGCGTAGGCCCGCTGCTGCACGCCGCCCATCTGCAGCCGCGCCTTGACCACGTCGAAGGGCGTGGCCGTGACCCAGGAGGCTATGCCCGCGAAGCCTCCTGCCACCAGCACAGTGGTCGAGCCTGCGCCAGAGAAAGCCCAGGGTCAGGACAGCCCCGGAGGCCAGCGCCCTCCTCCTCTACGGCCTCTGCCGCGCCCTCCCCCACACCTTGTCCCCAACCCCTCCCTGCGCCACTCACTGGGTTGCTGGCCCGTAGGGGTGTACTGGTAACAGAGCCCTTCGTAGGTGATGAAGTACAGTCCCAGCGTGGGGGTGTCCCTCAGCATCAGGGCCCCAGATCCTCGGAACAGCCCCCTAGGTCCCTCCTCTCGCAAGATGGTGGCTGCACAGTGCACGGGTCCCCGATACCGGGGCGGGGGGCTCCCCAGCCGCACCCTCGACTCCGTCTGATTTTGTAGACGGACTTTGATGAGGTCAAAGGGGGCCAGGGCGTAGGCCTGTTGGGAGGAAACGGAGAAGGCTCTGGTTGGGGCTGGACAGCTGGCTGGACAGAGAGGGGCGGCTTGGGCCGGCGCGTGCTACCCACAGCCCGGCCTCCCGAACCTGCAGCTGAGCATGGGCTGGGGTGCCCGGACACGGTGGGGACAGGCCACCTCCCTGAGTGTTGGTCCTGACAGCACTCGACTCTGTCCCCTCCTCGTTCAACAGCACCAAGCTTGCATGGCCGGCTTGTTTTCCCAGGAGAGGGCACGATCGCTGGTCTCCTTATTCCAAGGATGAGCAGGGATTTGCTGCGACAGGGGCTGAATAAAGGGTTCAGTCACCATGGAACAGCATGGGGAAACCTCATTTCCTAGGCACTGTTCTAGCTGCAGGGCCCAACTTTATGGAGTCACATCTCCCAGAGAGCCACTCCCCACTACATGCCTGTCACCAAGCTCCACCTACTGGTGTCCTTTGAAGAAGGTTCCCAGCCAGCGGCAGGTGATCTGCTTGGTCTTAGAACTCTACTCTTGCCTTGAGGCAGAAAAGGTCTCCATTTGGGGTCTCACTGAGAGGAGACCTGGGGGAGGGTGAATGCTGGGGAATTCAGAACAGCGGGGAGGGGCTTCGGTTTGAATCGGGGAAGAAACTGCTGAAGTTCTGCCAGGAGTGGTGGTGCATGCCTGCCATCCCAGCAGGCAGGAGGCTGAGACAGGAGGAGTGCCGAAAGTTGAAGGCCAACCTGGGTTTCATAGTAAGGGCAAGAGCAGTGTGGACTGTATAGTGAGACCCTCTCAAAACCCCCCAAAAGCAAGACAGGTATGGTAGTGCACACCTGTGTTTTCGGCACTTGGGAGGCTGAGGCAGAAGGATTGCTACAAGTTCCAGGCCAGCCTTAGTTACATAGTGAGTTCAAGATCAGCCTGAACTGCATAGCAAGACCCTGTCTCCAAAAAAAATAAATAAATAACCCAACAAACAAACAAACAAGGAAGAAGCCACTGAAGTTCAAGGGGGAACTGAGGTCCAAGCTGAGGCTGGCCTGTCACAGGGCTTGTATTTGTTTGTCTTGAGAGCTACAGGAGCTCAATTTCTTAGCCCTAGAGATGTCTAATGGTGAAGGGGCAGGTAAGGGCTTCTTTTAAGACAAGGACTTGCTATGTGATTCATGCTGATCTTGAAAACCTCATGTAGCCTAGGTTGGCCTCAAACTCACAGTGATACTCCTGCTTCAGCCTCCTTCCTGCTAAGATGACAGGCATGCAACACCACACCCAACTTCTTTTTTTTTGGATACAGGGTCTTGATTTGTAGACAGTTCAGATTGGCCTTAAACTGGCAGTGATCCTCCTGCCTCAGCTTAAGTGTTGAAGACACACTTGAGCCAAAGGTGAGGGCCCCCATGCAGTGGGGACACAGGGTTTCAGATGCTGCTTCCCTGTAGCAGGGTCAGCTTCAGCCAGGCCTAAAGCAACTTTTATCCTGGGGAGGGTTTGTAAATTCCAGCCTTCTCCTTGATCCTCAATAATACATACCTCTATTCTAAATAGCCCAAATATCAGTCAGTGAAATTGAAGATATAATTAAAAACCTACCAACATGGGCTGGAGATTTAGCTCAGTGGCATAAGCACCTGCTTGGCAAACACAAGGTCATAAGTTTGATCCCCACACCAAAAAAAAAAAAAAAAAAAAAGCTACCAACAAAGAAAAGCCCAGGCCCTGTTGGATTCATTGCTAAATTCTACAAGACATTTAGAGAAGACCTAATGCTGTTACTTTTCAAACTCTTTAATGAAATTGAAAGGGAAGCAAGCATTACCATGATATGAAAACCAGAAAAGGATTCAACCAAAAAAGAGGCCTACAGGCCAATCTCCCTAATGAACATAGACACAAAACCCCTTAATAAGATCCTGGTGAACAGAGCAGCAAATCATCAAGGAGACTATACACCATGACCAAGTCGGACTCGTCCCAGGTGTTGTGGTTTGTGTCCAGATGCCACCCCCAAAGTCTCAGACAATCATGGGAAGCAGGCTTTTCATAGGCAGCTGAATCAAGAGTTTGTGATGGATTCATGGTCCAGGGCTGGGATCATGGTGTGAGTGCTACACCTGCCCTCAGGCAGGTGCCCTGCTTACAGTTTAAGGGACAGAAAGAGGCCTGCCTCTCTGTGCTCCTCCTTGCTACTCTTGCTGTTTTTCGCCACCATGAACTGTCTCTCTGCCATGTACCACCCTGCCTTGGGACTAACCCACTATGGGCTGAAACCTCTGCAGACTGTGAGCTAAATAAACCTTTCCCACTTGGTGTTGGGTATTTTGTCTCAGCAACAGGATAAAGTAACAAAGACACTAGGGATAGAGAGATGGTTCAACATACACCAGAAGATAAATATAATATACCACATTAACAGAGCCGAAGATGAAAATCACACAATCATCTCAATAGATGCAGAAAAAGCATTTGACAAAGCTCAACACCTATGATAAAAACCCTACATAAAATTGGAATAGATGGTCTTTATCTAATAAAAGTTATTTATGACAAACCAACAGCCAACATCATACTAAATGAACAAAAACTGAAAGCTTTCACTGTGAAATCAGGAATAAAACAAGGATGTCCAGTGTCACCACTCTTATGCAATGTAGTTCTGGAAACAGTAGCCAGAGCAATTAGATGAGAGATAGCAATAAAAGAAATAAGAATAGGAAAGGAAGAAGTTAAATTATCATTATTTGTAAATGACATGATACCCTACATAGAAGCCCCCAAAACAACACCAAAAAACTTCTAAATTTAATAGCCAAATTCAGTAGCATACCTGGATACAAAGTCAACATTCAAAACTCAATAGTATTCCTGTACACAAATAACAAACTCACTGAGAGAGAAATTAGGGAGACAAAAACTTTCACAACAGCATCAAAACAAACAAACAAATACCAGGAATCAATCTCACAATGGAAGTAAGAGACTTTACATTGAAAACTACAGTACTCTGAAAAAAGGAGATTAAAGAGGATCTCAGAAAATAGGAAGACAGCCTTTGTTTTTAGTAGGAAGAACCAATATAGTGAAAATGGCCATGGTTTCAAACTTTTATATAGATTTAATGTAATTCCAATCAAAATACCAATAGCATATCTCACAGAATTGAAGAAAACAATCTGAAAATTCATCTGGAACCAGAGGAGACCTAGAATAGCAAAAGCAATTCTGGGCAACAAAAGCAAGGCAGGAGGCATCTCAACCCCAGACTTGAAATTATACTACAAAGATACTGTAACAAAAACAGCATGGAACTGACAAAAGAAAAAGAAAAAAAAAAAAAAAAAAACCCAGACCCAAGAAACAATGGACCAGATTAGAAGATGCAGAAACAACTCCAAACACACTCAGCTGCCTTATCTTTGATGAAGGTGCCAAACACCTTCGCTGGAAGAAAGATAGCCTCCTTAATAAATGGTGCTGGGAAAACTGGCTTTCCACATGCCAAACATTATGCCATATATTTCACTATGTGCCAAAACAAAATCAAAATAGGTCTAAGATCTAAATATTTAAAAATAAACACTAAATTTGCTAGAAGATAGAATAGGCAGAGTTCTTAAAGATATCGGTGTAGGCAAAGACCATAAAAAAACAAAACAAACCCAAAGCCGGGCATGGTAGCACATGCCTGTAATCTCAGCACTCTGGAGGCTGAGGCAGGAAGATTGTTGTGAGTTCAAGACCAACCTGGGCTACAAAGTGAGCTCAAGGCCAGCCTGAAGAACATACGAGACTCTGTCTCAAAAAGACAAAAACAAAACAAAACCCTGATCACACAGGAACTATCAGCAAAAATCAACAACTGGGATCTCATCTTATTAAAAAGCTTTTGCACAACAAGAGAAACTACCAATAGGGTGAAGACACAATCCAGCGTGTGGGAAACCATTTCTGTCAGCTATTACTCAGACAAGTGCCTAATATCTAGAATATATAAAGAACTTTTTAGATTTGTGTTGGTATTGTTTGGACAGTTGAATGCAGATGTCCTGTGCTCCAGGTAAATGATTTGGGGATGACAATGTGCAATGTGTGTACCATTGTTGCCTCCTGATTGATGTACTTTAAATTTTTGTTGTTGTTTTTTCCTTTTTTTTTTCTTTTTATCTATGAATAAAATGGATTTGAAGAAAAAAGAAAACATACAACAACAGGGCTGAGGATTTAGTTCAGTGGGCACAAGTGCCTACCTGGCAAGCGTGAGGTCCTGAGTTCAATTCCCAGTACCAAAAAAAAAAAAAAGACACTTTCTTGGGCTGGGGATTTAGCTCAGTGGCATAAGCACCTGCCGGGCAAGTGCGAGGTCGTGAGTTCAATCTCCGACACCAAAAAAATAAAAGATAAAGAACTTTCTTTTTTAAAATCCCCCAAATTTAAAGACCTAAAAATGGGCATCTAAAATGAATATACACTTCTCAAATGAAAAAGTAAAAAAGGCAAATAAATACATGAAAAAATGTTCAACAACACTGGTCATTCCAGAGAAGCAAATTAAAACAACATTGAGATCCCATCTCACTCCAGAAAGAATAGCTATTATCAAGAAATCAACCAAGAGGGGCTGGGGATTTAGTTCAGTGGCATTAAGTGCCTGCCTTGCAAGTGTGTGGTCATGAGTTTGATCCCCAGTACTGATAAAAAAGAAAAAGACCAAAAAAAAAAAAAAAGAAAGAAAGAAAGAAAGAAATCAACCAATAAGAAATTCTGGCAGAGCTGAGGGGAAAAGGAGCCCTTCTCTACTGCTGGTGGGACAGTGGTATAGACTGGTGAAACCACTGTGGAAATCAATGTGGAGACTCTTCAAAAAAACACCTAGAGGTTCCATTCAACACAGCTATTCCTCTTTCTTTCCAAAAGAATTGAAAGCATCATGGCACAGTGATGTATGCACACCCATGTTTATAGAAAAACAGTTTGCGATAGCTAAATCTTAGAAACAGTGCAATGCCCATCAACTGGGGAATGGGTAAAGAAGACGTGGCTTTTTTCTCTGAGATGGAATACTACTCTGTCATAAAGAAGGATGAGCCTAACACATTTCTAGGTAAATGGATGCACCCTGAGACCATACTCAAGTAACATAAATCACACACGCCTGTGTGAATTCCACTTTGTTTTTCTGGTATGAGAAACTGAAAGTGTAAATAAGGCTCAAAATGTATACTAGATATTGGGAAATGGGAAGGAAATATTCAAATGAGGAGAAGTAGGGAGGGGGATGGGGAAAAGAAAGAAAGGATAAGATACAAAAGAAGAAAAAGGGAAATAGCTTTTGTAAATAAGGAGAAGAAGGGCTTAGGGAAGAGGGAAATGGTGAAAAAGAATCAGGTTATATAGGTACAGGTGCAAATTCCGTCTGATGAATGTGATCATATATATCTAAACTGTACCAATAAAGTAACCCACACACAAACAAAAAGAGAATTTTCATCTGGCTGTGGTGGTGACACAGGGGAAGTAAATACAACTTCTTTTTTTTTTTGTCTTTTTCCTTTTTACCAGTACCGGGGATCGAACTCATGACTGCCTGCTTGCAAGGCAGGCACTTTATGCCATTGAGCTAAATCCCCAGCCCCAGTAAATATAACTTCTAAGCTGAAAAGTAAATAAAATAAAACACACCTCTGCTCCCAGCTCCTGTTAGGGCACAGGGCCGGGCCACACTTCACCAGCTCCAGGAGGGTCCCCTGCGCCCTGACTGTCCCCACTCTGCTCTCCAGAGTGCCCTGAGGGACATGACAGATAGACCAGGCCTGGCTGGGCCTATGTCAGGACACTTCCCGTGGTCCCAGTTCTCTTCCTTGTTTTTTTTTTTTTTTTTTTTTTCCGTGGTACCGGGGATTGAACTCAGGATCTCGCGCTTGCCAGGCAGGCTCTTATGCTGCTGAGCTAAATCCCCAGCCTCTTCCTTGTTTTTGAGGGGTGCAGGTTTCAGGATTTAGGGAATACCCTGGTCTGTCCCCTCCCCCAACCACAAGATGGGACAGACAAGAAGCCGGGACCTCTGGGGTTTTATTAATTATTAATTCATGGCAGTGAGCACCCCGACTTTGTCCTCTGGTCTTCCTCTGCACCCTGTGCTCCGTGAAGTGCATCCAGCACTCTGGAGACTGAGGCAGGAAGAGAAGCTTGAGCCCAGTTTGGCCAATTTAGCAACTTAGTGAGTCCCTGTTCTAAAACAAGGGTTGGAGGGCTGGGGATTTAGCTCAGCAGTATAGGCACCTTCCTGGCAAAAGAGAGGTCATGAGTTCAATCCCCAGTATCAAAAAAAAAAGGACAGGTCAGGTCATTGAGCCATTGCAGCCAGGTGTGGCTGTGTGGTAGTGCGGGGCACGCATCCTGCCTCACGCCCAGAGGCCCCAGTCAGCTGTTTTCTCCTGGGACCTGGAGACCACTCTCATCTTCACCCTGGTCCACCCAAGAACATAATGGCACTGAGGCCAAAGAACAACCTAAATGATTCAAGTGACTTAATGATTAATACCCTGGGCCTCTCCCAGTGAGAGCCCTGACCTGAGCCTTGGGTGAGGCTCCCAGATCCAGCCCCCAACCCCGCAGGTGAAGGCTGAGCTGGACTGAACCAGAAGTGCATAGGGCTGCCTTGGGACTCACAGAGCCTGAGCTCAGCTCAGCACCACTCTGAGGCCAGCAGAACTCTCTGTCTGCTTCTCCTCAGTGCCCTTGTGGCGCTGCCTCCAAATTTGCATGACCTCACCCAGGCCTGCAGCTGGGCAGCCCATAGCTCAGGCACCCGAGGCCACTGGGAGCAGTAGCACCTGTGCCCTCAGCAAGGGCTGTCCATCCAAGGCTATGGGTTGCTAGGGGAAGCTGGAGGGGACAGATCCCACAGGCTGTCACCGCACTGCTACTGGATGCCCATGCTCTGCCCTCTCACCTGCACAAAGCCCCCGGTGCAGCCTGCTAGGAAGATACATGTATAACTGGGCAGCTGGGCCCGCCGGTCCTGGTGGGAGGTGGCCGTGAGCACCTGCAGGGTGTTGCTGTAGACCCCAAACAGGACAGAGTTGACCACGGCTATGCTGGCAATCGGGAAGCTCATTCCCTTGAAGAAGCCCAGGATCTGCAGAGTGACATGGTGGCACTGGAATAGGCATGGTGGACCTCCCCTCTGACCTTTCCATCCTTGGACAGGTCCTCCTTTGGTGGGACACCACTCCAAGCCCTGGCCCAGAGACATGGTACAGGCGAGGCTGGGACAAACTCAGCCCCACCCGGGGGCTGCCACGATACACTACCACCTGGCTCCCCAGGGGTGCCATACCTGGTCTTCTCTCTTCCAGCAGAGCCCTACTGAGCAGGAGAAGGAGCTTGTGCCTCCTGCCCCTGTGCTACCCAGCCCAAGGAAGACAGCCACCCACCGACTCATGGCGGTAAATCTTGACCATGCAGTCTACAATGCCTCGGTACGCGTTCTGGGTTTGCAGCCGCACCTGGACAGGGAGGACATGGCAGGTAGGCCAGGCAGGCAGCCAGCCAACACTGTCCTCTGCCCTCTGCCTTCTACCCCAGGAGCAGGGTGCCAGCAGACTGACAAGGCAGAAGGGTTCAAGTGTGGCCATCCACCTCTCCAGTGCTAGTCAGACTCACCTTTACAGTGTCAAAGGGGTAGCCCATGACCAGGCCCAGGGCTCCTGTGTGACAAGAAGGTACTATGAGTGAAGGCCTCATGCCAGGGCCAGGAAGCAAGTCTGTGAGTGAGGAGACTGAGAGCCCAGCAGGAGGAGAGGAGCTCGGCCTCCTCAGGCACCTGCTGTCACTTTCCATCTGATGCCCAAAGCTACCTGTGCCTAGGCCCCACACCGGGCAATGGGCCTGGAAGGTGCTGGGACAGGAAAAAAGCCCCTCAGCCCCACCTGAGGAGATGCATGGGAAGGAGACACAGCCAGAATGGACCCTGCCCTTCTGGCATTTTCGGGGCAGCCCCCTACTGCAGCTGGGAGCAACCATCCAGGAGTCCTGCTGGCCCCAAGGAAGGAGGCCCTACCTCCCCACTTCCCAGGCTACTTCTGGAGCCCAGGGGAGGTCGCCTTGCCCAGTGGCATTTAGAATGTCCCCAAGCTGGGCCGGTACACATTCACAGCAGGCCTCTGGGGCTGTCAGTAGCACTCATTACCTGATAGAACCAAGGCCTTAGGGAAACTAGGAACAGCAGATAGGGTCCAAGGTGGACTCCACAGGATGAACCAGATGGGACAGGGCTGCCTAGCCCTCAGTGCCTGCCAGGCCAAAGGGCCTTGGGATGCAGGAGCAGCCCCTACAGCCCTTGCTTCCCCCCTGCTGGTCACAACCAGCAGGTCCTGGGGGCAGGTGGCTCCAAGCACTGTCAGACTTGAGGAATCAAGGTACTGGTCTCAGCATTTTTAATGTCGCCTACCTTTCCTAGGAAGTGACCCATGGAGGGTAGGGGGTGGTGAGGTGATAGGAGGAAGAAAATGTCTCACCTGAAATCCAGCCAGCCACAAACTCCTCCACAGGCATTGTCTGGGCTGAGGCGGGAGCTGGCAGGTGGCTGCTCCACTGCTCTGCAGTTCCACAGAGGAGACTGTCCAACTTGTAACTCGTAGCCTGTCTTTCACCTGGGCCTGCAGATAATCTCCCACTAATGTTTAACCACAGGAGGGTGAAAAGGTGGCCCAGTGCCCAGACTTCCAGCAACCAGCAGAGGGGAGTGGGGTAATCTTGGTGACCCTGAGACTGGAGAGGGTATGTGGAGCTGACAGCCTCATGGGGCAGGGTGACCGTCCACAGTAGGCCTGATCCCCTTGCCTGGGTAATGACAGCCTCATTGTGCGGCCACAGATGGCAGCTGAGTCCCAGCTTGCCAGATCCCTTCTGGGTTGCCTCAGTCAGCCAGGGGACAGGCCCAGCCCAAAACCCTATTCATCTGCCTTGCCCACCCCACAGGCAGCCAGGCCAGCTAGTGGAAGACCCTGGCCACCAGGAGGCAGCCCATCTCGAAGGGGCCTGCAGCAGCTGCCCAAGCCAGGGCTGGAGTGGGGACAACCCAGGAAGGAGAGGAGCCTACCCAATAAGTGACTCACCAGGCATGAGCCTTGTGCCTTCCCGAACAGTTGTGTGTGACTCCCCCGCCTGAGTCACCACCGGCCTCCCTCACCCGCCTCTTCCCTGGACAGCTATGTAAAGGACCCTGTGTGTGATGCGATGGCTCTGCGCTGCCCTGTGCCTGCTCGCTCCCTCCCTCCCTCTGGCCTTCTGCCAGATGCCAGAACCTAGCTACCGGGCTTGCTGGCTTCCAAACTGTGAGAAGGAAATTCTTTCATAGAAAAAAGACAGTGAAAACCCAAATCTGTTCGAGAAAGTTGGAGTCCTTGCCCTGCTGCCCATCCTCCTCTATCCTCACATCCAGCAGCCCTGGCATCCCTATTGCTTGCTCTCTCTGTCCCTCTTCCTGGACACCCTCTCCAATGTCACTTCCCCACTGAGGCCTCCCTGAATCCGCTCTTGTAACGTTGCTCTCGGCCCTGCCAAGGCCCTGCCTGGCTCTTCCTCTTCCCTGTGGTATTACAGGTTCCTTTGTAGCTCTTGGTTCCTTCTCAGATGCCTAAGGACCAGCCAGGCCTTCAGGCCCTTCTCCTCTCTCACTGTGGCCTCACAACCTGTCCACCCCGGCTTTTTTCTAGGGATTTGACAGGTCCCAGAGGTAAGGCCTTGTCTCTGACCTACCTGGGCTGCCCAGAGCTTCCTAAGGCAGCTGCCCCCCAACACCGTGAGGTCTGGCCTCACAGCAGACGGGGCTGCCCTCTAAATTTCACCTCCTGTTCCACACAAGTGACATGAGCTACCCCTTCTGTGGGCTGTGGAGTTCTTTATCCCTTGCCAAAGGAGGGGACCAGCCCACCAAGAGGCCAAGCCTCTCAGCCCTGAAGGCCTGCAGGTCCCTCCTGCTTACCTTAGGAAGGTCCCCCCTGTCTCTTCCAATCCCATCATCCTCCCTCCAGTCCAAACCACGCCCTGCTCCTCCTGAAACCTTGCCAAACAGAAACCACAGGCAAAGGTAGGAGGATCACTGTGAGTTTGAGGCCAACTTGGGTGACAAATAAGTTCAAGGCCAGCCTGGGCTACATAGTTGAAGCCTTGTTTCAAAAAGATGGGGGGGGGGGAGCTTGCCCTGCTATTGTTTTCCCGTCTTCTGGAGCTCCCACTACAGAGCAGAGCTGTGGACTTGTCACTCTCAAGCTCAACTCTGCAATGTCCTGCCTCACAAAACCTCACCAAGGGTTTCAGGCACCCCACCACTGCCCCCCACCCCCCACGCTGGCGCTGACCAGTCAGAGCTTTCCTGCATCTGAACCACTTTATTCGGTTTGCTGCCTGCGGCTGCCCCAGCAGCCTGTGTGCCACGCAACCTTCCAGACTCCCCCAGTGCCAGTGGCAGTGCCAGCTCCCAGTCTCGTTATTTAATCTTTCCAATTCTTCTTCCTTGTTCCCATAATCCACAACTTTCAGTGTGTGACAAGGGTTAAGTCACTTATGCAAGTGTCCAGCACACAAAACGGTAGCTGCTAATGCTCTTATTTCCACTTCCAGGGCCGACTGGGGTGACAGAGGGGTAAAGCCAGGGTGTGTAGGTAGGAAAAAAATAGAATAGGGGTCTCATTAGTTTTTTTTTTTTTTGTCAGTACCGGGGATCGAACTCACGACCGCCTGCTTGTAAGGCAGGTGCTTATGCCGCTGAACAGGGTAGAGGGGGCTGGAAAGATGCCCTCTGAAACATGCTAAATCCCCAGCCCCTCATTAAGTTTTTTGACTACTCTTAACTTGGAGTTAAAACTTTACTAGAAGCCAGATGTGGTGGTGCATGCCTGTGATCCCAGCACTTGGGCGGCTGAGGCAGGAGAACTGCTGTAAGTTTGAGGCCAAGTTGGGCTACACAGTGAGATCCTGTCTCAAAAACAACAGCAAAACCTTTACTAGAGAAATCCCCCTAGAAGCAGTTCAAGGAGAGAGACAAAAAGAAAAAAAAAACAGATTAAAAAGTACTTGAGACAGCACAGGTGGCATTAGGAACTTAGCACAGGGAGAAAGAGCTGACAGGCAGAGAGCCAGGCGCACAAAGCCAGGCTGAGACAGCAGTCCCCCACCTCCAACACAATGCAGGGGAGACAGAAAAGGAGGGAGATATGGGGGGGGGTACAAAAAAAGTATACACACTTCATGAAAACCAACATAGTATTTTTCCAGAAGATGGTGTTTCCCGTAGATAGGGGACCTTAGAAGATGTTGGATATTGTAGAAACCCACTGCACTGCCCATGTTCACTCTAGGGACACTATATGACTTCAGTAGAGACCCACATATTCTCTTACTAACTCTAAGCTCACCTTGAATATGGCACCCCCTTACCAATTAGCTGCCCACCCCAGAGAGAAGGCCATACCAGGGACAAGTACACAGACAGAAGCTACAGCACACCACCACAAGGAGAGGACGTAGGCAGAGGTCCACAAACCATTGAGTTATGGCGAGTTCCAGGTAGGAGCATCCTGACCCTCTACAAAAGCAGCGGGAACAAAGGGCTCATGGGTCCTCCATCTTTCCAGCCCCCTCTACCCTGATTCTTTTTAGGAAACAAGACTTTTGTTATGCATCCTAGGCTGGCCTCAAACTCATGGTGGATTTTCCTGCCTCAGCATCTGAGTACTGGGATTAGAGGTGTGTGCCACCATACCCAGCAACCCTACCCTGATACAGGATCGCTATCTTCTCCGTTATCCTCCTTTCCAATGAAGGCTGCCTTTCCTTAAAACCTGTATGTTTAATGCACTACTGATATGGACTTTAGCATCCTGGGGTGCTGCTTGCCCCAGCCGAGCAGCATTGTTGTCCCCTGGATGTGATATCAGGAAACATGCAATAGGGTTTGGCCCAATACGTAGCAGGTGAGCAGGAACTGAACAACTTCTTCCTGTTTGCGGTGTTCTGTGGCTCTTACTGTCCACGCTATCACCTTCTGTACTTTTAAATATTCTGTTTACCTTTCTTTTCTCTCCTCCCCTGCTCCCCAATTGAACCATAAAGGACACTTCCCTAAAGCAGGGGCCACGGTCCCCTAGGTCTCCACTCCCTGCCATAGCACAAGCTCCATACCCAGTTGGCACTTGACCCTGAGTTGCTCTTCCTTTGCTCCTGCTGCTAAGGAAGCTGCAGAGTCAGCGGTGTGAGGGTCCAGAGCAGGGAAGGAGGGGTGCTTGCTCCTACCCACTCTTCTCTGAGTCCACACACCAGCTCCACTGAGATCTTGGGGAAAAAAAGACAAAATGGCATCATGGTGCACTGGCACCATGATCTGGCACTCTGGAGTCTGAGGCAGGAGATCACAAGTTTGAGTTGCAGCCTGGCTAACAGTAACTTAGTGAGACCCTACTCAAAATGAAAAATTAAAAAAGGGCTGCTAAGCAGCTCAGTGTGAAGGCACTAGCAACAAACACAGAAAACTCTTGGACAGGCAAAGAACCACAGAGCTGCTTCCACCCAGGGAGTCAGGAGGAAGCGCCCCAGTCCCCCTGCTGCTGATCCCCAAGCCCATTGCTGTCACTTGAACAACCACAAATTGCCCCGGTTTGGGCAGGCATTCCACGGATTCGTTTTGCTAGATTCAGGCACATTCATGCTGGTGCTGCCTAGACACGTTGGTGACCTGATGAGGAGACAGCTGGATTCCCACCTGCCTCCTCAACTTGGGAACAGCTCAAGGTCTCCGGAGGTTGTGTGTTTAAGATAGCAGGGCTCAGGTGACCGCGCCCTGGAAAAAGTGTACCTGGCCTACTTGCTAACACAGACACAACTGGAGCCCGAGGCAGCCCCTTTAGACTTACAGAACCCAACCTCTTTTTTACAGACGAGGAAACTGAGGCCCGGAGAGGAAGGAGCAGGTGGAAGAGGGCCCTGTCTCCTGACTGCAACCAAGAGCTCGTCACCCCTGCCGGCAGAGGGCGCTGCGCCAAGGCGGCTTTCTGCGACGCCCCCGTCCAGCACCCAGCCCGACTCTTCGCAGAGACCAGCTCCGTTTCCCAGCGGGGACCGCCAGACCTCGCGCTCCCATCCCCTGTTTTCTTAAATCTTTGCCACACTCTATTATAAGTCAACGGTTGGGCAACTGGCCAGGCGCCACTCGGGTCGCAGCAGACACCAGCAGACGCCTCCACCTCCCGGGGCGTGGCTAGAGAGCCCAGGCGCGCGCCCGGGAGGCAGAGGCTGCGCGGCCCCTACAGGGCGCCGCAGGGCGCGTGCGCGGAGATCTGGAGCTCCGATTGGCTCCCACGGTCGGAGAGGCGGGGCTGTGTGCTTTGTGTTTCCTCCCGCCTCAGCTTCCGAGGCGCTCCCGGGTCGACGAGATCGTCTGCGGAAGCTGGGGTGTAGGTGGTCATCTGCTGGGTCGGGGCTGGGTCAGAGTAAGATCGTGGCAGGAGGCAGTGGGCTCAGCCACCCGCGAGGTGAGAACTTGACCACTTACCACCCCGAGTGGGAGCGCTCAGTGCCCCAGGGCATCCGGACGAGCGATAGTCTGCCCCTACCTGGACCTTGGGAGTGGGACTCCTCGGCCCCGCCTCCACCTGGGCAGAGGGACAAGCCTCCCCCCTGCTCTGAACACTGCAGTCTTCCCGCCAGCGTGTTCAGCCTTATAGACAGTCCCGGACTGCCTCCCTCATTGGGAGCGTGGAGAGTCCTTGGTCCTCCCCTTTGGCCCTCCAGTAACTGCTCTGTCCTTTCTTTTGTAGATGGAAGGGACAGAAGGCAATCCCGGGCAGCCCGGCCCCGCAGAACGCTCCCACCGAAGCAGCGTGTCCTCCGTGGGAGCCCGAGGTGGGTCCCTGACCCTCTGTCATTCCCTCTTGGGACTGCAGCCCTGGGGGAAAACCTCAGGTTGTGTCATTTTTCTCTAAGGATAACTTTATGGGTTAACTTAAAATAAGGTGCGTTTTAGGGGCTGGAGGTTTAGCTCAACGGCATAAGCGCCTGCCTTGCAAGCAGGCAGTCATGAGTTCGATCCCCGGTACCGATAAAAAGGAAAAAGACAAAAAAAAAAAAAAAGGTGCGTTGAGAAATGACAAACTCACAGAGGTCCAGCTCCTATGACCTGGGCTGTGCCTTTAGCTTAGTGTCTGATTCCTTACTCTTACATGGTCTTATTTGTAAAATGGACATGTTTCGTTTTTGGCTGTGAAATTCAAGTTAGAACACGTAAATGAAAAAACGACACCTTACTCCGGTCCATTTCTTTCTCACATCAGTCTTTTAAAAGCTGAGTTTATTATCTTCCTTTTTATAGGGAGGAAATTGGGTCCTAATGAGGCGAAATCACAGGTTACTTACTGGAGCCCTCTAGGTGACCTGAATTTGAGCCTTCCCTGTCCTGTAAATCAGAACCTCAGGCCTCCTCCTGGAGGTGATTTCTGTAATCTCTCAGAGTAGTTGTTGGAGCAGAAGAGATGGGTGTGTGTGTGTGCGTGTGTGTGTGTGCTGAAAAATGCCTTTCCCTTCACAGACTTTACCTCATTTGATTTATACCTACTTTTTTGGGAAAGGACCTTATCTTTGGGTTTTTGTTTTGTTTTCCTTTGTTTTTGGTGCTGTGATTTGAACCCAGGGTCTTTACACTGAGCTGTGTCCCTAGCCCTTTATTTTTAATGAGGGTCTCATTGAGTTACTAAATTGTCCAGGCTGAGCTCAAACTCGTGAGCCCCTGTCTCAGCCTCCTACAGTGCTGGAATTCCAGCTCTGCTATAGTGATGCACCATACGCCCACGCCGACTTGGTGAAGTGACCTGCCTGCCAGAGAGCAAGCCGGGACTGGAACCTGAGTATGTGCACCTTTGCTGTGCCTGTGATTCTGGGACGGAGGCTGAATCTGGTTGCCTGACCAGGGTCTCCCTTTTGACTCTGGATTCCAAATCAGAGTTTCCCAACTCATCATGGGGAACCTTTGGCTGTTTGGATTATACTTTCCTAGCCTGCTTAAGGCTGTCCTGAAAGGCCACAGTATTGCTCCCTGAGGTTTGAAGAGTCCTAAGAAAACTTTACACCTGGAAATTGCTCTGACGTGGGGTTGATTTAGGAATTCTCCTTCCCATCTAAGCCTGGGCCAGAGAGAGGTGGAGGCCGAAGGTCTCTTAACTGTCTGCACTCCCAGTCCAAGGAGCTAACTGCTATGACCCCAGAGTAGGCTCACCTATGCACCAAATTCACTGATGGAGTGGTCTTCTTCAGGGCAGAAGCAGTGGAATCCCTGGGGCTGCCTGTGTAGTTGAAGGCACGACCTTGCTCCATCCAGTTCTAACTGAATCTCAAGGGGCGGGGTGGGGCTGGCACCCGGGCCAGAGTTGCTGGGTTATTTGGTGACTGAGGGTCTCATGGAAAGGGGATATTTCATCAAGGCCATCCTGAACTACATAGCAGGACCCTGTCTCAAAAGTAAACGACAACCAAAAAAAAAAGGATATTTCAGAGCTGGTGCAGAACTGTAATCCCAGCACTTTGGGAGGCTGAGGCAAAAAGATCACAAGTTCTAGCCTAGCCTGTGCAACTTAGTGACTTACCCATCTCAAAATGTAAAACAAACAAAGGCTAGTAGTGCAAAGGTCCTGCATTCAATCACCAGTACCATGTGCATATGCAAACACCCACACACATGCGGGTGGGGGGCGGGGAACGGGGACAGGACCCTCCTTCAGGGATGCTGTAACTGCTTTGGAGTGCAGCCTGGATCACCCCAGGGGTATAGAGTGACAGAGGGGTCTGGAGAGGTCTGTCTTGGGCCTCAGCTGACCCCACCAGCCTACCTCGCAGCAGCTGATGTGCTGGTGTACCTGGCTGACGACACAGTGGTGCCCTTGGCTGTGGAGAACCTGCCCTCGCTCAGCGCCCATGAGCTGCACCGCATGGTCCGGGAGGTGCTGCAGCTCCCCGATGCTGCTGTGGATGCCTTTGCACTCTGGCTCGTCTCTCCGCTGTTGGGTGAGTATGGCTGGCTGGGTAGCAAGGCGCCTTGGCGGGACAGGTGACCCAGACCTCTGGCTGCTGCGCAGTAGGACAGGTGGGACTGGGTGTCCCGTGCTGTCTCCTTTGAGGAACCGTAGCCTGGAGGAGATGTCTGAGAGGCTCAAGTCTGCTCCTCCCTTCAGTGGGGCTGGGTGTCAGGAGGTACAGGACTGCGAGGTGGAGAGAAGTGAACATGATCATCTGCACAGCATCCTGGGCAGCACCTGGTGGGCAGTGGATGTAGTTTCACCATCTCAGGCCTGGGTGACCTGCAGCAAGGAGTTTGAGGTCTGGAGTGTTGAGACCAGCGAGTGTTAGGAGTGAGACACAATCAGGGTGGAGCCTCTGGATTGCATCCTGTTCTTTGGAGAGCAGGGGATGGGGCACAGTCCAGGAAGTTGAACTTAGCAGAGGGCAGAGCAGGGCCTGAAGTAGAGAGGCACGTTGGAATCGGGAGGACCCAAGGGGTCCCTGAGCCTGCTGCCTTGGCCAGGGCTATGCCAGTGAACTGGGCTAGGGCTAGGCTTGTTTTGTTTTTTTGAGACAGGGTCTTGATATCAACTTCAGGCTGGGCTTGAGCTCACTACATAGCTCAGGCTTGCCTCAACTTGAGGCAGTCTTCCTTCCACAGCCTCCTGAGTGCTGGCATTACAGGTATGTGCCACCACATCCAGCTGTAGGCACATTTTCCTTTTTGTTTGTTTTTTGAGACAGGTTCTCACTGTACAGTTCAGGCCGGCCTTGAGCTTACTATGTAGCCCAGGCTGACCTCAAACTCAAATAAGTCTTCCTGTCTCAGCCTCCTAAGTGCTGGAATTACAGGAGTGTGCCACCATGTCCAACCCCAAGCATGTTTTCTGATTTTAAATATTTCCCATCTTGAAGAGGCATTGGGCCAAGATGGGTGTGATGTCTCCCATCAAGAGGACTAGTCCCAGGAGAAACACAGGGGCAGGCTGCAGGGGCCCCAGGGGTGACCTTTTGTCTTAAACTTCTGGGATGTGTGTCTGCCCTGGAGGGAAGGTCTCAGGGCTTGCTGACAGAGGGAGCTCCACCTCCCACCCCCTCACCCTCAGCTTCCTGAGCAGCTGCAGCTCTGGGGCTACTGCCCACCCTCTTCCTGCTGAGCAGCCTCCTGGCCACTGCACAGTCTCCTCCCATCCTCTGGGCTCTGGTCAGGACTATAGGCCCTGACTGTGTCTTTGGTGGCAGGGCCCAGTGGGTGGCCCTGCCATAACTCTCAAGGCTCTCTGCACAGCTTGCTCCTCCCTACCCCCACATTCCCGTAGCCAGGACTGAATGGGCTACTGTGTCCTGTGTCCAGGAGGAGGCTGCCGCACAGTCTGCACCTATGTTGTTTCCAGGCTGTTTGCAGAAGGGGTGAAGGCTGCTTACACTTTGTCTGGAGGCCCCAGAAGCCCGGGCTGCAGGCTACAAGACAGTGACAGCCCTGGGCTCTTCTTGAGTGACTGCGAGATGGGAACACATTACGACCTAGAAGAGCCACCCTGTGCTTGCAGGTTTTGGCTGGGTTTGGCCTTTGCAGTGCCACTATGTGGATGCAGCATCAGCAGTTGGTCTCATTTGGGTGACTGTCCCCAGGCAAGAAGGAGCCATCTGGAAGCCACTGGGAATGGGCCTTCTGCCCAGTCTCCCTCTGATGCCGGGATTCTCCGAGCTGCTGTGGCTCGGAGTAAATGCAGGAGGAAAGACACCCCCTGTCTCCTGGTCCCCACAGTGGGTCAACAACATCACTTATTCCACAAGGATGTGCCTGACTCCCTGGCACCAGTAGTGTCCTACAACCTGGGAATACAGCAAGGGACAAGACCAGCTGCCGTGTCCCTACCCTCAGGAGTTCCAGATTGCCAACACTCATCTCTAGGTGGAAAGAGGGAAGAGGAACTGGGTGCGCTGGAGGGCAGGAGCCTTTCCTGGAGAGGGAGGGAGGTGGCTGTTAGAACAAAAGGCACCTCATATAAGGGAAGCGGGGTGGGTGTGGCCTATGTTCTAGGTGGGAAGCCTGGGTCCGAGATGACAGGACAAGGTGAGCATGGTGCCACACACACATAAACCCAGCACTCTGCTGGTAAGGTAGAGGCCAGCCTGGGCTGTGTAGTAAGACCCTGTCTCAAACAAACAAAAGCAAAACAAAAGGAATGACAGGGCTAGAAAGGACAGGAGAAGCTGGGGACAGCAATTGCGTGGAAGAGGCTGGATGGAGACAAAGAGGCTGAGTTGAAGGTTCTGACTGATATTTGGGGTCAAGCACAGGGTCCATGTGGAGTCCCAGGTGGTCCAAAGAACAGAGACAAGGACCCTTAGCATCAGGCTGGCGGGTCGAGGTGCCCAGCCAATCAGGAGGGACGGGTGTAGAGGGAGCTGGGGGCAGGAGACAGACATGCGTTTCAGTTCTTTTCTGGGTGAGTTTGGATGTGGCCTCCTATCTCTCAACGGCAGCGTCTAGTGGCCACTGTTACCTGTGGAGAGGCAGCTGTGTGGAACCAAAACTGCCTTGTCACTAGCAGGCCTGCAGCCCTGAGGTGAGGGGCCTTGATCAACAGTTGACCCACAGTGACTCAGAGCCAGCTTCTGCCTCTATAGCAGATACAGGCCAGGGTGAGTGGGGATGGTGTGAGATCCTGGGCAATGGGAAACACCATGAAGGCAAGTGAACAGTAGTGCAACAGGGCCATTTCAAGGAGGGGCTGCCTCTGTTAGGGGTCCAGAACAGGTGACCAGCCAGCCACTTGAGAATCTAGGAAGTGGTGTCAGGGGTAGGGGAACCAGCAGAGGTAGAGGTGCCAAGGCTGGGCGTGCTCAGGTGTTGCAGGGGTGTGGAGAATGACAAAGGGCAACCTGGCGTCAGGAGCTGACTGGGTGGAGGCCCCGATGCAGCCTGGCAGCAGGGAGGCTCCTGCTGGGTCAAGGGCAGGGGAGGGCGGCCCCTTGAGAAGTCCTCCGTCTTGGGTCCTTCATCACAGCTTCAGTGCCATCACCCCTGTGCCCTCCTGCACCTCAGCCTCTTAGCTGTAGCCGACCCCAAGGCTGGGAGGAGGGGAGGCTTGCTGTGTCTGGAGCCCACAGTCTTGCACTTGCTGTGACTTTGGATGAGCAGTGTCACCTCCCCAAGCATTATTTCTCTGTGGCTGAAGTGTAGGACGGGTCATTACAGAGTCACAGAGCACCAGCCTTCCACTTGGAAGGCCACTGGGCACTTAGTACCTGACAGTTGGCCCTCAGGTCCCCTCCATTGCTGCAGTTAGGGGCTGTGTGACAGACGGGTGGGCACCCTCAGGCCAAGGCTGCAAGGCCACCTCCCCTCTGTCGTCCCATAGAGGTGCAGCTGAAGCCCAAGCACCAGCCCTACAAGCTGGGCCGCCAGTGGCCGGAGCTGCTGCTGCGCTTCACTGACGCCCCTGATGATGACGTGGCCATGGGTAGGTGCAAGAGGGGCAGCCAGGAGGGGTTGGGCCAGGGACTGGGGGTTTTCCCTGTGGGGTGCAGTGGTCGGCCAGACACGAGCCCAGCTCTCTCTGCAGATGAGCCCTCCCTTCAGTTTCGGAGGAACGTGTTCTTCCCAAAATGGCGAGAGCTCCAGGTGAGGCTGCGAGCCCGCAGGTGCCACCCAGGTCAGGCGCCCTGTGCCGAGCCACCTCATCCCTGGACCCCTAGACCTTCATACCCACTGGGGTGTCCTTCCCTGCCATACTGGCCCGCAGATCCGTGACGAGGAGATCCTGCGGCTGCTCTACGAGGAAGCAAAGGGCAACGTGCTGGCCGCTCGGTACCCATGCGACGTGGAGGACTGTGAGGCCCTGGGCGCCCTGGTATGCCGGGTGCAGCTGGGGCCCTACCAGCCTGGCCAGCCTGCGGCCTGCACCCTGAGGTGAGGGCAGTGTGACCCAAGAGTCCTGTTTACAAGTATTGCAAGGTCCCACAGTGTGAGGCGCTGCAGCCTCTCTGAGCCTCTTGTTTCTCATCTGCTGTTGGTAGGAGGAAGCTCGGGGCTCTGAGGGATCCACAGCCAACAGGCCCAGGTGTGCATAAGGGTGGAGCCTGGCTCCACCACAGTCAGGAGGAAACTGGCCTTTTTAGTCCGAGCAAATACTGACTCTCCCAGTGGCCTGGGCTGCTCTTTACCAAGGCTTCTCCCCACCTCAACCTTGCTAGGTGAGGCAGGCAGAAGAGCTAAGTGCAGGGCTGGGACCTTGTGCTTAGGATTGGCGGGGGCTCCTAAGTGACTCGTGGTTGATGGCCATGAGGCCCCAGCAGTGTTCCACTTGCAAGTAACAGTAAACCTAGCTGCAGTGGTTTGAATGCAGGGGACTTTGTCACCTTGGGTACCATTTAAGCCCAGGTAGTCAGGGCGACCGGAACCAAGCTTAGTGCCAGAGTTCATTGGGGATCCCTGACCCTGTTGTTACTTCTTTCCCGCCCGTGTCTTCTGGGCCAACAACAGCTGCCCTATAAGGATGAGAGGCCTCTTTCTGCCTGCCCAGAGTTCCCACGCTCACCATGGTGACCATGGCTTGGTTCTGGTCCACCCAAAGGAAGCATCATGACCAGGCCACTGGTTGACTATAGCCCATGTCCCCCTGGGTCACCCCATGTGCCTACATAAATTCCATAGACCAAGAGCAGGGTAGGCTGGGTTTCCGCACAGCAAACTAGAGCCAGCCCTAGAGAGGGATTGGATGGTACAGTGGGTGAGGAATATTCTGGTGCACCAGTTTGCAGGTCATAAATTTCCTCAGATGTCCTTTGTCATGGAAGTATCTTACTTTCCATCAATTTTGAAAGATACTGCAAAGTTCATCAATTTGGGTTGACAGTGGTTTTCCCTTAGCACATAGAGTACTTCACTCCAATGCTGCCTAACTTAGTTTGTGAGAGCAGGAAGTAAAATGCCCACAGCTTCTCTGTGAAGAGTGGACAGCACCCTGGGGTCCCCCACACAGGTCCCTTGTGGCGAGGCCTCAGCAGGATGTGTCCCCCCGTGAAGCAGCTGCCACTCCCCATGGCCTGGGGTGTCCAAGGCTCCAGCAGCCCTGTGAGAGCCCCCTTTTCTGGTGGAGGTGACAGCTGCAGAGATATTTGTTGAGCGCCAGCCTCAGCCTGAGCCTGTGCTTGCTGGACTTGGGTCTGTTTTGCACACACTCAGAGGTGGAGCCTTGGAGGCCTCACAGACCAGAGCTCTGGCTCCTATTTCGTTTGTTTAATGCAGTGCTGGGACTTGAGCACTCAGAGCCCCAGCTACCACTCCGACCTGTTTGTTTTGGTTTGGTTTGGTTTTTGAGTTTTTCTGGTACCAGGAATTGAACTCAGGACCTTGTGTTTATCAGGCAGGTCCTGTGTCACTGAGCTACATCCCTGCCCCACCCCAGTTTGTTTTGAGACAGAGCCTTGCTGTGCAGTTCAGGCTGGCCTCAAACCCATGGTGATCCTCCTGCCTCAATCTTCTGAGTGTTGCGATTACAGATATGTACCACTATGCCCACTTCGTTTTATTTGTTAGTATATGTGCTGCCAAAGTGAGCATTGTTTTTGTTTTTAGAGATAATGTCTCCCTAAGTTTTCCAGGCTGGCCTTGAACTTTCAGTACTCCTACCCTAGCTTCCCAGAATGCTGGAGTTATGAGTGTGTGCCACCATACCTAGTTGAAATTTCTGTTTAGATATCTTTATCTGGCAGAACCAGGCATCAAGGGTGTTAGGCCCCCAGCAACAGTGTGGCTGTAAAAATTCTCACAGCTGAGAAATCCCTGGCACCTACCACAGTGACAGACACTGCCCTGAAACCCTCCTCCGGCCTGGCTCCCAGCTGGGTCCTGTTCTGGACTCTTCCTGGCCTCTCACGAATCTGGACATCTAGTGCCAGCAGGCCCCATGGACATGTGGGGACCTTACCACACACCTGGCATGCTGTGGGTACTCAAGGTCCTGTGTCTCCTTCCCTCCTGGGGGCAGAGACTGGGCCAGGTGGCCTCTGCCCCCTCTGCCAACTAGGTGCTGCTCTCAAGACCTCCCTGTTGGGGTGCTGATCAGGAGGGAGGCAGGAGCAGAGCCAAACCCTGTGGGGGCCACACATGGTGTGATAGAGCTGTGGGCCAAAGCAGGAAGCTGCTTGGGCTCCTGGGCTGGACAAGCTGGCTTCTGGAGCAGTGGGACAGTGGGAAGGGTGGCATTATGCAGTGACCCTGGGCTGTCCTTGTTCTGCCATCCCCATCCTGGGCCTCTCCTTAAGAGCCGTGCATGTTTTAGGGCCGAGGTAATTGTCCCTGTGGCCTGGTGGTAGCCTCACCATCCCCGCTTTGCAGATGAGCGAGCACAGCTGACATGACTAAGGCTGAGGCAGGCGGACTGCAGAGCCTGCTTGTGGAGGGGGCTGAGGTCTGACCCTACCTCTGTCTGCCTCTCCAGTTCCAGAAAGCTTGTGGGTCTCCTTCCTCTGAGGTGCCCCGCTTTCTCTTAATAACATTCCTACCTCACCTTCAGCATGGCCCCTCTGAGTAGGCTGTTGCTGGGATGGCCATGGGGAGCTCTGTGGTAGGGGCGTCTGGCGTCCCCATAGCAGGAAGGGCCCCAGGCTGGGCCCCCAGCAAGCCCTGCTTGTCTGTGTATTTGGAAGTGCTGAAGACTCTGGCTCCACCTTCCTCCTTCCCCCACAGGGAGAAGCTGGACTCCTTCCTCCCCGCCCACCTCTGCAAGCGGAGCCACGGCCTCTTTGCTGCCCTGCGGGGCCGAGGAGCCAGGGCGGGCACAGGCGAGCAGGGCCTGCTGAATGCCTATCGCCAGGTGAAGGAAACAGTCAGCAGTGACGGTGCCCATGAGGCCACCCTGGGCACCCACTACCGTGCCTACCTCCTCAAGTGCCACGAGCTGCCCTTCTACGGGTGAGCAGTCACTGCCCTGAGGCCCCCCGCAACCCCACACAGCACTATAGACTGACCCCGGCTGCCACAACTGGCTTTCCTCCTAAGGAGTCATTGCCGTGGGTCAGTCCTGTTGCCAAGGTAGGTTTTTGTCCTCTCCTTCCTGCTTTCTCAGGATGGGGCACCTCAGGTGGGTCCTCCCTCTGCTGCCAGGACTGCTTGAAGCTGCTGGGTCTTCTGGGGAGAGGCCAGCTCCTCTCCAGGCGCCTCCCACTGTATGAATAGGGTGGCTTCGTGGCTGGGCACGGAGAACATGCACCTGCCCCTTCTTGGTCTTCGGCTCAGTCTGCACCCCTGGGCAGCCCTTACCCCTCACGTGATGGGCCTTGTTGCTGAGGGTCTTTGCTGCAGACAAGGGGCAGCAGAGCTCCTTACTGGCCCTGAATGGACCTTGCTGTGTCCCTTTCACATCTTGTCCTCTTCCTCATCTCTCTCTAACTCCAGACACTTTAAGCTTTCTGGGGCTTGGTGCAGGGCTCCCGGCACACATGCCTGTGGGAGTGAGTGGCTGACCTGTGTCCCTCCCCAGGTGTGCCTTCTTCCACGGTGAGATTGACAAGCCGGCCCAGGGCATTTTGCACCGTGGTGGGCGAAAGCCAGTGATCGTGGCCATCAGTCTGGAGGGCGTGCATGTCATTGACAGTAGGGAGAAGGTACTGGCTCAGGAGGTGCCTGGGGGGCCTTAGTGAGCAGAAGTTGGGCCTTGCCCAGCCTTCCAGGTTCCCCTGGGCCTGTAGGGACTAGGATGGTGGAGTGAGCAGACTGTTTGGGAGTGACTCTGCCTCCCTCAGGTGTCTCTAGGCCCTGGGTCCTTTCCTTATGTCCCCTGGGTTTTGCATTTGCTGGGGGTCAGTGGTGGAGCCCAGCTGGGGGTTCTCCAGAGACCCAATGGCTAGGCACACTCCTGGTCTGCCCAAGTCCTGTTTGTCCCTGCCTTCAGTGGCTGGCTCCCTCCAGCTGTCAATGTGGACAGCCCACCCCATGTATCAGCTTCCCTGTGCCTGGGCACGAGCCCTCCCTCAACATGGCGGAAAGGTTTTGGCTGGCATCTGTCCTGGAGAAGGACTCTAGCCCTTCCTTGGGCGCCGTGCCCTAGAGTGCAGGGCACAGCTGGTGTCACAGCTCAGACCTCATGTGTCACCTGTCTCCTTCCCCATGCATCCCCACTATCATGCTTGACCCGCTGGTGGGAAGGGCTAAGGAACAGGTCCTTAGCCTTCCTGGGCCCCAGCCCCGGAAAGTAACCAAAGCTGGAGACCCTCTCCTTTAGAGAAGCACTTGAAGGAACTGAGATGCAATCTCAGGCAAATGTCCCAGCCAGGTGTCCCCTGGTTCAGCGCAGGGGAACAGGGAGGGGAGCAGCCTCTGCCAAGCTCCAGCTTTACTCTGTGTCTCCCACTGGCCAGCACGTGCTGCTGGGTCTGCGCTTCCAGGAGCTGTCATGGGACCACACCTCCCCGGAGGAGGAGGAGCCTGTCCTGTGGCTGGAGTTTGATGGGGACTCTGAGGGCCTTCCTGTCAACAAGCTGCTCAGGATCTACTCGAAGCAGGTAACGCTGATGTGACCTGTACCGGGGTCTGGAGAGAAGTGGCCTGGCCAGCCAGGGACTTGCTCTGCAGACCACACACCAGGTATCATGAGCAGCTGCAGGCAGGACAGCTGTCCTAGAGGGCTTGCCCAGTGTGGCATCTGCAGCTTCGTGCACACATCGCCTCCTGTCACAGTGGGAGGGGACAGTGTAGCAGGTTAAAAGCCCTGGGGACCTTTAAGACTCCACCCAGGAGCCCTGTGAGGAGCTCTTCTCCATCCCTGTTGGCACACAGGCAAGCACAAGGACTGTCTTCAGTACACATTTCCTGTCCAGCCAATGTCCCAAGTCTTCCAAAAAGAAGCTACACAGATGCCCAGAGCTGGGGAGAGACAGGCATGTTATGCCCTGCCCTTCAGCGGTGGTGTGTGTACCCCTTTCCTGGGGTACTGGGGCCCTGCACACATTAGGCAGCGCTGTACAGTGGACCTGCGCCAGCCCTGACTTGCTCCCTTTTACCATCCAGCACTAGTCCATCATACAGGTGTCCTGCAGCCTCCCCTATTCACCCACTGGAGAGCCTTTGGGTGGTTCTGTTTTTAACTTCTCTCAGGAAAGCACTTCTGAACATTCATGTATAGGTTTGTGCTTGAATATAGATCTTTTTCTCAATCATCAAAACCCAGAGTAAGGGGCTGGGGATTTAGCTCAGCAGCATAAGCACCTGCCTTGCAAGCAGGCAGTCGTGAGTTCGATCCCCGGTACCGATAAAAAGGAAAACGGAAAAAAAAAAAAAAAAACCAGAGTAAGCTCAAGAGACTGTGTGATGAGCACATGGCTAACTTTACTAGAAGCTGCCAATCTGTTTCCCGAAGCAGCCGTGCAAGTCGCCTTCCCCTAGTCCTCCATGTCCTCCCTGGTTCTTGGTGTTGCTGGTTTCTGTCTGTCTGCACCAAAGTGATGTCCTGTCAGTGTTAATCACCAGTGACACTTGTGATCTTTCCACATACTTATTAACTACTATCCACGATCTTCATTTAGCCCTGGTTCTTATCATTTGCCCTTTTTATTTATTGAGTTGCTTTCTTCATGAGTTGTGAGAGTTCATTAAGTATTGTGCATACCACCTCTTTATCAGATGTCCTGTTGTTTGTTTGTTTGTTTTTTGAGACAGAGTCTCACTATGTAGTTCAGACCAGCGTTAAATTCACTGTGGGGCCCAGGCTGGCCTCCAACTTGAAGTGATCTTTCTGTCTCAGCCTCCTGAATGCTAGGATCACAGACATGTACCACTATGCTCCATACAAATGTTTTCTTTCTATCTGTAATTTGAGTTCATTTTATTGTCTTTTTTAGTACTGAGAATCAAACTCACAACCTTGTACTTGCCAGGCAGTGGCTTATGCCACTGAGCCATGTCCCCAACCTGTTTTATTGTCTCTTGAAGAGATGTTTTTAATTTTGATAAAATATCTCTAACCCTGCTCAGGATCTCACTGAATTACCCAGGCTGGCCTTGAATTTATGATCCTCCTGCCTCAGCTTTCTGAGTAGTTGAGATTATAGATTTATGCCACTATGCTTAGTTGATGAAATTCATTGTAGCAATTTTTTCTTTTTCCATATATGATTTGTATATTTTGTTTCCTAAGAAGTTGTCACCTAACCTGAAGTCACAAAAATTTACTCCTATGTTTTCTTTTTCCTGTTTATTTTTGAGATGGAGTCTCTCAGTGTAATTCAGGTTGGCCTTGAACTTATTTTGTAGCCCAGAATCATCTTGAACTTGCAGCAATCCTCCTGCCTCATCCTCCTGAGTATTATAAGCATGGGTACTACATCTGGCTATTCTCCTAAGTCTTTTAAATGTTATAGCAGTTTCATCTATGATCCATCTAAAGTTTCTTTATATCAATTGTGTGTATAGATCCAGATTGGTTTTTGTTTTGTTTTTGGTTTTTTGAGATAAGGTCTCCCTATGCCATTTGGGCTGACCTTGAACTCACTTTGTAGTACAAGCTCCTCTCAAATTCATCGATCCTCCTGCCTCGGCTGCCCGAGTGCTGGGATTACATGCTGGCACTACCATGGTTGGCCAGATCAGTTTTTGTAGTTGGGTAATGTGGCAAATACCTGTAGTCTCAGCACTTGGGAGTCTGAAGCAGGAGGACCATGTATTTGAGAGAAGCCTGGTTAAACTGTCTCTCAAAAAAAAAAAAAAAAAAGCTGGAGGTGTTGGTGCCTGTAATCCCAAGAGGATCATTCACTGGAAGTCAGCCTATGCTCCATAGTAAGTTCAAGGCTAATCTCAACTACACAGCAAGACCCTGTTTTTTTTTTTTGTCTTTTTCCTTTTTACCGGTACCGGGGATCGAGCTCATGACTGCCTGCTTGCAAGGCAGGCGCTTATGCTGCTGAGCTAAATCCCCAGCCCCCAAGACCCTGTTTTAATTTAAAAAAAAAATCCAGGTGTGGTGGCACAGGCCTGTAATCCCGGCACTCTGGAGGCTGAGGCAGGAGGATTGCTGCAAGTTCCAGGCCATCCTGAACTACATTGCAAAACACAAACACACAATAAACAAAGAAGATCTTTTTAAATTACTTTGGAGAGAATTGACATCTTAAGTCATACAATCTCTTATTTCCATGTGTTCATTTATTTGTCTTTGATTTCTTTCTTTTATTTTATTTTTTGGTACTAGAAATCAAACTCAGGCCTTGTGTTTGCCTGGCATGTGCTTGTGTCTTTGATTTTTTTTTTATTAGCATTTTGTTAGATTTATTCTTAGTGCTTTATTTTGGTACTACTGTAAATAGTGCTGTTTTTAATTTGAGTTTCCTATTGTTTATTACATTATATAGAAATGCAGTTGACTGCCAGGGATTTAGCTCAGTGGTTCTAGCAGCTGCCTAGTAAGTGTAAGGTTGTGAGTTCAAGCATTGCTTGCTGGTACCCAGGCATTGTGGGATGGGCAGGTGTGAGCTTGGGTCCCAACCTCCCTTCTGCACACCTGCACTCCAGCTGTAGTCCCTGGACACCCTCGGAGGCCGAGCCAATGCCTGGCTCACTGAGTTCAAGCTCCTGTGCCTGGTGCAGTTTTAGGAAGAGATGATTTGAACGGAGGGGGCTGGGTTTTAGTACCCTGCTCTCTTGGGCACCTATAGGGCTTCCCCCATGTGTTTGCAGTTCGGGCCCGTCTTCCTATGGCCACCACCTGGTCACTCACCCACTGCCCACTCTCAGCTGGTGGGGTCCCCAACGAGCAAGGCAGCCCGCACGCACTGTGTAGTGAGGGTGTGTTGAGACCGAGGCCCCAGCAACTGCTCTTCCCCTAGGACAGGCAGGGGCCGGACCAGCGTCCACAGGGCCGCCCCCAGCACCTGGCCCAGTGCTACACTTAGCTCCTGGTCCTCAGTCCTCCTTGGAAGCACACAGCAGCCACACAAGTGTGATCCCTCAGTTCCCAGTCTATGCCGCGGCCTGCATGCAGTAGATGCTTGATAATTAGTACATCTGTGTTTCCTGACAAAGGGACGCCACCCCTAGATACCTGTCTGAGTCCCTCAGGGCCTAGGTCCTGTCCTGGAGCCCCACTGTGCACCTATCTGGCTACTTCACCTACCTATGCCAACACATGTCCCATTGCCAGCCTGCTGGGAGGCGTCACAGTTGAAGAATGCACTCAGAAGGAGCTGCCAGCCTATGACCTCAGCCCTTTCTCCGGCCTGGGATCTCACCCTCACTGCTCTGTCATCATCTAAGCAGGGCACCCACCTTCTACCCTAGGACTCCATTCTGCTCCGGAGTGCTTGCCTTACCCTCCTCCACGCCCTCTCCCTCCTTTTTGCGGGGAGCAGTGTCCATTCCCAAGTCTGCTTTGAGGCAGGGGCCTTAGGTCTGGGTATCTGACCACCTTAGTGTCAAGCACAGGAATCTGGGCCTGCTCACTGCGCCCATCACTGGTCATCTTCTCGACACAGGCGGAGCTGATGAGCAGCCTCATTGAGTACTGCATTGAGCTGAACCAAGCTGCAGAGCCCCCCGCCCCGCAGGAGAGTGCACCCAGCCCCCACTCCGCACCAGACTCCTTGCCACCTCCCACTCAGCGCCCCAAACTGAGGAGACAGAGCAGTGTGGTGTGCAGCCGGATCCAGCACCTCTCCACCATCGACTACGTGGAAGATGGTGAGCCTCGGTGACAAGTGTGTACTATCTACGCATGTACACACACGCATGCCACACTAATGCCAGAGGAGAGGGTGGGAGTGATTCCAGGTGCAGGGTGGGTAACCTGCTCTTGCAGGAACCTGGTGGAGAGAATGGGTCCCTTTCTTTCCCTTTCACTGGTTCATCAACAGTGTGTTCGTTAGCTGGGTATGGTGGCGCACACCTGTAATCCTAGCATTTGGGAGGCTTAGGCAGGAGGCTCATTGGAAATTCAAGACTAGCCTGGGCTTCAAAGTGAGCTCAAAGCCAGCCTAAACTGCACAGTGAGACCCTGCCTCAAAAAGACAAAAAAACAAAAACAGTATGTTTAATGTAGAATCATCTGGAACACAAAAAACAGGGTCCACCCATTACCTTTTATTAAAACTGTGGGTAACTGTGGGTATAGAAATCTAAAATGATTCCAAAGCAGACAGGGTTTCTTCAGTTCAACAGCAAAGATACACATTTCATTTTTCTTTGGTTTTGTGAGATAGGATTTTGCTGTGTAGTCCAGGCTGGCCTTGAACTCAGAGATCCTCCCAGAGTGCTGGGATTACAGGCACGAGACACCATGCCCACAATATGCTAGACAAGTGCTATCCACCGAGCTACACCTAGCCACAAGACCTCCATTTAAATGTCACAATGTTCACAAAGCAGAACTGAATAGAAAACTCCAGTAACAGCACAGCATATTAAAAAAAAAAAATGGGTTGTGGGTTTGGGGAAGGCACAGAGCAAAGTGCTGCTTTCATCACATCAGGTCACAGGTGCCCATCAGCGTGGGCTGTGACTGTCGCTGCTCACCATGACCACTTGGCTATATTTATTCAGAAGTATGGATTGGGCCCAGGCCCCCTGCATTACACTACATCCCCAGCCCTTTAACTTGGGGCAATCCTCTGTACCTGGCTGACACTCCCTTTTGTCACCTGTGTGTTGCAGGTGTTTGGTTCAGTCAGTCATACAAGGTCGAGTGACAGGCAGTCTCTCAGTCTAGACAGCCCAGGGGGAGCTGTCCCCACCCAAGCTCCATGGTGCCTCTCAGCGCCTCCTCTCCTTCCCTCACAGGCAAGGGGATCAAGCGGGTGAAGCCGAAGCGCTCCACGTCCTTCTTCAGCCGGCAGCTCTCCTCGGGCCAGCGGGGCTACACTGTGGTGCAGCCCACAGACAGCCTGGAGCAGGGCTGAAGAGGCCGCACCAGGCAGGAGGAGGGACGGGGACCCCGCCTGTGGACCTGCCCCAGCACAGTCCCCGTGGCGGGCACCAGACATGGGAATCCACAATCTGAGCACAGAGCAGTGAGTGGCCTCAGTCCCTCGAGCTCTGGCTGTTTCAGACCATGGAGAGGGGGCTGGTGCCATCTGGGATGATACCTGAGCCACGCAGGACTGGCTAGGGCTCCCACAGAGCCCCTCTTGCACCCTGGCTCCCACCCACAGACGCAACTCCAAATCCCCTGCCAAGGGGCTCAGCAGCCTGTGCCCTGCTGGGACTGCCAGCAGCCCCAATGGCCAGCAACCACGGTCAGGGCTTGGCACCTGCAGGCTCAACATCTTTTTCCTTGGACCTTGGTCACCACATCTCACATTCCTTTCTGCTGGTGTTTTCTCCCACCTGCCAGGATGGGCTGTCCCTTGGGGGTGAGAGCCCCCTGAATTGAACCCTCTGGGATAGATGAGGCCTCCGTGCCATCGATGAACTGGGCCTGGAGGGAGCCGGGTAGGTCCCCCTTGCTCATATCTCCCTGGCAGGCATCAGACACTGAACAAAGAAAGGGGCCTTGTAACTTTTGGTGGCATCACTGCTGGGAGGTGGCCATCCTGTGGACCAGCAGGCAGGCCCAGACCAACACTGTACCAGGAAAACTCCCAAAAAACCCCTTGTCACCTTCCCAGGGCCAGACAGTTCCCTCTCCCCTTCATGCCTGAGTCTTCCAGATTTGTACTCCGTCTTTCCTCATCTGCTTTGTTTGGTGAAGTTGGTGAGTCCTTGGTAACCTCAGGCTACAGACTCTGCTTCAGCAAAAGTGGAGGGTCCCCCTGGGGACCAGTCTCAATAACACAAGATGTGTCTCTTTGGGACTTTGGAAAGGAGGCTTCAATGTGGATGCTTGACTTTGACAGGGGGCAGTTTGGGGCTGGAACCCAGGATCATGCACAGGTTGGACCAGTGAGTTTATACCCCAAGGCCCCAGCTTCACCCTCCTGGCAACAGTGGCTGTATATCTTTTTGGTACCAGAAATAGAACTTAGGACCTTGTGCTTGCCAGGGAGGTGCTTGTGCCCCTGAGCTGTATCCCCCGCCTCTGTGTCCTTTTGGAGAGAAGCTGGGCCTCAGGATGGGGCCTTTCCTGACCCTGGCCTTCTCTGTGGGGACACAGGCTTTGCTCTTGTGCTTTCTCCATGGTAACCGTGGAAATGGGAACTGGTCTTGTTCCAAATCCAAAGGCCATTTGTCCACTCGCAATAATGTGAGAGCTGCAGTCCTGCCTCCCCACAGCGGCACTTCGTTATTTATAATAAGGAAGGAGGAGACCTGGGAGGTGTCTCCAGGCTTTTGGGATGTTTGGGCTACATTGCTGCATCAGCTGCCACTTCTTGTCTCCCCTGCTGGCTTGGCATGACCTCACCAAGCTGCCAGCCCGCTGACCTGTCCCAGCCCTCTGGTCACCTGGGCCACTCCCTGGTGGCTCCAGCACATTCTCATCTGATGGCCCCAGGGGCTGCCGGGGTGTGGCTGGGTGTGTACAGCTGGCATCTTTCCACTGTTGAGCTCACTCCTGATTTCTAAGCTTCCATTGTGCCTTACTCTCCTCTGCTGCCCTTTGGGACAAAGCAATATTGTACTGAAATGCCTTTGAATGTCCTCATTCTTTTGTATCATGCAGTTAATAAAATCAGTTTCCAGCAAGCCTCGGAGTCTGTATGGTATGAAATGCAGAAGGTGTTACAGCTGAAGACTGGGTTCCTCAGCCTGTGTCTGGCCATGCCAGGACCCCCTGTAGGGAGCTCTTGTCCTGGTGCTTGCCAGGAGCTCTGGGAAAGAGTGGCTGAGGAGGGCCAGCAGCAGCACTGAGATTCTGCCTTCCCTGGGCTCCCCACAGATGCTGTTGTCAACATACAGTTTGGAGAGCAGCAACAGCACTGTGGGCCCCTCAGGAGGCCCTGGCAGCAGCAGTGACACAGACTTGGCCCAAAGCACCAGAAGTTGGGGTCAGTGGTTACACTTTCTGGGGATGGAGGCAGCTAGCCCCAGGGACCAGGGCTTGTCTCTTTGGGCATCTGTGACAGGGAGTGGTGGCTGGTGGCCTGGTTGGAGCAGCACAGCACTGTGACCACAGACACGTGAGGCAGACATCGGTCTCATTTGTTGGTCTTTCAGATGGAAGTAACAATACTGCCACTTGCCTACCTTTCTTCCTTGCTAATTGATTTTTATTTTTGAGACAGGGTCTCGCTGTGTAGTTCAGGCAGGCCTTGAACTCATATAACCAGGCAGGCCTCAAACTCTTAATAATACTCCTGCCTCGGCCTCCCAAGTGCTGTGATTACAGGCATGTGCCATGGTGAAGGGTACTTTGGCACAGGGAAGACTAGGCGCTCTGCAGAAGTTCTGTGTCTGAGAAGCTGGCAGGGAAGATGGCCCTATGAGTAGCTTTGGTTGGTTGACAGCACAGAGCCTGTTGCCCCTTCCTCCTACCCAGGCCCACTCTACCTGGCTGTTGCTGCTGTGACTAACCCACAATCAGTAATGAACATGCACAGTGCCTGGTTCTGCAGGACAGAGGTCCAGTGTGGTATCTGGGCTAAAACCAAACATGGGCCAGGCAGACTGCCTGAGGCTCTTGGGACACTGGGAATTTTTCTAGCTTCTGAAACCACTGCATTCCTTGGTTCCTGGCCCCTTCCTCATCCCCAGAGTTAGTGATGGCTAGTGGAGTCCTCTTGTCACACTCTGACCTTCTGCCTTCACATCTTTCTCCAGCTCTTGTCTCCCCATCGTCTGATAGCAACCAACCATCTTCACTCGTGCTTCACACGCTCCTGTCAGAGTTTAGCTGGTTGGGTAGTTCAGCTGGTGATTTTTGTGGGACCAGGCACTTAACTCATTAATGCCCACCTGCTCACTCCATTCAGCATGGTATTTAATTGGTTGGTTTCCAAGAGATGGAGGCTTTGGTGTTTATCAGATAATTTTTTTATTTTTGAGAGGATGGAGGTGAACCGGGATGCCACACAGCGTTGTTGTAGGGTTGGTAGCAAGGGATCTGGACACAGGACCAGCAGAAGCAGCCACTTTGCACACCCATGACACCCCTGACAGATGAGCTGGCCACACCCATCACAGGACAAGGAACAGTGATCAGAGGTGACTTCCTGAAGGAAGGACCTGCTAGGCCCAGCAAGGAGAGGCAAATGGAGCAAAGCGACTGGTATGGGGACATACTGGCTGTGACCTGAGCCTGAGGACACTGGTAGTCCTGGCCAAGGGAGGTGCAGACTTTGGGACAGATGCTCACTGCTCTTCCTTTTTCCTGGCTGGGGACCTTCACAGTCACCTAGCACTTCCCCCTGCAGATGTACCCCCATTTCAGAGAAGGCAGGCCAGTTACCCAGCTTCACTCAAGAGTGGGGCTTCAGTGCCAGACTGGATCTCAAGATTTCAGTTTCAAGTAGCAAATTCAGAGCCTGGTGTTAGACTCATCAGGACTCCATTGCGGCCATTCGGGGCCTGCAGTTGCTGATCCAGCTGCAACCAGCAGGGGGCAGGTGAGTCCGCTCTTCTCCCATGCTCCCCCCCACTCTTGGTGGTCAGAGCTAGCACCGCCTCCTTGCCCAGTCCACAGGGCCTGGCGTATGGTCCCTCCCCGAGGCAGAAACTGGCAGATTTGGGATCTAGCGCTACACACCGACCCCCTTGCTGAGCAAACACCCTGACTCCGGCCACTGGGTCCATGCTGGGGTGGTCCCAGACCTCCAAGAGCACCCAACATGGAGATTCCCTGGGGCTCCCCAGCTTGACAATGGGACTTGAACTTTGTAAAGGTCAGGATCCATGTCCCAGAAACAGATTCTGCTGTGGAATTTCTAAGTTTTTCTGTGAAATGACCACTTAGTCAAAATGTTTAAAGCCAGAGCCATTTGAGGAAATTGGGAGGAGCTAAGGTGGGATCCATCCAGCGCCCAAAGGAGCTGAAATCCCAGGTCCCCACCCAACCAGACCCTTCCCCTCCTCGGCAGCATTCCTGGGCCCCCTCTCAGCTCCTCAATCCCAGGCCCTGGAGCTACTCCTTGTCTCCTCTTTTTCAAGATTTGACCCAAATATAAATTGGAACTGGAGGTGATAGGAGCCCCAGTTCATTCATAGGGCTTCTGGAACCCCTGATGCCTGCCCTTGGCATTGTTTTGGTGGGAGTGGCAGCAATTACTGCGCAGGAGCCAGCAAGCACAGGCGTCCAGCAGGCTCTAGAGCAAACCCTCTCTGCCCACAGTGACTGGCCCCATGTGCAGCCTCAGGGATGGCGGAGTCATCGGAGTCCGACGGAGAGGGATTGGAGCAGAAAAGCCCCCTGCATTGGTTCAAGAACAATCCCCTGCTCTGCTGGGGATACTGAAGGGAGAAGCAAGCCCTGGACAGAGGCCATTCCTGTTGGCAGTGACCTGTGTAGAAGCTGGAGGCACTGGCAGCAGTAGGGCTGCTGGGTCCTGAGGGTCAGAAAGAGGTACATAGGCACTGTGCAAACCTAGGGGTGGCAGAGGGCAGGATGCCAGCATGTGACTAAGCCCTGCCCACCCCCTGGGAGCTGTCCCCATGGTTCCTGATGAGTGGGTTGGGGAAGAGACTAGGAAGTGGAGCCTAGGCAAGTGGACACCTGTTCAGGGAGCAACCAGATAGAGAAGGATGAGAAGCTGCTGGAGGTACCAGGTAGTGGGGGCAGGCGTGGCCTATGGGACAAGACCGTTCTTTTTTTTTTTTTTTTTCTTTTTTGTTTTTATTGGTACCAGGGATCAAACTCATGACTGCCTACTTGCAAGGCAGGCACTTATGCTGCTGAGCTAAATCCCCAGCCCCTGAGACCGTTCTACTCCGTGGTCTTCCATATCCTGGGGCCCAGGCAGCCAGGATGAGCTACTCAGAAGGGGAGGACAAGTGGGTCAGGTGCCTGCTGTGACAGTTAAGGCTGAAGGCTGCAGGCAGTGAGTGGGCAGTGGGGGTGGGGGACAGGTGGTGCCAAAGCTCAGGAATAGGGCATTCAGGAGGAATGGGTGCTGGGGGCCAGGGACAAGGGGCAGGAAGTAAAGTGATCAAAAATAAAGTGGGGGGGGGGGTCGGGGCATGGTGGCACATGCTTGCAATCCCAGCACTCAGGAGGATCACTGTGTGGTTGAGACCACAACAGTTCCAAGCCAGCCTGAACTGAGCTACATAGAGACCCTGACTCAGAAACAAAACAAAATAAAAAAGCTGAAGGGGAGGGGAGCAGACTCTTAATGAACTCAGAGTCCTGAGAAAATTGAATTTCAGGAACTGATACCATCAAATTTGTGTCCTGCAGGTCTGGCCTGAGGTTGGATCTCCAGAGAAGGAAGCCCAGGGGCATTTGCCCTGACAGTGGCCAGGAAGAATCTTAGGGACCAAGTGAGCTGCCCTTTCTTGCCTGAGGACTCCCATCCTCCTCTGGCCTTTCAGCCAACTTGAGTCAAGAAAATAGGAACAGAAAAGGCTGGTGGGTGGACCGGTCCCTCCACTGTGCTCTGTAGACTGTGGCAGCTGTCCCCACCCTCTCCCTACATGGCTTCTGCTACGATTAGATCAAGGAAGGCTCCAGGAGTTTCCTGGTTCCCAGTCCCCAGGAGCAGCCACTGCCCTCTGGCCTACCTCCTGGTGCCATCCTGGAGCCAGGCCTGCCACGCTGCCTTAGCTGCCATCCCATTTATGGGGCACAGCTGACTGAAGAACTCCTTCCTTCCCTCTCTTCACTCCCCAAATATTTACAGAAAGCCTGGCTGTGACCTTTACAAAGTAACAGTGAAATCACAAACATTTACCCAAAGGTCTACCACGTGCCAAGGCCTCTGCGGGCACAGAGCGCCAGAACACGCTGGGAGGTGGGGCCGGCACTGGAAGCGCGCCTTAGAGCTGGGCTGGGGGCCTGCTGAGAGGTGCTCCTGGGGCACAGCCTAGAGGAGCTGAAGGTGGGGTGAGCCGAACTAGCTAAGGCCTATTCATCAGAATTTTGAAGTGTCAGGGTGAGGAGGGGCCGCGGTTGCAGACCCACAGCTCTCAGAGTTTGTCCTTAGTTACTGGAAGGGCGGGGTGAGCAGCACAGGCCAGCTAGGGAAGCGGAGGCTGTAGGGCCTGAGGGCGGAGCCTGCTTGTTTTTCTCCTCTGGCTGCTGGCAGGGGAGTTGAGGGGGATAGGACAGAATGGCTGTAGGCCAGCTCACTGTGACTCTGCAGTTTTCAGATACTGGCAGTGTTGAGGCCTAAGGCAGAGGGCCCAGCCTCAGGGCCTCTGGGACCATGAAGGGCCCAAGGTGACCGAGGAGCCACCCTGAAGAGGAAGACTGTCAAGGAAGACTATCATGGAAGAGGAAGACTATCAAGGACTGCCCTTGGGGTAAACTGTGAAGCACCACCCTTACTCCCCCACTTCCCCTTCTCGCCCTGTTCCAGGGGTTCTTGTGGGAAACTCCGGGTCCTTCCCTGGTCTGGTGCATTGTGTGTTGTGGGTGAAGCAAGCAGCCTCCAGAACACAATGGCAGGACTGGTCACTGGGGAGGCCAGGGATCCTCACTGACCATGGCCCTGAGAAAGCTTGGAGAGGGGGTCTCAGTCTGGAATCTGAATGTTGTCTAAGTGGCCTTCCCTGGCCCTTCCTCCCAGCCCTCAGCCCTTGTGCCAGCTGCTTGGAAAGGAGTAAGTTGTGGTCACTGCCCAAGGAGGCCCATGGCACAGAGCCCCACCCCGGGACCCAAGGATCTGCTTTCTGGAACAGCTTGTTTTGATCCACAGAAATTTGCTGACACACTCATTCCCTGCCCTTGTCCTCCACCAGGCTGAAGGTATTTTTAGCCTTATTTGTAGAAGAAAGCAGAACCTGGGCCCAGTGTGTGTCCACAGCCTGACTCCCTACAGTAAAGTCTGTGTGGTCTTTTCTTTTTTATTCAATGCTGACTGTATTTCAGGTTGTCACAGAGGGGGTATTGGGGAAATGTTTTCAATGAGCAATCATCAAGCCTGGGGTAAACCTGAGTACAATACTGCCACTGTGTAGATACTGTGTCTTTTTAACCTCTCCTCAAATATGCCCCTTTCCCAAAGAAAACCAGCTGTCTAGGACTTGGAAGACCAGGAGAGCTTTCAAAACCCCCTTGAAAGGGTACCATTTTGTCCTTGAAGACTGAGGGGAGGGGGGTGGCCAGGGCAGCTCCAAACCTGAGCACACAAAGGAGCCTTATTTCTGTGTGACAAAGAAGTTGTCTACTTATAGAATAATCCTATGCTATGTGTGTTGCCAATTATCCAAGCTCCTGCTTTTTTTTTTTTTTTTTAAACAGGATTCACTGTATTTCAGGCCTACTTTAAATTCACTATGTTGCCCAGAGTGCTTTCAAACTCAAAATCCTCCTGTCTCAGCCTCCAAAGTGCTAAGGTAACAGATTTTAGCCATCTCACCCAACTCCTACTCCCATTTTTTTTTTTTTTTTTTTGTACCAAGGATCTAACTCACGACCTGGCACTTACCAGGCAGGCGCTTATGCCAGTGAGCAGTAAGCAGAGCCCCAGCCCTTCCTACTCCCATTCTTTTGAAAAATAAAATCTAAAATAACTTCTGAAGAGAAATTTCTGAAAAGAATTATGAGATTTGGGAATGATATGTGTAAATGAGGAAAAACTTGAAACCAGAGATAAAAGCAAGGTAAAACATCAAATTGGGCCCCTGAAGGAGAATATGCGTGACTATGCACCTTCCATACAGCCTGTCAGGTAAATGGGCCTACTCCTTAGGATGGTATGGTGAAGCAGTTGAGGCTTTGCTCCCTGGATTTCACAAATACATTCCAGCATTCTAGAACACTCTTTGTCCCTAGAACATTCTTGAAAATTCCCTTTTTCCTTACCGTTCTTTCAGTCCAAATTACGCACCCATGGAAATTTTGCCTGAACTAGACAGATGGGGCAGATGATAGGGAAGGTTGAGGCGTGTGGCCCAAGAGCTTGGCTGAGAGCCACAAGCGAACAAGATTGGGCTTGCCACGTCTGTCTGTGTTGTCAGTCACATGACAGTCACCAGTTCCAACAACTCCAGGGAGGAGTGTGTCCTGGGCCCCACCCTGCCTGCAGATGCCATCTTGCAGAGGCAAGGGGAAAATATTACTCCACTTTCCTTCTTGTTGTCAAGGGTGGTTCTCCTTTGGGTTGTGGGTAGTTGGCCTAGGAGGAGACTTCCTGGCAAGACTGCTGCCCTTCTCATTTGGCTATTTGTACCTTGTGGCCACTGCCAGCCGGGTAGGGTGTGATAAAGGGTCTCAGACTGTGAATCCCTGAACCTTTGCCCTGCAGTAGTCCAGGTCCTGTCAGCTATCTTTTTTTTAAATCCTCAGGGGCATAAGTACCTGCCTGGCAAGTGCGAGATTGTGAGTACAAAAAAAAATTCCTCACTCAACCCTCAGGCCTCACCAGGTCCTGTCAGAGGAGGTGACTTCACCACGTTTGCTGGGGGGTAGGGGGTACCCTGACGTGGTGCCTCTAACAGTGCACATCCTGAGGCACATCAGCGGCCATAAACTGCCAGGGACAAATGCAGCTTTTTTTCTAAATCACTTTTCTCTCTATCCCTCACCCAAAAAAAGTAGAAAGAGTTGAAAATCCACACCCATCTGGTCCTCCAGCCCTATAATCACATGTATTATTTCCCACACAAAATGTGTTTATTTTGCAACTGTCCGTTTTCAATTAATACGCTACGCCTCCTCTCTCATTAAGTACTTCACCCCAACAGCAGGCTCAGCTGTTGGTAGGAAAACACTTCAACTCTCCAGGTCTTTGCTAATAGTGACAAAACCCGGGCACTCACCCTCCAACTGACAGCTGGTTCTGTCTCAACATTTGCACTCCTTTGCACCTGGCCCCTTGTTAAGTGAAAAGCAGGAGTCTTTGGTGGACATCTTAGGGCAGAGACCAGGGTACGGCACATTCCGATTCCTCCAAGAAGGTCTCAGGCAGCCCTGCCCCCACTCCGCGCTCCCGGGAGTTGACGTCACCGGCTGAGCACCAGGCGGTGCCGCCCGAGTAATCACGCGCTTCGCCCCTCCCGCGTTCGGGAGTGAGCCGCCTCTGCAGAGATCCTTCCGCGGCCGCATGGAATTTTCCAGACGCTCTGCCGGCCCTTCTTTCGGGCCTCAGGCGGGCGGGGGCCAGGAATGTGGGGAAAACGACCTCAGGCGACCCCGGCAGCCCGGGCTGTACACCGAGGTCCAACTCGCTCTCCAGCCATCAACCCAGAGAACCGTGTCCCCATGGCGCATAGATACACTACAGAAAAATGAGGCCGCTCCCCTGTGCCCCCCCCTCCCAAATATGACCTTGAAGTTTGTCCTCAAGCCCAAAAAAGCTCTGGTGGAGGAAGGGCTAATTGGGAGTCTGAGGAAGTGGCCATAAGGGGAGACCTTGAGCCGCCCTAGTTGGCTCCTCGGGCAAGGTCGGAAGGGACTTTTTTTCCCCCCAGTGACCGTGGAGGAATCATGCCGTTGAACAAGGAACGCCCTTGTGATGCGACCCAGGGCTATAAAAGAAAGAGTTGTGGCCAGTCCAGTTGGAGTTAGACTTAGGGAGGGCTGGCATCTGGGTTCGGTGGTGGGGAGGAGGTGGTCAGTTTAGGGACTCGGTAGAGATGTGGGGGGATATTCTGATGGACGGGGTCGGCACGGTGGGGTTGCAAGAAAGAGAAGGGGGGCCAAGAGGGGACACTAGGTACTGGGGGGACTGCCACAGGAAGGCTGAGCAGAAAGTTCCCGCAGCAGGCTGTCCCTGCTGCTTATTGGACAGGGTGACGTAATCTCCAGGAGGAGGCTCTTACTTGGGCCCAGCATTCTGGTTTAGGTGCAGAAAGGAAGGGCAGGGCGAGGTGGGAAGATGGAGAGGAAAGGAGGTAGAATTCAGTGGCGGTGGAATTGGTTGATGCTCTAGAAATGATCTAAGAAGGCAGGGGCGCAGGCAGGGCTGACTTTGAACTTGTCAATACCAGCAGCCCTCTTTTTTTCCAGACAAAAAGGGTGCCAGCCCATCTGGGGCTGAGGCCTGGTCTTGTGGAAACTGGATTTAGCTTCGCAGGGCAGACAGCTCTGGCCCAGGGTGGTAGGTAATGTGGACTCAGCCTGGTGGAGCCCAGGTCTGGGTGAGGCAAGGCCTCAGGCGGAGGTGAGGGGGTGGCCTAAGAAGGGAGCGCAGAGGCGAGGAGCTGGCCCCACCCGTGGCTGGTGTGGCACCTGGGGCTGCTGAGGCAGGGTGCTTGTTGAGGGCATCATTGACCGACCTTTATTTTCCAGGTTACAGTGGCCCATTGGACTTCCCCTAGGCTCTGTGCTAGTCTTCTCTGTGAGCTCACTCTACCCCTCCTCTTCCTCCCCCTAACTTACTGAGGTTGTCCCTTCACTTAAACCTGTCGTCTGGTGGTAAGCCTGGGGAAGTCGCTGGAGCTGGTGTTGGACTCGATATCTTTGGTAATGGTGGAGGAGGAAGGACCTACTCCCTACTCCCCGCTGAGACTCCCTCCTGGTTGGTGGGGTGAGGTGGCCCTGCTTTTGGAAGGGTGGGGACCCTTGGGCAGGCCTGCAGTGACAGTTTCCTTCGAAGGTCACATGCCTCATTGACATGGTTTGTTACTGTAGCGGTCATCATGGCGAGCAGATGGCACCAGGAGAAATGGAGCCCCTGCCAGTGTGTGAGTCGTAGCAGTACAGGAGGGGAGACCTTGAAGGAAACAGCCCGATTAAATTGAAGCCTGCAGATTGAATTCCGGAGGCTTAGGAGTTCTCCAGTGCCATGGGTCCAGGCCTTGCTCGGGAAGCCCTGTATTCAGGAGGTCGCCACTAAAGTTTTCAGATGAGTTTATGAGGGGAATCCAGAAATCCAGAGCAGATGCATCCGGCTTGCATGATCAATAGCTTTGATGTCTGTTCCGGGAGCACCATCCTCTGGGCACGAGAATACCAGCAGGCGCCCCTGTTTTCCTGGGGATAGAGGTGTTCAGATGCTGCAACTACTAAACTGAGCCTCAGATCATTCTAGTTTGGTGCTACGAACCTTGCTTCAAGAAGATTGTTAAGCCGTAGGACATTTTAACGATACTACAACGCAGTGATGCCTTGTAGATGGCGCTTGCCAGATGGAGCCCAGTGACCTCTCACCTACCTGCCCCCTTGCCCATGCGTTGGCCAGAGGAGTCGTTAGTGTGATGATGAAACTCTTGGGTGTGGGGAAACTGTTCAGTTTTAAATCTTTTACGTAGAGGGAATATGTAAGAGGCGGCAAGTTGGGTGGGGCGGGGCTTACCTGTTGTGCGGAAATCTGGGAGGGTACAAGCTGATCATGCCAAGTTTTGGGCGAAGGAAGTGGTATCTGGTTTGGGCATTCTGGTGGCATCGCAGATTGCTGAAAAGGGGATGAATGGTGCGTGTACTGTGTGTGCTGGTGATGGCCCTTAACGGGTGCATACCAAGCCAGTGTCCACTACTGGTAGCTGTGCCCCCAGTCCAGATCTTTGATCCTTCTTCCTCTATTTACTTAAACTTGATTTTTACTTGACTAGAATTCGGAAAACCTGGGGTTCTAACTGGGAAGGTTCCTGAGGGTGGGGGGTGGGAGTTGGGATGGATGGAGAGGGCAAGGGAGGATGTGGGGGACGCAGCACAGAGGATGAGGTTGGGAGTGTGGGTGGAAGAGGATTTACTCAAATTTATGAGTGAAGAAAATACTAATGATAAATTGATAATGCTGGTTAAATTGTTGCGTAGAAACAGTAAAAATAGCTTGGAAACTATAAAAAATGCTTGGAACTTGAAGAGAAGGAAAAAAGCAAAATTGTTTTGCTTTGCTGAAAAGTGTAAAGAATTGAAAAAGGTTACTTTAAATCCTGAATAGTCGCTTGGAAAATGATCACAAACTTACTGTTAAAGGGAGGTTATCTGAAGGTGTGGGTTTTTTTTTTTTTCTTCAGGATTAAAAAGTCTTAGGCTTCTAAATTGTGGGCTTTTAAAGCTTAAGTGAGCCCTTGAGAATAAATGGGTTCTTGTGGGCTCTTGGTTCACGTTTAGTCACTGAGGTCATTTGTGATTAAAAATTCTAACCATACTACAAATGTGATGCCTTCTGAAGCAATTCCGTGTATATAAGTTGTGTTGTAAAATATTGAATCTTCCTATGGTGGGTCAGTAATCACAACAGCAAAATTTGTGCTTGCTTGTTTTATCTTGTCCAGTCATAGTCTTTGTGACAAGAACCAGACTAACCTGTGGTGGTCACTGAAATTACTTTGGTACAAAGTAGCAGCCAATCCAGATACCTTGATTAGGGTCACGGTGAATAATGCATTTACGGTGAATAATGCATTGCATCTTTAGTTTTGAATGTTTGTGCTATTTAAATCATCCAGGACTAGAGTGAAAACTATTACAATCATTTGAGGGGAAAATAGCAAAACTGGAGAGAAGCAGACACCGTACTGGATAAAATTAGTAAAAGTTTAGAGACTGAAAAACCATACTTGTTTTTGAGCTGTCTCTGTCAAGTTGGTGAAGTAGTATCAATGGCTTTTTAATGTATTCCTCTTTAATTTCACTTTAAAATATTTAAATCCTTAATGCATTCATCCTTGAGATTTTTCTGTTTGGGTTATTTAAATGCTAATATGTTGATGTGTTCCTAACCAGTGATTGGGTCACTGTCACTAGAACTTGAAGTGTATTAGTCATGCTTGTATGGGGAAATATTTCTGGGTATTAACTTAAAAGTGCACTACTCATGCTTGTATGGGGAAATGTTTTTGGGTGTACTGTTGTGAAATGCGGGCTGTAAAAGCACATGGTTAAAAGCGCTTGTTTATTGCTCTTGTAAGGTAAGAACTCTTGTTGCATCATGTATGTAATTACTAATGTCTTTTCTTCCCTTTTACAGCACAAATAAAGGTTTGCATTCTAAGCTCCTTAAAATCTTTGTATTGCTGTTACATTTCTCAACCCCTGTCCTGTTGTGCTCACAATGAAGGTGGTTATGTTTTTGAGACAGGCCTGGATTCATGGTTCACTAGTTCCAAGTAATTGAGCCATTGGTATAGCTGGGAACCTTTACTCAAATAGACTGGTTAGGTCCTGAATGGTCTGCAAACTGGTGGGCAGTGCGGCGTACATACCCTGTGTACTGTTGCGAGCAGGCAGTGTTTGTGTAAAATGTGATGGGTAACCACATGGTCAGAGATGAATATGTATGTGGGAAGTTTTTGGTCCATGTAATATGCTGGGACATTCCCTGTGTATTTCCAAGTGGTACTTTTTAATAAATTATTTGGGGGGAATAGTTTAAGAGGATGGACATACAATTAAGCGTATTTCACGTTTCATGTTTCCAGTCTTTGGCCATTTGGGTCTAAGCACATAATTCTCAGCTTCATTTTTTGAGGTGACTGAAAAGTTTGGCTTCCTTGTTTGTGCAAGTGCTATATTAAGTAAGCAAAATGCCAGAGTGTGGGTGGAAGCAGTTGCAATCCAGTGTGAGTCACGAATGGAGATGGTCTGTGTGGGGTGGGGAAGGACCGCGGTGACTCATCCTGGGAGCAGATCAGGACAGGCACTTCTACCGTTGTGCGTCACTGGGCACTGTACTGTGTTTCACAAGAGCCAAATTTGGGCTCAGATTAGGAACACTGATGCTGCTGCTAGGAAAGGAGGTGTTTATTGCAAAGGAGAGGGGGAGGTAGGCCTAGGCAATCTGTAGGGCTCAGTTACTTGCAACAGGTAGTTGAGTCCTGAACTGAACACCCAGAGTGGGACAAACCAAGGGTGAGGGATGTGGCCTGAAATCTTGTGGTTGAGAGAGCTGTGAGACCAGCTCACCCTGGGAGCTGACCAGGACGGGCACTTCTACGGTTGTGGTCACTTGGCACTGTACTATATGTGGCCTCACTGAGTGTGTTCTGTCTGTTCCCTCGGTCATCCCTTGGTATCTCCTCATTTGTATACTACCGGGAAGCTGGTGTGAGGTGCTTGTAAGAGGACAGTAGCATGCTACACAGCAGTAGTGCCCGTCCTCAAGAGTAGGCATTGCCAAGTGTGGGTGCAAGGTGCTCCCCCTGCTTCTCACCCCTTTCCTCAGTCCCCAGAAACAGTCTGGATTTCTCTTTGTGTCTTACCCCTTGAGCTCTTAGCCCTTGTTCCCTGCCACCCTCTTGTCAGAGCTGCTTGTTTATCTTGTCTATATAATGATTATGAAACTTGGTTCTAATCCAGAGACACTTTTTCCCAGCAACTGCAACAGGCTAAAAACTTACAGGGTAAATGCTTGATATTGGAAATAGTTGTGCAATGGGGCTAGTGGAGACAAGGGTGCAGCTGAGGGCTGAGCCTACTCCCTTGCGTGAGAGTAAAGGGCTTCAGTGTGTGTGTTACTGGGGGATTGAACTGGGGTAACTCTTAAGCTACACTCCAGCCTCTTCCAGTTCACTTAGTGGTACTGGGGATTGAACTCTCAGGGCTTTCACATCCTCAGCCCTTTTTGTTTTTCATCTCAAGGCAGGGTCTTGTTAAATAGCCTAGGCTGGTGTGGCACTTAGAAACCTGCTTCAGTCTCCCAAGTTCCTAGGGTTGTAGATCTGTGCTGCCAAGCCCAGCTAACGACTGGATCTTTACCTGTTTATCTTTGGATCGGTGTTGATGGTAGTGTTTCAGTAACTGGTTTCCATGCTCATGCATAGGTCTGAATTCAGTTTTTCTCCAGACTTCCTAAAAGCAAGGGATGGTCCATTAGAATTCAGTGGGTTGATGGTGCTTCTGTGCAAATTAAGACTATCAAACATTTGAGTTTAAAATTTAAAAAAAAAATTGCCTAAGAACAGATACTGAGTCTCCCCTGTGTGCCTCGGTTGGAGACGCTGAGAACTGGGGAAATGCCCTACATACAAAAAGAGGACTGACAACAACTGGCCTTCAGTGCCAACTGCCAGTTTCTGACTGTTAAGGGATTGCAAGGACTTTCAGTGCCATGCAGCCTTCCTTTCTGTGTGTAATTAAATCTTCGGAGAAAATCTTAACCTCTAGCCCCATATGACTCATTGTGGCATGGTGCTGGATTGAAAGAAATGTCAAAACAATGGCAGTTGTGGTATGTCTCTTGTAACTCATATTTAACATGCAAAAATACATGGATGCAGACTTGGAACAGCAAGGGGAAGACAAAAATAACTAAAAATAAGGGTGTAATTATAAACCTTCCAAGGCCTTGAACTGTCCTTTGGGAAAGGGTACCTACCGCACCTCTTCTCATCCGGTGGTTAGGATGGTTGCTTCCTACTATAGTCTCTAGCCTCCAGCCCTTTGCCCTGTACTACGCCCCTCAAATCAGTTCTTATGTGGGAAAAGGGTTTATAGTGAAGCTTGACAAAAGAAAATTGAAAAAATCCTCGATAATTTTCCACTAACAACTCTAGTGACATACATACTTGCATCAGATATATGCAATTTTATTCAAATTGGGACTATACATGAATTATATTTTGTGTCTTAATACCTTGTCAATTAAAGCATCTTTGTTAGTACTGATGTAGTATTCCATTACAAAGCTGTATCAATTTAAAGTCTCATTTAAGGGGCTGGGGATTTAGCTCAGTGGCATAAGCACCTGCCTTGCAAGCAGGCAGTCGTGAGTTCGATCCCTGGTACCGATAAAAAGACAAAGATAAAGTCTCATTTAAATAGATGGGTTTGTAATTCTTTTTTTTTTTTTTTTTTTTGTCTTTTTGAGACGGTCTCACTATGCAGTTCAGGCTGACCTTGGGCTCACTTTGTAGCCCAGGCTGGTCTTGAACTTGAAAGGATTCACCTGCCTCAGCCTCCTGAGTGCTGGGATTGCAGGGGTGCACCACCACGCCTGGCTGGGTTTGTAATTCTTTTAGAAAACAATGCTTTGATGTCTTTGCCACATCTGTTTAAGATAGACCTACTTCTAGAGGAAAATAGCCATGTTAGTTTTTTTTTTTTTTTCATGTCAGATTTCTTAAAACCTTAGGTTCCTGTTAAGTTGCCCTCCAAGGAGCGATTTTCTAAATTAGTGTTTTTAGTGAGAAAAGCAGACTCTGGTGCTCAGAATGGGTAGTATGATGTAAACACCTTTGCTATTTGGATGTCAGGCCTACTTACCTGTGGGTATGAGCATTCTTTGCCCTGTGGTGAAACTGAAGAATGCTCTCATCTGTTGACCCAGCCTGTGTGACTTTTTCTACTCATTGTTGATATTTCTATTGGTTATTTTATAAAAGCAATTTATATATTAAGGATATTAATAATGTTATATTTGATATACTTTCTAGTGTGTATATTGTCTTTTAATTTTCCTTATGTTTCAGATATACCACAGGTATACATAAAATTGTCTGAGGTTAAACCACTGTAGTTTTGTACACGTGGTGTTATGCTTAGCCCCTGTTGACCCTGAGTCTGTAAATATAATCTGTATTTTCATGTGCGCTTGTGTAGTTTCACTTTTCACATTTAATCTAGACTCCCAACTGGAGTTAATTGCAGCGTACGTGGGTGTGGGTAGCAGGTACCCAGATGTTCCTTCGTGTGGCTAGAAGCAGTGATGGAGTAATAGTGCTCTGTCAGTGTGAGGCTGTTGTCACTGTTATACTAAGATGCTGAAAAATTAACATAGTTAATTAAAAGATAATTAGCAAAAATAGTGGAACAGTTCACCAGAGAATGCCCCAGGTGCAGGCTGGTGGGGTCTCCCCAGTGAGATTCTGGTTTGTGGTTCCTCTTTGATTCCCCAGCTTCCCTGGTATCTGGCTTGGACCTGTCACAGTGAATCTGAATGCCAATCCTGACTACCACTTGGTATCTTTGTAACTGGGAGTAAATTATGTATGGTGACCTGGCCCATTTTCCTCAGCTGTGAAGTGGAAAATGTGTGCAGGTAAGTGATGCATGGTATTCGGTGCTGAGCACTGCCTGTGACTCCCTGGCCTGCTTCCTCTTCTCTGTTACTGCCTTTTAGACTCTGGCTTTCCTCTTGCTTCCCTCCAACTGCCTTGTTCTGTCCTTTTATGGACTGGAATTAGTGTTTATATTCTAGTCTGTTCTGTTTTTAACTCAATTTTGTGTCTAGTAACCATGTTTGTGTGTCAGCTCAGTTCACCAAACACTGTTGCAGGTTTTTCTCAGGCTAAATTGTTAATCCTTACACCAAATCCCTTGGAAATCCGAAGGCCCTGAAGCTAAATGCACGCATTTTTCTGTGACTTGCACAGCCTGCCCTGATTGGTCAAAGAGGTCCAGGACCAGGGGCTGGTGATTTAGCTCAATAGTTCAAGTGCTTGCCTGGTAAACATCTTGAATTCATAGAGGTCCAGGACCTTAAATAGCATCATAAACAAATGATTGCAGCATTTTACCCCATTGTGCTTATCTCACAGGATAAAGTAATCTCTTCAGTTAATAAACAGAATTTTGACTTTTACATAGGGCTACTGTGTGCATCTTCATAAACTTGGTGTGCTTTATATTTTCCACAAGGGTGTTGCCCAGCCAATAAATATGGCTTACAACTTCTCTCCCACTTCTTGTGAGTTTATAATTTCCCTCTGCTGTTGCCGTCATCAGTTTCAGTTTTATTGATTGCTACTTTAAGTTTTCTGTAGTAAAATATCCAAAGTTTACTATCTTAAATGTCTGTTAAGTGTACTGTTCAGTAGTGCTAAGTATATTTGTGTTGCTGTGCAGCCAATCTCCAGAACTTTCTCATCTTGTAAAAATCAAACTGTACCAAATTCTACCCTTGAACTCATCATTCAACCCCCACCCCACCGTACCCCACCTTATCTCTTCCCCCAGGTCCCTGGCAGTCACTACTGTTTCTACTTCCTGTTTCTGAGTTTGACCATTCTAGGTAAATGATGTAATTGAACTCAGGGTATTTGTATTTTATGATCGGATTATTTCAT